GTGAAAGAGCGGATGTGCCGTGCTGAAGACAGCATCATGAGACTAAGCCACTGTTAGTCGATCTGCAACTATATTGGTAGTAAGGCAACTCCACCACCTTCTGGAGAAAAGAGTCTGTGATCTCTTCACTGGGGAGCACGCCATCGGGCGTGACTAGAATCCTCCCCCGTTTGTCGAACACTGCAGAAGCGAGAACTATTCGCTGGGCCTTACTTGCATAGCCCTTGCGTATCCGTGCCGAGTAAATCGCTATGCCTGCCATGATGAAGCAGGCGCCAATTGACTGCAGAGGAAGACTGTTAGCACTTTCAAGTTGGCGGAATGGGCTGAGACTCACGAGACATATAACCGGGATGACGGTTGTATCCCGAGAAGAGCCACTCTCCTTCAAGTTTAAGCGCAGCAACTCGTAGCTCGTGCCCATCGCGGCACACCAATGCATGCCCGACACTGCACCAGCCAGTACGATTGCACATCCCACTCTCCTCCACAGCGAGTTCGTCCATGCCACTCTGAACACAAAGAATAGCGCTAGGGCGACAGTACTCGCAGCGGCGGCGATCACGGCGGCGCCCACGACGTTGGCGACGGCGTAAATGCATCGGTAGTTGTTGATGGATGCATTGCCGAGGTAGTGCATCCCGCAGATGGCGCACCCGGATAGGCATCCCGACAAGGCGATGCGCCACCAGTATACCTTGTTCGTCGTCGACACGGCGAGGAATGCGACGAGGAGGACGACGATGGGCACGAAGAAGGAGAGGGCCGTGATAGGGACCGAGTAGGCTATTTGCAGCTCTGGCTCTCCATTGAGGAGAGTGACTGCTCTGTTACCTACGAAATGCTGAGGACACGTCAGTACTTATGAACGAGCTTCAGGACGGAAGACAGGCCAGCGCACCATGGACCAGATCGCAATCCCTCCCATCGAGATGGCTGCGCCACATAGAAGCATGCTGGCCTGGGGATTAGCGGAAGTATCCCATAGCAGCTTTGCGCACGGAGAGACTGACTGGTTGTAAAGCCCTCTTCGAGACGTCCGCCGGTTGATCAACTCAAGTGTTGATCCGGCTCCGATGAGACTGACGATATAGCTGAGCGCGAGAAGGCCAGCATTTACTGAGAAGGGGACGACTTGCCCTAGGTAAGGGGTAAGCTCTTCGGATGATGTTGACATCGCGAGCGGCGTTTAGCGGAGATTCGCCCAAGCTTTGTGATGAACTGAGACAAACTGGAGGGGTGGCTCTAGCGCCGATGGAGTCTTCGGTCGCTCGACAAGCTTCGAACTGAAGGATTGCTGTAGTTGCCGCGATATCCGCCGGTTAGAAGCGCTCTGCCATCGTAGCCCGCGTCTTCTGAGCTTCGGTGCGAGTGTGGAAATCGCATGAAGTGGGTTGGAAATTGAGAGCTGGCGGATGTCATGCACTTTGGATTGTCCGTTCAAGATTCATGGGCACGAGAAATCTTGACATCTTTCTCAGCCGTTCCCTCCCGCATTGCCAAGGGTCCCTCGACAACTTGAGATGGCAGATGCAGGACGGGCAAGCAGGCTACTGTGTTATCAGCGGGACTGGAACGAGAGATTAGCCGCCGGCGCCGTGTGGCTTCGGCCCTTTGCCCGATCTTAGGCGATGACTGGGGATGAATGCGCTGGCAAATTCGAGGCGGTATTGACCCGCGTGCGTAAACTTCATTGCAAGGGACCACACAGAACCAGTTGCATTGAACCCCGCCGATCATCGCCGTTCCTGGACCCCCTGCAGCGATGGCACCCAGATAAATCTATGCATCCCTGGTTTTCAGCTGAGTTTCTTCTTGTCCTGAGAGCCACACTTGGGTTAGCGGAAAGCGAATTCGTGCAGGGATGCTTCGAGGATTGTTAAAGGTACCTAAGGTCTACTCGGTGTCTCCGATTGGCCAAGAAGCGTCGGACGGGGCTCCGGAATTCATCATTGGTACGTTGGGTCAGGAGGACGAAGCCACATTCTCACGTTCAATCCCCACAACACAATGGAGGCGGAAACTCCGTGATCTGGTCACTTAGCCCTGCGGTTAGTGGGAGGAAGCTGCTCCGGCCATTTACCAGAACCCATTCATGCCTCGTGATCGCTAGGTTTGAGCCTTGGACACTCCCTGTTGTGTCATTGTCAGTCCGGCAAGCGCAGCGTCGCGGCCCATGGGGATGGGAGAGGCAGGCGTGAAGGCTACAGTAGATTGCCACCACACACCGCTGTGTGGCAATACCAGCATTGCATGGCGAGTTTTGGCTGCACTTTCGGCAGTAATTTCAGCTGGTCTGCAACTGGAACATCAGCCAGGGACGCAGTCGCAATAGTCTTTGGCATTTTGAGCATTGTCTTATGGACGACACTGAGCCTGCCTATATAGCAAGCGATTACTATATGTTCCCCGCTGGCGAGAGCCCTGGCTCTTGCGGAGGTGGTTTGCCTAAAGATACGGATGACGACAACGATGCTCTTGTTAGACATGATGCTGTGTTGACGGCAGGCCCAGTGCTACTACTGGTAGGAGCTTTGGCTGCTGTGGTGGCAGGCTACCTGACGATGCCGGTGGCGAGAGCCCCGATGCTACCGCTCCCCTCCTCCGTCACGACGCCCGGCGTCTTTAACCCCCAGGATACCCAGTCAGTCCAGAGTAAAACAGAATTCCCTCCGAGCATTGGCGATAAGACGGCGTACCTGTATTCCGACTCCCCCCCCCCAATTCCGACACCTCTCCACCACCAAAATCCACCTTCCACCACCGCCACTTCGACACCACATTTGACGCGACAAACCGTGTCAGACACGCTTATTTCAACTGTTATTTGGTGTTTTATACTTTAAAGCTCGTCAGAATGCGTTCCTATACCGAAAACGACCTCCAAAACGCGATCAAAGACGTGCGCGCAGGGATGCCCCGGAAAGCCGCCGCGCGCGTCTGGGGAGTTCCCAGGACTACCCTCCTCGAGCGCCTTCAAGGTACAGAGGATGCCATAAGCGCTACTTCAAGCCGTCAGAGGCTATCTCCAGTTCAAGAGGAACACCTCGCGCAGTGGATTATCGTCCAGGATACCGTCGGTCTCGCACCTACGCACTACCAAGTTGCCGACTTCGTCACCCGTATCCTCCGACTTAGCGGCGACAATAAGCCCCTCGGTAAACGGTAGATTCAGGGCTTCAGACGCCGATATCCTAAAGTCTCAACAATCCTCGGCCGTCGTATTGATTCGACAAGAGTTAACGGCGCCAGCCAGGCAGCAATCAATACGTTCTTCGACCGATATAACAACCCCGCGATCGCTACGATCCCAGCCCACCACCGCTACAATATGGACGAGACTGGTATCATAGAGGGCTATGGGGCAAATGGCCTCGTTCTGGGGCCTTTAGAGAAGCGAGCTACGTACGTCAAGGGAGACCCGTCGCAATGCTGGACCACCATTATTGAGTGCGTCTCTGCTAATGGCCGTATTCTTGACCCCGTCGTTATCTTCAAGGGCAAGACAATACAAGCACAATAGTTTCCTAACAATACAGCAGAACTAAGCCTTCTCACGAAGTGGGTATTTGATGCCCAAGAGAACGGCTAGACGTCAAACGAGATCGGCCTCCGCTGGCTCATAGAGGTATTCCTACCTATGACGAAGCCAGCTCATAATCACGAACGACGCCTACTAGTACTGGACGGCCATAGGAGCCACGCCACTAACGACTTCATGTGGGAGTGCTTTCAGAATAACGTACATCTCATATATCTGCCACCTCATTCGTCGCATGTTCTACAACCCCTCAACCTTACAATCTTCGCGCCACTTAAGGCTACATATCGGAAGTATGCGCGGAGACTCCTAGTCCAGAATGACAGCAGCCCGATCGGTAAAACCGGGTTCCTTATATGCTACGCGAGGGCCCGTTATAAAGCCTTCACGAAGCACCATATCACTACAGGTTAGAGGGTTACTGGGCTATAGCCGATCTCACAACAGCGCCCTCTCCGCAGCCCCTTCGTCCTTCAAACCACCACACCAGAAGCCCAGAAGAAGCTAGCAGAGTCCGACAATACCTTCAAGTCGAGTAGCCGAGCTATCAGGACTAGCTATACTAACCGTACTATTATTAAGACTCCTAGGCGTACTAGTGAAGTACGTGATGCCTTCTCTGCTGCGGGGTATAACCTCACCAGGGACCGCACAATCAGGCTACTATTCCGCAAGCTTGGAAAGAGCCTTGATGACCGTAATCGGACCATTGCAGAGTCCTCTCATGAGATCGCTCAATTGACTGCGAAGGTCGAAGAGTTGAAGCCCAAGAAACAGGTCACTGTCATACAAACAAATCCCAATGAGAGATTCATCCGTATCGAGTCAATCAGGCGCAGCCAGGAGATCCTACAAGCGAAACTAGCGCAGCTCAAGGATGCCCCTGTATACAGCTATAAATCATGCCTCTATCAGTACGAGATTGAGCTCAAATAACGTTGGGAATGCCCTCAAATCGTCGCCGTTCTGAAGCCCATTTTGGTGGTGGAGGGGTGTCGGAATTCAGGTACGCCGTCTTAGTAGTACACTGTGGAGGAGCCAACGTCGAAAATACAGGGGGTTTTCCTTCAGATCAGAAATACGGGAGCAGAGTTGGAGAGCTGCTGGCCAATAAGCCGCTGAATTACGCTGCCATCCCCTGTTCGTAGTGGGGTACCAGGTGACGTGTCCTCGATAAATGGTCGGTGCAGCCGCAGTGGATGCAGGTCTTTCCATCAGTCGGTTTGCTCGGATCTGCCTTGCTCGTGCCTGCAATCAGCCGGCGGCCCCCACAGCAGCATTTACAGGATCCTGTAATCCTGGTGTTCGGCGTGGTTCGAGGGGCAGGCACGTCACTCAAATAGATGAGTCAGGGACAGGGACGCCTGTCTGCCACCCAGCCGGTGGAAATAAGAAGTGAGAAAGCGAGTACTTCCGTAACTGCAGACACACTTACTTTAGCGCATGTACCTCCCCACCAGCCAGCCAGAACCCCACCGTACCCTAGATTCGCAGGATCCTGTCTGCTGGCAGATCGCTCGGCCAGCCAGAACCCCACCGTGCCGGTAGAATCGCAGGATCCTGTCTGCTGGCAGATCACTCGGCCAGCCAGAACCCCTGCCGGCCAGGGTTCCAGGCAGCTATGGTCAGAACATCTATCAGGGAACCGGATCAGTCCCTTCAGGACATATGTCGTCATATCTTCTCTTCGAAGGCGTCACTGTGCCGCCCGGAGGTGGTTTCTTCGGGCATTTCGGAGACTAGGGCTAGGGGTCCAAACATTTGTACGGTCGAGAATCCACGGATCATTTGCAGTCGGGAGGATGGGCTTATTAAGATACTAGAATTGGTTAATTGAGCGTTCGAGTCGGATCAGGAGGGTAACCGACCTACAACCCGCCATCTTTCAATTTAACCTGGACTTTTGTACCGCCCACATCTTCTTCGTGGAATCGAACCACACCTGTTGCGTCACCCCAGAACTTCGTTTTATCCTTATGAGATGAGTCCCAAATGTTCCATACCGAACCGTTGATCAATGCCGCGAGCACCACGCCTGACCCTGGTCGTCCATCGAAGGCGTAGTACTCCGAATTTGGCAGCCTTCCAAAGGTCGACGATTGATACGGCTCGGGTTGGCATGTTTCGAGGATGTGCTTCACCCACTGCTAAGGATTAGACAGGATATTGTGACTTGGTCACTTAAACGTACTGGGTATTCGTTTAACCTCGGTTTCAGGCGGTGATAGGCTTCCGGCTCGTTTGCAAGGCTTGCCTTGTCTATCTCATCCACAAAGCTTCCGATTATGTAGTCCTCTATGTAGAGATACCCATGCTCCTTGAAAAACTTCCAATATTCTAGGACTGTCGAACCAACCTCGGGCTGCTGAGACTCGCTGTCCAGGGTCGTCGTAGCAACATCGAGTTGCTCGAACTCCGTCAAGGGCGTGGTACATCTTGTACACAAGTTACCCTCGCGGGTAGCACCTTTATTACAGTACTGGCACTTCTCGGGTGCGGGGCTCCATCCAAGAGCAACATTTCCGGGAGTTTCTGTAAGGCCACTCGCCATTGATGGCTCGGCTCATAATGGTCTGAGTAGGGATGCTAAATAATGAAACCACCTATGCTGCCTTGGCAGCCTTCGAAGTCTGTACTAGTTTCGTGGGTAAATTCGTTACATTTCTTCAGCACGAGACGCACTGATGAAATTTTTGGTCCATCCTCTGTTCGAGCCGCTTGGGCATGAGGGGCAGGGACACCCCACCAGGCCTGAAATTACATTTCTCCGCTCCGAACATGCATCTAAGTACCCACAATTTTTTGGCAGGTGATCAAGTTAAGAGAAAGCCCTCTGGAGTGGCTGCGGGCAAACGAAATGTCACCGCCGCACTCACTTATCACCATCCACACGGAATCCTTCTGCCGCACCGTGAATAAAGTGTCGAGGAAACATTGGTACGAGGCTCGCTGCAGTGAAGGAAAGTCATTTTTACAGCTCTCTGGTGTTTTTGTCTAGATGTGGCATGGTGTCTACGATGTTTCAGGTGATTCATGTACTCCGTACCCGTGTCTCCCAGCGAGTCATCATTCACGGCCGGGGCGGCCTTGAAACCCAGTCCACCCTGCCAAGCCACGCTCTAGCCACCCCATTGTGGCGCACACTGGTGACCACCCTTTCCACCAAGCTCATCCAGGCGCCGAACTGCGGCCAGGTCGGCCTCGGTCATCACCAGACGCGACAGCTTGCAACCAATCGTTTAGCGCCGCCAGATACGACTTGCTTGATCTATTCTGACCCAAGTTCACCAAATACAAAATCGACTGATGAATGAAAGGCAGGAAGCCTTGTGCAAAGAAAAGAGATGAGCATCAGGCTCTCGAGGAAGTGGGGTTGGGAGCACTCATTCAGCTCATGCAAGAGCAGGGGCAAAGCCGGATCTGCCAACAGGCATGCCCCCCAATCGGCCTTGGCGCAGCGTCCTTTTCAGCCTTTTCAGAGATCGTTTCGCACCTATTATCGAGCGGATAGTTGGCTAGGTAGCGGAGCACCTCGTTCGGCACTTGCGCTGTCCGCTCGAGAGCCTTCGCGATAAGCCGTTCGAAGCTCGCCCCGAGCCGGAGGAGGCGGTCCTGTTCAATAATTTCTGCATCGCCCCGGAGTTTGGCGCGCGCTGCAGCAGATAGGGCGCTCAAGCTCGTCCGGAAGTGCACGCCCATGTCGCTCCCGGCGAGGTGTCTCGCCCAGCCCATCTCGCGAACCCAGGTCGACTCGAAGTCAGGCCCTTGCCGGCTGTCAACTATCCGCCGCGTCTCCTCTAGCTCAGCCGCCAAGCTTTCTTCGTATCTCGTAAGACGGTCTGCTAGCAGACGTTGAGGGGAGCCGGAGGCGGTGGACCTAAGGCTAGTCGTCCCGTCAGGTCCTATACTACCCTGTACTTGCTCGACTACCCAGTACCGAGCGCGGCTTCCTCGCGATAAGATCTGAAGTCGTACCTCCTTCCAGATACTGTCGTGTCCTAACTGCGAGCGGTGGACCCTGATCAGCCTCCGGCTCGTCGTAAGGAAGCGGCAGTCCGAGCAGCTGAGGCCGTCGACGATTGGTAGCTGCTCCACGTAAGGCGAACCGTCGGCGGGTACCGGGACGGCCTGTGGGTTGGCGATCGGCTCGGCCGTGTAGCTGTAATCGAGGATCTGTCGCATCACCTCGCCCTTTAGGCGGTGGATCCGCCAGAAGTGCAGCTGTACGCCGTCGCCTGGCCGAATCCCGACCCTACACGACATGCAGATCAGGACCCGGTGCTCCGGACCACTGCTACTCCCGCCGCCGCCGCCGGTGCTCGCAGACCAGCTTAGCAGACCGACCTGGCCCCCAGTAACGCCGCCGTCAGACTCGTAGCGCACTGCCATAGCCGATAAGCTGGTGCTTATAGTCGTCATTACCACGGCCGAATGTATTGTAGCTCAACCAGTTTAGCGTATTTTGCAAACCACGAAATACGTATCGCCTACTTCCCTCTCTCACTCTCTCCCCTCAATTACTCCCTCTCGCGCAGCCCCTTTTAACCCCTAGTCCTTACCCCAGGTCCCAGGGTTTGAGGTAGGGGGCGCGCACCCCCTGTTTCCCCTAGTAATGACTATTATAGTAGTGGTCGTCACTCGAGCTAACCCCCAGCCCGCTGACTCAGCCTTAACTATGGGCTTACCCCAACTTGCCCTTAGTAGTAACGGTTACTACCGGGCTGAATGATAGACAGTGTGTCAGGGCAGTGCGGGATAGACTGATCAGGGGCATATTTGTACAGTACTACTTAAGGCTTGAAGCCATCGTGACGTTTTTCATAGCACGGAGCCAGATTATCCATCACTCAGCTTCACCAATCCGACTTGATTTTTCCACCCCATTGAATTCCTACGCTTCTGTGTGACGACCCGACCAACAGGTCGCAAGATCGGGCCAGGGACAAGGGCAGGTCATGCACGCGGGGCAGCACACCCCTGGTTACATAAGCATCCCATTATGTCAGCCAGACGGAAGTGGATCGCTGGGATCACCACAGATCCAAGACGATCCAGGATCACCGAGGATCACCAAGGATCCAAGACGATCCAGGATCACGAGGAAACCAAGTGATCCAGGGAACCACGATGAAGGACAAAGGATATATAGCACCAGGAGGATCTCCTTGTAGACAGTCATTACCTTTGTACTTCAGCGATCAATCTAAGTATCACCCTCACCCTTCACTTGACCTAGTCACTCAATTGATCCGAGTGTGATATCTCGCAAGAGACACGAACGACAACCCCCTCGAGAACACGAGAAGCACGGAGTCAGTATTGCATGAGGTCGCTACCTGCCTTATTCAGAACATAAACCCCACCGCGCCGATCAGACGGTTGACCCCGGAGATCGGATCGTGACACCAGGTCCGTCGTCTTGCCCGGTAAAGTCTTAGTTAATAGTGAAGTTGTAAAAGGCGACCAGCTTCTCAAACTTGCTTGAAATCTTACTAATCTGCGACTCTATGGGCCCCGTGGCGGCCAGGTCGAGATCCAATAGCACCTCCCTAAAGTCCTCCCTTAGTACCTTAGCCGCATAGCTGGTCGCCCTCACCTCGAGGCTAGCCATAACCGCCTTCGCCTCAGCCGCCGATATAACGCCCTGCCGCAACGCCATAACCAGCAAGCCCCGCAACAACTGCGGCGGCCAGGTTGAAACAGATAAGCATGTCCCGATAGTTAGCCACGTATAAGAGGAAATAGAAGCGCCACTCCGGATCGACCGCAGGCGGAGCTTCTTCTCCTCGCATACGACCGCGTCCGCATGAGCTCGAGCCTAAACGGCGCGACGAGGCTAGCCTCGCACGTATAATACAGCTCCGATAACCGTTCCGTAGTATAGCATTGCTCAGTCGAATGAGAGCGGCCGTACATATAGTTACTAGCACATGATAGCGGTGAAGGCGGCAGTCGGCGAGTAGCTACTTGAGCTCGTTAACCGAGGCGCGGCAGATGGACTCGACCGAGCAGTCCGCCGAGTGGGAACGAATAGAGCCGTTAGTGCAGGTGAGCGCTCTTGAAGAACGGGAGAAACAAGTCTAGCACGGTACCGTGGAAGAACATGCTAACAAAAATGGGCATTAGTCCTCGCAAAAGCTATCGACGGTACGGACGGTAGCTTGCTAGAAGACCACGACGGGGTCAGGACTAGCGGCCGAGAATGCCATATCCTCACCCAGGGAGTCTGCCTAATATAGCAGCTTCTGGAAACTTGCCTCAGCCTCACTTGCCCTCAAGTCTGCTCTTCCACGCCGCTATAACATTAGTAACTACGTCTTATGTACGCCATCATTATCATAGCATCCCAAGAAAATCCAAACCAGAGCTGTGTTTCTAAACCAAAGGCCGACATAGGGCAAGAGTAAGTTACATGAACCTTCGTAACAAGAAAGTATGCAGCCAACTTGAAAAGATTTATCCTGCCGGACCATGTTTCTGAGGAAGCAAGTACCATATTTACATTTTTCTGGGAGATGAACTAACATCAACCAGATTCATAGACAGCTTCCAGACGAGATGTCGTTCCACAGGGCACATGCCGGCGCTGGGTCGAGACATTTTGGCGCCGACAAGCGCGTGGCCCTTTTCACTGGCGCCAAGGTGAGGTTTAGTCTCCTCGGGGGCCGTGAAGACCGGACGACCCAGCATTCCGAGGCGGGGGCGCCACGACGCAGTCTGTTCTAGGCCAGCTGGATGACGGCGGGGAGACCATTGAAATTGTCGGGGAGGAATTTGGTCGCCTGACTAGGGATAATGATGGGCTTGACGATGATGAAGATGAGGAAGATTTGTAGAAGCTTTCAAGTGCAGCATTTATTCATCTCTACTGCAGCGTTGCTCTTAAGTGGGACATTTCAAGACTGAAAGGAAATCAACAAATACGTTTATATATGTACAGACACATAGTGGAACGGCAGACGTTGGTAAAGCGTGCTGGGCTCGAATAGACTAAAATGAAATAAGAGTAGAATGCATGTTATTAACCCGAGATTATGTTATTATAGCCACAATCGACACAGGTAGCAGGCTGACAGGGAGTGGTATAGTGTTGCTACATAGACATGTGACAAATGAAGTGAGATCCTTGGTTTCTGTTGGCACAAAATCAAAGATCACATACTGTCCGTCATTTTCTTAACCTCGTCCGCCACGTTATACGTAAAGACGGAGTATTGCTTCTTGAACATCACGTTAGGGAAGAAACCTAAGTCCAGTTAGCGGGGCCCGAACATGCCTTCACCGTTGTAGAGAATAGCCTTGAGAGTGGACTTACTCATAATCCATAAAACCCCATACATCAAATATTCCGAGATAGTCCCCTTCTCTCGTTTTGAGTTTTGGATCTTCTGCGCCTCACGTAGTATTTGGGTAACGTGTGGAACACGCAATGCCATATACTGACGTGCAGCCGTCTTGACCAGACTCTTTGGATTCGCCTCAATCTGTTCTTGATCTGCGTTTTGAAGGGAGTGACTGAGAAGCAGCACGAAAGCCTCCGCGTCCTCCAGAGCCTGCGAACATCCCTGACCGGAGGTCGGCGGCAATGCGTGGGCCGCATCACCGACAAGCACGACGCCGTCCCGCTCCCACGTGGGGAGCGGCGGAACAGTCCAAGTAGGCCACATGGTATCCACCTCAAGAGATTGTAGAATTTCTTGAATGACGGGGTCTCCCCAGCCCTTGTGACGTTCTTGTAATTGACGGGTGATCGCGCCTTTGTCTATGGTGGCCGTTGTGGGGCACTCTGACACCTCGTAGGTAGACCACCACGCAAGCCGTTCGCCTGGGTCGGCAATGTGGTGGGGCGAATCGCGATAAGGTGACGATTCAGCACTGTCGGAGAAAAAATAGCCAAAGAACCCATTTCCTCCAAACACAAAGTTCATAGCTCCTTTCTCGACGTGGTCTCGGACCGAACTAGCGCTGATGAAGCCACCGACTCCAACGAGGCCCCTATGTCGGGTTAGACTCGAGAGGGCGCCTGGAAATGATCGAGAGTATCAAGACTGGCAGGGTGATCACTTACTCGTAACGTGGCGGATACGGGTCTTTCTCTGCCTCTGGAAACAAGGCCAGTTTGACGCGGCTTTTCAAGCCATCGGCTCCGATGATCAAATCGGCCTCGATTGGCGGACTTCCATCCACAAATTCGATAGTATTGGGACCGTCCGGATTGGCGACAACTTGAGAAACCCGCTTGATGACGATGTCGTTGTCAGAAACTCGCGTACGGAGAGCTCGCCAGATTGAGTGCCGGCTGCTGGCAACGGTGGACATGGCATGCTCGCTGGCTGCATTGGGAGGGAGAGCGTCGCCCTGATTCGCGCGTACTAAGACTTGGCCGCCTTTGCTCTTCATGATCATTATCGGTGTGACATAACCCCCGCGGACGACATCACGCAAGACCTCCTCATCCAACCGCCTCAAGACGCCGAGACCGTTTGGTCCCACACCTAGGCCACCGCCAACAGTGAGCGTGGCGGAATGCGAGAGACCTTTCGCACGCTCGGAGGGCTTGGTGTCCTTGTTCATGTCATGGGCTTCGTAGATCGTGATGGAATACTGTTTACCAGCTGGCAACGGGTGCAGATGCTTTTTGAGCAGTAAGTAAGTGGCGCATCCGGAGATGCCTCCGCCGATGATGGCTATCTTCATTGCTGTACCAGGCGACAGTTCCCGTCGAATTGCCTCATTTGTATTGATGATTGATGTTGGGTTCAACAACAGGCCGGCAGACTAATAAAACTGTGCAGTGTATTCATCTGGTATTTATGAAATTCTGCCTTCTATTAAAATAGAACGCGCGTCAAAGCCGTGGCGGCTCGAAGGCGGCCTTGGCGCCGGGTTGTCACGGACATCGGCCCCGCATGGAGTCAAAGCGGGGCTGCTCCTACGTTGGCTCTGGGATGGTGCATGGGCCTGCAGCGGAAGGAGATTGAGCTTGGGGTAAGCGGGCTTGACTTTGCGCCGTAGACCGTCGAGGCCTGCGCATTCTGCACGCGCTAGCGCCTAAAGCTAATTGACGATCAGCATCTTTCTAGCACGGCTGCCTGCCAGGCAGCAGGGTAAAATAGTCCCCCACCCACACAACCATTCCCCGACCAACCGACAGGTCCGTGCCTCCCTGTCAATTATTATGAATTCGTAACCCGTTTAAGGAAACGAAAATAAGCTACGAGATTCCTTGAATCTGTTAAAATATCACTCCGTGATGGAATTGTAAAGGATTTAGAGCTTGTAGCAGAACTGGGCTACATCGCGCTGGAGTGCCCCCATTGAATTTGGCCACCCCTTGGCATTAGGAGCCGATATTCTCTTCAAGATGTCGGGCTGCGCTATATAGAGGGCGGAAAATTTTTGATTCGGAGGGGCCGGATCAGGCGAGTTGCTAACAATAATCTATGACGGCTGACTGAAGGCATCATCCGCATGAGTCGGTAAGGAAATACAGTAGCCTAGTACGAGCGTTTCGCCATCGGCAGCCGAGAGACCCGTAAGCTTGATCTATCTTAGCATAAGACTTGTAGTTTCGGGGTACCAGCGACTATCGCGGGATGCCTAGTCTAGCTTACCAGTTTTGGGTGCAACCTACGTCTGGCATGTCACAATGGGGGCACTTCTCGTCCAACTTGAGTTGCGCCGATGCCATAGAGCATCCACGTATCCAGCATGGGCCCGAGGGCTTTCCCTGTTTAACGACTCCAGGCAGCAGCGTATCCCTTAACGAGGCAGATATGGCAAACTGGGTCCGGGTGGGTCAGCCATACTCTAATAAGGAGGCAGTGGCCGCATGAATTTCCTATTTCACGCAAAACCCCAAACAATAACTAGCTCTGATTTACCACTATAGCGACTATCGATAAGTTCCATCACATTCTCGGACTCAAAACGGCCGGCAGCGTCCAGAGATCTCTACTCCGTGGCTTTATCACTACAGAGAAGGTGCAGGCAAGATTGTTGGCGACAATGACTAGTATAATTGCAGATACTTTTGCGGGTGGATTATTCAGGTGATGATGCATGGAAACCAATTCGCTCGTTATCAATAACCAAACTCACACTCCTTTAAATATGGTCGAGGTCAGTTTGCGAAGCCGCCTTGTAACTGTGCAAGACTTGAAGTCATCAAGAAAGCTAATGTGGTAATAATTGGCACGACTAGAGCAGATCTTGCGTGCAGCTTGACTTGAAATAGTAATAGTACCGCATTAAAGGGGACTACAGACCATGAAAGCAGCTTCATGCACTTCTCCATTCGGGACGTAGAACAAACAATGTATTGCTACGTCTTATAGATTCTTCTCACACGAGAGAAGCTAAGCAAGCAGCAAAGCATAGCGTCCAAACTCCTCGTCCTTGAGCAGAAATTCCAACTCGTCCTTCATCAGACTGACCATGAACTCGATTCCACCATGCGGCTTGCGCGGGAAGACGTAGCAGAGGCGGAACTTCAGCAGATTCCTGGTGCTCATCATGGGGCGGTACCCCTCAGGCCGTCCGGCGTTGGCAAAGGGGCCCCTGGCACCAAAGCACAGGTCGTCAGAAACCATGAGCATCGACGAGATGAGCAGGGTGCCGTCAAAGTCGAGGAAGCGCAGGGGCTGCGTGGCCCGGAAGTCAGGCAGGTTGTCGAGCAAGGTGTACGCATCGAGCATGTTGTCGTGGTGCACGTGCAGACCGCAGCTGCGCACCCTCTTGGCCACTGCCGGCAGGCTCGTCGACGGGGCGAGCAGGTCCCCGAGGACCATGCTGGGGCGGTAGTGGAAGTTGAGGTTGCCGAGGTACGTTACTGGCAGCGCGCCGTTCTGGGAGAAGTCGGGGCGGCCGTCGACAGGGATTTGGATCTCTACGCCTCGGTTCTGATCTTCTGACGATGCTTGCAGCGCGGCCGACCGGGCTTTCATCAGCCCTCGCCACATGAGAGCGAGGATGAGATCGTTTCCAGATACCTCGGTGCCGCCGAGCTCCTCGTTGGCTGCCTTCTTCATGGCGGCGAAAGAGCGAGGCGATATGTAGAAGACTTTGGATGTCATGGTCTTCTCTGGCTCGTTGGTGGCCGGGAACATTGCTGGGGGAAGCGACTGAGGACCAGTCTTGTCCCGGGCCACCCCTTCACCATGCTGTTCTGAGGCTACTTCTGCCTTTGGCGACTCGAGCCCGACCAGCTGCCACACCCCTGCATCGATCTGCTCAATAGAGCGACCGCTGCGCTCCTTCTGCCAGATCTTGCCCAACAGCGTCCGGTCAGAGCTTTCCGAGGTCACCTGCACCGGCATGTCCGAGAGCGCAGCCTTCGGCCGCTCATCAGAAGAGTGCAGGTAGCTGCAATGCTGCGACCACACGCCGAGCACGGTGAACATGGCCGTGGCATCGGAAGCAACGTGGATGATGGACGACGCGAGTAAGCACGCGCCAGGGATGAAGTTGGCCTGGGCGACAAAGACCTCCGCTCCGGCATCAATGTCGGCACGGAACGGGGCCCACAGCAACTCCTCGTCTCTGACCGAGTCGATGGGGAAGCCGCGGGCCTTCATGTCAGCATACGCTGGGGCAGTGTCCAACTCGTTGTATCTGAGCTGGTAGGGTGCGGCGTCGACCGCCTCGGCAGCGGCAACGGGTAGATGACGGATCTCGAGCTGGCCGGGACGCCAGCCGGGGGAATCATTGCTCTGCCAGTGAACCTTACCCCCGAGCCATGGCAGTTGTTGAATAGTACGGCGCAGGCCCTCTTGCAGGTCCTTGAACGCCTCCTGGGCTGTGACGCCGTTCTTGAGCTTGAGGTACAGCACACCTCCGGGATATGTCCTCGGGGCAAAATGGTCCAACGGGCCAAGTGGGAGGTGGATGAGGTTTCCGGCCATAGGTTTTGCTAGTCCGTTTGTTGTGCTGCGATAATTTAGATTGAAAGTGTGGAAGGGCTCGACCCAGGTATTGAATCACGTATTGCTGCAAAATTCTACGGACGTTGGAATTTCTTCTCTTTTGCCGGCCTTGTCGTCTTGGGCATTGGTTCACCCATGGTCGGATGTCGGCGCCGGTTGCCGTGAGAAGAACTCACTCCATTGGATTACCATCCCTTGCATGATTACTGGGAGGCACGAGGTGATACTGAAAACGCCGCTGTATTGCGTGTGCGAGTGGTCTGAGAGTGGGACGCAGCGAGGCGCTACCTCGTGTTGGTTCGTGGAAATATTACATGATGGCTTGCAGTCGGTCGGTCCCCTAGCCGTGCAACCTGTCCGTCGAATTATCCACCGTGTTTACTAGGGTCCCAACGTTTGTTGGTTCTGGCAGGCTCCTCGTACGAGCCGAGACCCTGACCTACGGCGACAGGGATGTTGGCCCGACCACTGTTGTGATTCGCCCGAAATACGGCCCTGACGCCGCATATAGAGTTCCCGTCCCTGCCGGATGGCCAGTCACCAAGGATCCCTGCCGCGGGTAATGACAACAACGAGATGCCTGACCGCGGAGAAGGTTGCATTGCAGGATGACAGCCCGCAGGAGGTTGGCACTCGTCGGCACTATCAGTTGGGCAAAAGTGCACTTAAAACAGGCCACTGGCCCCTGGCCAACACGGGGGGGCCAACATCGAGCTCGCTTTAGCTGAAGTAACATTCTGATCCTGCGAGACCGTGTTCCGTGACACTGCAGGACAAGGAACCAGGCTTTGCCTTTCTACCAACCGAAAGCCAGCGTGGAAGGTTTAGCCGGGCTCTGCCTAAAGAGTGGCAGTGACCGCATCGCCCTAATGTGCAAGAATGATGAGAAACCACGGAAGTCGGTACTAGTGGCATTTCATTGGATGCTGGAGGTTGTCATGGTGGGAATACCCCAATGGGGGAAACCCTGGGAGTCCCATCCGTCACATCGCAGCTCGTGTTGCCTTACATGAGAACCATTGGGGACAACTAGTTACTTATCGTTTTCCCGTCTTGGCCTGGCGGTAATCCCAGGAACGCAAGAGTTCCGCGCCCAGGGAAACTACCCTGCGACGCTCCGCGCTCAGTCGGACATGAGCAAGCCATTAGACGAAACCCACCACGATCTCAGTGGACTACACAGACTCATGACGGAAGCGCATGGAGGTCCAAGCTCAGTGGCAGCTATCCTGGGACTTGAATGGAAAGAACGATACAGGGCAGATGGCTGACGAGTATGGAGCCGACCTTGGTAAGAGAATGCTTCATGCACAGTGGGAGCAGGATACAGGCCACGTTCAAGAGACCAATCATGCATGAAGATCGAGATGCTATCATACCACAAATTATAGTCTGATCGTGAGATCTTTGGGGGCTTGCAAGTCGGATGTTCACGTTGTCTTCGACAACGTGAACGAAGATGCCCCGCAGTCTACCGGTCGGCTAAGCAGCCTGCTAAAGATTCTTGGGTTTTCTGTTTATCCTGCCATGTTCCACAAAGACCACCCCAATGATACCCGCACAAGCTAGACCTACAGAGACATGCCACGCCTGAACGAGAGAATTGTTGATCACAGTTAGAGCCGCGTCTTTGACTTGGCCCTCCAGTCCGGCGGTAATGGTGGTCAACCCCTCTGCGGCCAAGGTAGCGGGGTCCACCGCGTGGAGGCCTAGACTTTGTAAGCCCCCTGCCAATTTGTTAATGAATATAGCTTGTGCTATGGGAATAAAGATTGCGCTGGAAATGTCGATCTGAAGCATTAGCAATTTACGGTCCATGCGGTCGGCTAAGTGGCTAGTGATGCACCTACCCGCCCATGAACTGCGAAAACATGATCATGCCAAAGCCGATGGGCATATCAGACTCGGCGAGAACCTTCTGAACAGCTATGGCGGGAGCTTGCCTACTGAATCCGTTCCCAAGGCCATACACAATCTGGCACCCAATCCAGTAAGATGTGGGCGAGTCGAACTTGAATGTGGTGAAGAGCCCCGCGCCGATTGACATGAACACGGTAGCGACAAGCATGAGCGTCCCAACCTGCCCAACATGTGTCAGGAGCAAGCCACCTGCAGCTGTCGTGAAAACCGTCGTCATGACGAGTGGGAGCGTGTTGACCCCAGACTGCAACGCATTGACACCCATGACGCCCTGAAACCAACTGGGTAAGTAGTAGACCAGCACCACAGACGCACCGCTGCTGCAGAACGAGAAGAGGGCTGAGCAGACAACACTGCGCTGGGTAAAGATGGAAGCGGGCAACATGGCATTCTCGCGCTGCCACACCTCAACGCAGAGAAACACGAGACTGAGCACGCCGGAGAGGACTAGCAGCGCAGTGATGCGTGCGTCATTCCATGGATATTGGACTCCGCCCCATTGTAGGGCTAGGAGCAGGCTTGTCACGGACGCGGTGAGTGTCGTGAGGCCGAGGGGGTCGAGAGTCTGCCAGAAGCTGCTGTGCGTTGGTGTCGTCGTGCGTGCGATCGGATTCGAGGGAGAAGGCACGAGCCATAGGAAGACTGCGTATATAACGGCAGCGAAGGGAAGGTTGATGTAGAACTACGCGTGTGATCAAACGTCAGTTACACATTGACAAGTGGGGAAGCTAGACAGTGACTAACATTCCATCGCCACGAGACCGTCTCGGTCAACACACCACCCACTAAAGGTCCGATGGCGATGCCGAGCCCCATTGTAGCCGCAAACATGCCGATCAGTAGGGGTTGGCGTGCCGGCGGCGCAAGGACCGGAGCCAGAGACATGGTAGACACCAGGAGCCCAGAGCAACCCAGACCTGCAATGGCGCGTCCCGCGATGAGGCCGGCGGAGGATGGCGCTGCGCCGCAGACAGCTGATCCAACGACAAACAGTAGCATCGCTGCGCTATGATTCCACCGTACTGGATATCGTGAATTGAGCTTGCCAAACAGCAGCTGCGGCACTGACATGGTCAGAAGGTACACGCTGTTGTACCATCCCACGTCTCCGAGAGAGCCGAACTCGGCAGTGATAGCGGGCACTGCTGTGCCGAGGATCGTGCCGTCCTAGTCAGAGTCGAGGCTAGTCAATCATCATTGCGCTCATCAATCATGATTGAGAAGAATAATCAGAAGAAGGTTACTGACAAGCGAGACCAGCAGGCCCCCGAGACAAAGCGCTGTCATGATGAGCCAAAGTTTGAGGCCAGTCGGGTACGGTGGTGAGCCACCGACCCCATTGTCGCTGTTACTGCCGTTAGGAAAGACCGCGGTTTCGTGCTTAGAGTCGGTGTCTGGGTTTGTTTCTCGAGGCTCGTCTTTGTCCATCTCAGGCGATCGAACCCCTTCTGGGAGACGAGGAGAGACTGCCATGATGGTGGGGCTCCCGACGACGTGCTCGCTTCCACTATCTTGAGACATTGATGCCTGGACTTTGCCTGACTTGGTCGCGAAAAGATTGAAATGGACGACTTTACTTGTGCAGTATGCCCCTGCCCCTTTCGTGTCGCCTCAGGTGCGAGTCTCCCCTGGCGGGCAGACCAATCGATACATGAAAATGCCGACAGCCGTACAAATTGTTGAGTGGGGCATGACTTTCCCGGTGGCAGGTACACATGAGGGATTGCCAACGCACGGTGGATGCAGACCCTTGGCAGGCCAGGGCGGCGGCATGGCTTAGTCAAGTTCTTGTGATCTTCCGGGCCGAGCCGCAGTCCATGCAGGGATATCAACTTGGGCCAGCTCCCATGCAGCCTTGGCCTCCTTTGATCTCAGCGCCGTAGCCGCCCTTGTCAACCAACCCCTGGACATTGCAGATCAAGAGGATTGAGACGTTGGTTGAGGTCGGATGGTCATGCGATACCTACACAACGTAACGAACCGGTCATCCAAATTGACCTGGCCTCGAGTCTCGTTACAGAGGCATCATGCTCAGAACGGGGAATGACAAACAAACGGCAATGCTACCCTGGGGTACGTAAGCCTAGCGTTACGTTCACGGTTGAATGTACCCCTGTTCACCAAGTGCATGCAGAATCCCTGCATTGACCTCACCGTCTAAACGAGGAGCCCCCACATACGCCCGCATCTATACGACTAGGACGCCGTGTCATGCAATGATGGTCTTTGCAGTACATGGGGAGTGACTGGCCAGGACCTGGGGTTGTTGGAATATGCTCGACGTGCTCTGGACCGACATACGGAAAAGAGTCCTGTCAGCAATACGCGCTGGGGCTCGCCACGTCTGGTGCAACCCGAGCCGAGAGGCTTGGGGAGACTGGAGGGCAGCATGGACTTTTCGATAGCTGACAGCGGTTCGAGTCGTGCGGTCACACACGTGCAGTCTCAGAGGATATGAAAAGGCCATGTTCGCGGGCAGACTACTGGAGACCTTGTCGTGTGGACTGTGCCATTTTGGACCTCATTGACTTTTGTCATTTTCCCCATCAACAACACCAACAAAACATGACTGCCAATTCTAGATTAAGAAGTGACTCTCATGTTCCACCAACTCCTTCCAACCCGCCTCTAGACGGCATCTATGTCAATGGATCGGATGAGCCCATGCCCAAGCCTGCGCCCTCCGAGCCCATTGCCATCATCGGCATTGCGTGTCGCTTTGCTGGCGGTGTCGAGTGTCCTGAAGACCTCTGGAACCTCTGTGCCTCTGGGAAGGACAGCTGGTCCTCCATACCGGAAGACAGATTCAATGCGTTAGCATGGTATGATCCTGAGGGCACTCGGGACGGAAGAGTATGTCCTTATAGCATACCAAGCAGTTATGCCGCACGCAAGCACAACACACATCACTTTCTACTGAAAGATGCTGACCCAATTCATGACAGCACAACATCAAAGGCGGATACTTCCTCAATCGCGATGTCTCCCATTTCGACGCCGCGTTCTTCAACCTTCCGGGGGATGTGGCCAGTGTTAGTCTACTGATCTTACCCTTGCATGATGATATCTATCACATGTTCAAAGAACGTGCGAGGTTGACCATTACTACTCTTTTCAGTCCCTAGATCCCCAAATCAGGATGTTGCTGGAAGTGACGTACGAGTCCATGGAAGACGGTAAGATCATCCTCTCTAGCCTTACAAGTGGTCTCGCTTTTCTGACTAAACAATCACCCACACCACAGCCGGGCTCCCCCTTGACAAGCTGGCCGGTTCCAACACGTCAGTGTATACAGGCACTTTCAACAAGGACTACCATGAGATGCAGACGAGTGACCCAGAGATGATGCCCCACTACTTCGCCGCAGGTACTGGTACGGCTATGCTGTCGAACCGCATCTCGTACAGCTTTGACCTGCGCGGCCCCAGTTTCTCCTTGGACACGGGTTGCTCGTCTGGAATGGTGGCCTTCCACCAGGGCTGCGAGAGCATCCGCACCGGGCAGTGCGACATGTCGATTGTGACTGCGGCGAATCTCATGTTGCACCAGGACTCGTTCATTGGGATGTCCAATTTGAGGTGTGTAATCGATCCGACAACGTGTCCTACACTCTTTTCCTGACTGACAACTCCCTCCAAACAACAGTGCCACCGGCGCAGACGGGAGATGCTACGCCTGGGACGCACGAGCAAGCGGCTATGGCCGCGGCGAGGGCGTTGCGTCGCTCATCCTCAAGCCTTTGTCTGCCGCACAGCGTGACGGCGACCAGATCCATGCCGTGATCATCGACAGCGGCCTCAACCAGGACGGAAAGACAACCACCATCTCCTCGCCATCCATGGATGCCCAGGTGACACTCATCCGCGAGTGTTACCAGCGTGCGGGGCTCGACATGGCCGACACAGCCTACGTCGAGGCGCACATGACAGGCACGCCGGCTGGCGACCCCGTCGAGGCGGAGGCTCTCGCTCGGACCTTCGGCGCAAGTCGCCGTCAGAAGAGCAACGACGGGGCAGACGACGTCACTGAGGCTGCTGAGTCGCTGCTCGTCGGCTCAGTCAAAACAAACGTTGGCCACACGGAGCCTGTGAGCGGGTTGGCGGCCATTCTCAAGACCATCTACGTGCTGAAGCACGGCGTGATCCCGCCCAACCTCAACTACGAGACGCCGCACCCGAGCATCCCGCTGCAAGAGTGGCGGCTGCGGGTGCCGACGTCAGTCACTCCCTGGCCGAAGTCCAAGGCGCTGCGCGCCTCTGTCAACAACTTTGGCTATGGCGGCACCAACGGGCACGTCATCATGGAAGCAGCGCCGGCGGCACGCGAAGCTCGGGAGAAGGTCAATGGACAAAGAGATGGGCTCGCAAATGGACACAATGGACTAACCAATGACCACAACGGTTTGGCCAATGGTCACATCGCCAAAACAGCAGAGCAGTCACGGGTGTACGTTGTGAGCGCAAAGGATTCGAGCGCCGTCAAGTCCATGGCTGCCAACCTTGCCTCGTTCCTGCGCAAGGCTCTCAAGCAGCATGCCAGCATCCCTCAAGATGATGCTGCCAAATCCGGCGAGGAAGGCGCAATGCTGGCCTTGCCTAACTCGTCAGACCTCGCGTACACTCTGTCGGAAAGACGCTCACTGCTTCCCTGGGTGATTGCCGTGCGCGCTTCCAATCTCGAGGAGCTGGCCGACCGGCTGGAGGATCCAGTGTACAACAGGCCTGCACACTCCAGCAAGCGGGCCGCCCGGATCGGCTTTGTGTTCAACGGGCAGGGTGCCCAGTGGCATGCCATGGGCAGAGAGCTGATCTTTGCCTACTCAGAGTTCGAGCACGGTGTCCGGCGGGCAGAAGAGGCGTTGAAGGATCTTGGAGCAGGCTGGTCACTATATGGTGAGTGATGTTATCCTCCCGCATTTACGACGAACCCATGGGTCTTTGGTGTCGTCTTTCCCACATCATCAAGAACAATGGCTTACACACACATCGACAGACGAGCTCACCCTTCGTGACGAGACGACCACACGCGTCTCGGACGTCGACCTTAGCCAGTCAATGACGGTCGCCGTGCAGATCTGCCTGGTCGACCTGCTACGGTCGTGGGGCATTCATCCCACGGCCATGACGAGTCATTCCAGTGGCGAGATCGCGGCGGCGTATGCCGCGGGCGCCGTGTCGTTCCGGGAGGCTCTCGGCATTGCGTACTGCCGTGGTGCAGTTGCTCTCGAGTATCTCTCGAAGCACCATGACCAACCATGCACCGACGGTTCTGTAGAGGCCGAGAAGCAACAGCAGAAGCAGGGCGGCATGCTGGCTGCAGGCCTTAGCGCCGAAGCTGCCGAGGAATACGTCGTCGCCGTCAACAGCAGCACCGTTGATGGCGAGTTGAGCCCATCCAAAGCGCTCGTGGCGTGCATCAACAGTCCCACAAGTGTCACGCTGTCCGGCGACGTGGTCGCGATCGAACAGCTCGCGACCAAGCTGAACGACGACGGCGTGTTCAACCGCCGCCTCAAAGTCCCCATGGCGTACCATTCGCATCACATGCTGGATCTTGCGGCCCAGTACACAGAGATGCTTAGGGACATCCTCCGGGATGATGACCATCATCATCTCGAGACGGAGCACAAGGACATACTGTTCTCGTCCCCCGTGACTGGTGGATTGCTGCACCCAAACACGGCCAGGAAGACCCTACGAAGGCCCGAGCACTGGGCGCTGAACATGACCAACCCAGTGCTCTTCAGCCAGGCCTTCGAAGACATGTGCTTCGGCTCGACGCCCGAAGACGCGGCTCCAGGCAGCGGCAACCCGTCCAAGCCGCAACAGGCAAACGTCGACGTGATCCTTGAGATCGGCGCGCACAGCACGCTGTCTGGTCCGATTCGGCAGATCCTCAAGGCCCGCGGCGGCAACACAGACCTACCGTACGTCTCGTGCCTCAAGAGGCCCGTCAGCGCCGTCGAGACTATGCAGAGTCTCGTCTGCAGTCTGATCGGGCACGGATACCCCGTGTCTCTGTCTGCTGTGAACTCTCCCGCCACTGCTACCACTGTCACTGCCGTTGCGGACCACAAAACACCAGACACGCAGCAGCACCAGGGACAGCATCAGCAGCACAAATTCGTCACCGGCCTCCCAGCATACCCCTGGAACCACGCGTCACGGTACTGGGTCGAGCCGCGGATCAGCAGGGAGCTCAGACACCGTGACCTCCACCAAAGGGACGGAGCAGCAGCAGAAGCAGCGCGCCCGCACGAGCTCTTGGGCACACGCATGCCCGGCACAGCAGGCAACAGTCCAACGTGGCGCAACCTGCTGCGCCTCGCAGACGTTCCGTGGCTGCAGCACCACCAGGTCGACTCCCAGATCGTGGTTCCCGGCGCAGCATACCTCTCCATGGCGATCGAGGCGATCCGCCGCCTGCTGCCGGGAGGTGTGTCGGAGGCCGGGACCGGGGGTTACAAGCTTCGGAACGTTGAGATCATGAACGCCCTCGTGGTTCCTGACGGCAGCAGCAGCAGTAGCAGTGCTTCCTCGGTGGAGACGCAGCTCACTCTGCGCAAGTGCGATGACAAGGTGCTCGACCACCAGGGCTGGTACGACTTTGAGGTGTCGTCGCTGGGGCCGAGCAGTAGTAGCTGGGTTGAAAACTGCCGCGGTGGCATTGCCCTGGAGAAGGCCGATGTCGTCAAGGTGTGCACTGCGATCGACGTCGTGGTGCCCGACGAGCGGACGTATCTCGACAGCGACAACCGTCTTGATGCCGCCAGTGGCGGCAGTGACGGCGAAAAGCAGCGGCAGCAGCACCACCGCAAGGTCGACCTCGACGCCATGTTCGCGGACCTGCGCGAGCGCGGAATCCACCACACCCCTCCCTTCCAGAACCTCACGGATAGCACAGCCGCGTCGTGCCGGGCCGTGACCAACCTGGTCATCCCGGATCTGGCGTTCTCGTCGTCCTCATACATGATACACCCGACGACGCTCGATTCCATTTTCCTCGCCACGTACAGCAGCCTGCCGCAAGACATGGATGGGGACGTCATGGTACTGCCGCGCTCGATACGCTCCATGTACGTCCCGCGAGACCTGGGCCGGGAGGGCGGCGACAAGCTGGTCGCGTTCACCGAGCTGACGAGGTCGAACCGGTGGGGTTGCACGTCGAATGCCATCGTTGTGAACAAGACCAAGGACGACGACGTCGACAAGAATGGAGAAGCGGCTGTCGAACAGGAGCAGCAGCAGAACCTGCAGAAGAAGAAGAATGCCGTGTTCCAGATGAAGGGCTTCTTTGGCCAGGCTGTCTTGCGTCACTCGTCTCGTGCTGTGGGCGGCAACGAGGACGACCAGGAGCAGGGCGGCATGTGTGCCAAGAGCTGCTGGGAGCCCGACATGCTGCACAACATCCCCGCGTCCTTTGCCGAGTCGATGCGCGTCGAGCTCGAAGAGTCCGAGGCCGTCACGGAGCGGCGCATCGTCCTGGCGTCGTTCTACCTAATCCATGACGCCGTGGTGGAGCTCGAGCGCCGGATCGAAGCAGGCACGACATCCCCTGCCTCCTGGCCGTGGCACCACCAAAAGTTCTTTGCCTGGATGCAAGGGGTCGTGGAGCGCGCCGACCGCGGCGAGCTGGGCTCCGGCAGCGAGCAGTGGAAGTCGCGGTCGCGCGGGATGCAGCAGATGCTGATAGACGAGATGTGCGCAGACCAGGACCCGTCGGGCCACCTGGTGGCGCGCGTGGGCGAGAAGCTGGCGGCCATTGTGGCGGGCGACGTTACCTCGCCGCTCGAGCTCATGATGGAGGGCGGCCTCCTGCACGAGTACTACGAGCACACGGGCGTGCTCACGACGCGCACGTACCGCCACCTTGGGCGCGTCGCGGAGCTCTTTGCCGTCAAGAACCCCGGGGCCCACGTCCTCGAGATCGGAGGCGGCACGGGCGGCGCGACGCGAACGGTACTCGAAGCCTTCGCGGCCAAGCGAGAGGCCGGGCTCGGGGGCTCGCTGATCGGCAGCTACACGTTCACCGACATCTCGTCGGGCTTTTTCCCTGCGGCCAAGAAGAAGCTTGAGGCGTGGGGCAGTGTCGTCCAGTTCCGGCAGCTCGACATCGAGCAGGATCCCGCGCTGGCTGCTGGCCCCGGCCAAGACGGAGACGCAGAGTACAGCCAGCCGCTCCGGGCGGGCGGGTATGACCTCATCGTGGCGTGCGGCGTCCTGCACGCGACCAAGAACCTGACGACGACCATGACGCACGTGCGCAAGCTGCTGAAGCACGGCGGCAAGCTGCTCATGATTGAAATGACCCGCGACCGGCTCACCGAGCAGCTCATCTTCGGCACGCTGCCGGGTTGGTGGCTGGCCGAGGAGCCGTACCGGCAGGGCCGGGGACCTAACGCGTCTGTCGCGGAGTGGGACGCGGTGCTCAAGGAGGTCGGATTCGACGGCGTGGCCTTTGAGAAGTACGACTTTGAGGAGGAGGAGTTTCAGCACACCAACGTCCTGCTGTCGACGGCGATTGAGCCGTCCAGGCGCGTAAGGGGTCCCATCTCCATCGTGCATCGTCACCCAGTGGGCGAAGCCGGCAGCGACAACAAGAGCAGTGCATGGACGCACAAGCTCATTGACGAGATTGAGAGCAAGACGGGCATCCGGCCCATCGTCGAGAGCCTAGAACAGGCGGCCGGAAATGCCGCCAGCGCCCGGGAGAGCGATGGGCGCGAGGACATGGTATACATCATGACGGCGGAAATGGAGCAGCCGCTCACGGCAGACATGGACGAGGCGACATTCGGCCTGGTGCGCAGGCTGTTGCTCAACACCCGGGGCGTGCTATGGCTCAGCTGCTCAAGTGCCATGGACGGCCTGGGCGACCCGGCGTTTTCGGCGACGCAGGGCCTACTGCGGACACTGCGCCACGAGGACAGCTCGAGCCGGTGTGTGCATCTCGACTTTGCCCGCGGCGGCGGCGGCGGCAGTGGTGATGACGGCAATGTGTGGCGGGACGACCAGGTGGCGCACGTTGTGCATGTGCTGGCGGAGAGCTTTACGGAAGGCGTCGACGCGGCCGACGTCGAGTGGGAGTACGCGGCCCGGGGCGGGGCGCTGTATGTGCCCCGGATCTACCCGGACAAGGTCCAGGACGCCGCAGCCCTCGCCCAGTCCGACGGCCCCACCTTGGCGCCGGAGCCGGAGCTCTTCCGCCAGCCCGGCCGGCCGCTTCAGTGCATGACGGCCAAGACGGGCCTGCTGGGCGACATGTTCTGGACTGACAAGGCCGGCATCACCGGGGTGCCAGTGCCGGCCGGCATGGTCGAGGTCGAGGCGCGCGCGTTCGGCATCAACTTCCGGGACGTGATGCTGGGGCTCAACCAGCTCGACAACTCGCTCGTCGGCCACGAGGCGGCGGGCATCGTGACACGGCTGGGCCCCGGCGCCGGCGAGGCCAGCGGGCTGGCGCTGGGCGACCGCGTGTGCGTGCTCCCTTGGGGCATGTATGCCAGCACCGCCCAGGCCGACTGGACCAACGTGTGCAAGATCCCCGAGGGCATGTCGTTTGAGGACGCGGCCTCGATCCCGCTGACGTACGTGACGGCCTACAACGCCCTCGTGCAGATTGCGCGCATGCAGCCGACGGACTCGATCCTCATCCATGCGGCCACGGGCGGCGTCGGCCAGGCCGCCATTGTGCTCGCCCAGCACTTTGGCGTCGCCACGCGCAACATGTACGTGACCTGCAGCTCCGAGGCCAAGCGCCGCCTGCTCGTCGACGAGTACGGCATCCTGCCGCACAACATCTTCTCGAGCCGCGACACGTCCTTTGTGCAGGGCGTCATGGCCGCCACGCGAGGCCGGGGCGTCGACATTGTGCTCAACTCGCTCTCGGGCGCGCTGCTGGGCGCCTCGTGGGACTGCGTGGCGCGCTTCGGCCGGTTCCTCGAGATCGGCAAGGTCGACCTCGAGGCCGGCCGCGGGCTCGAGATGACGCCCTTTGGCCGGTGCGCCGTCTACGCGGGCGTCGACATCCTGCAGCTCGGCCGCTACGACGGCGCCCTCATGCGCGACGCCCTGCTCAACAGCGTCCGCATCTGCCACGAGCGCAGCCTCGCCAGTGGCGGCGCGAAGAGGCCCGCCGTGCCCATCACCGTGTTCCCCATTGCCGACATGGAGCGCGCAATGCGCCAGATGCAAGGCGGGTCGCACATGGGCAAGCTCGTCCTGGTCCCGGGCGAGGGCGACATGGTGAGAGTCGTCTCGCGCCCGCAGCCCGTCTCGCTGGCCAACCCGGACGCGACATATCTCATCGTGGGCGGGCTGACGGGCATCGGGCAGGCCATTGCAGAGTGGATGATGGTGGAAAAGGGCGCGCAGAACCTCGTGCTCGCCTCGCGCAACGCGGCCTCGCACCCGGACGCGGGCAAGATGCACGAGATTGCCTGCAGGCGTGGTTGCAACCTGGCCATCCGCGACTGCGACATCGCGGATGAGCAGAGCCTGGTCGCACTGCTTGCCGAGTTCTCCTCTTCACCTTCGCTTCCACAAGAAGGGCAGGGAGAACCCCAAGCCAAGATGATGCCGCCGATCCGCGGCGTCGTCAACGCAGCCATGGTGCTCGACGACACGGTCTTTGAGCGCATGACCTACGCCCAATGGACCCGCGCCGTCCGCCCCAAGATCGCAGGCAGCTACAACCTCCACAAGCACCTCCCCTCCGACCTGTCCTTCTTCATCCTCCTCTCCTCCCTGACCGGCGTGGCGGGCCACACGTCCCAAGCCAACTACGCAGCAGGCAACACGTTCCAGGACGCACTAGCCCGGCACCGCACCGCGCACGGGCAGGCCGCGGTGTCGCTGGACCTGGGCGCCGTCGAGTCCGTGGGCTACATTGTCGAGCAGATGGAGAAGAACAAGGACGGCAGCGTCAGCGACAACGTGCGCGACCGCTTCGCGAGCAAGTTTGGCTTCAGCTCCATCGGGCTCGACGTCGTGCTGCGGCTCGTCGAGCAGGCTATCCGCGACCCGCTCCGCGCGAGGCCGGACTTGAGCCAGGTCATTGTCGGGCTGTCCGAGATTGCCGGCGGCAACAACAAGGATAAGAAGAAGAAGGAGAATGGTCGTCAGTCTGCAGAGCAGGACTACGCTGCCGCCAGACGTGATCGCAGATTCGGCACCCTGGCGCTCGCGGACCGGCGAGACTTTGACGGCGCGCAGAACAAGTCCTCATCTGCCGCGGGGGGCAAGAGCCGGAGCAGTAACCCCACGGCGGCCTTGATACAGGCTCTGACCAACCTGGCCAGTGGCGGTGACAACAACAACAGCAACAATGACAGCACGCTCATCATCAGCGCGGCAACAGCGCTCCTGACAAAAGCCATCGGCGCAAAGGTAGCCGAGATCTTCAACCTCATTCCTGCCCCCACCACCACCACCACCGCCCCTGGCGACAACGAAACAAATGGAGACGAGGCCACAGCAGAAGCAGCCGTAGTCGACCCTTCCCTCCCGCTCTCGCACTACGGCGTGGACTCGCTCGTGGCCGTGGAGCTGCGCAACTGGCTCGGCAACGCGGCAAAAGCTAAAGTCACCATCTTTGAGATCCTCCAGAGCGCGTCTATCGCCGAGTTTGCGGGCGTCGTGGCGGGGAAGAGCGATTTGGTCGCCGCGGCGGTGGCTGCCAGCGCCGGTAGTGGTGCTGCTGCGTAGAGATCGGGAGAGGGAGAGGAAAGAGAAGCCATGTATGACCAAGCTGCGAAAGTGAAAATCCCAGGGTGGAAACGTGTGGACATGTCTAAATGAGCAGAGGAACAGACCTGTACGGAAATCCGAAACGTGCTCCAAGGCAATCTATGGGATAACTGCGCTCACATGCCCCAATGTGTTCGTGATCAACGACATATCCTTCCCACCGACTAGGCACTCTTGAAGCTCAAGGGTTCCTATTTCCACTAGTCAAGTCAAGCAATGTCAAATGCAGATCACAGGCAGGCAGGATAGGATAACTCAAGCAAAGCTGGATCTATAGGAATGTCCTCGAACCAATGACCTGTTACGTTCTGGTCATCTTCTATCCTTCTCCTTTTGCCTCCGCTACTTTCAAGTACCTCAAGGTTTTCACCCGAGGGTAATGCTTCGTTACATGAACGCTTCTGCCCTATATCAGCTGTGATGGAAGCTGCCACTTCCACCGGCAATGCTGAGTGACATGTTGTAGCATGCTCTTTGCACATCGTATCCTGTAATCAACCTGTTGTCCTGACAAAGAGCACAGTGAAACGGTTGACAAAATAGTCCGGATTTTTTGTGAGCCGCCATGTGCCTCCCAAAGGGCCTCCCGCGGATGAATGACTTTTTGCAAAGCGGGCACGAGAGTGTGGGAGATGGGGACGCGCGGGCCTCGTGCCACAGCCGCAGCTCTTGTGGCACCATTGGAGCATTGCTCTTGCCGTGAAATGTCTCCACGTGATTGCTCCACGCCAGGGCGCCCTCGATTGTGCAGGCTGGGCGGCCGCAGCGTTGACACTCCGGACATGGAAATGGTTGAAGGAATGAGGTAGGTAGATGGCGCCGTTTATGGTGGCGAGAAAGGCTAGAGCGGTTTATACAAACCTCACGGCACAAAAGGCACGTGGAGGTTGGAGAATCCGAGGCTGTGATAGCCTTCACCACTATGCAGTCTTTGATATCGGAGCTGGGTAGCCCTGTTTCTTCATGAGTTGCTTCGCGAGAACGCCGTGACATATTGTTTCGAAGACAGCCGACAAGTAATGTTGCTAGCGACTGCTGCCTCTCATCGAGCTGAGCCAAGGCGTCTTCTTCCTCGCGTATGAAAACTCCGACCTGTGTCACTGGAGTCATCTGTGCTTTTCGAGAACTGCGAAGGGCATCAGTGGGGAGCCCGTGTCCACGCCTGCGGTCCACTTCTGTGAAATAGATCTCTCGGAGTTCTTCTACCCTCAGGTAGGTTAACTGGTCGATGACCCGCTGGATGGCTCCAGTAATCGACCTTTGCGCGTTCTTCTCGGTGGTCTCCCCGAGCTGACGGTATAAGCTCTGGATGTCTCTTCGCTGCTCCCATTCGATCAAGTCTCCAGGCAGAGGATCAACGGGAGCTCCCTCATCTCGAGTTAAGGAAGCATTGCTTAGCACCCGAAATAGCTTCTCATCACTAGGGTCGCCCTTGTTTCCGAATGTAATGTTAGACAAGTTTATTCCGAGGTGGCGAGGTTGATAGCTGTGCTCAAACATATCTGCTGAGTGTGATAGAATGTAGTTCCGTAAGGATGGCTGGAGCGCACCTATTGCTGGAGTGAGCAACCGTTCGCATAGAGTTCTTGAGTTGAGACCGAAAAGGAAGTGGTCATACCATTGAGTCGATTGGCTGCGCCGACCCTTATTGAATAGGGTCGAAGCTTCTATCTCAATCCCGCAACTAATAAGGTCCGATTCCAAATCTTGCCCATCAACTCCTGTGCCAATGGGATAATCTGCTTATCAAGAATTCCTTCCTTTAGAGGAAGTGGAAGATAGTCGACATTATCTAGGAGATGTGGCTCAAAGAGAAGCTACTCCATAGTCTAATACCCAGCCTCGAAGGCATCGTCCGCGATTGCACGAGCGACAAGTTGGCTCAGCAAACAGAAGACACGACATGGCACAAACGTGATACTGAACTCTATTCTGGTAAACAGATAGTACGTCAGTGCTTGAGCTAGATGGGAAAACGACTCGGTACTGACTTGTTGTCTTGGTTGCGTTGTATTCGCTTGCTGTGGATGATGAGAATATGCGCTACGAGCCTGGAATTCCTCCGGTCGTCCGGGTCTCTAACAAGAGAGAAACGGACCTGGCTGTATGGTAGCCCGAACAAAGAGGAGTTCCGAAAGCCAGTAATCCCGGCTAATAGCACGTAGACATGAAAGGCCACCCGCTTTGCAGGAGATATGTCGATGTCACCTGACCGAGTCCAAAGAGTGATGAGCCAGACCGCGATATCTTCCGCAGTGGCCTGTTGCTTCACAAACGTCTGTTCGAGAGTGAGTTTGTACTTCTCGGCCATCGGCCCTGCAATCCACTATACAAGCATAAGCATCAGTATAATACAGGATACATGGGGTTGCCAAAGGCTAACCGACGCTTACCCGTGAGATATCGGCTACTGGCCCTGTCTTGTCCTTCTCCTTGAACGCCAACCGCCACTTGCCCCGGTTCTCACGATCTGACTTGCGCTTTTTCAATAGCACAGTCTCGTCGGCTCCAACAACTAATCGTTTCCAAATCTCGTCGATCGTGATAGCACTTTTGACTACGCGCTTCCACTGCCGATCTTCTGGTCCGAGGCAAACCTCCCACCTCTCGGAATTCTTGACATACCATTGAAGGAACATCTTGCAATTGGATTTCGCAAGATCGTCGTCTAGGCACATGCCTAGCCATATGTCATCGGGATTGATCAGATCGGTCCGCTTCTTCTTCCTGTACGTCAAGAAAGAAGCCGGAAGCCTTTAACGATGTTACCGATAGTAGTAGGTAAGGCCTTCACTAGGGTCGCGATCTTCCGGTAAGAAAGACCGCTTAAAGAAGCGGTATAAATAGCGGCTTTTTTCTTAGGTGTGAAGTCTGCCCTAGGCGCGCGCCTTCGGCCTACGTCCTTGAGAAACGATTCCATAATAGCTTTAAAACCGCGGTTATGGTGGTGCAAAAGAAAAAGAGTTACGATTTCGACCATTGCGCGCGCGCGTTGCGTTCCGGTGGGGTGTCCAGATTCGGGTGGGCCCCGACTGCACGCAGGGTTTCCCCGCTCCCCGCATCTCGCTTGCCGAATTCGCTGCCCAGGTGTCTCCTAGTAAGTCAAAGCTATTCACGCTCTTCGGCCTCGTATGTAATTTTATCGCTAACGCCATCAACCAACAGTGACCCTCGTTGAAGTCGGTCAAGCCATGAGCCAATCCACTCAGGCTGGTGGAGGCAAGGCGCGCCGTGTTCTAGCCAGGCTGTCGGGTGTTTTCCCCTCGCGACGGGCCGTTCCTGATGAAGCTCCCGCACCAGCGGCACTACCACATACATTCAAGAGTCTTTGGCTCACAGCCAACAACGCCCCGCTGTGGAACAAAGCGCTGTCGAACTTAGCAGACGGATTGGAACCAACGGACAAGGACAGGTATGCAGAACTGCAGGGGACAGAGAACATGCGGCGGACATCTGCACACAAAAGCTTGGACGACCTCCTCAGCCTGGTCAGTGCAAGACCGGAGGAGAGGGCAGTCGTACAGAGGTTGAAGCGGTATCTCACAGTCGTCCGTGGGCCAGTAATGACTTTCGCTGCCCTGGATCCACACAAAGTTGCGCCGCTGGTCTGTGCTTGCGTCTTCTTCGCCATCGACGTAAGTATTCTCGAACTGAGCCTATCAGTCGGAAAGACACTGACCGCAAAGTGATATAGACTGCCTTCGACAACCTTTCTGACGAGGAAAAGGCAAAGATGCGAAACATCCTCTTCGAATGCACTATTGCTATCAACGAGTGGATATCTTTCGAGTCTTATTACCCAAAAAAGGCTCACCAAGCAATCCAGAATGAAGTGCGTTCATTAGAGGGTAGGCTCGTGGGCCAATACCTCCTGGCATTACGACTGCTGTGCGATGTGATGCTCTCGCGCAATGGCACGTGGGGTAAACGAGCAGGTCAGTACCTTCTGCCAATCGCAAGCCTTGACACTGACGATGATCTGGTGGGACAGGCGACAAAATCACGAACAAGATCCTTGAGTATGATGCCCGCTTGTCCGCCTTGAAGGACCACAAGATGAAATGGGCAAGCGACAAGAAGCTCATGGAAGAGAAACTTGCCAACGAGAAAGACCTCAAAGACGTACTTGATTGGTTTCGAGTTAAAGGTAGAATTGACCCCGAGCAGACCTTGAATGCTATTGAGACAAAGGTGACGTCTCGTCGAATCCATCAGGATTGCGCAAAGTGGATTCTGGAAGCCTCGAATTTCAAATCATGGTTCGGCTTTAGAGATCCTGGGCAAGGGGGCAATGCGGCTACCGAGCCTTTCCTCTGGGTCAAAGGTCCGTTGGGCACAGGCAAAACAACGATCATGTAAGAACCATCACCAACTCGTGAATGACTGGGGAGGGCGTGTCTACTAACACAGAAGTAGGTATCGCATGGCCTCGACACTACAGGCCATAGCCGAGAACTACCAATCCCCGGATGACGGGCCGACTGAGGGTGACTTGCCGCGCAACACGCTGCGAGTGATCACATACTTCTGCTCGAAGGGCGCGAACTACTCCATCATCATCCATGCCTTGGCCAGGAAGCTGGCTCTCCTGCCGGATCTCACGCTCGACAAACATGCATTGGAATTCCGCAGCTGGTATAGTCGCCCTGGGTACTGGGATGAACCCGAAGATGAAGCGATCGAAAGGTTTATAGAAAGAGTTCTGGAAGACCATGCGGATACGACCGACTTTGTCTTCCTCATCGACGCGCTGGACGAGATCGACGAAGCCAGCGGGCCACAAGGCTCTGGGACACTGCTTGACTTTTTGAGCACGCTCCTGAAAAAGGAAGAGATCAAGACTCTTCGCGTTGTGTGTTCGTCGCGAGATCACATGGCGGTCACAGCTCACATCCGCTGGAACCTTGTTCTTGACATCGACGTTCTCGCAGCTCCCAAGACTGAGATTGAAGCCTTCGTTGCCACAGAAATGAGCGCCCGACGAGATGCCGACAGGGAACGAACAGAGAATTTGGGTGTTACACAACCGCGCAGCGTCTTTTGTAAGTGCCTGCGTTTCTTTGTGCCACCTAGTACCATGGGCTAATGACTGCATAGTTCGTGAAGAGTTCAAACCGCTTCATGACGAACTCAAAGATGCACTGGTTCGGAAGGCTGATAACATGTGAGTCTGAACAGTATGGCAGCAACTAATAGTCCTGTCATGGACTGACCCAATACTGAAGGTTTCAATGGGTCGGGTTGTGGTTGGAAATCACCCTGCCGAACGACGAGCAGAATGTCACGCGGAACGAAGACTCCGCCCGGGAGTACATTGATGCAATCAAAAAGGCCTCAGACTTGCCAGCCGACCATCATAAGAAGCTTAAGGATGCTTACGAGCGACTCTGGAAGCTTGGAGCTCTAGCTAACTTGGAAAAGACCAGGAGAAAGCTCTTTCGCTTCATCTTGGCATCATCTAAGCCCATCCCTATCGAGGAGCTCAGCTCCTTCCTCCGAGTCCGGATCGGCGAGGGCAAAATTCAAGCACGCCATTTCGACAGCGAAGAGCTGGAGACACTCCTTGAAAACAGAGACGTCGAAAGGCTAGCCTCGAACTTCTTCATATTGGCTCAGGACAGATGGGTTTTCACCCACGCATCTGCGCGCAGCTTTGTGGTGAGAGAGATCCTAGCACCCGATATGCCAGCGTCGGAGGGAGCTCCAGCGTCCTACACACAACAGTCCGACCAAGAGCTTGAAGCTCGCGTTACTAAACACAGCCACGGAGTATTTGCAGAACTGTTCGTCGAGGTTATGCGCCGGGGCAATCACCCATACTGGCACGAGCATCCAGTCGACAGGGCCGCCAACCCGAATCTCTATCTAGTAAAATGCGGATTCGAACATTGTCAGTCGGCTGCGGATGAACAGTCCCTCTCCGACAGGGTCTGGAAACAAGTGGTGCAGGAGGTACTGCTCCCCCAGGCTGACACCGCGTTGTACTCGCCATTGAAAGGCTTCAACTTCGGCCGTGACGATTTCCGCGACGCTCCCTACTCGGCTGAGTACCATCATGATCAGTGGAGCGACACCTGCGTCGACAGCAGAAATGGGTTCTACTCATTCGCCCATGTCCTAGTCTGGCTGGGCATAATCCACAAAGACGACGTCGTGCCAAGCCCCACGACGAGCCCAGACGACACGGCTGAGAAGCAAACACAGAGGGAAGTCGCGCGGCGGTTTGCAGACTCGGCGCTCGATGTCGGCCGGAGAAAATACCACGCCGCTCATCTAGCTGCAGATTACAGAGACGCCGCCGCATTGGCATTCGCTCTGGAAGCCACCTACCACTATCGCAGCGGTGCAACGTCAGATCGGCGGCAGATCTGCAGGGACTTGCTTTTCAACCCGGTGCCCGAGTACAACGAGTCGTACCAAGCCGCGACAATGTTCGGCCAGGCAGTCGACGCGGAGATAAGGCTGGGAGACGACAGTTTCTCCCCCCTCATCGAGGCCCTTTTGCTCTTCGAGGCCAAGTACCTCGGTGAAGGCGCTACGGGGTCCGAGTCCCAGCTCGGAAAGGTCAATCAGTGGTCTATCCTTCCTGGAGAATGGGACCATAAGACGAAACGGTACCAGCCCAGCAAGACGTATAATCTCCTCACCTGGTCTATCCTCAAGATGGGGGAGCGGACCTTGTGTCGGCTCCTCAAACTGGCTGTCCCGGCTGTTGTGAGCGAGCCGAGTCCGGGCGGTCAAACTCCGATGGAGGTGGCGGAGTGGTATGGACGCGAGGATGTCATCAAGGTTTTGAAAGAGGACTGCAAGATGGAACAACAGAAACCGACATCGAGCGCAACGAACGTTCGGACCTAAGGTTACCTAGCGATGTATCGATCGGCTTCGCTGATGACGCTAGGTTATGTGGCTAACCATCTCGAATGAGGGGTCCTTCCAGCAGTAATTTTCCACGATGTTAGTTACATGCTATTCATGGCTTGAAGTTCAGCCCGGAAAGATGGAGCAAAGAAGGCAGGATGTGGAAGATTGGGGGGAAAAGAAACACACTCTATTCCTCGAGAGGGAAACATGTACTCTACTCAGTCTCTTCATCGTCTTTCTGCTCCATTTGCGCTTTCGCATATCAAGGCAACTTCCACACAATCTTCTCCCCCTTAATAGCCCTCTCCACAGTCTCCAGCGCATTCAACTCCTCGTTCTCCCTCCTTAGCTCCCCAGCCCGGACCTTATACCTCTCCTCACCCAACATCTTGTCCACCGCCCCGCGCACAACCTTGGGACTAGGCGTTTGCGTCTCCACGTTCACCGCGATCCCCGCCCTCGCAGCCCGAACACACACATCCTTCTTATCGAGCTCCGTGCCCGCCACTATCATCGGCACGCCCGCGTAAATCCCATGTAGAAACCAACCGAACCCGGCGTTGTTGATGAAGACGTCAGTGTAGGGAAGCACGTTCTCATAGGGAATGTAGTCGACCACCTTTGCGTTGGTTGGGATGCTAAAAGTCCGCGGGGAGCGCGGCGCCCTTAACGCCCAGCGTCGCGACGACGAAGAGGTCGTCGGGGTCCCTGAGCGCCTCGAGCGTAGGGACGATGAGGTCCGAGTACTCGATGTGCACAGTGCCCTGGACAACGAAGATCACCTTCTTCTCCTTGTCCTTTGAAGTAGTGGCGTGCTGCTCGATTTCAGACCACCAGATTGGCATCTCCACGTCCCTTCTCGGGGGATTGGGCAAGGTTCCGGCGTAGATGGCGTCGGAACATGGCAACTGACATCTCCGCCGGCGGCTCTTTGATATCTCCACGAGCACCTCGTATGCATCTGGTTGAACAATCGACATGATTCTATGGGTGAGCACCGATAGAGCGCTGCGCAAGACCAGACACGATTGAAGCCATTGACAGCCTCTCCCCAAAAGCTGCAGAGATTGAGACTAACCTGGCGGCTTAGCAGCTGCTTGCATCCGGCCTGATCTGCTTGTTCTCGGGTTGTGGACTATCAAAAAGTTTGAGCTTCGTGGCGAACAAAGCCATACTTTTCTTCCGAGTTAACTGGTGTGAAGTCAGCATGTTTTCGACTTCACATCTTATCTACTGAGAAGCTAGTCGCTGTATTTCGGATGTGAAGTGCAACGGAGGCAATGCATATGGTCTGCAGTTGCAGTGTCCTGCTGGTTCCGAAGCCACAAGTATTCTAAGGGCTATCTGGGGAGCCCGAGATGTACCCAGCGCCTCGCTGTTCATCTTGCGTTGCTATGGGGCCAGCTCCTTCCCGAAGGATACTCTCTAACGAAGCTTTTGTATTGTCAATCACTTGGCCGTCGTTGCTATTGTTTCTGACTTTTGCCATATCCTTCTTCCTGGGCCGTTCGTGCGGCTATCCTCTTACTACTCCGAAGTGTCTGCTCGTGATTGCCGTAGCGAGACGTCTTCGAGACTCTGGTCGATCAGTCATATGTCGGCAAAGCAGAGTGAGGATATACAGAATGACCAAGGCCTCGAGTTGCTTTCTGCCGGAATGATCCTTGATTCTCTACCCTATGTCGTATGGGCTCGAATATCGCGAGCTTCTTTGGCTTGATGATGTGCGATGGCAATGGGCCCGTCCGTGTCCGAGCCTCCGCTTTGACACCCAGGAAACGTTGCAAGTCATCCGACGCACGCTGCTGCAACGGTCTTGTTGTTCTCGACCTGTCTTGTAGCGTAAAAGGGGAAAAGGGGGGGGGGGGGGGGACGTGATGGAGGTAAATTGAATTGCGGAGTACTGGAGGCGAATGAAGGTAACCCCCTGTGTGGACGTGTCCGAGGCTGCGGCTAAATCAGGCCGGTTCGCTTTGGAGACCCTAACAGTCGTAGTGTCCGATCTGTCATGGCTCCGGCCTTGCCGGCCCAGTGGTGCAGCTTCTGGTAGCGCGTGATCCGCGACTCAGGAGTGACTTCGTTGTCCCTACCCGAGACGTGAATGTGACGTGCCCCGCCTAAACTTAGTCTCGCTGATTTGCACGCCCACCCATGCATGTCCCGAGGCACATGGAGCTAAGAATGGCTCCCGTGCCACATGCTCCACGCGCGACCCGCTAGCCATAATACTGTAGGCGGGTCGTTGGTCAATGCTCGTACGGTTCGCTGACTGCACCGCTTCGCTCAGCGGAAGAGGCTCGCCTCCTATTTTGAAGGTCGTTTCACTACGGAATTGATTTCAGGTCCGCTGCCGTTGCGGGGTTGGCGCAATAATCACGGCATAATAATCAGCCGATTTTGAACACCGAGGATACTTGGTCGGGGAAAACCGGACAGTTTAACTCAGCCGTAGGCCAGTGACGTTAGGGATGTTGCCCAATGTTATCGATCGAAACAGCGTTGCTTGCCAATGGCCGGTAGTTATCGTGCGCTTGCCAAGCCAACTGCCTCCCGATGAGAGCATAACTGACTCACTCGGACCCACTTTGCCACTGCCTCCTCAAGGAACACGCTGCTGCCTGAAGTTAAGGAAGTGGTCGGGGAGCGGCAACCTTTACTGACTTTTTCTTCCTTTCTAGCGTTTCTTAATATGACGCTAATCCCGAGGAGTGAAGAAGGCAGGCTTCCGGTTGTCGCGTTTGTGTTTCGTCGATGCGCTTGTCCTTCCAGAATCGGTAGCCACCCTCGCCTTAACCAACGAACTGCATTTATGAACTACGTCCAGTCCGCCTTCTAGCTGTTCTGCTGAAAGGAGTACACGCGCGGGCGAGAGCACCTTCCCTAGACCGGCTTGCTGTCGGCGCGATTCGAATAGCTCATCCTGCGGCCGGCAGTCGAAGAGGACTACGCTTACTGGATGGCTCGTCCGGATACGGCTGCTCTGGCGTGGGCAGCGACAGTGCTGGGCGGTGACGTGACCGTGGACCGCGGTCTGCGCGAAGGCGGGTCGCCCTGGCTGATCCGGGCGGCTGGCAAGCCTGCGGTGTTGCGCATTGCACCGCAGGCGAACTCGGGGGACGTGAGGACCGAGGTAGCCGCGATGCGGCATGCGGCGATGGCCGGTCTGCCAGTGCCGGAGGCCCTCGGTCACGATGATGGTACCACAACCGGATTCGCGCTCGCGCTGACTTCGTATCTGGCCGGGTCTAGCCGGATTCCGATAGAACCTGATGGCAAGCGACTGCGGACGCTGGGCGCCGCTGCCGCGCGGATCAGCGCTGCGGATGTTCCTTCTCTGGCGACCTTGCCGCCACGGACTGGACCAATCGGAGACGTGGACTGGGCTGGATTGCGGCGAAAGCATGGCGCCTCAACAGTGCTATGGAGGGCAACGGAGGCAGTTGAGCGCGTCAGGCCTGCCGACACTCGGGTGGTGTTCGTACATGGCGATCTGTGGCATGGCAACACGCTGTGGGACGGTATCAAGCTGATTGCGATTCTCGATTGGGACGCTTCCGGAACTGGCTCCCCGGGAATTGACCTGGGGTCGCTCCGCTTCGATGCTGCCCTTTGCTACGGCCCGTCCGCTGCGGCGGAGGTCCTGTCCGGATGGGAAGAGGAAGCCGGGCGTCCCGCACTGGACGTGGCGTACTGGGACGCGGTGGCGGCCCTCGCCACCCCGCCTGATATGGGCTGGGTTCAGCCGGCGATGGCGGACCAGGGCCGTCCTGACCTGACGGCCGAACTGCTTACCGAACGGCGCGAGGAGTTCCTTGACCAGGCCCTGGGGGAGCTGGAGCAGTGAGGGCTCTGGTATGAAGTGATTCGGCCTACATGTAGTCCTTAATGTTACCACTCTCCACCTCTTCAAAATGATTACTGCCGAACATGTAGAGAAATAACAAATAAACGTACCCATCTTAAAGTCCTTCGGCGTTGAAAGTCCGTCGCCATTAATTGGTAGGTAACTATTAAGGTTTTCGGAGTATGCGTACCTTTGGGTTTAAGCAAATTCCATACCAAGGAAACCATTAGCAAGCCAAACTCTCTCAAATGGCTATATATAATACCATCTCAGGCGAGATGGGACGAAAAGATCAGCACATCTGTTGGCTCGTATTTTCTCATAATAGTTCACTATAATCACGCTTTTCAAACGAAATTTCTCTACATTAGCGGGATATCTGGGTAGGAAGGGAGAAAACATCTTGCTCGTAACTCTTTTGTAAGCGCACGTAAGAGAATCGAAGAACATTCGAAGGAACATGCGGTTCGGCTGTCGCGGAGGTATATGAGAAGGTCATGAAGGACGGTAATGACATTCTTGATCGGCTCTTGCCTTAGTTGATCAATTCTATCTGCTATATTTGTCAGCTCTACACAGGAACTTGTCACATAAGTTATAAGGTCCTTACCAACAACAATCGGTGGTATTGGCAAGCCCAAGACTTGTAAGGGTCCTCGGCCCTCCGTAAGGACAATTTTTGGCGTATGCTTGAAAATGTCCGCTTGGGAGAACACGTAAGAAACAAGTAGCCACAAGATGGGGTCTCTGTTGTGATTATTTTTCAGAATTTCACCCTCGCCCTGTGACCATTGCCTTGTGACCATTACCCTGTCGCCCTTGCCTTGCCCTGTCCCACCATTGCTATCCCGACACTATTGCTCGAATACTACACGCCCACGGTGCTCCGCCATGTTCTGCACGCAATTGTCCACAATCTAAAGGCACGAATCCGATGCTCAACAACCTAATGCATTCTTAACAGCTCCGTGCATGGACGGCTCGACCCAAGGTGCCCCACAATCGATCAGCTGCGCTTCCATTTCGAGTCTCTGGCAGACCGCTAGGATATTGGGATCAAGGGAACTCCGAACTCAGCTTGCTATCATTTGAACAGAAGTTTCGCTGATTTTATTGAATTTCTTGCTAGAAACAGTTAGTAACCCTTGCTAGAGCCTTCACTAGAAGACTCAAACTACACCCTCTACTTCGCCGGTGTATATCATGAGCAAGAATGGATGCTCGTACGCAGGCCATGTCCATCGTTTAGTAGTTCGCTTTGGCTCAAACGCTCTGCGCCTATATTAACTTGGCTGCTTGCTACTTGGATCCGACTTCTATAATAGGGTGACGACTTTATTCAGAGCGAGAGTAGCATTCTTCTGCTTCCGCTCTTCCTCGCCCATCATCAGGTCCTTCTTGCGTTCGGATTGGATGATTTTTTCAAGAGACGCGAACACATTAAGTAAGCGGAGGTGAGCCATCCTACCAAACACACCACCGCTATCAATGGCCGTCCCAACAGCTGCAAAGGCTTGTTCTACTCGTCATTACTGGGTATGCTTACTGGAAGTGCAGTAGCCTTAATTAATTAGATCCAGCTAGCTAGGATAGAGGAGAAATCCTGAATTATTGTGTCTCCGGGGACTAGGGGGATGATTTGCTAAGCTAGCCACTAAAGATGCGCGGTTAGTTGTGCATTTTGCTCCGGAAAGAGTGAAGACATGTTAGCATCGTGCGTTGTTGTTATCTTGTGAATACCACCCAATTGAAAAACTCTTGCCACGGGGGAAAATGTGTATACCAGATATCACATAGTTATATAAGACTTCTTTCAGGCGTACTACAGACTGGAAGCTATGTTAACAGTGAAATGAAAACCGAAAATGGTCTCTACAAGCTAATTCAGGATCGCGCCCACAGACCATAGCCAGGGCGCCGCTAGCTTGGAAACGCTCGGATCACTCTAATTAGTGGTCCCATTTCCCCGATCAGTATTCAGCGGCTAATAGTTGCTTTCGTCGCCCTAGCGCGAATATGGACCCTAGCGGCGGCTCTCAAAGTTCGACTAGCTTTAGTTTCCTGCTCAACTGATTTCAGCTTCTTGTTCAAGTAGCCTAATCTCTACGCACACTGATTCCGTGCCGCACTGCGGTTGATTTACAATTCATATTCACAATAACGGCGTCGTTATAACTTGCGGGTTGCGTACGGACTATCATATACCCCCTCTTGCCCGCTTACACACGCAGTTTCTCGGTTAAGGTATGACCGATTCCAGTAACCTTACTGGAAGCAACTATTGCTATAAATACATTATAGGTCATTATCAAAGTCGCCAACAAGTGGAGCAAACTGGAAGTACATAGAGAAAGGGGCGGGTGGGGGTTCTGGGGCAGGTCTTAGTTAAGAAGGTCCTTCAAGTGCGTTTCAGCTGCGGGATATAGCAACGAGCCAGCCTGGCCCATAGCCCGCGAGGCGGTGCCTCCGCTTATTCAGCCATGAAGAGCTTGGATTAGGGCTTGAGCATACAAGTTAGGCTTGAGAAACTCTTTCTTACACTATTCGATCATTACTCGCACACGATTATTAGTTACAACTATTAAAAAATATCCATTACTTGATACTACGAGCGCTCCACCGCCAACTCCACGACTAGCATATATTCGTAACTATCACATGCCTACCCCTGCCACGGATTGAGATCGTAATACAAATCATGAGAACATTTCGAAAGCCAACTAGGGTCAAGGCCTCTCGAAAAACATATCAGCGGTTGTATCCGATCCCACCTTGGATGTGAAAGACACTCCAGGAATACCAGAGGACAGCCTATGCCGAAGCTTTGCAGTTTATGAAGCGGTTTATCAATTAGTGTTAATAAGGAAGTTGTGAGAACTGTGAGGTAACTGATTTTTTGTGCTTGACCATTCAAGAAGTGGGGATCTGGTCTTGAGTCTCATCTGGTACGAGGTAGCTAGTTCTCTAGCGCGTCCATATTTATACCTTGCAACAAGAGAGCACTAACTTCTGCCGCAGGGCTCGCACTGGTATATGAGCGGCTTCCGTCCGAATCAGGCTCGGGGTGCTAGTACTTCGACCCTGTGCTCTGCCAGACGAACCTGATCTCTGCCTTGTTGGAAGGGCCTCTTTCAGGTCATAGGATCCCTTGCGGAACCATTACCAGATGCCTTCAGCTGGATCGGTACACGTAACTCTCTGCTAAGCTCTGGGGCTGTCGCTAATATAATAAGGGCCTTCGCCACGCAGTCGCTGACATGCTCCAGATATACGGTATCGACCGTGCACACCTCAGTGCCTCTCTCATTCTCTTAGAGGGGCATGTCATGTCCTATAAATGGTCTATCTATGTAGTAGATCCGTCTCATTGCAGCCCCCTTTATCCCCCAAGGTTCAGTCCACTCTCAGCCGTGGATTTGCCACTACCATTCGGAACCCTTCGCAAATCAACCTAGCTTCTAAGGCTGGAGGGTGATGGCAGTGTTGACCCGGTCTTTGTACTCTACATGGAGCAACATACAGTCTCTTAACCTGCCGCCGCCCCGATTGCCGACGCGCCATCTCGTCACAGGGAGTCCAGGTGACTGCACACCTCTGGACGCTGGGATTTACGGAGCATATACGCAAGGATTCCGCAGTCCCAGAGATGTACATCTACCGACTTATAGTTCCTGTCCCTACTTTTGGCTTCTGCACGCACGTCACCAAAAGAGAGCATGGCGGCTATGCCGGAGATAGGAAGTGATTGGCCAACCATTGTGGTAAGCTCCCTTGTAGCTAGTTAGCGATACTTAGCGCCATGACATGGTCGCTTACGCGCTGTGTAGATGAATTAACCATATTGCGGAATAGCGATGATTGCTGAGGGTGCTTCTGCTGACTTAAATGACCAGGAACCGCATCGGTAGCATTCTTACGGGACATTCTGCGATACACCAGTGCCCAGAGAGTCCCTAGCCTACACGGCATCACGAGAAACACAGCTTTCGCGCCGCAAGAATGCCAACTCAAGCTCTGGGGATAGCGACGATGGCGCAGGAGAAGATTTCATACCATTCTCGAACCTCAACAACGAGCCCGTCCTCTCTGATGGCAACAGCTTGCAGAGCACAACAGCCAATCTCGTTAACAAGGCCATCATATCCTCAACGTGATCATCTCCTCCATCTGCCTCGTACTCTGGAGTATCCGACTCCTTGGACCCTATATAGGTAGACGAGGCTAGAGAGATATCGTCGTACTAGCAACTACATCTACCATATTAGAGCTGCCTATAGCCTCCCATGTTTTCTGTTCTTCCTCCCAATTCAGATACAGCCGACCAGCCTTCTATTTGAGAGAATAAGAGGGACGCCGGGACATACAGGGATCTTGCCGGACATATGGGGCCGGTGGACATAGGATTTGTCTCAATTCTGGGGTGTAACAATAAGAGGTGGTCAGCGCTCAGATTCCCTCGCCAAGGACAGACTTATTGGACGTCTATGAATTGGTTGATTTATTATTGTATCCGTCTCTGCAGAGAATCGACTATTCAGTTCGCTCTCAGCTCATTTAAGAGGACGAAGTAATTCAATTACATTCACTCTATACGTTATTCAGTACTAGCTGTCCACTGGTGCTGAGTCTCTATCAAAGGTTACAGGGCTACGGGAGCTCAATTTGTTCCGTCCTTCAATTACCTAGCAGTACTTATTTGCGATGAAGAATATATCGGATAGTCAAGTGCGAGGGATTGTAAATAACGTATTCGTTAAATTTTCAATCGCCTCACGGGTTCGATGCGCGATACGGAATCCGAGTATCGGGCTAGAATAATAACGAAAACCGTCAGCGTTTCAAGTAGTTAGATCCAGCCGCGACTCGGCTGCGGCTGTGTGACATCCTATGTAACTACTACCCCTATACAAATAAGACAGAGAGACAGAATGACGATATAATAAGGAGCGTGTTCTGATCGGTGCTATCATATATTCCCAGACGATCCGACTGAAAATGGCTAAAAGAAGGTGGTGGCCAAGTGCTCCGACGCCTTGCACAGGCCGCTCAGGGCGTGACCCAGCCCTTTCTCGTGTGCTTCCTAGTACATCATCATGACTATCAAATGGCGTTCTGGTTCTTGCGCAGCTCAAACACGCGAAGCGCCTCCTCAGCAGCCTTGACGCCAGAGAGCGCCATAGCCCCAAAGGTAGGTCCCATGCGATTCGCGCCGTCAACCTCACTGAGCTCCATACCGCCGACAATCAAGCCCGGCACAATCTCGCGCGTGCCTTTGACAATGGCGTCCTCGGCTGCGTTCATGTCGAGGCCACGCATGCCGCCCAGCCGCTCGACGGCCTGCATGGTCACGAGTCTCTTGACGGAGAAGGCACCGAAGGGCCCATCATGGCCCGTTGTACTGATGACCACTGGGGCATTGATGGTGTTGGGGTCCATGCACGACTCTGTTGCGTTGGTCAGCTTCTCGACGCTCTGGAGATTGCTCCGCTGTTGTTTCATGGACAACAGGGTAACGAGTGACACGCCCACAGAACATACGGTCATCATGGTGCATGGACACGAGGGTCCAGTTCGTGACTACGCCCGCGATGCGGACCCCGCCTGGAGCGCTCTCGTCACGGCGGGTGATCAGGTCTTCGACGGTCGTGGCGTTGAAGAGCTTGACGTTGGGGAACGCCAGCACCTTGGACAGCAGGGTCGAGGTGAAGAGGGCGGCGTGCTTGACAACCACATAGGACCCCTCGTCCTCGTACGGCACGCCTATCTCGGCGAGGAACTTGTGCGCAGGCTTGCGCATCACCATGGCGCTGAAGAGCTGGCCGCCCAGCCAGGCTCCGCCTCCGGGCGCCACGCCGGCCTCGACAATGGCGATCTTGAGGTCACCGCGCGCCTTGGCCAGCACATAGGCCGTGCTGAGACCGCACGAGCCAGCGCCCACAATGACAATGTCGGACTCGGCAAAGGCGTCCAGATCGGCAAAGTAGCGCCGGGTCATGGCTCGGGACACCTGCGATTCGCGGATCGGCTCGAAGGAGAAGCCCTCCCACTTCCCGATGGCGTCGTCACCGGCCTTCTCAAAGGCCGGCGCACCCTCCTGGGTGCCAGCGCGAGGCAGCTTGCCAACCTCAATCGCGCCGTCATGCGGGAGGCTAACGGGCTCGAACATGTCAGAGACAACAGAAGGCGCCATTGTGCAATGGTAGTAAGTGAAGGATCAATAGATCCGCGATTCTGAAACCAGGTTAGTGCCGCTGGTCGCGAAAGACACAAGGGGTAGGGGGGAACAAAGGGCCATGATCCTTTCGCTGGTATTACCACAGATCAAGTTGCACGCCGTATAATCTCAGAACTCGCTCTGGTCATCGCCTGATCTGGATGCCGCACGTTGGCCATCTCCACCAACAGCAAGTTTATTCCGCCCTAATAGAGATGCAGCTTGCTGGTGGGGAGATGGAACACGGCATACATACGCAGATCCAGCTCGCAGTGCTCGAACACCGGCTCATGGCTTGCCTTGCTTCATCATTACCTATGACGAGTCCTCGACGCGGGCAGGACAGCAATCTGTGGACCACCTCTGCGGAATCCGGATCCATGGTTGCCTTGGCTGCCTCATCCTAAAGATGATGACGAGCAGGGAGAGGCGTACCGGCTAGACGATTCGTACCTGCGTGTTGGAAGATGTCAGTGTCTACTCGGACAAGGGGTAAAGATGATGCGCAACCGCTGGATCTCTGGGGCTGGAAGGGAAAGATGCCATGCAGGCTTTACCAACTTGGTTAATAAGAAGCTTTCTTCGAATCATGTTACGAAAGGATAGAGCATCCGAGCGGGGGAGGGATTTCCGTCCCATTCTTATACGTGTCGCTTAGTAACGGCCTAAGCTATCTGCTACAGCGAAGTCGGGCCCCAGCTGCACACAACGATGCGGGGTGAAGACACGCCAGCCCCCGACTTGCGGGGGCGATGAGCGCATTGTTGCGTCACATTGAGGAGTGCTACAGACATTCTCATTGGACGAACACAGTCGTAGACTACTACACGAGATGCGATGACGATGAGTCAGCCTGAGTATGTGTCTGAATGAATGCTCTGCCAACCGTCGCAAGAGCAGCCGTGTGAGCATTATTTGGCCGAATCATCACGGTGCTGTTTCCGTTAGAGGGATGCAGGCTTAGCGTGCACGTTGATTACCATGACGGCGGTAATCCAAGTCCACGGTAGCCTTCTCTCAAGCACCGCTACCACCATCAGACATCTCGCGCAATGGTGGCGTCAAGGCTTTGTGCCTGCTGAGTACAATACGCGAAGAGGTCTAAATATGCTAACAATGACAGAGGGTGACCTCTGTCGCCAGCGGCCTGCGTGAACTCGGCACGGCGTTTCTAGGTATAGGAATGATTCTAGATCTATATAATTCTATAAGTCGTCTTCTTCGGTAGAGCCTTTTTGTTAAGCGTCTGAAACCCCTGGAGCGAGTGCCCTCGTATATTTGCAAACCCAACCATCGTATAATAAACATTTTTAACATCCGAATCAGAACACCCATCTTCGGCTTGAGAAATTGCGCCGTCTTGGGGACTTGTCGGGACACTTGCCTCCTCCGCGCTTTGACGCACGCCACGTTCCTGTTTCCCCATCCTGCGAAGGATTAGAGGATACCGTGCCCCTCTCAGGACTACTATCTCATCACCAGTCCTGATATCCGTAACGCCTTCGAGGCCCATGCCGACGAACCCATGGCGTGTGGTCAGCACTGTCTTGCCACGGAAGGCGGTTTCGAAGCCCTTGCGGACGACCGCGGATGTCGGCTGCCCGTGCCGTGGGAAGCTCGTCTTGAGGGATTCGGGGATGGAGTCGATGAAATTGGCAATCCATCGTTTCATTATGGCTTCGCCTTCGGTCGTGGTTATCGTGTTGTCGGCTTCGCCGGGAGGATGCTCAGTCCTTCTGCTGACATCCTTTCCTGTTGATGCTAGACTACGATCCGTCTTTGCCGCGGTGGCTTGATCACTAGAGGTATCCAGTCGCTTGTCTGCATGGATTGACAGGCCAGCAAGTGTAACCCCGTTGGCTCGGGCGACTGGGTGGTCGAATGGGTCGAAAAGCCCTTCTGACACCGTTAATGGCGCTGTGACGGATCCCGCTTGCTCCAAATCTCTGTGAAAGTCTACGAGCTTGGCAGCCAGTGCTTGGAGAGGCCGAGTGCCTGGCCCGGGATCAAAGTCAGCCACAAGACCTTGTGCCCGGGTCTGACTCGTGCTGCCCTCAAGCGAGGCCTTTGCACGTCTGCGGACTTCAAGCGCCGTTGCGAGGACGATTCTCGCCCTCAGCCGGACCTCCTGTTCGCAGGCTGCATCAACAACCGCATTTTGTACCACGCTCAAGTCTGTCTCGAAGCCCGGCAGTCGCATGCCATCGCCGAAGCTGCGGTTCTCGATACAATCTTCCCATACTGCAACTGACAAGGCCAGACTCCGCAGCTGCTCTTGAAAGCTAAGGATCTCGTCTCGGGGAAGCTCATAGTCGCGGCTAGGGAGAGCGAGGGCTTCGAGGCTCTGTCGAAGATTTTCGAAATCAAAGAGTGCTGGTCCGACGAATGCGGCTTCTTGCGAATTCTTCACGACAACAAACTGCAACATGATCAGACGGTATTTTATCGACTGCCATGCCTGAGTCCAGCCCTCGTCGCTCTCTGGCATCTTCTCTGAGGTTCCTTTGGGCAGCGCGTGCTCCTCAAGCTGGTTGTTGACGTACTCCAGCACCGGGCCGAAGGCAATGTTCATGGCATCGACGATGGAGCTTGTGTCGAGGCCGAGGACGTCAGCTATTGACATTGTCCTGACGGGCACGCAGTCTGCCCACCAGCACAACGAGTTCGTATTCTGCTTGTTACGCAGGAGATGGGGCATATTGTCGCGCTGCATACCGGGAGGGTGGATGGAGGACTCCTGGTGCATCTTGTGCAATTCGCAGAGGAAGGGAGACATGCTCTTCTGCTGCGTACGAGACGGGAGCACCGCGTGGAGACAATCTGCCTGCCATATCTTGGACGCCATCTGTGGCCATGAGTCATCTTCGTCGAGGCAGACTACGTCCTCGACCACGTCATAGGCGTAACCCTCAATCGCCAAGATTCCACCGTGAATAGCGACAACCTCATCCGGACTGCCACCTTGAGTGGCCGAGCCCTCATAGTCCATAGTCTCTGCCGGGCGGGAAAAGTCCGGCACCCAGGACGGCGCAGGTTGTGGCAATTTGTATGGGTACCAGCAGTAGATGTCCACGCAGTTGTCCATGACGAGAACCCACGCAGATAGCTCCTCAAAGACACGCCGATGACTTAGCTTATAGTTGGGATAAAAGGCTCGCTGCGCGACGGGATCGAGAAACACCCGCATGCCGTAAATGCGGTCCCGTGCATCAGTGCAGCACAGCAGCGCACTCTCCCTGAGCAATGTAGACGGGGTCTGGAACCCGTGTGAACTCTTCCGCAGCAGCTCGTTGCCTCGGTTTCCGACGACTGTCTGGATGCCCTTCAGCTGCCTCAGGACCCCGCGGAGTGGGACACTCATATGTGTGTCCATGATCTCGAGATGCTGGAACGGCAAGAGTCGTTTCGATGCTTCTTCGTAAAGCATTGTAGTGTCTAGCAGGAAGTTCAGCAATGAGAAGCTCAATCGACCGAGAACAAACGTCGGGTCATGAGAAGCCATCGCGTGCTCTTGCTGCACCCACACGCGTCGCCACCAGGGACGGAAACACAGGTCAAGATAACCCGCAACAACATCTCCGCTCTGCAGAGACAGCCGATTCAGAATATCAGAGAACGATTCCCGAGGTTGCCGTGCCCGGCTGACTAATTCGACCAGACTGTCCGTGTGCGGGCCTTCATCACCCAGATAGATGCACAATGCTGTCGCTTGTCGATAGATGTGTGTCATGAGCCCGACCTGGTAAGACTTCTCATCGTCGTCACCTTGGTTGATGCACAAGGCGTCAACCCACAATGTGATTGGTTCATGTAACGATCTGAGAGATATGAGGGCGTGATGGAGGTTTTCCGTGATGGCCATGTTCCGCGTTCCCAGGCGGATCGAGAAAGAATCGCCTGGCCCGCTTGGTGCGCCCCAGACGTAGGAAAGCGCTGTGAAAGGACTTGAGATTGTTGTCTCTAGATCGTGCACCTCCAGCGAGCCTTCGAGGCCGGCGTCTCTGAGTCCTGGGAAGAGACGTAGAACCCTGATTGACTTGCCATCATCCGCGAGTGGAATGCTGGCATAGAGCAACTTTCTGGCATCCCGTGCTTCCTGCGTTTCTTCTTGTGCTTCCCAGGCATTCGTAGTAAGTTGCTTTACTTGTGAAGTAGGCGAGAGTGCCAGCTCGATAATCGCGGTTGCTTGTCGAAAGACGTCGCCGGGACCTTCGGCGATGCTGTTCGTGCCTGGCGATACTGCGCGTCGAGTGTGAAGCGGAACTAGAAAAGTCATCAGTATCCTTGCTAGCAGCACCTTGTGCTCGGAGACGAACCGCTTATCGCGAAAAAGTGGTCTAAAAGCCTCGAGGCTCGTGGTATCGCCCATGCGCTGCGGTATTGCGTTACATCCTTCACAAGGAGCTCTGCACGCGCCAGAAGACTGAGTCCTTGGTTTGCGATGTTGTTACTCTGGTAGTTAATGGGTGCTTCCTCATAGTCCTGCTTCATTGAATCGTCAGGATCCAAGGCATGAATGCTTTGTGGATTTGGGCGTTCTTTCTCCGAGTATGTTCGAATCAGACTCGACAACCACATTTCAAGAGATGTCACATTTTCGCGATGCGTGGGTGAAGCCTTTGGGCCTCCGACCACAAAGAATGAGTGGTTAATGCAAGACTCGCGCACGCCAGCCTTGGACAGCTGCAGTCCCGACTTGAGTGCGCTGTGACAGCTTGCACAGAGGTCTTTGTCCCAGCAAGATTGGCAAGTGAAAATGTGCGGCTGCTCAGATGCGACGGCCACACATCCATCGCAGTTGATCGTGGTTTCTGCGGCGCGAGGGCCGCCTACAGCTTCCCATGGCCTCTCGCAGGCGATTCTGGCGTTTGCAATATCACCGATAAAGAGGAGAGGACTGAAGAGAATCCTCGAGTTGCGTTCGAGAAGCAGTCGAGGTTGCTCAAGAACAAGCTCAGCAATTCTGACGATGCAGTCTTTTCTTGACAGGCCAGCGTCACCAGAAATGTCTAGCCAGCAAAGCCCTGTCAAAGCCTGGCCGAGTAAGAAGCCAACCTCGACTTGGGCGGCTTCAGGATCAGCGGTTGATTCGCGGGCTCTGTTGTACTGCTCCTCGGCTTGCTTGAGTGCCCTCTTCAGAAACATCTCGGCATCTGCAGGCATGTCGGCGATAAGGCATTGCTGTCCTAGCTGGAAATTGCACCAAGCCGCGAACCCAGTCGCCGCTGGATCTGCCCTGGCGGCGGGTGCGAGGACGCTTGTGAGGAGTTGTCTGGCGGTAACCTCGTCGCTCTGCTGAGCACAGCACACGAAGAGATCGAAATATGCCGACAAGGCCAGAGGGTGACGTCTGCCGCCAGCGGCCTGCGTGAACTCGGCACGGCGTTCCAGAATGGGTCTGGCTTTGTCGAGTTGACCGCTTGTCATGTGAATCCAGGCAAGCGAGCGGAGAATGGAGGATTTGGTGCGCAGGAGACTAGAGTTGTGGGTGTTGCCATTGATGGTATCAAGTGCGGTCTGAAATGAAATCAGTGCCATGTCGTATGCCTTCATTGATACGAGTCGCTCGCCCAAGCTGATGGCAGCGTACACCTGGACGGCCAGACCGGACGCGTCCGCCGCCAGGGCCCGGTGGCCATCCATGATAGTCGACAGTTGGTGCGCCAGAACTGAAGCGGTGGTCGATATTGCTACCCGAACATGGCGATGAATGATCTCTGCTCTTGGCCTGCCGGGGGAAGTCAGCAACGGAAAGTATGGTCGCACGTCGCGAGAGAACAGAGCTGGACAAGTGCTGCTGCGCTGGGCGGGGTCACTCTTAGCTGACGTGGTCTCCCGCACAGCCGCAGCCACATGACTCCTCACACGTCCAAGTGCACAACTCTCAAGGCCATCCGATATTCTCGAAGCCTGAAAGTAGTTGTAGACATCTTGTAGACACAATGGGCCAAAAATGGCGATGAAAAAACAAAGATGGTTCATATAACACCGGGGATTTGCTGGGCGTCACTCAATACTAGTCCGGCGGTATCGAGCTTGTATTCCAGGGGAGCGGTCGAGGCCCTCGATTTTCTCGGTCTTATGGATGTGTGAGCTTGCGGGAGACTTGAACACTGTAAGTTAAGGTGTTGCAACTTGTCATTCCGATCGTCTTTTGGCGCATCTGTGTTGTGCTGGTCGACTTGTGGCGGCTGAGTAAGGAGTCCGCGCACGGCCCTTGACTATGGCCCCACACTCGGCACTGTAGCGCGCTACCGCCTGGGATGATGGGCAAGGTTTTGCCGAGCCTGATTTGAGGGGGAGCAAGCCACGTCAACAGTGATCTAATAACGCAGAACTTGTGAGGGAATCTCTGATTATGGCATCGTTAGCGAGGTGTGAGCAAAAACGAGTGCAGAAGTGCAAGGATGCAATGGGGTGTAATATCGAGTCGTATTAGTGAAGGCGAAAAATAGCGATGTCTACATTTATACCATGGGAAAACGTTGCTATGTCTATGTAGTACTCTATGAACAGACCCCTGGTCAGACCGTCCCGCACTGCCCTCACATAGTGCCAAGTTTTCTACGTGTAGCTACCGCGGCGGCGGTTCGCCTACCCTCAGGGCCCTCCGGCAGGCTTTATCTTCCAAACCGGGGCCGACCGGTTAACGGCATCAAACCGCGGCTTAACGACTAGGATTGAATGGGAATTACTAAGGCCGACAATTCTTTATCGCCGCGCTAGGCAGGGCTGGCATGGAACGCCGAATGAGCTTCACGTTGCTTATTCATCGCAGACAGGCCACCTCGTTCTCGTCCAAAGGGAACGTTCAAACACGGGGCACTACGACAGACTCAATACACACTGTGCTGTGTGCGAGGTTTTCATGCACGTGAAACTCTAAAACGGAATGTCCATACCGCCGAACCCTCTATCTCGACGTAACATACACGCGGCGGCTACTCACTATTGCGACTAATGCTCTTCGCCACCCAAGACTGCCGTCAGCGCCGTGAATCATCATCTCAGGTAGATTCCCTTCCGCCGCCCGAGACAGCCTTACCACAATGCAGCACCATCAAGCCTCAACCACGATGGAAACCGGCATCGAGAACAAACCCACAGAAGTGCGCGCCAGGCGAAGCAACTCGCTACCGTTACCAGTGACGAGAATGGAGCACCAGACTCAGCAGGAACAGCTTGCCCGGATTGCAGAATCTCACGTCAACGTGGGTCAGTTCGCAGGTCGTCTAGGCGGCAATGGAGGTGGCATCCTCCCAGACACGGACTCCTCCAAGGAGCTGCTCGAACGTGTCCCGGACGCGGCGCCCTTGATGACCTTTGCGCAGCAGTTCGATTTGCGCCCATTCAGGACGCCGGAGTTGTGGAAGGCGGCTCTCATGGAGGGTGTGGGTAAGTTCTAATGCCCATCTTTCCCACGATCAGTAATGAGATCAATGCCCTGCCATAGGTCTAAGGAGAAGGGTGACATGCTAAGTCAAACCCATATAACAGGCACGACAATGTTCGTCTGGATCACAATCTACTCCAATTCCTCCCCCCTCACCGAACCCTACGGTCCCACCGCGCAACTCGGCGTTTTCAACACTGCCAGCTTTCTCGGCCCCCTGGTCGGGAGCTTCCTAATCTTCGTCTACCTCACCCTCTTCATCTTCTGCTTTGGCGGTGTAACAGGCGCCCATCTAAACCCCACTCTGACATTCGCCACATTCTTCGCCCGTCTCTCCTCCTTCCCACGCACAGTCCTCTACGTCGCCTTCCAGACCGCTGGCGGCGCGCTGGGGGGTGTCCTAGCCCGCTTGAGTATTGGGACACGAGACTTCAAGGCTGGAGGATGTTATCTGTTTCCAGACCAGATTGACACGGGGGATGCGTTTGTCATTGAGTTTATGGCTACGTTGCTATTGTTGTTCTTTGCGTTCGGGGTGGGCATTGATCCGAGGCAGAGGGAGATTGTTGGGCCGACGCTGGGGCCGTTCTTGGTAGGTATGGCGGTGGGAAGTGTGTCGTTGGGCAGTGCGTTCGCGAGGGTTGGGTTTGGGGGTGCGAGCACGAATCCGGCGCGGTGTTTTGGCGTGTTTGTTGGGAGTCATTTTCCGAGGTGGCATTGGATAAATTGGTAAGTCCATGTGCTTGACACTTTCCCGCGGTATGCGCTGTGCTTTTTTGAAAAGGTGGAATATGATGCTAAGTCGGTATGCCCGAGATAGGATCGCTGATATTGCGGCTGGCATTGTCCACGCCGTGTTCTATCATATTGTTCCTCCGTGGAATACAGCACCGCAGTGAATCACTTGCCGAGGCTCACGCTCAGAGGAGTAGGGTTGTGGTGGATTGAGGGGAAGGATGTGTTATTCAGTAACCAATATTCGAGAACAACCTGCATTCTGGCCAAGATATAATCACAGCTCTGTAAAGAATTCCATTGGGATGAAGCCAAAGACTGAGCTTAGCAACGCTAACAGTACAAAGTTCCAACAATCTCAATCGCACGCAGCGCAGGGACCATAACGTCGATCGAGCAAAGTACCCTTCAAGGATTGTAACAGTATCTCTTGTTAATCAAGGCTTCATCCCGAGATATTAGACTCTACCGTACTGCTGTCCCCAGTTGGTCTTACACAGATTGTATTATCTGGTGAGCTCTCAGAGTAAGACACGATCAACGAAATTTCTTCAAATCTCTCTTCTATCACAGCTGATAGAGTCAATTCAAGCTGCTTTTCCCAAACGACATCAAGTTTCTGTGGCTGGGTAGGCGGCAGGTCCTGGTCCAACAGGGGGCGTTCCAGCGATAGCCTCCGAAGATCGGCGTCCTTGAATCGAAGAAACGGTAAAGGCTTGTGCCAGGTACGTGTTAGTATGAACTCGGCTGCGCTGCGGCACTGCGTGGTTTGGAACCAGCAATCATATGTTCTCAGGTGGTACATGTCGGATGTGAACCGAGGCATATATGCATGTTCGTTCATCGTCACTAGTATATAAATGTTGTGTATCACAACAGGGTCGGTCGTTCATTGAGGGAGGCTGGCGACGTCGATGCAGGGCGCCAGCTCGTATTGGTTGGGTGAAACTGCCAGGCGTAAAGGTAGCGTGAGCTGGAGATTGCCTTCATTTTCGATGTAGTCCAGCGCACTTAGGACCACATCTGATCCCACGAGCCGCATCAGAGGCAAGTCAATAAGTAAGCCTGCGTTCGTCAATGTGCAATGCGCCGCATACGGAGGGGCCGCTTCCTCAAAGAACTCTTCCAGGCGAACAGTCTTTATGTTGAGGAGCCACATACTGTGGGATATTGAAAATGGTTGTGTCTGGGCTGTCCTGTAGTTTGACAATGTCAAGAAACGGAGAGGAGGGTTGGGGATGAGATGCACACTTCACATATTCCTTGGCAAGCCCGCCCCAAGGGGGAGGGAGGGGACACAGACCGGGGTAAGTTATCTCTTTCACCTGCTAAGCGGGTGTGGCTGCGGATTCGTCAAACCGCTTCTCCGGCTGTTGGACCCGAGCATGACTACACCTTCCCGACGAACATGCCTCTATAAGTGCTGTTTTCTGTGCGATACAATTGACGACGACCCCGATATTTCTGATGCAAGAACACAACGAAGCAGTCACCGATTGCACTTTTTCTGGATAATGGTTGTGAAGCAGTTCCCTATTTGCAGCTGACATAAATTAGCCTAAACCTATTTGTACATCACTCGAAAATTCCACTGAGAGCCCATGCCCCAAAAGCCCGGCTTTGGTTCTCATGCATGATTTCTTCCGCATACGTAAACTCAGAACAGCGAGTTATCAGCACACGTGAACACATCAAGAGAATCGTCAGGATCGCGGACACGCCGATCCAGGTCCGAGATGGAGGTGTATAGACCAAAAACTGTCAGAAATGCGGAAGCTAAGGACAAACAGTTAGCATCATTGCCCTTGGTTTCTTCCCTTTACTGGAGAAGCAACAAAGACCTACCGAGTACCAAGAACCAATTGAATGCCGACAGCAGCATTTTCTTCCAAGTCTTTGTCTGTTGACCCCAGTTGATAAAGATCCACTGCGCAGCCGCCATGCCAAACGTGAACCACGTGACGAATAGAGCGGACGAGATGGCCAGGATGGAGTTGAACGCGGGGATGGCGTTGGCGAGTACGAAGCTGACGACCCAGAACAGGGTGCCGATGCCGAGCCACGCGCTCCACGAGGTCAGGCTGTTGTCCATGAGCCGATGATGGGAGCGCAGGATGCGGTCCATGAAGACGTTGTACATGTACTTGATGGCCGTGTGCCCAAAGACGAGGCCGCTACCCAGCATCGTGCCAAAGAGGATGCCGTAGGCCACCTTGCTGGGTACACCGGGTGCGGATCCCAAGGCGGGCGAGACGACGTACTGGCCGGCCAGGTGGTAGACGACGCAGGCGACAACGACGTACATGGGGATGGCGATGACGTTGAGCCAGATGATGGCGCGGGGGTAGTCGCGCGACGGGTCGCGCATCTCGGCAATAACGGTAATGAAGGCCTGGTTGCCTGCGTAGGCAAAGGCGACATTGAGCACCGACTCGAACTTCTGGTTCATGGTCGCATTGGGGTTGGGCCCCAGTGTCATGGCTACCAGCTGGCCGGCCGGCTCCGAGAAGTAGCCCGAGGTCGACGTGCTGGGTCCGTTGACGCCCAAGGCGACAATGACAATGAGCACGGAAACGAAGATGGAGATGGTGGCGGGGATACCGAACCACCCGGCGAAGGAGAGGGAGCGGGGCATGCAGAGCAGCCAGCACATGACCATGGGGATACCAACAAAGGCGACGGTGCACAGCGCGTGGTCTGTCATGGTGTTGAGGCCGATGGACAGCGTCACGTTGGCCGAGGCGCAGATGAGGGCTAGATTGAGCACGTGCGCCACGCCGACGATAATTTCGAGCGGCAGGCCGCCCATGATGCGCCCTACGTCGACCACATCGCGGATCTGCGGGTACTTGCGCCAGAACTGGATGAGGATGTAGGCCGTGTAGGTGGCAAGCACGCCGAAGGCGATGATGGAGATGATGCCGGGGATCAGGCCGATGGTGTGCAACACCGACGGCAGGCTGAGGATGCCGATGCCGACTTGGTTGGTGAAGAAGATGAGTGTTGTCTGTCTCGTCCATTCATCAGTTCCCATGTGGATATAATGATGCAGACGGGTCAGGTCAGGAGGGACGCACCCGGATCATGCCCAACTTGTTGCCACCACCGTAGTGGTCCTTGACCTCGCCCACGGTGTTGCCATCGCTGCTGTCGTCCCGCTGCAGAGGTCCGTCATTCTTGTGGTTTGGTATCTTGCCGTTACCCGTGGTGGCCTTCTCGAAGTTCTTTCTTTCTGGACGAGACAGACCGTCATCGGGAGTTCGGGAGGACATTGTAACGTTGGGGGTTCTGTGGCTCCACGACAGCACCAGGCGAATGAAAGCGAGGGCTCGGCCAAGGTGAACCAGAGAGAGGTGGACAGGGTGGGGGAGAACGACGAGTTTTTAATGATGGGAGAGCATGCCATCTGTGTGTCCGGCCGCAAAGGCAGTAGACAGTCTCCCGGGCCAACACAACGTTCCTTCTGCGCACAGGCCAAGAAAGCGCTTTCCGGGCAGGACCGGGCACAATGCAACTGCGCCAATGTGCGAGCGTCGCGAGACGGTCGCCCAAGAACCTCGCGAACCTGGGCATCGTCATGGCACTGTCCTGTGCACGCGACAGGCGTCCTACGTGGATATGTAAGTGGATAGTGGCCCTGGATGAAGCGGCCTCTCCCCCTACTGTTAGCGTTGTGGTGGTCCACGGCTGTGTCTTGGCGCGCGTCAAATGCCGTCATCCCCTGCCGTCCCTGCCGGCGCGGCGGACATGTCTGGGGGGCATGGTGATCGACGCCAGTCGTTACGTGAACTAGGAATAGCCCTGTGTGGTAGCCATAGCACATCCCGGCACGTGCTGTCCTTCTGCTTCCATCATTTTGTTCTATTGCTTGTTTCTCCCTACTTCGCGAGGTCGGGGGAAGGTGAGAAGGCCACCTTTCGCACTGCTTATGTGCTTCACATCTCGCGGGTCCCTATCCCTTTCCCCGCCAAAAAGAAAAAAAAAACCCTTAGCGCTGTTTGGACCACACCAAGGTAGTGACCACTATGTTTCAAGACGCTATAACATTGGCTAGCCACATGGACCCTGGATTATTCTTACGCGATGAACCCACACGACCCTTGGTGGAATATCCCCTCGTCGTGCCCCAGACTATCTTGGTCCAATCATGTCCTGTTGTCAAGGTGGCTAAGACATTGTTGTTCCGTACGGCCAAGCTCCCGCGGTGAGCCTGGACGAACCGCGTGGATAATAGTTATGCAAGAGTGAAACTGGGAAAAGAGAAGTGGTATGGTACTCAACCAGCAGCCGACCTATGCCTTTCGTGGCCTTCGGTATCGCTCGTCTCTCAATGGATTTTGCGCCCTGACACAGTATCAAGATCCCCAATCCACTCGGCAAATACTACCTCCTGACGAGACTTTCCAGATCGACATCAGTCCTTTCGGGAAGGAGGAAGAGTCCTTGCAGTATTGCAGCCCGTCTTGGTTGAGACCACAGCTTGGCAAGCTGCTCTCTTTCCGCCTCCGCTTCCGTTCTCCTTCTTTTTTTTGTTCGCCCGAGCTCCACAAGAAGGAAGACGGTGAGCAGGCTGCACTTCACTTGAGATCGATCAGAATGCCTTGGAGCACCTTCTGGCTACAAATCACTGTCCTCCATCCGATCCACTTGAACATGGCCACATAGCCACACATGCAATGCCATAAGCGTGGCGAGTTGAAAGCGACGGCATCTTGGAGCAGCAGCCATGACAGTCTTCGTCATTGTGCCTGCCACGTCTGATCCTGCCACTCTAGCCATCATAGCACGTTCAGCCGGGTCCGGAGCAGTTTGCGAAGGCACAACCGGACGACTGGGCGGAGCCAAGCTGGCTTGAGTGCTTCTCATGAGTCCGGACAGCCTCATCCCCATGTGCGCTCAGCTTAAAGGCCTAGCCAAGGATTGCCAAGGCTCGGTGATCACCAGATTTGGAATCTCTTGGCAGGACCGTCAATATGGACTGTGGAAAGCACACCTGCAAGACTTCTAGTTCTTCAGATTCCGTCCGGAGGATGAGCATGCTCACGTGCTTGCGGTCAAGCAACACGTACAATTTCTTAATTTTCATGTCAAGATGTGTTAACGTCTCAGCAGGCTTGGAGCACTCAAGGGCGGCCTGATGAATGTGTATTTTCTATAGATGAGTTGAACAACAAAAACTATATGAGACGATAATCGGGTTTTCTGCAACCGATGGACGGAGACTCCCAGGAGTCATGATGATTCGGGCGATGGTGCTGCAAGGTCTTCCGTTCATTGTTGTTATATGCGTTCTATGGCCGGACTCTTTCACTTGCGGAAAGCGGCAAGCTCCGCAGTAAGCTCGGCCGCACCAACGCCGGCGATAAAGTTCTTGATACTAGAGCATGTGTTAGTAGGCATTCCTGTATAATGGGCGGTCATATGAAACATCATCAACGGAGTAGCGAAAGATATGTCTGCTCGGTCCTCGGAGACGACTTTTGGACTTACTACCCGCGCAAAAGTGTTAGTAGAATTTCACCGCACTGAGCTATTTTACGGGTTCCTACATACCGTGTGGGTGTACTGCTCCTCAGTGAGGCCCTCGAGCTCAAGTTGAGTGCCGTCCTCAAAGGTGAGCTGGTTCGGCTTGCTGCACTCCTGAGCATCCTGCGCAACAGGAGCATCTTCAACGTCGCGCTTGCCAGCAGAGAAAAACCATTTGGCGCTCCTGGTGATCCTGCCGCCGACACAGCCGGTCGAGTAACCTCTGGCATAGCCAGTGTTGGAGATGCTGCCGCCGCAGTTGTTCTGATAGTATCCGTAGCCTAGGACCCTCCAGTCTCCAGGGATTGCCTCGACGCTGAAGCTCGAGTTGGGTGCGTCACCAGGCAGACTGCAGCACACGTCTGGATTCATGTTGGCGCAGTTGACGGTACGACCACCGCAGCTGTCAGAGTCAGGGTAGAAGCGAATGTCGACAGCTGTGGTGCTGGCGACCGCGAGGCCTAGAATGGTCAGGGAGGAGGAGAAATGCATGGCGATCGCTGAAAAGGGTTTGAGAAGACAGGCTCTTCAAGGAATCTGAGATCTATGAGTGTTTGGAATGTCGGTGCTGGCTTGTCTGATGGAGTAGGAGAACCTCACAGACCACGGGAACGATCTATTTATGTTCATCATACCTCTAGGCCGCTCACTCATGAACTTCCGTCCACATCTCGAGCTTCTCCCGTGTGTAACATTGTTTGGATTTCGAATCCACAACACTGTTCAGACCATGGTTTGCACTAATGTCACAAGTCTTGGTAACGTAACCCTGGTGAAAATAGCCTAATCGTAGCAGTCCGCGGCGGCGTAGCTAGTGGATGCACCTGGAAATTAACATGGGCGAGACAATTCCATAACTGGAAATAGAACCCAATCAGGATCAACCACAGCCGCCAAGGAGTCCGAGTCCGAATGGCACGTATGATTCACATTCGTCACAGGATCCGATCCGCTGCATATATACGCCACTAGGATTGCAGAACGTCGTACTAGCATGTGTGCATCGTCAGTCCTGGTAGTGGGAGGCACTGTGTCCACGTATTAAGGTCTGGTGATGCCTCAGCTAGACGAGCCGAGATGGTAAATGGGGAAGGACGGGGAGGTGGTCTTTCAGCAACTTGAACATTGTCATTGTTAACCTTACATTGCGCCTCTGTATGTTGATTACGCTCTTGGAAATGAGAACGGTGTGCCATACCTGGTCACTCAAATTGACGCACCATAATGTATACGCCCGTGCAATCATGGGTCCGCAGCTAGTGGGCCTTCACGCCGCTAAAAGCGCAATTATGCTCTGCCGCTTTCCTAGTAGACAACTCGCGTTGCGCCTGGCAATTTGAACCACTGCCAGCCTCCTCAAAGATGCCAGCGGTGACCTGATATCCCTTCAGGTTTCACCAATACCAGGACTTGTGCCATAGCCAGTCCTTTTGTTGCTTTGGCTCCGCAAGAACTAGGAGCCGGCTACGGTCTATGTTATTACTTCGCATGGGTCGTCTTGATAGCCCGACTAAATTCGTAGCGAGTAATATCCCAAAGGGCGACATACAATAGCCTGCCTTGACAAGGAATCGCCTGCATATCCGCAACTCTAAAGGATGACTGGCTTGTTTAATAAGAGCCTACATCCGGTTTAAGACAGCTTTCCATGGCCAATTTCAAACCTCAAACAGCAAGTAGACCGCCAAGAAGAAGTAAGAGGTGAGCAGTCACTCGCCAGAGCTGGGCCAAGCACAGGCAGGCGGAGTGTGCGCCGTAAAACAAGCTTGAACTTCCAAAGCTACCGGAAAACCGACCCCCCCTTGACACCAACGGTGAGTCCGCCAGTTGCGAGTACTGCATGCTCTGTTCGGCATTGGGCGAGAGAAGTAGTCTAGCTTGGCTCACTTGCGTTTTGCAGAGCGAGCCGTTTCCAGCTGGCGTGCAAGATTGCCCGCGGGTTGACGCTGGGCGCAGAGCTCCGGAGCAACAGCCGCTGCAGTCGAGCTGTGATTGCCAGCCCGCCGCCTGAGAAGAGGCCTCCGTGGCTGGGGCTGCGGAACGGCCCGCAGTTCCTCGTGATGGCGAAAGCGAACGATGCACCTTGCTGTGTGAGCCTCAAGTTTGCTGTTTACGCATAAAGCAGAAACATGGGTGCGATAGTCAGCTGGCCAATCTACTAATTGTGGCGCGCCAATTATAACCCCTGGGATCTAGAGCTAATTCTAGAGTAGCAGCTGAAAGCCAATCAAAGTCTTGTAACACAAGGCTGCCGCGCCAATATCACCACGATATGATTGGGTCGGCCAACATCGCAAGCTTCACTCCCAACAAAGGGCGAATGCTCACCCTGATGCAGGACCCGGCGATCAGGTCGCCCGAGCTGCTCAGCTGCATCCGGCGGGGCGCGGCAGGGATGCTCGGCGACTTCAAGGGTCGTTCAGCCACAGGCCTGTGCAGCCCCACTAGGTCAGGGCAAAAAAAAGACGCCAGATATCAGAGTTTCGGAATCCGTCGCAGATTCTAGCGTTGGCTTCATCGCATGACAAGAACCACCTCAGACAAGCCCCTGCGAAAGCAATAAAACAGTTGAAGAAGCACGCGCCGGCTAGACTTGACGATACCCGGCCAATTGTGCCTGTCCCCTTTACTCAAGGACCATGGCGTCTTTGCTCAACCTCGACAGGAACATCTCCTACTTCACGGTACGCGGGCACGGCCCGGCCTCGCGCTGCGTCTCTTCTGGCTAACAATCAATCTTCATGCAGATCATCCCCGCCCTCATCCTGCCGCTCTCCGCCCGATATGTTTCGGGGCTGTCTGGGCCCGGAAGAAAGCTGTTCGACAAGATGAACCCCCGGGGACACCTGGAAGCCTTGAAGACGGCCAAGATGGACGAGGAGGTTAGCATCAACTAGTTGAACAGTGTCGCCTCATGAGCTGTTGTCTTGCTGACAAACCATATCTCCAGCTCCGCGGTCGACTGCTGCGCGCCGAGGCCTGCTGTGCCAATGGCTTCGAGGCCCTGCCCCTCTTCGCTGCCGCCGTCACGGCCGGAAACGCCGCTGGCGTGCCGGCGCGCACGATGAACCTCCTTTCAGTCGGGTGGATCGCCACGCGCGTGGCGTATACGTATGTCTTCATTTGGTACCAGGGACGAGAGAAACTCGCGTACAACGCGGTGCCCTTGCGGACAAAGGTGTGGCTGGTCGGAATCACAACCCTCATGTCTATGTTTGTGCTTGCTGGCCTGCAACAACAGGGGGAAAAGTGATTTGCGGCGCGATCTCATTTGTAATTATCTAAAACGATGAGTAGATTATGATACGTTCATGTTAGCAGGCTTGTGCATATCCGTGTGTGGCCTATTGTTCTCGTGGCTTATTGCCGACGTGCTTTTCTGAAATGCGGCTGGCAGCTTCGGGATCGCTGTGATCTCAGAACCTCCGTTGTTGAGTGCTTTTTCCACGTCGTACTACACAACCCTGGTACCGACAAGGACGTCCCCAAGGTACAGGCCGACTTCTACGGGTGCTCATCCGCCAATACCTAAGAGAAGCGTCGCCCTGACATCTGGAAAGCTTCGATTTAGATCGCGCGCAACGTTGGTATCGTTGACTTTGCCGTAGATACTCGGAAGGGCTGCCATGGCAATATTATGCTGGGCAATGTGGCCGAGGATGTAGCTGTTGTCGTCTCTATCGCGAGCAGGGAGGGGCTCATGCTCTTTGTCCAGTATGAGCCTTGACGTCTCTAGTTTGGCATGGAGAGCGCATATCCAAGCGATAGTGTTGTCCGCGTGTGACAACTTCGAGAGGGCGCGGGGTCTGCCGGAATGTTATGTGTCGTGCTGTCATCGCTGTCACTCGTTTCGAAGGACACATGCCTATCCGTTGCTCTATGGTGCGAAACGCCTCTACGACATCATGCGCAGCTCTGTGAACGCTACATCGAGGTGCTTGGCTGATCTGGATGCTGAGGCCACGTCATACCCCGATGGGCTTTAGGAAGAGACCGTCGAGATGCAGTCTACCCCGCACCCGAAGCAAGCGAACCAGCCTTGCTAAAGACACGTTTGAGGCGACTTTTCCAAAAGCTGAAAGACTGCTGGCAACCTGAGTAACACCCGAGCTGCAGCACAGTAACGGCACGGCCAAGTACAGTGCGCAGATTATTTGATTATGACGTGCCCTACTTCTTTGGATAAGTAGACTCACTTTGCTATGGTCTTGGAGGTTGATGGAAGACATATTGGCCACAGATGAGCTATAAACTCCAGTTCCGAGCCAAGAAGTAACGCCTCTGGTCTGCAGCGACCGCATACTCCCACACCTCGATGTGATGGCCTTTGCCAGCTACGATAATGATCTCTTCAAGCATTGTCCAGTCATAGGTAGTGTTCGACAGTCATGATGCGATACACTTAGTGTTCTAAAAACCGCTTACACAATCACAATACCTTCCGTCCTCTTCTCCCACTTCTGCAACAACTTCAGCTCTTTATCGTCATCGCTCCAGTCGAGCCAGACCATTCCCAACCTCTCAAACTTCCCTTCCCCGCGTTGTTTATCATTGGCATGCTAGAGCACCATATATTTCTCCCGGTCGGGTAATATACGTCCCCAGTATACCAGCGCCACTTTATTGACGACACTTCCTGCAGGCAGGAATCGTCCGGTCTAAACCAACGTTTGAGGGGCTTGCCTGTCTCGCGATCCGTCAAAGCGAACTTTCCAGGCTTCGCCCCGACTTCAGCAGGATCCGCCATTGGCGCAACACCAAGCTCGACCGCATCGCCCGTAACCTTGATGAACCCGCCCTCCTGTAGAGGGCCTGCAGGCTGGACAGGACCCACAGGGTAAACCTCGGCACGCGTGATGTCGACGAACAACGAAGAGCCTAGAAGCCAGTGATCGCCACGGTCGGAGAAATTTAGAGTACCGAAGACGGAGGGCCACGACCAGCTTGGTGCTAAATTTCCTGCTTCGACGGGCTTGCGAAATGTGTTCATGACTCCCCACAGAGTTGGTGCGCGAGGTTCTGCTCTCATGCCCGAGCGATATAGCGATGACCTGTGATTGTTGTGTTGCCCAATCTTAACTTGCATTTCTTCTTGCTTTTCTTCTTGCCCGTTCCCTGAGCCCTAGGCGCAGCTTCCACAGCAGTAATCGCCTGTGCCGCCATGCCAGCCAGCGCAACAACGCGGCCCGAGTCGGAAGTCAAAGCACACCGCGAGTAACGCTCGGCGACCCTAATCCAGCGAACAGTGAGAGACGTCTCGAGGGCTTCGCCACCTTCGGCAGCAGCACGGAGAGACCTACGGTGGACAAGGTTGAAGTTGCTTGTGCTGAGAATGGCGCCGCACAGAAAGTCGCATGCCTTGTTACACTCCCATTTGAGCTCGCCCTGACGAAAGTACATGATAGGTGGAGAGAGGAGGCGTTCTTGAAGGACCCAACCCCTGGAAAGAAGAGTGAAGGCGTTCTTCTTGCTTTGCGTCTTGTCAAGGATTTTATCGTGATCGTCAAAGCGATCGTTGCCGACTGCATCGTGTGTCATGTGCGGCGGTCGACGGACCCGAATTGATTCTGCCCCGTCTACGTCAGGGACGATATATGTCGGAGAATCGTCATCAAGACTGCAGTCCGTGGTCGCGTGGGGGAGCTTGAACTGCTCATTGGCACTCCAGCGATGGCTCAGCGTCGTATACCAGACAGGGGCCGTGGTTTTCGTGGCTGACATCACTACGACATGAACTCGATCGGGATCGGAAACTCGGACGAGCCGTTTCAGTGGTGACTGTATGTTTCCGAACCCGGTCCGGGCTGCGGACTGAACACAGCTCTCCCCGTGCCGTGCCTCACATGTAGCCATCTACTCCCGTAGCTGGGCCAGTGCTTCCGGACTATCTGTCCGCTTGACAGGCTGACAAGTCAGGTTTGGGGGCGCCTGACACCCAGTCTCTCCATCATGGTCCTCCCGCTAGACACTAAAAGTCCGCCAATAGTCTTCTCCACCGGCCTCCTTACACGGCTTAACTTCCAGAAGTCGCCTTCCATTAGCCGTCACTCCCGCGTCCACGGGCGCCGCTGGATCCACAATGACGCTCTCCCAATCCTCCTCAAGCCATCCAGTCTGTCGTCTCTCAAAATTTCCCCAGCCGCCAGGAATATCCGCCCCACGCTCCTCACCTCCAGACTTGATCCACCCTTCAGTGCATTCTTTGATCACAGCAACGATCTCCCGCACCTCCGTCAGAACGCGGACGATGGCTGCGCAGGTCGGGCATGCGGGAATCAGCTTGACTTTCCCTTCATCTCTAAATGCGGCCGCATCCTCGGGATCATCAGGGAAAGGTTCGCCGCGCCCTTCTCGTTTTCTCGTATCCGAGAGAGACTAATGTTTGGGGACCCATCGTGGCGGCCGTGGATTGCATGTGAACATGTTGGTGAGCAGCCAACATGGAAAATACGGCAGTGGTAGGGTTCTTCTATTGTGGTTGTTGTGGTTGTTATGGTTGTTGTGGTTGCTGTGGTTGCTGTGGTTGTTGTTATGCATTCATTCTAACCTCCATGTGCGGCGCCTCGCCGAAGTCATTTACATTCGGGGATCTCATCATCTCAGGACGCATCCGCGCAGCCGCTATGCACTCCACATCTTGAAGAACCAAGCACGGTTGGATGCCTCCTTGCCAGCAAGACTGCGCCTCCCCAGTCTCCACAGTCGCCTGGAATAGCAACCTTGGACTGGTACCCACCATAGACAAGCCAATCGAAAGGGATCAATCCTCCGGGGCTCTAGAGGGCCTCCCGGCCGTTTGTGGTCATCTTGCTGTAAAGAGCCAGATCGTAGGCAGTCACTCCAGGCAGTGCTTCTGCCTGTTGCCAACAAGGATTTTTTATAAAAAAGCAGACGTATATGAAGCATCAATATTCGTGCCAATCAACCACACGTCACTCGCAGATGCCTACTGTCCCTGACCCTCTTTGGATCGCTTTCCCACGAGTTCACATCCCCCACCTCTCTACACAATACCTACGATGGTTGAATTGAAAGACGGCATGGTAGTTGTCTTCTTCCACTATGCGGCGGGAACCTGTCTAGATCTGACAGAGGGTAAGCCCTCCAAGACGCAAGGACCGAATATAAATACTCCTGCAAGACACTGACTTTGCCGACCAAGGCTATCAGCGCAACGGCGCAGAAGTCATCGGATTCAACTACCACGGCGCAGCCAACCAGCACTGGAGACTTGACAAGGTGGAACGCATGGACCGTGATATCTGGCCAACATGGAACCTGGTCAACGTCATGAGCGGAAGTATGTCAGGACAACAGCCCGCATCTCGCTTCACCTTTCCAGCTGCGCAGCACATATGATTACTGACTTGTCGCACTTTCAGCTGCGATGACAATGGATGACCCCAATATCGGCGCACCAGTGACATGCTGGAAGCATACACGCCATACCAACGATCCAAGGCAGATGTGGCACCTGGTCACTGCCGATGCAGAATCTGGCGTTTACATGCACGTAGCTCTTTCCCTCGGCCCTGAAATGCTGTTGTTCGTGGCTCTCGTCTCGGGTGCATTAGTTGCTGACGATTAAAAACACTTAGGCTTCACAACGTGGGCAGCACATTGTTCGCCGATCTGAGGCACGGGAACACTGCTTGTTGGTAAGTCGTAGTGCTACCCGGGATGTGGAGGGCGTTGGACTTTGCACACATGAGAAACTCTGGACCGTTCCGAGGGATCTGGGCCGAACAGGCAAGCGGAAGCCGAGCTGACGCCCTGATTCGCAGGACAAGCATCACGGGTCGCAAGGGCGGCTTCAACAGCGCAAACACAAATCAGCTGTGGAGAATGCGTGTCATTTCGTTAGCCCAAGGTGACAACGAGATGTCGTTACGCGGTCTATCGGGCGGCGGTAGTGGTGGAAATAAAAAGAGAAAGGTTGGGCCTGCACTGCTGCCCTCGCCTGAAATCGTGTCTGGCGACACGATATGGACGGCCAACACCAGCGGGGTTACAGATGACATGCTGCTATTTCAGCCAATGGACATGGACAGTTCGTCGTAGTGAGCGCGAATTGATCACCGCTTTATCTGTGGATGCGCATTTACAGCATCCTGGGACCCCCAGTAAGAGGCAGTCTCCAAGTTGCTGGTTGGCACTCCGAGACCGTGAGAGACACCGCTGTTGGGGGCCCGGGACGACTGGATTGTTAAGCTCGTCGGATCACCTGTACTAGGCATTCGGGGTACCTTGAAACCCACCCCGCAAATCATGGCGCACACGAGGACCTCGTGGCGGTACTTAAGTCTATTGATAGCCCCTTGGTAACCACACACCGCATGTAATCATGATTCGTCCAAGCGAGATTGAAAGGAGTTGTGGGATGTCTCCGTCATAGGCTACCCTATTTTCCCATGGAAGCACATACGACCGTCCGGATTCTAGTAGACCACAAACGAACAACGGCTCTGTACACTATTTGTCTTTTGTCTCACGAAACAGTTTAGAACGACTCTTGCGCTGGTCTCATGTCCAACTCGTGAGTCCATAAAGAAGTAGGCTGCTGCGCAAGCCACAGATACAGTTGACCGACGTCTTCTGCTCGCATCTTCCTACCAGTCTTGGTATCCTCGTTTACCTCGTCGATGATGCCACCGTTAGCAATAGCATGGACAACGTGGACGCCGAACTTGCTATGCTCCTTTGCGACTGCCTGCGCTACCATCCTCGCCGCCGCTCGCGAGGCGCCGTACGCGGCGTATTGTTGATTCGTGCGCATGGCACCCAGAGTTCCAGTGAAGATGATAGTGCCCTTCTTAGCGCCGCCGGTATCCGCGAGAAGAGTCTGTCCTCCGTTCTGCGAGTACATGAGCTTCATGGCCTCCTGCGCAAACACGACGCCACCAGTTGTGTATGCAGCCATGCTGTCATTGAAGGCCTCTGGGGTCTCTTCCAGAAATGGCTTCCTGCTAGAGTTCTTGACATGGTAGATGGCTAGCTTCAACTTCAGGCCCTGGAAGTCAGGGTGCTGAGTAATCAGCTGGAACGTCCGTCGGAGATTGTCTGGCTGCGTGTCTGTTGGGAAAGGATGAAGGATGCCGTTCGATGATTGTCGCAAGTCAGATGCGAGCGTCTCAAGATTGTCTGGGTTCCTCGCGAGTAGTGCGACAGCGAGATTGCCGTGTTGAGGACTTGCTAGCATACGGGCAATCCCAGCACCGGATGTTGGTCCTGCACCGATGAGGATCGCGAGCCCTTTAGGCGCCATGTTGTCAACGCTGAATTGAGAAGGGTCAAGTAGATTGTGATTTGATGAAATGCTCTGGAATCGTGGAAGGTTATCATGAGCTTAACATCGAGGAATATGCAGAGGATCATAGTTACGTGTCGATCCTAGTCTAGTTACTGTCATCCTGACGAAGATGAACGTGGGGTGAGACCTTGGCGCCGTGTACGTCATTGATTCTCCGCTCCATACTCCATGCGCGTTAGTCTCAAAGGATTTGCTGACAGACTTGCATCTACAGCCCATATATCCTGGCATGATGCCGTTTATCTAACCACTTCTGTACCATGTTGTATATCGATCCGCCGGGCCCCCTTCGCTTAATCTGGTTCAACCATAATATCCCTTCTATTTCCTAATCCTCAAGCTGTTCTCCTATAAATGTAGGAATTTCGTGGTCCTCAGGCCAATTCGATGTCACAATACAGCCTCAAGGGTCAGTTACTAACTATGCGCTAGGTGTTTTGTCTTCATGCAAGGTAGGTAAAGCCTTCGCAAAAGTCAACTCTAACGTATTGCAGCTCTTGGGTTCGTCTCCCTCAGAAGAGATGGTGCATGTCATATTCTTCTCAGGGCCGTCGGGTAAGAACATGTTCCCAAGCTTATCACAAACCAAACCCGATGGCGCCGGCACTTGCAAGCATCTACATGAGCTCGCAAGCGAAAGTCTTACTGTCCGACCCGTCGTGCCCTACGAGCCCCTAGAGTACAGAGACTTAATGGAGCGTTCTCTCTCGTTCTCGAAGCTGGTAGCTATAACTTGTCGCGCCCATACTGTTGAAGCACGCTTTTAGGCGGCGTGTAATCCCCAACACCAACAAAATCGACATGGTCTAGCCCGAATCCTTTGGGCCCGCCAACAGCCATGGCCGGTTCGGTTTTCCACAGTGGGTGTGCAGGAAGGCCTATCACATTAACTCTCAACCCGTACCTCAGATCTTGCGACCCGATCGCCTCGCCGTCCTGGTCAAGGATGGAAATGAGGTCTGGGACCGTGCAAACAATCTCACCGGCATCAGGGGCCATGGTATCAGCGCTGCTAGGCGGCACCAACGAGGCGTACAGATACTCGTTCTGGAAGGGGATGACCATGTGTCGTCCATCGCGAGGAAGCCGTTCTTGGAGGGCGGAATCGCAGGGCTCATCGTCGCCCATGGGCGCAATGACGACGCTGCCCATCGTATAGCCAGCTCCTACATGCCGCCTCACATCGACAATCTTGCCAGAAAAGAGCAGCTTGCCGGCACATTCGGAGAACTGGCCGCGAGCTTTTGTCAGCTGAGCGTTGAAGAGCGCAAGGCATCGGCTCTCCAGGGGTGTGGCACGAAGCTTGACTCACAATAGCGTCGATATAGCTCGACTTGTTCCTGCGGGCGAGGTGAACTGCGCGGCCCAGATACCAGGCTTGCGACAGCGTGTTCGGCACTCCGTGCTTCTTGATGGCAGATGCCGGGAGAGGTGCTGCACAGACAGCACAGGCCAGGCCGAGCTGGATTGCTGACGTCCTCAACAGCTCCTCGAGGCGGATGGGGCTGTCGGTGCTCTGTGTCGCAGGCCATCAGCCAGGTCCACTCCGGAGTCGACGGGAGGGTGGATAAAGAACGTACCATGACGACAGAGACGTTGCCCCGTGCATCAGAGAGTGCACACGGCGTCAGGCTGTGCCCATACACACTGAGAGTAGCTGCCAACCACAATGGGCGTCAGAAGTCGATGCCAATAACAAAGGCGCGGCCGCCTCAAGCACTCACCATGATACATTGTGGGGTACGCTCTGCCCATGGCATCCCCGTCAACGACAGGTATATTGTAGCGCACGGCCGTAGGAAAAGTGCTCATCCCGTTGCCACCGCCACTGAACACCAGTTCCACGTTAGATCGACATATCAGTTAGTACTTGGTCTTGGACTGCACTCACATTTCGTCTGCGAAGACGGCAGCAAACTTTTCAATGCCTCGAAGCTTCTTTTGAGCGTCGATGCCGCTGGGAATCTCCGTTCCCGACGCGATCCTCTCGTTGATGACACTGGGTGAGCCGTACCACGAGCCAAAACACACCACGTCGTCATCAGCAAGAGACTCTGGGGCCACGATCCGCATTGACCCAGGCTCGCTGGTGCGCAGAGCATGCAGGCCCTTGAGGAATTCGTGGTGCGTTGGCCCACCACCGCCCGTGCCCAGCACGCCGCAGCCAGTTGAGATGAGCTCGAGATCAACCTCGGAGACGAACCAGCTTCCGTCGCGTACATCAGGCCGGTACGTGTTCAGGTCAACCTTGAGGGAAGGCTTTGTGGTGGGTTCGAGAGCATCTGGGATGCCAATCTTGACACCCTCATCGCATTCCTCGAAGTCGTTGCCAATGTTGGCGCTGTGGTCCATGCCTGCTGCTCCATGGCAGAGAACTTCCGGGCTGGGCATGGCGAGCTTACCTACCGCCCGGGCTTGGATCCTTATAGCACCATTGTCCACATATTGGAGTGGCATCCGGTTCACCTCAACAATCCGGATGTCGTCCCTGACAGCGCCCTTTGAGACGGCAGCTTCGATGGCCTTCTGGCACACTTGTGCCACGACGGCCTTCTCGTCTCGACCAGCAAGTATCTCAATCACATCAATCTCGCCGCTTATCTTGCCGATCGCGGCGCCGACGGCGTTGGCCGCACCCTCATGAATGGGACGGATACACCGGTCTACGCCCTCGAGGTCGTCGGTGACGAGCAGAGCGCCGCCACCACACAGCAACAAGTGGACGGGCGCTGCAGAGATTCGCATCTTGTCAACAACCCGCTCAAGCATCTTCGTGATGGTGTCTCGGGCGGTCTGGATGGCAGACTCGGAAAGCCCAGCATTGCCATTCCGGACCCTGCTGGGATCACCGAGGCTCGCTCGACCGGCAGCCACAACAATGTCGGTGGCAGTCAATGTGGAACCTCCAAAGACCCGCGCCTGTTTCGTCAGAAAGTGCCCGACTGAGTCCGGCCCGACTGTGTTCTGCGCTGCAGGACCCGAAGGGTTGAGATCATCTGGAAGATGAACTTTACTGCCGCCCCCCAATCCAATTGACACCACATGTGGCATAGAAAAGGCTGTTCGCACTCCGGCAACCTCAACGAAGCCAGGAGCTTGCCTGGGAAACCCAGAGGGGAGCAGTGCGCATACATCAGTCGTAGTGCCACCAATGTCGACGACCAGAATCTGTGGTTCCTGCTGGGCATGGCCTACTCTAGCGTCCTGCTCATCATGTGTCGTGGCTGCCTTGCTTTTGTCTAGGCCAGCAAGAAATGCAGCTCCGGTCATGCTGTTTGTAGGACCACTGGCGAACGTCTTGATGGGGTATTCGGCTGCGGCATCCGCCTCTATGAGGGTGCCGTCGTTTTGGGAAAGATATAGCTTGCACGAGTTTAGTTGCAGACTTCGAAGTGCTGACTTGAAGCTTGCGGTAACCTTGCGTGCTGTCCGTAGGATTGCAGCGTTGAGGATTGTCGCGTTCTCACGCTCCAGAAGCCCAGTCGGCCCAATATCATGCGAGCATACAACGTCCAGTTCTGGGCTCTCTGCGAGCATGATCTTCTTGCATGCCTCTTCGCCGATGCCCTCGTGGTCCAGCGGGGAAAATACGCCCACAACGGCAACCGAGCCAACCCCGGCGGCAACGATTTCCCGCGTGGCACGGCGGATCTGATCAGGGTCTAAGGGCGCAATAGACCGGCCATCGATCTCAAGACCGCCATCCAGGTAGTGAACACCGCCGTCCAAGACCCTCCTCAGGCCTGTAGGGAAATCTGAGAATGGAGGAATCTGCCTGGTGAAGGGGCCGCAGAGGCGAACAACGGCAACGCGCTGCAGGCGCCGGGCGTCTGCCTCGACCAGGGCATTGATGAAATGTGTCGTGCCAACAGTCACACTGAGGACTCTCCTTTGGTCAGCCTGGGATGCCTCCAGGACCGCCCGAATGGCGTTGGCGATACCACTAGTGATGTCGGGTGTCGTTGAGGCCTTGTGCGACGCCAGGACGCCCCGATCGGGGCTATCGAGACTTGTGATATCGAGGATGGCCGCGTCTGTGTTTGTGCCGCCGACGTCGACGCCTATGCGGTAGAGCCCCGCGGGCGACGGCGTGGTGGAGTGCGGCATCGTCAAGTCACTGGCACGGTCTTGGCTGCTCAGTGATGTACCGCGGCCTTTTCGTTGTTGCGGATGGCATCATCCCCATCTGCCAAAGATGGATGCCTGGTGTTTTCTATAAAGGATGACGGTTGCATTGTCGGTTGCGTGTCCACTTGTGCTGATGTGCCTGTATATCCACTCGCAGCTTGTCTCTGACTGTAAAACATGACATGAGATAATGTCGGCCTACCTCGCATGTCTGTCTGGCGGGCCTGGGCATGGAGAGCGGCTGAGCAGAGTTGGCCGATCTCGTTTCTGAGGGTGGACCGTTGGGCGATCGGCCAACTAGGATCCCGCCCCTTATCACCGTGTCATCTCTCATCTCACCCCGGCTGCGGCCCCAAGGTGCGTGTCCGACCCACCGATGAACCAGGTCGACGGGTGAGGCACGTACGTTGTGCCACAGTATATGAACACGCGCGCCGGCATCATTCGACTCGCTCACGGGCTGTGGCCTCTGCTCAGACGACTGGGGCATTGCGAGTGCCGTATTACGACTCCGGCTAAACTGACCTACGCCAACCTCGGACGACTAGACTAGCGCCAGTGGCCAGGCAACTCTAGATCCATGGCGATCGGTGCTGACCTGCTCCGGCGCGTCGAGCTTGGGCACGTGAGCAGATGGATTGTGAGTCGCGTCCCCTGCGAGTCTTCTCATCTTCTTTGATGCAATGCGGGGTGCTGACATTGACGTCGACGACAGAACGATGACATCCGGCCGATTGACTCGGCGCGGCGCACCTGGGGGTTCTGGATGTATCACAACTTCTGTGAGTCCTATGGTGCTTCACACCAAAGACAGGCGGCATCTCGATACATAGAGACTGACCTAGCGAATCGCATCAAAGGGCTCCTGATCAACTGCAACATCGCGACCTACCTGACCGGCAGTGCTCTCATTCCGCTCGGGCTGACATGGTGGCAGGCAATTATCGGTATGATCAATGTCCGTCCGCAAGGTCTGCTGCCATAAAACTGATTTACCTCATGTTGACTCCAGCCATTGTCATCGGCAATATTATCGGCACCGTCGTCGTCGTTGCCAACTCAATCCCCGGAAACACATATCGCAGTATGTCTCTGTCTTCTATGCCAGGTGGCAAAGCTCGGACAATGCAGGCCTGACCAACCACTAACGACATTAATGCTTCATCACAGTCGGCTTCCCCGTCTTTAGCCGTGTCGCTTGGGGCATGTGGGGCTCGCAGTTCACGATTCTCAACCGCATCTTTCTGTCCTTCAGTGAGTCTCCATGCAACCGCCATCTTCCTACGCACGGTCACTAACATCTATGCAGTCTGGTCAGTAGAGGTCTCTACATATTCATGTCCTATCACTAACTCGAGTACAGGTACGGCTTCACCTCGTGGGTCGGCGGACAGTGCCTGCAGGTCGTCCTGCTATCTTGGGATCCGCTATTAGAGGACCATATCCCCAACACTATGCCCGAGGAGACCGGCATGACCACTGCGCAGTTTGTGTCCTATGTCATCTTCTGCGTCATCAGTCTTCCGCTGCTCTGGATCCGGCCCGAGCGGCTCCAATGGTTCTTTTATATCTCGAGCGCTTTCACTTTTGTCTTCTTCCTGGTTCTGCTCATCTGGGCGCTCGCCACGATGGGCTCCGCCGGTTTTGGAGATACTCTTTCCGATGTTGTTGAGCTACCGACTACCGGCGGCCCACAAAGTGTTGCCTGGCTGATGGTCTACGGCATCGTGTCGACGATTGGCAGCATTGCAGCTGGCCTACTGAACCAATGCGACTACACTCGTTATGCTCGCCGCTCGCGCGATGCTGTGTTGGGTCAGGGCATCGCCTTCCCGGTTTACGGCATTCTTGCTTCCGTCATTGGCATTCTCGTCACCGCCGCGACGCAGCCTCGTTTCGACGGGGAAGCCATCTGGAATCCGCCCACTCTGTTGGCTCGCCTCATTGCAGACAATCCAGATTCTCCAGGCACCCGCGCAGCATGTTTCTTTGCCGGCGCGGCTCTCGTCATTGCTCAGCTCGGGTGCAATATTGCGGGTAACGCCCTCGCTGGCGGGTTCGACCTGGCGGCCGTATTCCCCAAGTACCTCAACATCCGTCGTGGCGCTTACATCACCGCACTCCTCAGCGTTGCCGTGAACCCCTGGAGGCTGGTCAACACTGCAACGACGTTTCTGGCGGTGCTTTCGAGCTACAGCGTCTTCCTCGCACCCATGACGGGGATCATGATTGCCAGTTATTATGTCGTCAACCAGAGCAAGCTCTGTGTCAAGGACTTGTACGAAGGGGGTCAACACAGCATCTACTGGTACACGCGCGGGTGCAACTGGAGAGCCCCTGTTGCAGTAAGTACTCCATGGTTCTCTCGTCGGTGCTTCCATGAAGCTATGACTAACGTTGGGATCATGCTCAGTGGCTTGTCGGTGTCGTCCCGTGTCTTCCCGGCTTCATTGCCGCCGTCGACACGAGTGGCATTGCCGAAACGATTTCCGATGGAGCTGTCGAGCTATACTACATGTCCTACATATACGGGTTCCTGTCCGCCGGCGCCGTCTATGTCTTGCTGCACCATGTCTTTCCCGCAGCGGCTGTGCAGGGTTTTCTCCGCACCGCGCCGTCTCGCAAGGTCCTGGAAGAAGCGGTCGACGCTGAGTGGGACGTGGCTTCCTTGTCCGATGTAGAGCATCTTGCACACCCTCCTCACAGCGCCTCCACTGACGAAGCTGCCAACTCTTCAGCACCACGCAAAGAGGCGGACTCGACGGATCATCCTATCTCGGCATAATTTCAGAAGTGCGTTGGATGGCAAGAGGCTGGCACAATATTGGATTTATTTTTGACTTGGGAGCGACATTAGACAAAGAACATAGATTTCAATAGACATCATTTTTTGCTCAATCTACTTGGTGGGATGTCGCGGCCTCACGTCCGTCTCCGGCAAGCGCTACGAACCATTACGTTCGCCACATCTAGCCAAAGACTTGCTCGCGATCTATCATTCTGATACTGGAAAGATAATAGGGTACTATAGTTGGGTGGCCAGTCATTTGCATAAATACGCAACCAATCTTTGGTCTCGCGAAGCTCTCGTGTAGCGCGGGCAACCTGTGCTGGCATTAGCTTGCTGCCCCGCCGCATTTCATTTTCATGCCAATATCTCCATGAACAAGAGAAAGCCCTGCTTCGTGCAGTTGTGGCGACCTGGTCGAGTTCTGTTGAGGGCTGGGAAGTTGGCCGACAATTTTAAGCCGACACCCTTTTCGGCCTATCTTGTCCAGCCCCGTGCTGTTGTCGCGTGTGCGCAGGGTTCCACGCATAATATATAGGGGCCTCTGCGCCTGGAGTAGCCCGAGCGCCAGGGCACGTGTCATGTCCGACGGGCACTGCGCCGCGTCTGTCCTGCCGTCGGCCGTCAATTTCACACGCCCGATGCCAGTCCCCCAGTGAGGTAGCAGGTGGGCTGGCTCCTCGCATCGTCAATAACTACGCCGACCCGCGCCACCATATTGCCTCCCCGATGGAGGAGGAGGAGGACACGCGCAAGTTCACCGTCAGCAGTGAGTTTGGCGGTGCCCGCGCCTGGCGGAGTCGCAAGAGCCGGCCCTGCGATGCGTGCCGCCGCCGTAAGACGGCCTGCATCATCAATACCAGCCCGCCCTGTACGTTCCCCTACCCGCCCGGGCCCCCTTCGCGGAAGCAAGAGGTTGAATTTCCAGCCACCGTATGCCGATGACAGGCGTCGCTGACATCACCGCGTTGTGCGAATCGTGAGTGCAGGCGCCTTTTGCCACAGCCGCGGTCTGCCGTGTGAGGCCTCGGGGGCCACTCCGCGGAGACGGCGGCCGCCGCAACCTCCCCAGGCGACAGCGGCATCCGCATCTTCGTCGCCGCCCTCGGCCGGGCCGCCCGGGCTTGCCATCCGGGATGGCGGCCACCTGACCCATATCCTCAACGGTGAGCCGAGGCCCCAAGGCCCTTCTCCCCCGGAGCCACCGTCAGACTCTCTGCACACGCGAGGGCCGGGGGCCATCGTGCCGCCGGCCTCGTCGAGCAGTTTCGCCCATGGGCTCGATGCAAGCCCGCTCTACCGCACGCAGCATGTCGAGGCAACCACTTCGCCGTCGTCTGGCCACTACCCAGACCAGCGTCCTGTCGAGCGTACTCTGGAAGACAACGAGGACAAGACAGCACACAGCATGGGCCTCGCCGCCGAGCAGGATGTCCATGTGCTCGACTCGTTCCGGGCCGTCATCATGAGCGTGCATGGTGTTGATGCGGAGATCATCCAGGTCCAGCCGGGAGATAGGAACCACCTACCGGTGCATTTCTGCCTTTTGCAGGACGACTTCTTCCCCCATGACGATGCAGCGCGGGCGCAGGCATCTCACCGCATTGAAGAAATGGCTGGCCCCCATGGCCCAGCGCTGGTGCGCCTGTACTTCAAACACATTCATCCTGTCTCTCCTGTGATATCGAAGGGACGGTTCCTCTCGCGGTACGCAACAGACAGGAGCAGGCTCCCACCATCTCTGCGTGCTGCCGTCTATGCTTTGGCCTCTGTCTTTTGGCCGACCGATCAAGGCGACGCGGACCATGATCAGAATCATCGGCCACCACCGCCATTGACCTTTGAGCAATGGGAAATGGTCGATGTGGCTCACAGCTCCTTGCTGCGCGAGCTCGACTCGCCAAACCTCGACAAGCTGCAAGCTGGTCTGCTGCTGCTCAACGCAAAACCCAATGATGTCGACACTCTCGAGCACCCACGGATATGGACACAGACAGCGCAGGCTACGGCGTGTGCGCAAATGATTGGTCTACACCAGGAGCCCAGCAACTGGTCAATAGCGGCGTGGGAGAAGAAGCTGCGAAGAAAGCTCTGGTGGGCCACTGTTGTGGCCGATACGTGGTCGTCCGTCCTCCACGGGAACCCTCCACATATCTATCCGGAGTCCTTCAGCACAACACCACCTCATGTCGACGACATCCAGTTCGATGAAGAAGTATCACCCGAGTTCAGCGCATGGCTTGATCCGCCGTCCGCGAGCTATCAGGTTGCCACGGCTGCGCGTTTCGTGGCCATGGTGGAGCTGACCCTGATTGTCAGGGACATCCTAGCTACCTCCTTGTGCGCATCCCCTTGTCTGCCTCACAACACTCTTCATATTGCCTGACCACTGACCTCTATTTGATTGTATGTAGTCGCGTGCCGGGGGCGCCATATGATTCTCCCGACGGATTCCAAGGACCATATCAGTCTGCTGCCGAGCGGAATAAGCTGTATGCCCTGCAGGTGAAGCTGGAAAATTGGTTCATGCTGCGGCCGCAATGTCTCGCGTTCTCAGGCCCTTCGTCTACACAAGGCTCATCAATGAACGGTAGGGGCTCGTCACGGCCACAACTGTAGCGTCTCTGCTTGTACCATGTGCTGACATGTGGACTTTTTTTTGTCTCTAGCTCCTCTTCAGCTGGCATATTTTGCAGCTCAAGTGCTGCTATATCGCGGACTCATGGGCCCGGCTACGAAGGCGGCGCGAGTTGACCCCAACTCCGGCCTGCGTGTCCATTTCCAAGCCGCTCTCGAAATGTTCACAGAGTTTGTGGCTTTCATAGCTGGCATCACTCAGCCCCAGCTGCGCGGATATTGGGGAAGACGTGAGTTCTCCATCCCTGAGCCCAGCCAGTCGTGCTGCTGACAAGTCCGTGACGTGATTGCAGACGCCCGTGCTCAACTCATCCTTTGCACAAACTTTCTCATCTACCTTTTCCTCTTGGCCAGCGAGCCTGAGCACGTGGTCAAGGCTTTCGAGCTCATCGAGAGCTTCAACGAGGGGCTGTGCCGACTCAAAGGCATGGCAGGGACCCCGAAAGCGATCAGCGGACCACGCCCCTCACCAGCATTTTCCACACCAACAGGCACGCTGTCAGCAGCCATGCTATTACTGCTGCCCGCGGCTGTCCGGATCGAATCTTTCCTGGAACAGGCTCCTAGGCTAATGAGAACCAGGGGAACTTCATTGTCACAGTCGGTCCCCACGGACCAGAACGCCACACCATCGCCATTCGCGACTTCGCAAACTTCTCCGTAGTCTCGCGAAGGACTGGCAATTAGTGTGGAGTTGCCTTGCGGCTTTTAGAATATCAGATCTGAATTTCAATAGACCGCGCAAGAACCCCAATTCACCCCGAACCAACTCGCCTGCCATCTCACGTAAGAACAAGGCAGCTCTCGAGTACCGCAGGGACGAGAAAGGGGTCAAGAATCATCACTCGAAGTGTACTTCAATCTAGCTTCCTCTGGCGTCGAGAGATCATAGCGTGCCCCGTCGTGGTAACAATCTGCAGCATCATGCATGAATCAGACCTATGTTTTGGCCCCCTGAATATCGTGTTCGTGTTTGTGTTTGTTCAACAAGGCCGCCGCCGTGTAAGCGAGACGTGCATGAGAGATCCACGCCGAGATGCGTAGCTTTGGAACCAGGGCCTGTATTGGTGAGAGCATGATGAGTTGGCCAGGGGAGTCGGATGAGTAGAGGCACGATAGGCTCATCACGATTCTCTTTGGTGGCCGCGGATGTGGGCAGTCAGCATTGGAGAAGGACTTTTGTTGTCCAAGAGCTGGTATCAGTCTGATACGTCCTGGCAGGCTAGACGTATGGTTGTCAGACCAAGAGTAGAGCAGTGATCGCACTGGACGAGGCTCACTGTTCGATAGATAAACGGCGTACTGTGTCCTCTGGCCGAGGCGGTGTAAATAAAAACTTAGCGCATTTCCTCGGGAGGCCTGCCGATCTTCAGCGTCAGCGCGCGAATTATTTATCACGCCGTGTCACGGGGTTAGCTGCCCGGAGCGTCAGCGCTACCGTGTGCCTGGTGAAGCATAAAGTTTTCGGGGCTTTGGCGAAAAGGAAGCAAGGGGCTCAAAGTCCCATGCATGCCAAGAACACGTGGGCCAGCCACAGTTGACGGTAATAGCGCAAAGCCCATGTGATATGAGAAGCATGGGGGCGCAAGCCACGCGCAAGGACGATCGCTTGATGTCTGCTCCCAGGCTTCCAGGATTGGCGACAACCCTGCACCACACGGATTGTACTTGTTCTGTAACATAAGAAGCAACAACATCTCTTAAGCGATAGGTTCGGATGCTTTCCTTTGGCACCAGCCGAAAGTCCCGATACATCGTCTGTGCAGTCAATGCACTCATGCTCGCTTAGACGAGAAGTACCGGAACTTTTCCGCGGACCCTGGGGACCCTGTACAGGGTCGGGGCTAGCTTGCCACGAGGTGCCGGTAGTCGCTGAGCTGATGGCAAGGATGGCCTGGGTGAGCATCGCTTCCTGGGATACGGCCTGGTGTCCCCCCGTCGTGTCCTGGAGGCCGCTGCTCGTAACAACGTCCACGCTCGCTTATGGCGAGTACTCCAGACCACAGGGGGGATTGGATCAAGGCGCTGCGGGACCGGCGAGGGATCCCGCTGGCGCCAAATGGGTCCTTCGGCTCAAAAAGCCGCCAGGTGGAGACCCGCAGCTCACTCCTGGAGTGGCCCTCACGCCGTGGTATCCTTGGCGATGCGTGAGTTTGCCTGGTGGGCGGTTGCTGCTGACGAGGAACCGCGGACTGCCCAGAGGTAATTACGGAACAACAGATGACCTAGTATATCAGAGATGATTATCGAGATATTACGCATCTGCTATCTGGTCTCTAGCAAACCTTGCGGCGATGCAGCCAGAGACCTTCCCAGGCTCCTTTCGACTCTTGATGAATCATCCCCAGCGACGTGCTTGCGACACATGTCAGTGCACTGCATAAGGCCCTGCGCTAGAGCCTCAATGGACTCTGCCGAGGACAGAACAAGACAAGCGTGCGAGCGCTCGCTGGCCCGTACCCGTAGTAGCCACAACCGCACGAAAACCCCGACGCCGATCCTCCGCAGCACCGGTGCGTGCTGGGACAAACGTGAGCGGACTCGCTGCTTGCGAGACGTAGCGCCTCCAAATAGAGTTTGCAGGTGCAGGAGTAGGGCCGCACTAAGCAAAGCATCACTCCCAGGGCCACGCCTTTGTCTGTCTTGCGGTGGCCGGCACGTCGATAAGATTCCTTGCGGCCTCTCTCTGGTGAGACAGGGCACAAACAAAGGTGCCAAGGACAAAGCAATGAGCGATGACGCCCCCTTGGGCTCCAACCAGGTGCTCAGGAATTGCATTCCAGGCCACTCAGGGGAAGCCGTCGGCACAAGCGTGAAGCGGTTGGCCCCTAACGATGCGGCCGCCTCCCAATTCCAGTCTTCTTGCCTCGCTTGCCACCCCGGGAATACGCTTTCAACCCAAGCGGCACTGCACGCCCCCTTGTAGTTATTGGACAGGGGACGAGAGAGCATCTCACCTCCTGCCGAAGCCGAAGGCCACCATGCCGTCTACAACTACCTTTTTTTCTCTATAACAACCTCCTTCACGACCAGAATCCTCACCGGATGCCATTGCGGAGGCCCTGACTACACTCGAGCGTCAATCTACGGATTTGCAGGACCAAATACATGCCGGAATCGCATACGCAACTCCGCACCAGGCCGTGAGGCTTGCAATCATCGCTCCCTGGCCCCCCGGCACGATGGCCTCTCCACTTGGGGGAGCTCGCCTGGCGTGGGCCACCGACTCAGTCATGCTCCATCACGACCCTCGAAGCTACAGGGAACCGGAACCGCTCTCTGCTAGGATTATCGGCATCCTCTTTACGCTGTTCACTGCAGGCGCATGCGCGACTCTATTCTGTACGACACTCTCTTATCCTCGGGCGGCAGTGGCAACGCCCATCTCGCGCCGCGTGCGCACCGCTCCAACAGCATGCTGACGCCCTACCTTCGCAGCACAACGGGTCGCTGCCGTCAAGTCCTGGTCTCGATTACCATACATAAGATGGCGTAAGTACAATTGCGCTCGAACACCGGGAGAGTGTTTGGCACCCTCTGTCCATCTCAACGAATCTCGAAATCGCAACGTCGCTCGCCAAACAAAATCTACAACGATATCGATGTCACGTCCAGCCTGACTGACCAAAATCACATTCCACATAGTTGTCATACTGCAGTACGCGGGCGCCTTTGTATACACCATCTTCTCATCGGTGGTGCAATATGGATTTCACCCAGATGACGATCCGGCCGTCTGCAATGCGAGCGCGGCCGTGTGCGTCATGCTGTACGCAATCATGAAAGGGGTGGGTACCGCAGGCGAAGACTAGATTCTGGATCCCTTCTGTGGCTAACGACGGACTACAGCTCCTCTACTTGTTCCTCGCCGACAGACTGGTATGTAATCCTTGGCCAAAACCTCTAGAGTTATGCAGGCATATTGGCTGACAGCGCCGAAGCACGTCGTTCGCAGCACTGTGAAGGGCCGAAAGCAGTCAAGGCTCTTTCTGTTCCACACCATCGGAATTGCATGTGAGTTCAAGCATCAGCCCTCTACCATCACGCCAGACATTGTAGACTAACAAGCTCAATACAATACAGTCTGCATTGTGGTGCTGGCTGCCGTCTTCATCTATCTGTGGGTCCATCATTTTATTCTGGCTCATGAACTCTTGCATTGTCGCTTGTAACTGACGAATTGACAGCCGACTGCACTACATCGAAAATGGCGTCTGCATCATAGGTGTGCAACGTGTCATGATGGTCATTGGCGTGATATTTGACGCTTTGATTAATGTATGCCCTCCACCACACCAATGTGCAAGCTACACGAGGCGATTTGGACGCTGACTTCTGGATGACTTCTCAGATCTACCTGACTGGATTCTTCCTGTTCTACTTGAGCAGTAAGTAGTCCGCGACTGAGTCGATCGCAACGCGATTCGCTATGTACTTCACGCTTGAGGTCAGAGCTGACACACATGTTCAAACACAGAATCTTTCAACTTGCAGCCATTCAAGAGCTCTCGCGGCGTTGAGTCCTTGGGATCAGGCGAAAGACCAAACCCGCTAGCCGCGGAGATCAACAAGCTCACCAAGCGAACAACCATCGGTCTAGGCATTACACTGATAGCCACAATTACGTACGTATCTGCGGCCGCTTCGTCTGCCTGCCTTCGAGCGCAAATGCTGATATATGTATAGTAACCTCGCGACGATAACGATCATGGACGGCGAAGTGTTGTGGCTGTGTTTCCTGACCTGTAAAGCAGACAGTAAGTCTCTTCTGAGCACCCGTCGGCCCCGATTCGAGTGACTGACTCGGCATCCGTAACAGTCCTCCTCTGCGTCCTTGTACTTCACTACATGGCTTCCTCTGGAAGACAAGCACGGCAACAGTTCTCCACGACCGAGCGCACTGCCCGGCCGCCGTCAGCACAGACCGACAGGCCAGCATCCCCAAAGGCGAACTCGATCCGGCCGGGCGGCAATCAGCGGTTGCCCGATCTCGGCGGTCTCGAAATGGACCCAGCACCCGTTCATCTGATTGAAGTTGACGCTATAATCAACGGCGTGACGCGCAGTATGCGATTACAAAAACCACACTCGATACACGGGAACAATAGAGGCAACATCAGTAATGCGGTGTGATGTTTCACACGGGAGAAAAGACAGCATCAGCAGGTTATGATTTTGTTTGATTGGTTTTTTTTTGGCCTATCGTAGACAGACTCTGCGGATATACTTTGGTCCCGTCGGCAAATTTGGCGGGGAGAAAAGCGATGCATAGGTTCTTGGAGTTTTGAGGTTCGCCCCTTTGACTGCATTATGGAGTACACGACGTCGCATTTTCAGCACAGCCTTTTATTCTTCCTAGATTAGCGAGAGCTCAGAGAAACGACTTATCTGGATATGAAAACACGCCTCCTTACACACGATAGAGATGACTCGGAACCTTGTCTACAGCATTCCGACGTGCACGACGTTCGGCCAGGACGAATTTCTTTCTGGTTGTCAAAAATTGCTTGGACTCGTGTCGTGTGCCAATCAGCGCATCCCGGCCAATGATGCCGCATCGGAGGTGCGAGAGCGTATGGCCCAACAGTAAGTACATTTTGCGTGTACGGAACAACCGTCCAACCGGTGTCACGCAGCTCGATGACATTAGCAGGCATGTCCGGGGGTTGACTATCACGTAGGGCGAACTGGCTGTATATGATGGCTTCATCACGAGCCAGGGCCATGAGCCGGCGACTGGCTCTGGCAATGCCAGCATTGGTCTCATTCACAAGGCAGACGGCGAACACCAAATTGAGGGCCGTGGCGCAGCCACGGCTGCTGACAGCCTGAAGTCAGAGTTCTGAATAGGGGAATTCCAGCAGATGTTGCCAGAAGCGTGTCGGCCTCTCTCTCAAGGACAACAGGGTGGCGATGATGGAAAGCGTGTCGCTGAGAGAGCTCGGTGAGCGAGTATGGTAGGCAAAGTACAGATTGCCCGGCGAGGCAACATCTTGGGTGACTTGCCCTGTTGCAATGGCATCCCACTGTTTTCAACTGCTCGCAGAGCGTAACGACGGATGTTTGTTGTCGGTGGTGAAGGTCGAGAGAAACAGCTGCTGGTGGGAGTGTCTGGTGGTGCTGAGAGTGTGACGCACCTGAGGCAGGCAGGCACCAGACGCACCTGGACTTCCGACAGAGGCAGGAGCAGGAGCGCGGCAGGCGCAACCCCTTGGATGCTTCAACATGTCAAGATCTCAGCGTCTGGTCTCCCATCCCCCTCCCACTTCCCTCCTCTCTCTTCTCTCTCTGTGCCTCTGAAGTTTGCCGCCGCCACCGCTGCCAACGACGAAGACGACGAAGACGACCACCACCACCACGACCACCACCACGGCCCGCCACCACCAAGAGTCAGTCCCTCGCCTGCCCTCTTTCGCGAGTGCGTGAAGCTGACGATGGCTAAGTGGCCCGCAACAACCAGCGTGGCCGTCGTGTCTCTTCCTCGGCCCGTCCCGCCTCTGCCCGCCCAGCCGCCCGTCCCGCCGCCGCAGAGCCTCTTCTGGTCGAGGGTAGGCCCAGTGTTGAGTTCAATCCATACTGTGGTAGATCATGTGCCTGATATTCTGGGAATATAGACGCCGACGTCGTCTCTGCCGCTGTCGACGCAAGTGTCCTGCCCTTGCGATCAAATGCTCATTGACCCTAATGATTGATGCTACAGCGTCTGCTCAGTATATACTTTCCGGACGCGCTGGCCCTTGAGCGGCAACAACAACAGCAGCAGCAGCAGCAGCAGAACCAGGCAGCTGCGCGCCCGAAACGCCGCCGCCGCGGAAAGAAGCCGAGGAGCGTATGTATCGCCCATAACCTCTTCTGTATGATCCAATTTCTAACAAACGCTCGGGGCATAGAACAATGGCAGCGGCAGCAAGAACAACAACAGCAACGATGCACGCGTTGCTCGTGGTCGGTCTCGCTCGCCTGCTGCTGGCCGTGGGGCTGTCCGGTCCCGCCCGCCGTTGCGAGGACGTTCGCCGCCTGCTGCCTCGCATGGCCCAGCTGTTGTGTCGCCTGGCCCGATTGCTGCGCCGTCTTGTCCGGAGCCGGCCGCCGCTTGTTCCCGCTCGCCAACTCTTCGGGAGCGTTGGACCTCCGCTTGGCTCGAGACTGGAGCAGCCCGGCCCGCGCCGTCGACGGTGTCCTTGGGGATGTTGGACCGGTTCGCTAACACCGATGTCAGTGAATCGGGCCGCATCGCCAGGGCCGCCGAGGCCAAGCTCAAGGAGGAGCAGGACAAGAAGAGGGCCGAGGAGCGCCGGGCTGAATATGAGCAGGCTGAACGGGAGTTCGACCAAGAGCTCGAAGATATGTTTAGTAAATACTAGAAAAGGTACAGAATGAAGAAAGAAGCAGGGTTGTTCCGGGAAAATTGAACATTTCTTCAGCCGTGAGTGACAAATCGGGCTACGACGCCCCCAAGAGGCCAGCAAGTAGCTCTGCAGCGGCGGCGACGACGGGGCGATGCGACCTCATTGGCAATCACCTACGTTATCCAGTAAACGAGCCAAACACAATAACTCTTTGAAAGTATATGTGCGAGATTGGCCCGCGCTCCCTCTCGCCCAGCAAACCATGGTTCACACGTCGCTGACTCTGCCGAACGGGAACTCAAGTACAACGTGATAACAATCGAGAACACGAATAAGGGGACGAGCATCATTGGTACTGTTTGGGCGACGTCCCCCAGGCGATGCTCTCGGATAACGGAGCATGCCTTGCGAAATTGTGTGATAGAACCCATTGCGCAATTTGGACAGAGTCAAGTAGCATGTCAAGTGTGCACTCGTGGAGATGGGTGAAGGACAAGAATTATGGTTATAATTTGCATTTCCTCCTTGTAAAACCGTCTGACGCTTATTGAATGCCAACAAGCCAAAAAGGCGCCAAGACCATCCCATGTCGTGACACTCCGCAACATTAAACGAGCACCTTCTCCGTGGTGGTCTCCGGCACAGCCACCTTTGTCGCCGACCCGTCCGAAGACCCGACCTCGCTCGCATCAATCACCGCAGCAGGCATGTTCTCCTCGCGCTCCTCGGGACGGACATAGTCCTTAGGCTCGCACCACCGCTCCTCCTGGATGGGCACGGGGAAGAACTGGCAGAGGGCCCAGAACACACCGCCGGACAAGAACAGGCCGACCCAGTACGCAAAGTAGTAGAACCGCGAAATGGACACTGGCGCGGCGACACCCATGTTGTTGAGGAAGCCGTAGAAGTTGGGGGCGATGCCGACAATGTACGCAATGTAGGCGCGGATGTTCCAGCCGTGGGTGAAGTAGTACGCGCCGTCCTTGGACGGGGTGAAGGCGTCGGGGATGCTGATCTTGCCCTTGCTGATGAGGTAGTAGTTGGCGAGCAGGATACCGGTGATAGTGGCAAGGAAAACCTGGTACGATGACAGGAAAGAGACGAAGACGATCGCAGAGCCCTACGTGTGACAGCAACAGTTAGTGAGGGGCCTCGGCAGTCATGGTATGGAGAGGGTAGGCTTACCAGAAGGTACCATGGGCAGATAGCAAAGGACAACACGGCACAGATGAAGAAACCTCTGCGCACGGTGACGTATTTGGGGAAGAGGGCCGCAATATCGTTACCCGCAGGCAGCGAGTTCTCAAAGATGGTGCTGAAAATGCAGCTGTAGGCGAACATTGCGGCCAGGAAGAAACAGCCGGCACGATTGGCCGCCGTGTATTCAGTCGATTGCAGCATGTCGAGCAGCGTGATCGGGTTCCACACGAGCTTGCCGAAGATGAGCTGGCTGGACGCGCACACGAGATTGCCGGCAATAGCAACGATGAGGTTGGACACGGGGAAACCAAAGACATTGCCCAGCAGCACGTCGTTCTTCCTCTGAGCATACCGCTGGAAATCGGCAGCGTTGGAGGCGAAGGTGGCAGAGTTGGACGCGCCGAGGAGGAAGAACCGGACAATGAGCCAGGTCCGGGTCTCGCCCGTGGCAGTGCCGGGCTGGGAAATGACGGCACCAAGACCACCGGCCTTGGTCGCGGTCCATGCCACCATGGCGATGGCAGACACGACGAAGACGCCGAGCTTGATGTAGATAAGGATCCGCATCTTGGGCACAGGGATGACGAGGAAGAAGCAAGTGACGAGCCAGAAGACGGCAAAGCCAATCATCCCGCCCGAGGTTAGCGACGATCCGGAACCCATCGTGTTGGGAATAGCGGCAATCGAGGGAGTCAGGGCATGCAGCATCACGTAGACGCATTGCCCGCCCTGGACGAGGTTGACACCGTTCCAGACAACAGCCGAGACGGCGCGGTTGAAGGTTGGCCACCAGGCACCGTACACGCCAAACGCCGTGCGGCAGACGACGGGGAAACCGATATGGTACGTGGCCCCAGCCCGACCGTTTAATGCCATGATGATTGCTATTAGCACCTGTCCCCCGAATGCGCAACCTAAGCTTTCCCACATGCTCAAACCCAGAGCCTGAGCAGCCGAGGCAGCGTACCAATTCGTGACTGTCGCGACGGCGCTAAACCAGAACATGGTGTACGTGAGGTGCGTCCATGTCCGGTCGGCCAGCTTCAGGGGTTGCAGGTCCTCATTGTCGAGAGTGAGCTTCTTGCCCTTGATGTCCTGCGCACCGACCGCCACCGAGTGGAACTCTTTGCCGAAGACCCTCATCTTGTTGATGCAACTGGGTTACTGGCTCCAGGGAAGGGCGACTGGTGACCTCGAGAGGGCGCCTCGAAAGTCGTCGAAGTGGAAGGGGGCGTCAGGCGAAAAAGACTGGGACTGCAGGGCGATGATCGTCAAGGAGTGAAGCTGCGCCCGGTCATCTTTATATCCTGCCCTGCTATTGCGCCCCTGCAGACGAGAAGATGTGCAGACGGCGGCTTTATCAGGGTCGTCAAAGGGCAGTGAAGAGGCAAATCCGGTGGCAGGACGTGCTGGTCGGGGAAGCAGCGGCAGACCGAGCCACGCTCAGCCCCGGCCTCCTGAGCGCGAAGCACGGTTGTCCCTTGGCGAAATTCAAATTTCGCATGACTCTCTTATCTGCAGCTGCTGAGCTAATGTGATTTCGCACACTCCGAGTGGCCAGATGTGCCGTGCCCGGTTCTGGGCAAGCGGGGGTGGAGACGGGAATCCCTGGAACTGCGGGAGACCGCGTAGGCGTCTTATCACACTGCCAGGAACCCACTGGCACGCGTTCTTGGGTGTGGAGGCTCAAGGGTCGGCATGGGCCGGAATTCCGCTGGCCCAATGGGATTTCCGCTGGCACTCCGTTGTTCTTCCGGACATCTGATGTTTTTGCCTCACAATCAGGGTCATGTGTTCCGTGAGTTTGGAGCTGGAGGAGATGGCAAAACCAAGGCAAATAAGAGGTACGTTGCGAGACAAAGGTCGTCCGGCTGCTGATACTGACTCCGCAGAGAACCAGCAGCCATCAGACCCTTCCAGACGAGCACCTCATGGCCACTATGACCGAGACGACTGCGCCGGCGGCGCCAGAGAGCTACAAGCTGGAGCTGATGTCTGCTTACGGCCCAGTTTATCGCGATGTCCTCCGCACGCCCGCGAGAAACTGCACGTCGTCAGAGGTGCCCGTCATCGACCTGACCAACCTCAGCGGCACAGAGGAACAGCGCCGCGCTTTGGCAGAGACCATCAGGGAAGCGTCGGAGAACACGGGTTTCTTTTACATCAAGAACCACGGCATTCCCAGAGAGGTCATCAACGCCGCCTTTGCCCAGGCCCAAGCCTTCTTCACGCAACCCGAAGAGAAGAAGGTCGCCGTCTCCAACCGCAAGTCCAAGTTCTTCAACGGCTGGGCACGCAAGTACGACATCAAGATCTCGCCGACCGACAAGCCAGACAACCGCGAAGGTTTCAGCTTTCGCTACGACCCCCGCCATGACCCAGAGACAAAAGACCCTGCCGCTGTGCCCGCGGACGTGCAGAAATGGCTCAAAGTCGAGGACTTTGTGTGGGACGGCACCGCCCACCTCCCCAACTTCAAGCAGGACATGGTGTCGTACTGGCAGGAGTGTATCACACTGGCGCGTCGCATGATCAGAATGTTCGCACTGGCGTTGGACGCCCCCGAAAACTACTTTGATAACCTAGTCACATACCCTGGAAGGTGAGTCTTTGTCTCTGTCAATCGTCTGCCAGCGAGTCTCCATACTAACCTCCTCGTAGTGACAGCGTCTTCAACTACTACCCCAAGAACGAGGGCTCGGCAGAGGGCCTCGTCGACGTTGGCCTGGGCGCCCACACTGACCTGCAGTGCTTTACATTCCTCTGGCAGGACGATGTTGGCGGTCTGCAGGTGCTGAACAAGGACGGACAGTGGGTGAAAGTGCCCCCCATGCAGGACACGTTCGTGGTCAACATTGGCGACTTTATGAACCGGCTGTCCAACGACCGCTTCAAGTCGACCGTGCACCGCGTGTACAACCACGCGCCCCAGGATCGCTACTCGATGCCGTTCTTCTTCGGACTGAACCACAACGAGCAGTGTGCCGTCTTGCCGTCGTGCACGAGCGAGACAAACCCGGCCAAGTATGAGCCGATAAGTTGCGGCGAAGTAAGTGGTGCAATTTGCTTCGTTCAACGTCTCGTCTCGGACCTTATGCTAACCTTTCCCTTGCTTACCAGTGGTGTCGCCTGCGCTTCGAAAAGACATTTGAAGTCTCCAAATCAAGCTCTTGACTGCACTAAGCCTCGATCACCAAGACTCTGCACACCAAAAGCATAGCGAACTTGACAAAGTTAAACAAATAATAAATGAAAACGAAATGTTTGCTGAGTGTTTGCCATTTTCATACAAAGTATGTATTGCACAACCATCCTGAAGAAGGCTAGAAGAGAAAAGAGAAGAAAAAAGAAAAAAACAAGAAAAAACAAGAAAAAGACAAAGAGCACAAGCCAGGGAGAATGGAGACGCACTGCCCAGTGCGTGGCCTGACTCTTTGCATCCTTGTCAATAGCTCATTAGCCACTGCCTCACCATCTGCATGCCCCAACGGACGGAAACAGACTAACGCCTCCCCCATGTACCTCTGCAACCCCTCTGCACCCTGGGAAACCTTGGCTTTACACTACGTAATTATGCTGATAAGAGCACGTCGCCGTGATTGGCTGACACTTAAGTCCCGAGCTCCTAGCCCGCGGGTCCGCTTTTAGGACGGGGAAAACCCAAGGACCAAAGCAAGGGTCCTCTTTCAACTTCACCTTGTCCCGACCGCGGACTTTCTGCCCTCGTCGTCACGTCACCAGCGTAGTCGGGGCCTGCGGAGAACGTGCCTGCGCGACCAGGCACCGCCCAATGACAGTCATCGCACCGCCTCCGCCAGCATGCAGTCACTCCCACACGTCCCGGCGAAGCGGGATGCGCCAGAGGAGCAGCGGGCCGCCGACGAAGACGACGAGCGCTCGCCCAAGTCGCGTCGCCGCGCGTTCTCGTGCATCTCGTGCCAGCGCCTCAAGTGCCGCTGCGACTACGACTATGCGCTCCAGTCGTGCACACGGTGCCACAGCCTGAGGTGGGCACGAGTCTTTGGAGCGTCATGAAGGAGGAGGAGGAGGAGGATGATCATTTAGCTGACAAGATGCCCTGAGACAGGACCAAGTGCTCCCGCAAGGACCCTCCACCGAGGATCCCGGAGACCAGCAAGGAGACAGACGCCAAGTTTGCGCTGCTGGAAGACAAGTACGCTGTTTCTCCTTCTTCCATTCCCAAGTCTTGGTCGCTGTTCTACCGGGACAAGGATTGACGCGGAGCCACCTCCCTCCAGGCTGCAGAGACACGACGAAGCACTCGCCGAGATTGCAGACCTCCTCCGGAGCATCAAGGCACACCAGCAGCCGCCCATCAGCCTAGAGACGCGGCTCGATGACGTCGCGCACGTCTATGGCCAGCAGGCGGCGCAGCCGACGGCGTCCTCTGCCAGCATCCCACGAGTGACGATGCGCGAAGAAGACGAGTCTGCAAGGGAAGCAGAAGCGGGAGTCACCCTGCCGACGGCGCCTCTGATGGTCATTCGCGATATCGGGACTCGCTTCCCCGCGCCTCTGAAGAAGACGCGGCGCCCAACCACGGTCAGGATCATCGACGAGGGCCTACTGGACGAGAAGACTGCCCGCGAGCTTGCGGCCGCGTAAGCAACAAGTTTCCCTGATCTCCTGCAAGACCCCGAGAACGTGAGGGCTGACCATCTATCCGTTCAGGTTCCCGCAGTCCGGCTACAATTCCGTGTTGCTGCCAGAGATTGCCGAGCTCGACTGGAAGGACGAATACCGCGACGGGCTGCCGTTCTTGCACAGCGTGTGCTGTGTGCACGTCATCGCTGACAGGAGAGATATGGCGCAGACGATGCTGCACAGGAGGATCTTTGAGAGAGTCAAGTTGGCACTCGGCACACTGCTGCTGGACTACCCGCTCAGTCTCGACGAAATCCAGGGCATCCTGATGTGCACCGACAGCTTTCGTGTTGGAGCTGGAGTGAGTTCAAGTTCCGTTTCTCGCCCGCGCGCTCATACTGATGTCGAGTTCTTGGACAGGATGGCAAAGAGTTTATAGACAGCTGGATGCTCACGGGGTACTGCGCCAAGCAGGCCATGCTGTGCATCGAATTCGACAGGATAGCTCGAGAGACACGGCAAGGCAAATCCGGGGCGGCAAATGTGAGAGCCATCCGGCTGTGGGCTACCATATGCCTGCACCATCTTCAGTGAGTTCCGTCCACCGGATCGGTGGCCCATGCAGAGACCACATTTCGGAGCAAACACTGACTGTGGCCTAAAAGCTGGACGGCTGCATCCGGACGACCCTCGACCATTACCGAGTCGTACCTGAATTACTGCCCGCTGCTGCTTAATTTCTATGACGCCTCGGTACAAGACGGTATTCTCCTGGCGGAGCTCTTTCTCTATTCCATACTACCTACCGTTCTCGAGAAGCCTCCTCAGTTGGACGTTGATGGCGATTGCAATGAGTTTGCAGCATGGAGACACGAATGGCGGCATCTGCTGGGTAAGTCTTCAACTCGTTTTCTTTTTCAGGCAAGCTTTGATCTCCAAGCCTGGCTAACCATATCTGATATTCGGGAACCACACAGCTCTGCCAGCAGCAGCGCTTCTCAAGATGGGCTACGCATCAGCCTGTCTCCTGCTCGTCGTCCGCGGCTTGGAGCACCAAGGCGAACAACTCGGCCCAGCCGCGTTCCTCTCGAGACACTCTTCTCCAACCACAGACGACGAGAAGCAGCAGCAACAGCTAGTGCAGCAGCAACAGATCGTCAACCTGCGCAGAGCAGCCGCCAAACACGCACACGCGCTCCTGCAGACTTTTCTGGGGATGCCGGACACCCTGCAGGACTCTGTGTCCTCGAACCGCTGCCTGTGTCTGACGTACGGGGCGCTTGTGCTGGCGCATTACGACGAGTCGCAGTCGAGTTTGTCGGATATGGACAATCTGCGTCTGGTCCGGCGACTGCACGAGTGGTTCAGCAACAGCCCGAGCAAGGTCGTGCTGGCAAGATTCACCAACCTGTGCGAGCACATTATTGTCGGCAGGCTTGAGCGGGCACGGACACGGGGTCCTGCAAAGGTCGGGGGTACGGGCGTTCCAGATGGCCGATATCAGGGCAAGGACGGGACCGGTCTTGCAATGGCACATGGCGTGGGCTACAACTACGGCCCTCTGCCCGACGGCCGCCAAGTTGTGGCTTCGCATGCAAGTAGTGGTGCAGCACTGACCGTGGACGGTGTGCCTGTGATCGCGACCTTTGCGACCAGCGCCGAGGGTGTCTTCAACGCGGACCCGGATGCGCAGGAGATTGCTGGGCTGTTTGACATGCTGCCGAGCATCAACCTCGAAGACTTCTTCGCTGGAGGCTACCTGGAAATGTGAGCGAAGGGGGCCTGCTGCCTCGATCCTGGACACTAGCATGCAGCAAAACACTACAGGCCGGCGACGGAGGCTCTGCATTGCGCACAAGTCGATTGTGTTTGCGCTCAACTTCCTGGTCGCTATAAAGTACCATTTAATAACCGCGGGAATAGCCCCAGCATGGTACTTCTATACGCTGCACGATGATGATGAACTTTTAGAATAAAGACCATGTGTCAAATAAATGCGAGCAAGACTGTTGCTACATATACCAGACACTTATATTCCGGCCCTGTCAAGATAAGAGCCAGCGACGAAGATTTAATTGAACCACCAATTGCACAACCTCTTGAAGATATCCATGAGAATCGACTGTGAAAAGCAATATCACGACAACCAGACATAATCTTTTGACGCTGCATTAGACCTGGCTAAGAATTCGAAAATGGTGTTGCCCCGAATACCTCGTCGCACATGCAAGATTGGTAATAGAGGATAAAGCTTGAATGCCTCTTTCTTTGTGCAGATACCACGGCAAATATGGCCGGACAAGTGAATGGATATTGCAGACGCATTTTGCGCCGCTTGCAGTGATCAACATTAAATACTACTATTACTACTGATTTTTGCTGTCAATTTCAGAACAGACGCGCATCGTATCTCTTTCCCACGGTCTGCCCATCATCTTCCTGGGCCGAGTCGGTCGTGTAGATGGACAAGACATCCGTGCTGTTCCCATAGTCCACCCCGCACTGCTCCGAGAACCCGTCAAACATGGCCACCCGGTCCTGGATATACTTGCCAAACGCATCCCGCGAGCACATGGTGCCGGGGCCGTCCGCACAGCCCGGCAGGTCCTGGGGGGAGCTGTTGACCAAGATCCGGTAGTACTCGTCGTCGTCGTAGCCGTAGGAGCCGGAGCAGTTGAAGCGCTCGATGGCGATGTTGCTCAGGAAGGGCAGGACGTGCGACGTCTTCCACGCGCGGCGGTAGTTGATCCTGTCGAGGGGCATGGTGTCGTTGATGTTTCCGCTGCCCGCCGCGAAGGCCGAGTTGTTGAAGAGCCCCAGCGCGACGACGACCATGGGCGGGAGCTCGCGGTGCGTGAAGCTCACGTACAGATCCTCCTCGGAGGACGAGTTCAGGAGCAAGGAAGCAGTGGCATTGACCCACGGCATGCCGACGTAGCCTGCGACCGGCAGGCCGTAGCCGACGTTGTAGTGGTAACGCACATCCTCGGAGTACTCCCAGCCCAGCCAGTCGTCCGGGGTGAACAGGTCGAGGTCGCAGAAGGGCGAGCGGCCGCGGATGACGGTCTCGTAGCCGCAGAGCTGCATCATGCCAAACACGTCGTTGGTGGTGAAGTTGAACTCGGAAGCCAGATCGTTGAAGCGGGCGGCAATCGGCGAGGCAAACTTGGTCTGGTACTCTTCAGACTGGTCGCTACCTGCAGAGCTCGAGTAGGCCGGGCACGCCTTGTAGGGGGTCAGGCTGTCGGCGCCGGATTCCTCCGACTCGTACACGGTGACGACCTTAATGTCATTGTCCTCAGCCTCGAGGCCGCGCACGAGTGACTGCGCAGACTTGAAGGTGCGCTCGGCAGAGGATGTCCAAACTTGCTTGGGCTTCTTCAGGTCCGGATAGCGGAAGTCGAGGTCAACGCCGAGCTGGGTGGCTTCGAGGCGGCCGACGCGGGTGAGGAGAGACGTCTCAGCTTCGGAAACGGGTGGCTCCCAGTCGGCCAGGAAGTTGAGGCCGGGGGTCTTGGCCCAGTCAATGTTGGTCTTGTTGCCGAGTTTCTCGAGGAAAGGCTCCATGTACTCTTCGTAGTCAAAATCGTTGGCGTAAATCGCTGCGTGTCGGACGAGGTAGGCGGCGCGTCGGGGGATACGGGAGGGTCCTGCGGCTCAAAGTAAGGGGCGATGCCAGTGAGATGCTCGAGAGGGTTGAATGAGTAGGTTGAGTATAGAGCTGAGGCGGAGACCGATGCGGCCAAGGGCACCAGGGCCAGAAGCCTGCACGCGGTGGACGGCATGGTGAGGGGGAGCACTTTGTCGGCAGTGTACTTTATGGAGCGTGAGGGACTTGAGGGTCACAAAGGCTAATTAGTGGATGTCCGTCGCAGGCCTATATATGTACAGCGAACACGGTTGAGCTGCCAGGCACTTTGTTTATGAAGAGTGCCTGACCTTGGCAACTCACATCCGTTGCATAATCCAGGAACCAGGCACGAGATGATCTCATGGGCCGGAGCTTGACGTCAGTTACGCACCAGCGTCTTAGCTCCGCGCCATGATCCCCAGCAAATCGACGATGCTTGGCGCGGAACCCTGGACGCCTGGCCAGCGCTGATTGGGGCCGCCGGGGGCTTGCTGGCTCAAGCTCCGGGCAGGCAGCTCCGCAGTAGAGCCGCTCCAAGTGCCGAAGTGCCGCGCTGGTGGAACTCATAAGAAGCCTTATAACGTCATTGTCCCTTGATGAATAGTAGCATGAGGAATTGCTCTTGGAGGGATTGTTTGCTCACAATGCAATAGGTACTGAAGCACAATTCAGCCTGTGTAGACACAGACTGGATTATGAGCCGACTAGTGGAGGCTTTCGCCTAGACATGAATGAGGCATATTAGCACCCTCTGCCATACAATTGGGGACGAGGTTTATGTGTTTCTCCTTTCTTGTTTTGTTCATAAATCACCATCCTCATCACTGGTAGATGCCGTTGTGCACGATGTGAATTACATCCAATTGAGAGCGAACTGAGCAATGGAGGCGCGCGAGATGCCACGAACAATGATCCCACACCCAGTGATCCAATGCAAGGAACTGCCTGCAGCTTTGTAGGGCTGGCCCGCTCTATACACCATGCTCACGATTGGATCCCAATTAAGCCTTGGCCTCATTCTCCTTCAAGTACGCGGCAATGTTAGGGCGCTGGCTCATGGCTTCGACGAGCTTGGTGATCTCGGCAGGGAGGGACGCCTAGAATTGGACATGCAGCGTCAGCAAACCACTCCGGGAATGACCTGCAGCGGAACGGTCCACCGCCGCGCCCAAACGCAAGGTTCGTTCAGGCAGCAGCTATGCAGGTCGCCGGGTAGAGACGGGAAGTCAACTCACCGGCAGTGTGCCGATCCGCTTGTCGTTATCCCAGGACTGGAACACGGCAAAATCGGCGTACGTGATGCGGTCGCCGAGCAAGTATGGTCCGCCGCTCTGGGCATAGTACTCGGCGACGAGTTTGTAGTACTCGACGGTCGTCTTGGTCTTGTACTCATCAGAGGCACCTGACAGGGCCTTGACCCAGGCAGACTGTTTGGCAAAGCATGCTGGTCAGCTTATCCGCCAATTGGCTACACTGGAGCAGAAATCTCCCTCGGGGATCAATTGAAGGCCATGCGCCTAGGGAGACTCACCCTCCAATCAATGTACAAGTCCGAGACCACGTCGGCGATGTACTTCTCCTCATTCGTCTCGCCGTCGTACTTGCCCAGGTCGCGGGCCAGGTAGCGCAGAGTGGGCACATGCTGGGTGAGGAGCTTGCCCTTGTACTCGACGGATGGCAGCTTGCCCGTCTTGCTCAGGCCTTCCTTCTGGAGCTTGGCGCTCGCGGCAGGCCATGTGTCGTCGTATGGGTAGCGCTTCTCGTCGAAGTCGATGCCAGCATCCTGGAGGAAGAGTCTGCAGGGACCGTCATGGTCAGCGGTCTTGCTCTTTCATTGAGTAGCGTAACGGATAATGATTGTGCAAGGCAATAGTTACCTGACGACTTCTCCGCGGCCGAGTCTGCCAATGGCGAGGTAGTGATAGACGGGCTTGGTCGACATTGTGCTTGGTAGTGAGGATGTTGAGGAGTATACTTCAAAAGTCAATTGCTGCTGTTGTTGGTGTTGATGCTGGTGCTGGTGCTGGTGGAGCTAGCATTTCAGACTACCACATCGTGAGGGGAAGAAGGGTCTTTATAGTTAGTGATGATGTAGCCTCCTGCAGGGGATTTGGAATCTTGCAATGGGCGAGCTCGTAAGGTAGGCCAATTGACCGACAGGGCCGCAGTGGACGAATGCAGCTAGAGAGACGACCCCGATGATGTGGGATGAAATCGGCCCCTGTCCAGGAGGCATAGCTTGCCTGGTTAGAGTTTCGGGACACCCCATCTCCGCCGGGGTAGTGTCGGTTGGCGAGGGGCAGCGCGAGCCTTGGCTGCATCCTGCAGGATCGACATCTCCGGCTTTTGAGACGGGTTCTTTACTCAGCAGCAACGAGTTCCAGTGAGACAGCCCATACGAAAAGTATCAGATAGAGCCTTTCATTTGTCCCTTTGTGTTGTCCCCGTCGGTTGTGGGACAACTGTCAGCGCGCATCTTCTGACAGCAATCAGCCCAAGAGCGGATCTCCGCGGGGACCTGATGCCTGCGCCCTTGGGGAAACAGCGCCGCGGGGATTGAACCATGCCGTGTGACATGCAAACACCGGGCCATTGCGTAAGGAAGGCTCCACCTTTTGTAATCTAGCCTGGGCAGCTCTGCCCAACCACATGAGCTACATAACACACATCACTGATGCACGTATACTCAATCTCGGGATTTCCTATGTTTCCTCAGCAGCGGTGATTGAATGACTGATATCGACAAATCCCGTGGTCGCCAAGAAGATATGTGGTTGGTTGTGGGCATCATGGGATATGATAAGTCCGCGGACAGGCTGCTTTTCGCAGATGGCTAGAGCTAGCCTCCCAGGCTCGGCCACCGACAATGTCCAAAGAACGATCAAGAGAATTTGAATGCCACCCCGTGACTTTGGATATAATCATGACACTGACTATTCTACCTTCCGATGATCTTTTCGAGGTAGTTCAGCCAGTTCTCCCCGAGCACCTTGCGCATCTTGGCCTCGCTCCAGCCCTTGCGGGCCATCGAGCACGCCAGCTCTGCCCGCTCGGCCAGCGGGCCCAGCGGCTTGACCACCTTCTGGCTGCCCCATGGCGTCAGCTGCCGCGCATAGCCCTTGTCCTTGTTGCACCACGCCATAAAGTCGCTGGGCCGGCCGTGGCCTTCGCTCGAGTCGGACCCGATGCCCACGAGGTCCTCGCCGATCAGCCCAATCACATACTCCAGCGCGTCGACGTAGTCGTCTATCGTGCTGTCGTTGCCCTTTGCCATGTGCGGGCCAAACTGCGAGAGCCCGACAAACCCGCCCTTGGACCCGATGAGCTTGATCAGGTGGTCCGACTTGTTGCGCGTGTGCTCCTTGAGCCCTGCGGGCAGGATGTGCGAGAAACACGGCGGCTTGCCCTCGGGCGCGTACAGGATCGTGTCTTCAGACGTCTTGGGCCCGACGTGGCTCAGGTCGACGACCATGCCGAGTTTGGCCATCTCGTCCACAACCTGCCTGCCGAAGCCGGTGAGGCCAGAGTCGTTGAGCTCCGTGTAGCCCGCGCCCGAGTAGTTCTGGGTGTTGTACGTGAGCTGCATCTTGACGACGCCGAGGTCGCGGAACACGCGGAGGTAGTCGAGCTGGTCCTCGATGCCCGCCGTGTTCTGCCACGAGAGCAGCACGGCGGTCTTGCCAGCCTTCTTCGCAGCGCGGATGTCGGCAACGCAGTGCGCCTGGACAATCAGATCCGAATGCTCCTCGAACCACTTCTTCCACTGCACTACATTGGCAATCGACTGGCGAAAGCCCTCCCACAGGCCGCATGTACACGACACGCCAGTGAAGCCCCCCTTGTGCCAGCTCTCGAAGATCTCGCGGGAGAAGTTGCAGATGTTGAGTCCATCAAAGTGGATAGAGTCGGCATAGATGGCCCGCGCCTCGGATTCGGACACCATGGTGACGGTTGTTTGCACTTGATGTCTGGCTTTGTATGAGGTCGTCGATTCTGTGACTTGATGTGCTGAACAAGAAATTGTGGCAGAGGGGAATACTAGATTTGCTGGGGTCCGTATGGGTTATTGGGGCCGAAGATGCGTAGCTACCACCGGGTGCTTCTCCAAATCCCCAAATTCTAGATCGAGAAGGGAAAAGCAGGGTCCAACACACTTGACTAGTCCGTCGGAGCACGATGCGAAAGATACGGAGCTCATGTCATCGCAACATTCTCCACGATAGTGGCGTGCTGTCCAATGGTAGCCGGGTGGTTTCCCCGACCTGGCTAACGGCTGTGTCTTCCGAGCGGAGTGCTGGGTCCTGCCCCTGCCGCCCTTGTCCCCAGGCGAGCCAAGCGTCGGGCCTCGCCCCGACAGAAGCTACCAAGCTCGGCAAAAGCTTGACGATGTTGGATGTCCGCGCCAAGATAGCTTGTCGGTGTGTGTCCCGCCATGGCGTGACGGCCTGAGGCTCGTGGATGGTCAACACTGGGCGACAAGCCGAAGGCGCTCGGAAGGGTGCGGCCCGGCCGGCCGGCCGTTTTACGAGCCCCCAGTGAACGTGGCTGAAAGCTTCCTTGGCCTAATGTTGGTGGGAGCTGGCTCGCGTACCTCGACCACCACCCAGCCAAGCCAACTGCCGATAAGCTATCGCTGGCATTGAGCATGTCTCTATCGCAGCGGCCTGTCGGACCCGACCCGACAGTTTGGGACGCGGCGTGGCAAGCCTTGGTTAGGGTGACCAAGCAGCGAGTGACCCTGGATTTGCTGTGGATCTGCTGAGCGTCGTGCTTCTCTGCTGAAGATAGCACCGCAGAACCTGTGATGGCGTGATCGCCCCGGGGATGGTACGTGCATCCACTGCCCAGGATATAATTCTCAGTTCAAGCACGCTCCGTGCTCCCTTTGGTGTGTTCGATGCGGCCATCCGGACTCTGGACATTCAATTGCTCCGCAGCTCAGAACGAAACCAGCCCCTGATCACCCTCACGCCGGAGCGACGCGCACGTGCCAGGAAACATGGCGCATTCGGTCAGCGAGAAGGAGCGCGAGCTTGACAGTGGCTCCAAGAATGACGTCCGTCTTGGCGAGGCTCGCGTGCCCGACGCGCAGCCGCGCACTCTGCGCCAGAAGATCTCCGCCGTGGTGTGGGACTCGCTCGACAAGACGCCCCAGGAGCGCAAGTTCATCTCGAAGATCGACTGGTGGATCCTCTCGTATTGTTGTGTCGCCTATTTCGTCAAATACCTTGACCAGACCAATGTATGCTTGACTACGAGTCGAAAGCCCGTCACGTGGCTGCTTCACATGCTGACAACGCGTGACTTTGCAGGTCTCGAATGCCTATGTCTCGGGCATGCAGAAGGACCTTGCCATGGGTGGAAATCAGCTCAATTTGTTGACTACTTACTGGAATGTCGGCAGGTATTCCCGCCTGAATGTCTCCCAGAGTGATTATATTAACCCGGGCACAACAGGCTACATCATCGGCCAGCTTCCTTCTCAGCTTGTTCTCACGAAGATCCGCCCTTCTATCTGGTTGCCCTCGCTCGAGATCATCTGGAGCATTCTCGTCATCGGCATGGCCGGGGCCAAAAACGTTGAGACGCTGTACGCCTTGCGGTTTTTTGTCGGCCTGCTCGAAGCATCCGCGTACCCGGGTATCATGACGCTACTAGGTAATTGAGGCGAATTTTCTATTATTTTGAGATGCGCTAACGAGTATTAGGTAACTGGTATACGCCTGCTGAGCTAGGCAAGCGCGCCTGCATCTTCCAGGCCTCTTCGTCCGCCGCACAGATGTTCTCGGGCTATCTCCAGGCTGCGCTTTACAGTGGCATGAATGGCCGTGGCGGACTGGCAGCCTGGCAGTGGCTTTTCGTATTTGACGGTACGTTTTTTTCTCCTTGTATGAAGATACCAGTGCTAATCTCTTATCGCAAGGCATCATCGGCATCCCCATCGCCGCGTACGGCTACTGGGCCATCCCCGACCAGCCTACCTCGTCCAAAGCGCGCTGGCTCAAGGAAGAGGACCGCGCCATGGCCATTGGCCGTATGGAGTCGTGTGGCCGCGCGCCGATGAAGAAGCTGACGTGGAAGATTATCCGCGAGATCCTGACCTCCTGGCCTGTGTATCTCTTCTGCACCATCTTCATCTTCCACGTGCTCGGCATCCGCATCTATGCGTACATGAACCTCTGGCTCAAGGCAACGGGCCTGTACACGACCGAGGAGGTCAACATCATCCCGACGGCTGGCTATGGCGCGCAGATCTTCTTCACCCTGACGTACGCGTGGACGAGCGACGCCATCGGCCTGCGCTGGCCCCTGATCATCGTGGCCTGCCTGATCGCCATGGCCGGCACCATCATCCTCTCCGTGTACCCGGAGGGCAACATCCCCGCCATGATGGCGGGCTGGCTGCTCACTTTTCTCGAGACCGGCGCGGGCGCGCTCATCATCACGTGGATCAACGAGGTGTGCTCGCACTCGGCCGAACACCGCGCGATCATCATCGGCGTGGTCGAGACCGCGGCCTTCACGTTTCAGGCGTGGGTTCCGCTGCTGGTGTACAACACGGGTGAAGCCCCCAAGTTCAGGATCGGCTACAAGATGGCCACAGTGTTCTTTGGACTCGAGATCGTCATGACGCTGGCGATCTTGTACTGTGCCAAGAAGTGGCCGCAGAGGAAGCGAGAGGAGACTGCGTCGTTGTCTGACGAGGGTGTGGCAGTATGATTGGAGGACTAGTCTGTTCGAGCGGTTCAGAGGGTCCGCTGTGTCTTCCGGGCAAATTAGGCACCACTAAGCTGCCGTATCTTGCATGCAAATATAAGGTCCAGGAATTCCGTCGTTGTTGGTCACATGTCTGAGAAAGAGAGAAAGTCTTTGCTACAGCAACCAGGTCACGTATCGAGATATCGGCAGTGGACATGCGTCGAGGTGCTAGTGATGAGTATAAACTAGTATAAAAATTGACGGACAAGGCCAAGTGGAGGGACTAGGTCCACAACCGCCGGGACATTCTCAAAGGTGTGTCCAAAAACGCTACTGCTTCACAATATGTGACAGCCGCATAACACTACCACAACGCAGCCGCCTATCTCTTCAAGCACTCGTCTGCACCGCTGGGAGATTGAGAGCCGGGTACTCGGGCACCTCGTACTCCTTCTTCGCACTCGGCGCAAAGAAGGCAAAGAAACGATCGATCTTGAGTAAGGCGATGGTCCAGACAGCCCACTGTAAGCAAGCGATGCCAAATCTCGTGCTTGGGTACAATATCCCAGGTATGCCGGGCGGGAGTGTCTGTGCGCCATTGACAAACGGCCTCAGGTCCTTCTCGTACCGGGCGAATGCCGCCTCAAAGTCGCCCGGGTTCTCCGCGAGCGCGCCGGCCAGGGTATAAGCGCCCATGAGCGAGCACGTGGTTCCCAAACCCGTGATCGGCCCCGGGCAGTACCCGGCGTCTCCCAGCAGGACCGACCGCCCTTTACTCCAGGAGGAACACTTGACCTGGCCAATTTCGGACATGTAGTAATCGTCGGCGGCCATCAGGCCCTCGTTCATGCGCTTCGACTCCCACCCGCAGTCCTGGAACAGCGCCGCCCACGTCCGCTTCTGTTCCTCGACAGACTGGTTCTTCTGCACGTCTCGAAGGAACTGTGTCTTGCCCATGATCGCGTACAGCGACTGGGTCCCGCTCTCTGCGCCGGTGCGTATCGTCAGCAGTCGCCGTCCAAGGGTGGGCATGACGAGTGCCTCCTTGTGCTGTTTGTCGCTCTCCGACTTGGGTTGTGTCCACAGGCCGATGAATAGGTCGCGCGACTCAAACATCTTGGCGCCGGCCTCCTCGCCAAACATGATGCGCCGGGTCTTTGAGCCCTGGCCGTCCGCGCCGACGACGAGGTCGTACTCGCCCCTGCTGCCGTCCGAGAAGACTACATGCGCAACGTCGTTGTCCTGCTGGATGTCGGTCGCGTACTTGCCGTACTCGTACCTGAGTGACCTCTTGCCGCTTTCTTTGAAGGCGGCAGCCAGCTTGAGGCTCTCGTCGTATAGGACCTGCACGAGATCGCCGCGCATAATCTCGTACTCGCTGACAAACGACTGTGGTCCCTTGCCCGAATCGTTTACACCAAAGACACCCAGCCGCTGGCCCTTGTCATTGACGAACACGAGGCCGGTTTCTGGGACGGTGCGCTGCTTGACGACCTCGAGAAGGCCCAGGCGGCTCATCACCGGGATGCCCTGGTCGCGCAGGTCGATCTGCTGCCCGCCCGTGCGGAGCTCGGGGCTGCGCTCGACAATGGTGATGGCGCAGTCGAGCGATGAGTGCAGGAGGAAGCACGCGAAGGCCGGGCCACAGACGCCGGCGCCGTTGACCAGTATTCGCATTGGTGGGATTGGAGTGTTTTTGGTGGAGTGAAGTTGCGAGCGGGGGGAAATTATAAATAAGGCTCTGACTTGCTTATTTGGTATGATGAGAAACACCTAGTCGGGGAGCAGACAGAGCGCGGTGGTTCTGCTGAATATATACTCTGACGATTGAAATTGTCGTCGTCGCCGGTGCTGCCTTGATTTCGGCTTGCTGGGTAGTGAGTGCAGCAAAGCGTATTCGGCCGAGGCGGGCATACCAATCTTGATATATGTCCTCTGGCCGTGGGTCGGCTTTCACGAGCCTTCGAATTCTCAGCCGTCCTGTCAGCCACGCGGACTGTAACCCCTGCTAGTTATGTCCTACCAGCACAGCGGGCTTGGGCCTATCGGGCATTTCCAGAACAAGTCGTCAACGTCATGGCCCAGCCGCCGGTGGGTGCCTGGAACGGCAGGGCTAGCGTCTCCCCAGCTGTAGCCACTCGGAGCGACCAGCTACTAAGGTCTCACCCGCTCTGTCGGGGGCCGGCGGGCTCGGGGCGGGGTTCAGCTGGCCCACTCGGGGCCGAAGCTGCTGCCTCCAAGTAGCTTGTCTCGCTTAAGTTCTGGCAACCAGGTTCTAAGCGACACCCCACAGGCTCGGTGCTAACAGGCCATTTCAGCAGATTTGTCGCTTGCTCCAGTGTCAAACTCCGAGCTTGACCCTGTGTGTTAGTCTTTTTTGGAGGCAATCCGATCTAGCTCGAAATCTCCGTGACGGGTGGCTGGCCTTCTCATTTGCTGCGAGGTCCTCGACCACGCGCGCCAAGTCCATGATATAGCTGCTGCGCGGTCTCATCAGCACGATTCATCTCAGTCGTAGAATTAAACCAATGTTCGCCTCCGTAAAGGTTGATTCCCAGACTAAGGATCGTCGTCGCTGTCCCCACATCGCTCGCACAAAGCTCGCGGAAAGCTCGCGTGACAACGTCAGCGAATAACGACCTCTCGCACCGGGTATTTGCTGGCCCAGCCTGAGTACACACGATCCAGATCTTGGCTGGTATTCAGTACCGCGAAGCCCACGAGCTGGAACACTTCTGGCCATTGCCCCTCCGCACCTGTTGCTGACTTCTGTATCCTGGTGCTCGATCCATTGCTCGGATCTTGACACCTCACTGTGCCATTTGGTGCCAGAAGAAGGCAGCAGAACTCGCCCCCTATTGATCGATCCGCACTTGCTCTGCATTCGCTAAAGAGAGGAAGGCAGAACAAGGGCAAGGACTCTTGTGTGTCGGGTGCAACACCAATTAGAGCGGTCAGGCACGGATGGTCCACTACCACATCGATATGTTGGTCGAAATGTCGACTGGCTTCTTCCTCGTCCGGCAGAGTCCATTCAGCGTCGCTAGGATCAAAGCGCGATCGGCCTCGTGACAGCTTTAAAGGTCTCGGTGTTCCCTCCAAGACGAGCCTTCCATCGTTGACAGCTCCGTACACGTCACCCGGCTCTGCATACTCGAGTTGGACGTCCTTGACGGATGCATGTTCCACCACATAATCTGGATGCAGCTTGAGGTGCCAGCGCACGCGGCCATGGGCCGAGGCCCACGACCATGACGGCGCGACATACGCGCCACAGTACTCTGACCTAAAGTGACGGTGGTCCTGATACGTCCAGGTCAAGTCAGCTATGAATGTGGACCTCCACAGGCCGGCATAGTAGCGCTCATCGTGGATGCCAGCTCGAGTTCCAGCCCTAGTTTCCCGGGCCAGGCCAGCTATTGCCCACAGCTTATCGCGGCGAAATGTCAGCTTCGTCCCGGAGTAATCTTGTATAAGTTCTTGCCACGGAGAAGGGCGCCACCAATCATGTCGCGGGGAACCAGAGCGCGCTTCGATCCGTCGTATTTTGGAGCCTCCATATTCGATCTCGTCCGCGCGGACCTCGTTGCACTCCCAATGAACGATCTCCCCGGAGAAGAAAATTTTGCGGCGCGAGAACTTCCTCTCCTGGAAGATCCAGCCTCGGGCAGCAAGATGCCCGAGTTTGCCTCTGGTCTCATCAGCGTCGCCAAATACAAGGCGCGGGGTGAACACGACGTCATTGCCCGTTCCGGTGTGGTGCTCCAGTAATCTTCCGGCATTGTCTGGGCTTGTGTTCCCGTACACTGGCCTCATCTGCTGCAGGCCTCGGGAACGAGCCACAGAACGAACCCGAAGTGGCTGGATTCCGGCTCTTATAAGGGTTCTACTCCTCAAGAAGCCCGCATCTTCGTCCGAGGCGCAGCTGGCGTGAATGTTGAGATGGGCGTTGTTATAAATCTGTGCCATCGAACCGGCCTCGGCTGCCCAGTCCTCGAATGAGTCTTGAACTATACAAAGCCTATCGATCCACAAGTAAGGGTAGCCAATATTTTGAACGACGATGCAAGCATCCCGGAGCGTGGCTGGCAGGTCATGGAAACGGAATCCGTGCCGTAGTCGCTGTTCCGTTGCCTTGGTCAGCATCAGTCGCTGTTGCACTTGGTCCTCGGTGCTACTCCAGCGGTAGCTCAAAGTAACGTATGGTAATCCCGCTAGGACATCCGAACTTGTATCTTTGCCATCTACGAGGCGAACCATGTAAGACAAGCGGTCAATCTTGAGAAGGCGCTTCGGCCGCTCGTCTGGGGAAACGTATCTAATCCGGCACGAGTGGTGTTGTCCTTCACAATCGTGTAACCATTCTTTGATCTGTGCGAGCGTTTGTGCAGATCCTGTGCTGGCGGACAAGAGCGAGTGTAGTGTGCGGGTGCCATCTACAAATACGATTAGCATTCACTTAAAATATTGTCAGGCCAACCTCGCAGATTCTAAGCATACATTGCGGGCTGTCCCCGTAGAGTTCCCCTGAGATGCTCAACAAGAACGAGTAAGGTCGCCAATAATCTTTGATTACCTCGGCTAGTCGCACGTTGAGGAGCAGCGCAATGCTTGGTCTCCGAATGGGCCTGCGTATCCCTTTGCGGAGACACACGCGTAATTGATCAAGGCAGTCGAGGTGGTGCCCGGTACCGCCATAGCTAATGGTCAGAGGGCTACGGATTCCGCTGGCCGGTGTGCGGAACATTGCAAAAGACCTGCAGAAACTCTGCCAAAGTATCATGCAAATCCGGCAAGTCAGTCCCTCGCGGGCCGCACCGTAACAGCAGTCTATGAGATGAAAAAGGGAGTCGTGATGGGTTCTCCAGGATTCCGGAGGCGGGATTTCGCGACTCCCGTCGTCCAGGTAGGGACGCGGCGGCTGTTCCAGGAGGGATATGCAGGGCGCGCAGAGAAACTCTGGTGGATCGAGGCCGAGCGGGATACCACAGCTCTTGTACGCGCGGCGCTTGCACATGGCCTTGGCATATCCTGAGGTCACAAGTTGCTTGGTGCGTATGTCATCCAGGAGAGCGATAGCAAGTCGAGCGAAGCTCGATAACGAGGCGGAAGTAGACTCGCGGCTGCAGGCATCGTCTTTGGCAGGGGGTAGACGATAGATGTTAGGGAGCGATTGCGACCGAGAGCGCGTTTTCGAGACCGCCAAACCCGCCGCCATGATGGGGATGTTGTTGGCGATGGGGAAGGAAATCACCAAAGAGGGGTATCCTCCTGCCTCTGTGCAGGCATTCCTTGTCTCTGCCAATGAAGCACCTTGTAAGCATGTCAGCCTGGGCAGTGCCCCTCTGGTCGTCGCAGGGGCCAGATACCTCAGGGATTGGGCATCGATACCCAGCACAGACAGCCAATAAACAGCAGTTTGCGCCACACATTTCATCAACCACGAAGGTCGTGAGCAATGGGTCACTATTGCGTCTCGCTTCAAGACATCATCTTATTGTAGCTGTGGCTGCAGCTTCTGAACCATATAAGGATGCAGCTCTGTCCTCCAGCAATAGCCGAATAAACGATCGCTGATTTCGTTGACATCTTGTTGACGTCTATAGAAGCCTGGCTGTCCGAGTCTGGACAAACCTTTGTGCGTAACGGTAGTATGCGATGACCAAACTGACAAATTATCTGAACCTCGTGATTTTGCAAGATAGTTGAGCCACTTGTATCGGATTTTGTCATCATTGCGCAGTGTAGCCCCCGTCCACGGGAAGCGCTGCCCCGGTGATCCATCCCGCCTCATCGCTAGCCAAGAAGACTGCGGCGCCAGCAATGTCCTGCGGCGCACCGACCGTGCCCCAAGGGTGCAGGCTGGTGACTATTTCTTCGTTCGAGAGATTTTCCACTGTCTGGGCGTAGATGGCAGTTTTGACGACTGGGTCCCCGCGAGTTAGTAAATAAAGTAAGTCTGGCGATAACAATATGCCGGATAGATCTGGGAAGAGATTTCGGGACATGGGAAAGCGCAGCTTACAGCCTGGACAAATGGCGTTGCAGTGAATCTTGTCAGGCGCGTAATCAAGCGCAACCTGCCTCGTCATGTTGACAACCGCCGCCTTGGATGCCGCATACGAGACTGCACACCCAACAATTGTCAGTAATTCCTACAAGAACCAGCTTGGGAGCTTTTACCCACTGTTATGCCGCCCTCCGACGAGCCCATAGATTGAAGCCAGGTTGATGATCCACCCTCGGTGCTGCCCACCACCTGTCGACGAGGCATGGGGTTCCTGGCGCAGCATCTGCGTTACGACGGCTTTGGTGGCGAGGAATACGGACTTGACGTTGATGGCAATGGTAGTGTCCCAGACGTCCTCAGGCACCTCGTGAATCCGCATGGGGGGGCGGCCGGCTTCGAGGGATATGCCAGCGTTATTAACGAGGCTGACAGTCTTTCAAGTTAGAAAATAAGAGAAGAAAAAACAATGGTTGAGAAAGGAACCATCCAAATCGTTGCATGGGCAGTTACGTGTGTAAGCAGATCAGAAACGAAGGGCAGCATACATGTCGACCCTCCCAAACTCCTTCACAGCGGCCTGCACGAGCTGCTCGATCTCCGCCGCCGAGCTGACATCGGTCTTGACGAAGATGGCCCGACCGCCGGTCTGCCTGATGAGCTCGTCGGTGTTGGCCGCGCCGGCCTCGGCTGCCACTTGCACGCGGGCGTCGGGGCGCAGGTCCGCGCACACGACATGGGCGCCCTCGCGCGAGTATGCGAGGGCTATGGACCGGCCGAGCCCCGATGACGAGCCGGTGATAATGGCGACCTTGCTGAGGAGACGCTGCGTTGTTGTCATCTTGTGTTGGTACAAAAATCAACGGGCAAATATGGTAGGAAACAAGAATAAGTCGAATCACTGCTGAGCATCCCGAACGGAATAGCTACCGACTCACATTTTATTGCATGCCTGCTTCATTCAACCTTACGAGCTATAAACTTCCCCTCATTCATCCTCCGGCCCCGGATGTGTGTTCCAGTACTGATCTCACTGCACTGCCGCCCAGGAATGCGGGGTAAGATCGGCCGATTCCTTGCTGCCGGCCTCGGTATAATTGGCTAGCTATCCTTCCTGTCTCTGGTACTCTTAGCTCTGAGTAAGACTCATCGACATAACCTGTCAGACTCGAGCTGGGATGTTGATTTGAGGATCAGCGAACAGACCCTGATCACCAGAGACACGTCCGTCGTTAAATACTGTGCGGAACGGGTTCCAAGCCTCGGAAGCCGGTGGAGACCGCAAGACGCGGAATGGAGCGGGATACTCCGTGCAAAGTACAGTAGCGCGGCCGGTGGGATGCTGGCTGACACAGGCTTTGTAAAGCAGGGACCGCTGACAACCAGCGCGCGGCGGGCCCCTTTGACCCTGGGGCACCGGCAGGCGATTGATTTAATATCACGACATTGTGGCAACGGCGACGACGACGAGGCCCAAAGGAATACACATCCTATCGGTCTGCAGTGTCAGAGCACTTGAAGCACGGGTTTATGAGCCGCCTCTGCAGTATAATCCGACGACTGCCAAGGACACGACTGGCCACTGTGCCAAAATACACCCCTTTCCAGCCTTGCGACCGCCACTTCGCCGCACTAGCATATTCCACCATGGTTCGCGCGCCAGCAATCTGCGTCTCTCATGGAGGAGGTACGTCCATGTCAAAATATCCATGGATCTCAGAAACCTTCACGCCCGGAGCACGCTGACAGCCCTCACCAGGCCCGATGCCAGTTTTGAACGATCCTGGACACCTGGACATCGTCTCCTCGCTGAAGAACCGCGTGCCTAAGATCCTGAAGCTCGGCACGCCCGACGCCCCGCGCGCCATCATCGTTGTGACCGCGCACTGGTCGACGCGGCACCCAACCGTGTCGTCGGGTGCGAAGCACTCGTTGTACTATGACTATGGGGGCTTCCCTCCGGAGGCGTACAAGCTCAAGTACGATGCGCCCGGCTCGCCCGAGGTCGCAGAGCAGGTCAAGGCTGCGCTGGGAAACGCCGGGTTCAAGACGGTGCTTGACAGCCAAAGAGGTAACCAGTGCCCTTCTTGCTTTCAACACAAATCTTCTCACCAAGTACCATGTACTGACTTTGAGGGGGGAAAAGGCTGGGACCACGGCGTATTTATCCCCTTCCTCCTGATCAACCCGGCCGCGGACATCCCGGTCATCCAGATGTCCGTGCTCGACAGCGAGGACCCGCGCGAGCACTTCAAGATGGGCCAGGCGCTGTCGGCCCTGCGCGACGACAACATCGCCATCGTCGGGTCGGGCTTCGCGTCCTTTCACAACCTGCGCATCATGTTCTCCCTGCGCCACCAGGACGAGCAGACCGCGGCCCAGTTCAAGGCCTCGGTCGACAGGTGGAACCAGAGCGTCACGGACGCGGTGAGCAAGGATGGGATCGAGGAGAAGGAGGAGGCGCTGAGCAGGTGGAGAGACATTGATGGCAGCTATGTGATGCACCCTAGGGGAGGAGCGGAACACTTCCTGCCGCTCATCGTGGTTGCTGGTGCGGCGCGGGGTGACGAGAAGCTGGGCAAGTATTCCGATGAGTTTGTTGGGCTGGACATGTGGACATACTACTGGGGTGATGTGGCCGTGTAGAGTGGAAAAGGGGTCAACGGCTAGACCAGCTCTATGGCGACAAACTTGTATAGGCACCAGTCCCACAGAATACCAGCATAGCAGCCTCAGACAAAGAGAAGGAACTTTTGATGATTCAAGAGGCACGAGCAGACAGATTCTCCAGCAATGGCTAGCCGCTGATGCCAAATGACAAATCACCGGGCCTATGAAGCTTTCCTTGCATTCACACGCAATCCATCCCGCGGGCGCGTCACAAGTAGCTTCCGAAGGTGTCTTGTGGAACATCTCGAAGGACTTGCTCGCATGAACCTGCGTGCGAGGAGCTGTCCTTGGCAAGTTCGAGCTGTGTATCACTCTGTCCACGTCCATCTTCACCTTGATACACTTGGTGAGCTAATTTAGAAAAGCTCACCGTCCGATTTAGCTCACCACCATCAGGCATCAGGAGGGTCACCGGAAGGTCCATCCGGTGTACCTATCGTCCAAGTACAGCCGATACCACCGCCGGACAGCAGACACGGCTCATGCACGAAGGGACGCAGCGCACTGGGTCCGACCACCAAGGATCTTTTCAGGTAGAGGCTATCTCTCTTTCTTGGCACGTCTGGTGCAACTGACCTTCAAACATTCACGAAGCGGCTCCGATAAGCCTGCGCCAAGTCTGCTTGAACACACCCTAGGCAACAGCCATCAATATCAGTGGGGGTCCCTTGCAACCGGAACCCGCTGCCCATGTTATTACGCGGCGCCCCAGAGAGTAGCCACGCAGATGGGGATTGCTGATCTAGAGATGATCTCAGTCCTCGTGCGCAGCTCATTGGTGCCAGCGCACGACCCTAAGATGGGGCGCCCAGCCAAAGCTGCTGGGATGCTGGTGGCTAGAGGCTCGCTTGCCCGGGAGGCCGGCTGGCGTTGGGGTTCAGGTCAAGGGGGGACCCCTGGCCAGGCAAGTTTCCGTTCGACTTGGCGGTGCTCTAAGCTTTAGTGCTTGTGCCCTGTCCGAGTGCACCAGGCTCGGCAGTGAAACACTATTGCTTATCTGGACAGCTTGGTGAAGAGCTAGCCGCAGCAGGGTCCATGAGACTATCTATGGACCATTTGATGTTCTTCAGCGGCCAACCAAGTCCAGTGCACACGAGTGTGGCACGAGTGTGGCATGGTTATCTAGCTCGTAAGGTTCCAGGTCAGCGGTTGGCCAGCTGATGATCCAGACTGCCTTTGTCTATGCCAGTGCAGTATTCCACCCGGGTGGGACACTGCGACCCTCCCTTCGCAGCTCCAGGCCGCAGAGCCGCAGCAGCTTGTGTCGGGCACCTCGCCAAGAACATGTCCAGACAGGTCCAGCTTCGCGTTTCACTGTTGCTGCCGCAGCTAAAATTAAAATTAAGACCCCTGTCTCTCGTGCCAATTCAGTGGAGCTAGGGCTTGAGGTGTCTCGCTGGCCCGCCGCCACGGACCCTGGCCGGGCCGGTCCAGGCCAGGATGAGACGTGCTGCAAGATCTCATGAAACCACCCACTGGTGGACCCCACGCAGGCGATGCTACACTGCTGTCGGTCGTTGCTGTTACCTGGGCCCGGCTGTGACGACTGGTATCACTTGGCACTCGCCCCATGCTGGTTCATCAATAAGCGTGTTTCTAGCAACTAGCAGGGGTTCTTTATCGACTGCCGGTGATTACACCTGGCCGGCGGCTTGGCGTAACATTTCCATGTCCCTTCTGCCACCGATTGTGCAACAGCGGGGGGGTCAGAGCTGCTATTTCCAGCCAGCGCGATAGGGGATGTTTTGTTTCGCCATGGCCACGACGCCATGGCGAGCTCGTCCACGGTGTGTCACCCCTGAGGGCTCTTCTTCACCGTGGAGTATCAACGCCGGGTCGACCTCTCCTCATTATAAAGGCCAACGGCGCGCTCGACCATCAGCATCAGAAAATCCCATCTCCATCACACAACAACACAATCAACTCAAGCACTACACCATCATCTAACACACCACCTGTACACCAACAAACCTCACCACTTCTACCACCTTCACCTTTAACCGCCAACATGACTACCAACTCCTTCGGCACCTCCATCCCTCACCTCGGCTACACCCAGCCCAAGTGCGCCCCATTTCGGTGCCCCAAGGTTGCAGGCAGAATGCACGCCGCTACGTCGGTCATCACTGCTGCTGGTGCTGGACTTGGTAAGTCGTCTCTCCCGGTTTTCTCTTCAAAAATCAACATCACCGTCGAGGGCACACGCTAACCAGGAATCTTGTCCGTCAAACAGTTGCCTACGGCGCCACCCCCAAGCCTCCTCGCCGCGACTCTTACAGCCAGCAGTACTCGTCGCACAGCGCGAGCTCGAGCATCAGCAGCACCGACGGCAAGAGCGCGTATGGCGATTACTTCTCGGATGCGCCAGGCGGCGGGCAGAAGTGAATCTTCACTCCCATCATCCTATTGATTTGCTAGCACTCCAAGGCGTTCACTGCGAAAACATTTCTCTGCCAGATTCAACAGCAGATCAAGGGCATCATCATCAACAAGCGATAGAAATGAGGGAACAGGATCCATCCCCTCAGGCACGGAGCATCATACACGGGATTCGAATTCAGGATGCAAGCACGCGGATCAAGGCGTTCATCAGTTTCCACAATCACAGTCGTTTTCGGCATGGCACGGCGGTTTACATTACGGGTGCAGGTACACGGCGCAACTTTTGGGTTTTTTATCTGGAGGATCGACATTGGGCACAATGCAAGGGATCTGCATCACGACACACTCTTTTTCATCTTTGGGACGACATCAGTCGGAAGCAAGCAAGCGACTCGTTACCATCACATTACTCAATTAGCATAGATCGCTCAATAAGAGATATGGGCATTGATCACTACACACTGCAGCTGTGCCACCAGTACACCTTGATGATCAGGGTGTTGAGGTGAACAGCGCCCAGGCGCAGAGCATGGTGATAGCGTGGTGGTGAAGAAAGGGCACCGTCAACTTTAATTGCATCAGAGAGTGTCAAGGACATGTCCCAGAGGTCCTGTTGTGCCCCTTCTCCAAATGATATCTAGCTGCGAGCGTTTGACCTCGGCTCCTCTCTGCGGGGTCACTGTTGGGGAAAGGGAAGCTCAACTCAATTCCGACGACTCGCACTATTGTTCTTCTCGTCCGATACGAGACACTTGCCCTGATCCATATTTTCTACGTCTGGGACATTGTGGCTTCTAGCAAGGCAAACAAGCGTTGCTTCGACACCACTTGCTGCCGTACTCTGTTTCCGTCCCTCAGACACGATCCTCTCTTGCTTACACTCACACACACACACACACACACACAAGGAAACCGTGACAACATATATATATATATACACGATGTCAGGCCCGAATCCCAGCACCACCAAGTCCCCCGTCTACGTCCTTGGCGTCGGCCTCACCGAGTTTACCAAGCCCCGCGGCGCGCGCGACTATCCGGAGCTCGGGTACGAGGCCGGGCTCAAGGCGCTGCTCGACGCCCAGCTCACCTACGACGACGTGCAGACGGGGATCGCGTGCTTCTGCTACGGCGACTCGACCTGCGGCCAGCGCGTCTTCTACCAGTTCGGCATGACGGGGATCCCGATCCTCAACACGACCAATGCCTGCGCGACGGGTTCGAGCGGGCTGTACCTGGGCCGGACGCTGATCGCCAGCGGCGCCGCGGATGTCGTGCTCGTCATCGGCTGGGAGAAGATGAAGCCCGGCGCGATCACGAGCGTCTGGGACGACCGCGCGAGGTCGACGGAGCGGCAGATGGCGATGCTCCAGGAGGTCAATGGGACACACCCGGGCGCGCTGAACGCGCAGTACTTTGGGGCAGCAGGCAGGGAGTATATGGCCAAGTGAGTTTGGTTCTCTCTCCCCCTTGTACCCGTGGGGTACCAAAAGTAGCCTGCCTTGTCCAATTCTACGCAGTTGAGACGGGTTACTTAGAGATACACTGACAGCCATCAAAACCAAGGTACGGTGCCCTCCCGTCCGACTTTGCCGAGATCGGACGCATCTCTCATCTGCACTCGACGCGCAACCCGTACGCCCAGTTCCGCACGGAATACACGCTCGACGAGGTCGCATCCTCGCCCATGATCTTCGCCCCGCTCACAAAGCTGCAGTGCAGCCCGACCTCGGACGGCGCGGGCGCCGCGGTGCTCGTGTCCCAGCGCTTCCTCGACTCCCGCTGCCGGGCAGCACCGCACCTGCGGACCCAGGCGGTGCTCATGGCCGGCCAGGGGTTCGCGACGGACTCCCCGCAGACGTATTCCCGCAGCGCGATGGATCTCGTGGGGTACGACATGACCCGCCGCGCGGTGAAGGCCGCGATGCAGGAGGCCCGGATCTCGGCCCGGGATGTCGGGGTGTGTGAGCTGCATGACTGCTTCTCGGCCAACGAGCTTGTGTTGCTGGAGAGTCTGGGGTTCTGTGAGGTTGGGAAAGCACACGAGATGGTCCGCAAGGGAGACATCACGTACGGCGGGAAGGTGGTCATCAATCCGTCCGGGGGTTTGATATCCAAGGGCCACCCGCTCGGCGCTACGGGCCTGGCGCAGTGCGCGGAGCTGTGCTGGCAACTGAGAGGGTGGGCGAACAACCGGCTCGTTGAGGGCACGGAGGTTGCGCTGCAGCATAACCTGGGGCTCGGAGGGGCGACGGTGGTGACGGTGTATAAGAGGGCAGATGCCGAGGCGAACAGGGTCGTGAAGGATGAAGAAATCAGCAGGACGAGCTGGTTGGGGTACAATCCGGCTGTAGCGGCAAGGAGTGTGTCGGAGAAGGATGCGGCGAGGGTGAGGAGCAAACATGCCGCGAGTGACTGGGCACTGGGCAACTCTCAGAAGAAGTTGACGGCCAGGCTCTGATGACTGAATTGCTATGTCGCTCAAGTATAAAGTATAATTGATAGCATCAACTTGAAATCAACGTGTGCATCAACCTGTTCCTTATATGGCGGCATATGATGATCTTGTCAACCAGGGATCCCAATTCTCGTCCTGTTCACTCCGCGGTACAGCCATCGTGGTTAAGAACAGGCCCTCGACAGTGGTCACAACACAACAACGGACCGTCTCGCCTATACGAGTTATTCCACTATGGCCAAAGTCTGATAGAGTTTTGCATCGTACAAAGTCGATCTCCCGGCATATAATGTGCCACTATCTCTTTCATTATCAAGTCGTATTTGAATTCCATTGCGTGTGTGTGCGTACTAAAGAGTGTCCATTCGTCACAGAACCTTGCGACGAAGTGCTGTGTTCACGTCTGGGGACAAGTCTCGAGATCGCACTGGCACAGGTCCTTGCAGTACGACTCGCACCGCGTCGACAAAAACGGCTGGAAGCAGATTCCCAGGCACGCTTGCACGCAGTCGCTCGTGTCAGACGTGTTTTCGTTGTGCGGTCTGTCGGTATGGTGGGGTTTCGGCATGGGGAATGCGGAGACGGTCGCCACGAGGCTGCTGAGGACCACGACAATCAAATTCATGGTGATTGTGTCCAATGGTGAGCGTGGTATCCTGGTGTCGTGCACTCCCGACTTGAGATGCTGGTGATATTGAGCACGTTTCTCGGATGATGCCGTATTGCTGTGGTATAATCGTCTTGTGGAGACGAGTGAGCATGGGCATCATCTAGAGCAGGTGCTTTGCTCAGTTTATCATGATCTCGACTTTCGCGATATACATGTGGTTCGGGGCAATTTGTCATCGCTCGTTGTCTCATCCAGACGCCACGGCTGTTCGTTCCTTTCATGAGGCTGCAAAGATGATTTGCAACGAATAGAGCTACTTTCTTCATAGATTTCTCATCGCGTCATTGTTGTTTTATGGAGGCTAAAGACAATCCATTTCCTCGGTACATTATTTCAGCGGAATAGTAATTTGCATGGCAAACACGAATACCGAAACTGAGCAAAGAGGAGCAAACGATGGTCGTGTCAAGAACATTACGGCCGACTTTTATGTTCTGCACAATATCTGCAAACATTCAACTAATGGTTGAGGCACAAGGCACAGCTGCGGTCCTTTCAGCGCATCTGGATCCATATTGGGCGATGCGAGTTTGCCAGACCCTAAAGGCCATGTTGCAAGCTCTGTCTTCAACCTTTCAGATTCTCAGCAGTGCCACAAAGCTGAGATCCAGGTCTGTGGCATCAGCGCATCTAATATCGCCGCCGCCTATGCTGCGCACTTGTCAGTCAAGGCAAGTATCGTCTCGATCTTCCCATGTCAATAATCATTTTCCTGTCGCTCTTGCCGCAGCGAATCATGCAGAGATCCTGCCCTACCGACTCATCTCCCTGTCAAGGAATAGATCAGCTTTCATGCCAATCAGGGGATTGTGCCCAGCCACTAGACCTGTTGATCCCATCCATTGTCCAGGCGACTCGAGGGACATCCCCTGGATCAACAGTATCCACATTCGGCTGGAGGGTTTCAAGCCCACCCAAGTCGGAGAGCAACCGGCGCTTACATTCTGACCGATTGCCAATACGCCCAGCACAGCATGCACTAAGGCACTGTCTCCGACAATACCACCTTCGCTATTGGTCCGGCCCAAGCGTTCCAAAACACCCGCCCGTTGGGCACGCGCCTTGTGGGCTGGCCAAACTACCACAGCACGCCGCGGATCTTTGACATAGCCAGACTAGACCCGTCACTGCTGCCTCCACAACTGAGTCGTGCGGGCCAACCCCGGATTGCCACGAAAGGGAAAGGGTGCCACCTTTGTGCACCCTGAATGTATGCAGAGCTCCCTCGAGACGGGGCGACTGACGGGGCAAAGCGCTCCAAAGAGGGGTCGAGCTTTGCAAATTGTTTTGAATTCGAGCATGCAGATAGGCTAGGCCTTGGCGGAAGAAACCCCGAGCGGATGTGTGCCTGGCTGTAACTATAACTAGCCGTCGTCTACCCCGGAGGCTGGATGCTGGCTTTGCTGCTGCTGCTTCCAACTCGGTTTGTGATTTACATAACCCGCCGTTGACCAGCCGCATCCTGGTCTTCTCTGCTTCTTTTTCTTCCAGATACTCTCCTCCCCGTCCTCCTCCCCACGGAGCCCCTCAGACTATCACGTACATACAAACCTTCACGATGGCTCCTGCACGCAACGAAGACCAACCCGACCCGTCCGCCTCGTCGACAGCACCCGCCCTGCGAGCCGCCCAACTCGAGGCTGTCGCCGCCGCGAAGTCGTCCGCAGCAGCCGCCAGCGACTCGGTGCTGACCGCCAAAGACCGCGCCGAGATCGCCTTTACGGACAAGTACTCGTCGCCGGACGTGTACGTCGACGCCAAGAAGGACACGCTGTGGCACCCGTGGGTCGGCACGCTGGAGCTGCGGCCGCTGCGGTTCGAGACGCGCTCGGGCACGTTTGTGATTGGGCTGCGGACGCCGGTGGACGCCTGGCTGGGGAAGCACCGGCACCGGGGCACGGTGACGGCGGTGACGGCTGCGGGTCACTGGGGGTATAAGGAGTATGTTTCCTCTTTTCTTTCTGTTTTCCATGCGTATATCTTTGCCTTCGTCCAGGGTTGACCATTGATGATTGACACATATTTCTTTGCAATACAGGTACGACTGGATCGCCGGACCGGGCGACTACGTGGTCGAGAACCCGGGCACGATCCACACGCTGTTCATGGGGGCCGGGTCGGAGGTGGTGTTCACGGTGACGGGGAGCCTCGAGTTCTTCAACGACGACGACAGCCTGCGGGAGACGATGGACGTGTTTAGCTTTGCCAAGATGTACCACGACCACTGCACCGAGCTGGGCGTGGAACCGAATCAGAAGCTGTGGTACTGAAGAGAGGGGGGGCGCTATACCCTGGCGTGGAGAATATTCTAAAAATCATGTTCTTGTTCAAAAGACTTGGAGAGGACGCGAGACTGTGCAATGTGTGTGTTCTTGGAGGTGCGGGAGAGAGCGAGCCGTGAATGCAGCTCCAGCCCGTCTCTGCCATCCACGGCCGTGCAGGAGCAAGAGAGAGCCACGATTGATTCTATTCCGCTTGGGATCTTTCCAGAGAGCACTAATATGCAGGACTCAGTCGCAGGGGGTCTAGCGGCCTGTGGTTCTCCTTTGGGGGGGCATGTTTCCCCGCACCCCAGCGGGAGACGCGCCACAAGATCGTTGAGTCCACAAGGGGCCCAGGCCCGGTGCTGTGGCTTGCCCATTTTTCCTGCAAAGAAAAGAAGGTTCAGTGAGGTAACGGGCAAAAACCTTGGTGCGATTGCGCGCAAACGGCCTCCGCGGAGATGCTGGTGAGGCGTGGGAGGATTACGGCAGTGGCTGTTTGTGGCGGAGGAACTTTGGGGCCTGAATGGAACGTGGACAAAGGCAGCAAGCAATTGAGGAATGCAAGTGACGAGGATACTGTGCATTAGCCAGGAACAGCCGGCAGTCAGTGAGGGGGACGAGACGACGCAGCCAATCTTGACTGCGCCTGAATTTGGCAGCAGATTGCAACAAGCATCAAGTCTGGATGAGCTTGCGCGGCCAGGCGACGTGGGCGGGCCTGAGCGAGGGCCCTGGATTCCGGGGGGATTCGTCATCGGCAGCGGTGCCGTGATGAGTGGTGGAGCAGGTCCTCTCTGGATGCTAACTCGGACGACTCGAGCCCTGCCCGCGGCCCCTGAGCCTGGCCGTAAATAGACCCCTAAGAGGTACGGAGCCGGAACTCGGCGGCGGGTCGAGGACAACCAACCCTTCTCTTCAATGCGTCGCCCGTCACTGCTCCGTCCTGCAACTCATCAGAGAATGGCGACGACGAGCTCAACACAACACGACGACATTCAGTTGCCCATCCCTGGCAGGCCTGCTACGTAGAGGCGTCGAGCGACCAACGCCAACGCTTCGGCGGCCACAGTCCAGGACGCTATTCCGATTTCCAACGAGGCCTGGTACGGAAAGTCGGCGCAGCGTACGGCTACACCAAACATCACCTGGAGCGATCAAGTGAACAATTGCTTGACTGAGCTCACCTCCACCTCCCGTCGCCATGGCCGCACCGCTCAAGCCCGCCGCAGACGCCTCCGACCACGAGTCCGCCGGCTCCTCCCACGGGCAGCTGTCGGCTCCGGACAAGACAGCGGCACGCCCGGGCTTCTTCCAGCGAAGAAGAAACGTCGTCATCGTCAGTGTCGTCGCCGCCTTGCTTGTCCTCGGCCTCGTCTTGGGCCTTGCCTTGGGCCTCACTCTCGGCCGCCGCAACAGCAACAACAACGGCGACGGCAGCGAGTCCTCGTCCTCTCCCGGGCCGACCGTCGTCCGCGGCGCATACCCGGACCCGCACCCCATCGCCGGCACCATCCCCAACAACGCAAACTACACCACCCTCGACCCGACCCTCATCCGCCGGGCCTCGGACGGCACCTACTTCCTCTACACCACCGGCGGCTACTCGGGCTATGTCTGGTCCGCCCCAGCCCTGTCCGGACCCTGGACAAAGTCCGCCGCGCCTATGGTCTCCCCGGGAACCCAGGCCGGCGCCCCCGACGTCCACCAGTTCAACGCCACCACCTACATCATGTTCCACAACAGCCACAAGTACAACTACTCGGCCGAGGCCGGCGTCGCCAACCCCCAGGCCCAGCTCAACTGGCACGACGCCAGCATCATCGCCCGCACCTCGGACAGCCTCGAGCCCGGGTCCTGGAGGGAGGTGGGCAGGCTCGACATTGACTGGGCCATGCGGTACAACATCCTCGACCCGTCACTCTTGCGGGTCCCAGCCGGCCGAGGGGCCCCGGAGGACAAGGCAAAGGCGATGCTCACGTTCGGATCGTACCAGACGGGGCTGTACCAGATCCCCCTGGACCCAGAGTTTCCTGTCAGGCTAGCCCACGGCAGCAGCAACAGCAACAATAACAACAACAACGCCTACGCAATGAGCCAGCTTGTCCACCTCGAGCATAACCAGACCAACAAGATCGACACGACCGAGGCGGCATACATGTACTACCGCTCCTTCGATAACGCCACCACCGCCGCCGCTTCCACCTCTGCGTCCTCAGTATCCGGATCGGCATCAGGGGCGCAGACCGCAGCAACAGGAGGCTGGTACTACCTCTTCTTCTCGGCCGGCAAATGCTGTCCCCAGGCGACCACCCCTGGCCATCCGCACCCAGTCCACAACAACCACACTACCACTGGAAACGACAACAACAACAACGAAAACGACGGCCAGACCACCTACACCGTCTCCGGCGGCGCCACGACCTACGCCAACACGACCATCTCGTGGTTCCCCTACGATGAGGCGTACCGGGTCATGGTGTGCCGCTCGCGCACGCCCTCTGGCGAGTACTTTGACCGCGAGGGCAGGAGCTGCCTGACCGACAGCGGGGGCACGCTGGTCCTGGCTAGCCACGACGGGGTGTTTGCGCCGGGCGGGCAGGGGGTGTGGGATGATCCGGTCGAGGGGACCGTGTTGTATTACCACTATGGTGAGTTGCTTGGGGCCCTTCTTTTTCTTCTTCTTTTTTCTTTTCTTTTCTGCATCCCTTTCTTGCTGCTTATGCTGTCCTTTGTGATGCTGGCTGTCCCCGTCTGTGTGCGGTCTGCGTGCGGTCTGCGTGCGGTCTGCGTGCGGTGTGTGGTGTGTTTGTGTTTTCCGTCCGCTTCATATTATCCGTGTGGACGGCAATGAGTGACATGCGATGGCACTTCTTACCCGGCCCGGTACCACCCAACCAGCGCGCTCAGCCTCCACCCAGCACAACCCAGCACAAGCAAAGCGATCCACTACTACTCCGGCCTGTGAGATCCGATACGCTAACACCTTCTCCTCCTCTTCGTCCTTATCTGCGAACAGTGGCCTACGATATTGCCGTCAACAAGCCCGACGAAAACAACAAGGGCTACAAGTTTGGCTGGAACAAGGTCGACTTCAGCGACGAGGGGTGGCCCAGAGTCATATAGCCGCGGCAGCGGCGGCGGCCAGATCAGCGTGGCAACAGCGATGGCGTCCAGGTTCTAAATGAACGGGTTCTGTCCAGATCATAAGTCTCTCTGGGCTTTCTCCGGCACTGGCCTCCTTCCTTCCCTCCCACCCTTTCTTCTCTTTTCTTTAATCCTCTCGGTACATATTTGCCTACCTGTTTTTCTCGTTGATGTAGACCACGCGCATTTCCTTCGTCAAGCGCGCGCGTGGCTGTCCCCGGCGCAAATTGTTTTCCCAGAGCTGGCCACATCCAGCGCCTGGCGATGTCTAGATTACTTCTTTTGTGCTTGTGGCCTAGAACTTTTGAATCTTGCGCATTTTTTAGGAGTTTTGATAGCACATAGACTTTTCGTCTTCTGATCATCATCTTCTTTCTTGCCGCAAACTCTTCCGGGGGGCCAGAGTAGAAACATCTGTGCTGTTTGAGCAGCCTTACATGTCCGAATGCCTTGCGTTACATGGTGAACATGAGTCGTGCAACCGTGGAGGACAGCCCACAGGCGCGGGTCCATGGACAGGGGCATACGCTTGCGCTTACGCACAGAGAGAGAGAGAGACGAAGACACGATGGCTGGCTGTTCTAGCTGTTATGGTTGAGGTATTTTTTCTGTGCCATCCTGTGCTTTACTACGCCTCCCTCGGCCGATCCGATGACAGATACATCAATAGAACTCGGCTGGGTGGTTGCATCTCAAGTCCAAGGTCCCAAGTCCCCAGTCGGCTCCCCACCTCCGTTGCGCCGGAATTTTCCGTCCGTTGTGCTTCGGAGAAATTGCCGTCATTAGCAGGACTTCCCCACCCGCAAACAGACGCTGCCAAGCCCGGCCGATGATGGGACTTTGTCAGGTCATGCACCTGGTACCCATGCCATGCCATGGGCAATCATGACCCGCTGGCATTCTTTGCAAGCGGCATATTCCGCCTTTGCTGTTGACCGGTCGGGGTGGGGTCCACGCCGGACTCCCCACGATGGAGTGTTGGCTCCGGGTCGCCAATGACTTGGCGGAGATTTTTCCGGGTGCATCTGCATCAGCTGTTGGTCCTTGCTTTGACGACGTATATCATCGACCAAAACACCACGAGAACTTCCCGCACCGGGGCAGGAGGGTGACAAATGCTGTCACGACGATCAAAAAGCTTAATGGTCGTCGAGTACTCAAGCTGCCCTCAACTAAGGTCCCTTCCGTCCGTGACTAAGCGGCACAAGATGGCCGAGCAGACCACCGAATCGTAACTCGTCCATTGAAGCGGGGGACTGGGCCGTCCTTGGCTGCGCTACAAATCCTCAACATGCAGTCGACACATATCCGCTGCTGGGCGGCCAACCACAGTGTCTCCATGCAGCATAAGGCTCGGATTCCGGATCGTGTGTGGATTGTGGCTGACAGAGGTAGATACAAACCATAAAGGAGAGACGGTCAGCAAGACGCGCGCAGAGAACGCTGCGGTCGAGGAATCCGCCTTTAGGTGGACGAATGAAGGACGATAGAGATGGCCAGGACAGGGGTGTGATGCAGTGTGTGAACCAACAATTCGATACCCATGTTGCGCCGCGCCGAGTTTGCCTTGCCTGGGTGCTTGGTGCTCTCAGACTCTGAACATCCAGTTCTGCTGTGCACCTGTTGGCATTTAAGCTCGACTATATCGCCCGTCTCTCGTCCAAACTGGACGGGCACTCCGCTCGGCTTCATCGTCCCTAGCCGGAACTTGGAGCGAGATCTAGGGCTGAGGAAATCGGACCGTGGGCATTGAAGCTGGGGTGTGCGGCGGGCCGAAGGGGCCAAGTAGGCTCTAGCGCCAGGGAGGCACGTCAAACGTCGCCACAAGGCACGAGGCCCACCTACTTTTGGTGTGGTGTGAAGGAGCATTAGTAGTTCAGTAGATGCTACGTCGAAGGATTTGTTATTGAGCCGTGCTGTGGCTAGATCATAACTCGTCCGCCACCGCCGCGAAAACATCCCGTTCCGAAGCAGCTTCGTGTTGCCCAGCATCGGAAGAGATTCCCAGAGCCACCAGAGAAGATCGACACCTCGGCCCAAGGCCGCATGCTGGCGACGTCAGGGACTCTTAGGGCAGGCTGCGCGGGGTGCTTGGTAAGCTCCACTGCCGGTGCGAGGCAATCCAGGTCGGCGGGCAGCAAGCAGGAGGATAGCAAGCATCTGAGGTTCAGGAAGCGGTGGCTGGTTGGCTCGGGTGCCTTTCCGCGACTGCGAAGCACCCCGCAAACAACGGGCCTGCCTCTCCCATTGTTCTTTCTCCCGGCCAGGCCGCCCAGTCGTCGCCATGTCTCGACTCGTAGAGGGGGCTTTTAATGTTGGCGTTCCGCTGCCGCGGGCGGCAAGCCAGGCCTGCCAAAGCTCGATCTACGCCGGGCTCCTGTCGCCCTGTCTTTAGCACCTCTCCTCCATCCCTCAACCATCTGCGCAGCCATCAACACTTCTTGCTCGTGACACGCACCCTTCGTGTAGAAGGCCGACCAGCGGCGTGCTGGTGTCTCGATCCTGGGCCCATTGCCAGCTACCAGCAGCATCATGGCTGACCACAACCGCAGTGGCGGCCATTTCTTGCATCAACCGCCGTCCCCTGAGCGGCTTGCCCCGGCTCAGCAGCTGCCGTCGCTGGCACCGCGCCAGCTCGAGGACGCTGGCGGTGCTGGGCCGTCACAGGCTGGCATTGTTCCCGGCCCGGGCGCTGCCACGAGCAAGCCGTTGTTCGGGCGGCGACGCAAGGTTGTTGCTGCGTGTGACACGTGCCGGAACCGCAAGGCGAAGGTGAGTCTCTATGGATTGAGGCGAGTCGCGTGATATCCCAGGAGATGTGTCTAGGGGAGAGGGAGTAAGAGAGAGAGAGAGAGGCAGAGGGAGATCCGGCTCGTCAAGTGTGTCGAATGGTGTCTGTGAGCAGACGGGCAGGAGCGTCAATGCGGCACAGGGCAATCAATCGTGTGAACCTTGAATGGCTCTGGGTGCCTCGGTCGCGCCTTCCACGTTGTCGCTCTTCCCACTTCTCCTCCTCCTCCTCCACCCTCCTTATCCTCCCTCTCATCTCTCTCCTTCCACATCATACGGCACCCCTGCCTCAACATCGACCTCCATCACCACAATGGCCACAGCCTCGCCCGAGGGTGGCCTTCGAAGGCTCTCGCTGACTCATTGCTCGCCCGCAGTGTGACGGCACGCGCCCGCGCTGCAACACGTGCATCACCAACGGCCGCGAGTGCAGGTTCTTCACCCAGCCCGACGAGTCGCGGCAGGCCGCCACGCGCCGCCACCAGGCCAACTCGCAGGAGCAGCTCCAGCAGCTCAAGGCCTCCCACGACGCCCTCCAGGACCTCGTCTACTCCCTCGTCGCCCAGCACGATGCCGCAGAGATCCACCGCATCCTCAGCCAGGTCCGCCGTGGCTCCCACCCGGCCTTCGTCCCCAGTTCCGTGTCTGCTCAACCTGGCCAGAGTCAAGGTCATGGCCTAGCTGGAGGGGGTGTACTAGGAAACCAGCATGAACAACGCTTTCGCGAGATCTTGACGGCCAGCACATCGGCAGCTACAGCAGCACCAGACCTCCATCCGCCATCCGTGTCTCCTTCCGCTGCCACCACCACCAACTCACACCGGCGGACGTCCTCTGCGTCGTCCAAGCGCAAGCGCAACGAAACCACCACCTTGTACGAGGAGCTGTTCGAGCTTCTCGTCAGCACAACCCACGATGACGCTCTGAGCATCGTGCAACGCCTGCGCCGCACCGGCGACGTCTCGGCCGTTCTCGGGCAAGCCAAGGAGGCCGACCTCCTGCTCCAGCTCAGCCTCATCCCCGAAACCCGCCGCCGCTACGACCTCCCCACCCGTAACGACATGCCCGAATTCCTCCTCACTGTCGACAACCCATATCTCGAGTCCCTGATCCACGAGACGCAGTTCAAACTCGGTTCGACAACTTCCCCCATGCCTGCGCTTACCCAGGCCGCGGCAAACCACGCAGCACCGGGCAGTACCATTGTTCACTACGTCACGCCTTTTGGCAGTGCACAGCTCCACGAGCCGATTATCAATGAGCTACGCCCCTCGCAGTGGACCTCGGTTCTCAGTGATGATGTGGTCCTCAGGCGCCTGTTGCGTTCCTATTTCCTCTACGACTACCAAAACTACCCGGCCTTCCACAAGGACCTCTTCTTGCAGGACATGAAGCATGGCCGTCGGCGTTTCTGCTCGCCTCTGCTCGTCAATGCCGTCCTTGCTGCTGGGGCTCACGCTGATGCTGGTATCCCCAACAGCGACAAGTTCTGGCTTCCGCAGGGGCTCGGCTACCGCTTCCTCGCCGAAGCCAAGCGGCTCTGGGAGATGGAGGACTATGGTAAAAGCAGGCTGACCACGGTCCAGGCTGCCATCATCCTCAACGCAATCTCTCTATCCGATGCCACCGACAAGATCGGTAAGGCCTTCATGCTCCAAGCCGTCGCCATGGCGGACGAGATGAAGCTCCTCACCACCAGAGACGAGGATATTCCCAAGCAAAGCATGCGCAAGGCCCGAGCTTTCACAGCCTGGTGTCTGTTTGGCTGGGATGTCATACAGAGCTACTTCTTCTTCAAGCGGCCTATGTTCCCGGGCCCACCTCTCTGTGAGCTGCCGGGCGCGGACGACACGGCTTGGTATGGGGATCTATGGCTATGGTACCCGGGCGAGCATGAGCGACTTGTGCCCTCTCATGCCGGTGCCGTGCTGAAAGCATCCATGGGCTTGCGCGTGATCCAGCATGCGATAGCTTGTGCATTCTTTGAGCGGCCGGAGGGCAGCCCGGCCCCCTCCGGGAGGCAGATTGAACAATTCCAGCATCAACTCTACCGGTGGTTTGATGCCCTCCCAGAAAGCATCAGTCCCAAGAACACTGTCCTTCCAATGCATCTGCGCCTGCACATGGAGTATTACACTGGCATGATCACACTCGCGAGAGTTCAGCCTGCCCCTACAGAAGTAGGTTCTTCCGACGAGCAAGCAGATCCAAGCTCGCTGCCGACACCGCCTCGCAGTGTCATGCAGGACCCCATGGCACAGGCACTTGCCCGCCTGGAGACCCTTGTGCGGATCTATCACATCCGGCACGGCATCGACTTCTATGATTCATCAATGACTTACTACTTTGCATTTCTCGGGACATTCATCATTCAAGCTCTAGGCGCCTACTACGAGGCCATGGCGTCTGCAGACCCTCTCCCACCAGCGGCGAAGCAGGTTCTGCCCACACCAGTGCGCTTGGAAGCGTATCGTTCCGCGCTCATCATGTGTGCCAAGGGCCTCCACGAGCAGGGCAAGTCCACATACGTTTGCCAAGTCACGTACTACATCTTGAGGGGATCAATGGCCCCGAGGGAGCGTGACATGGTGCTCGCGCATGTCAAGGAGCACTCGGCAGCGACGACGCCTGGCGAAGTCACCCCACTGATGGGATCGGGCAGCGACATTGACGATGACGAGGACAACGAGCACAACGACGACGAGCGTGGTGCCGGGGTGGAAATTGGCAGCACGAGGAGCGAGTCGGGTAGTTCGAAGCAAAGGAGGGCTCCACAGCGACACGAGGAGGAGGATAGCATGGAGATGCGCATCTACAAGTACAATCAGTCACACTTCCCGATGCCCATCATCTCAATTACCGAAGATCCACGCGATGCCACGCTCGTGGAGCTGGCGGGGAGGTACAGGCGCATGTCCCTTGACGGGAGCAGCAGCAAGAGCACCGAGGACGGGCATTCCGAGTAGTTTGCACACATGCGCTGTCGTGGGCGTACACCCAAGGGCGTATACATTTCAGAATCACTGATGATTATTTGAAAACCATGTTAACTCACGTTGCATGTGACCGAGACGGGGGACATAGAGATTTTCTATCACTGTTTGCCTTTCCATCCTACTCCGTGCTCGCGATTTCATACCACAGCTATCATGAATGATGAGTCCAAATCTGAACATTCCACTTCATTCTCTTTATGAGCTAACACAAGGGAATGATCTCACACGGGCTGAATCCAGACGTGTTTCAAGGGCACCCGCACCAGTCCAGCTACGACGCCAACATCAACCTCTATGCGCGAGTCTCACCTGCAGCGGGCCCTTCATCCACGCGCCACACACGCGCTGGTCCTCCATCCAGCGCCCCTGCCCGGGCGGCAGCTCCCAGTCGAAGCGCAGCGCGAGGCGGGCGGCAAAGATGCGCATCTCGGCCACGGCGAGGTTCTTGCCTATGCAGTCGCGCGGGCCGAAGCTGAAGGGCTTGAAGACGGCGCGGTTGTCCCCGGCGTACTTTGGGTCGTGGAGCGGGTGTGTCGCGGGCAGCCAGCGCTCCGGGCGGAAGGAGTCTGGGTCGGTGAAGTGGTTCTCGTTGCGGAAGGTGACGTACTGGGGGACGAAGATTCGTGTCTGGGTTCTTGTCGTTAGCTTTCGACCGGTAAAAGTGTTGCATGGGTGGAGCGATGCGATATGGAGAGGAAGGCGAGGGGGGATTTTGGTGCTATCGCAAGTCAAGTCTGTATTCACTCAGCAAGACTTACTCCCTTTGGCACGAATCTGCCCTCAATCTCTGCCCCGGGGGACACTCGTGGAGGAGTCACCACCGCGGGCGGATAGAGCCGCATCGTCTCCTCGAGGCAGGCAGACAGGTACGGCAGCCGCGCCGAGCTCTTGATGTCGACCTCGGCCTCGGAGGCAAAGGCGCCGCGGACTTCCTCCTGGAGGCGCCGCATGGCGTCCGGGTGCTGCGCCAGGAGGAAGAAGAAGCCCGACAGCGCGGTCGCGGTGGTGTCGCTGCCCGCAGTGACTAGCAGGGGCGCCACGACGAGCTGCTCTGCCCGTGTCATGCCCTGTTGCTGCTGCTGCTGCTGCTCCTGATGATGCTGGTGCTGGTGCTCCGCCTCTGCCTTTGCCTCTTTGCCATTGTTCTGGAGAGTCTTACGGGACACATAGCTCATCAGGTCCCTCCGGCCCGGTGTCTCGCCACGGTCGATGCGCGCTTGGGCCTTGCTCCTGGACATGACCTGGATCTTCCTGATCTGTCGAAAGAACTTGGTCCCGACCATGAGCGGCAGCACGGGTAGGAAGAACGGGTGGAACTGGATAAAGTGGACGAGGCTGAAGCCGTAGAAGCTGTCCACAATGGCGCGCACCCACGGGTGGTACTCGCTGCGGCCCAGGCTACCGAACGACTCGCCAAACGCGAGGTCGCCGATGACGTCAAAAGTCATAAAGTTGAGCCAGTCGACGACATTGACGTGCTCGCCGGCGTCTGCGGACCGCGAGAACTTTTCCATCACGAGGTCGACGTACTTGAGCACGAAACCTTGCTGCTCGGCGAGCGCGGCGTCGCTGCACGCGTGCGCGAGGTGGCGCCGCTGCCGCCGGTGGGCGGCCTGGGGCGCCATGAGGACGCTGATGTCGTTCTCGGGGCCAAAGTAGCCGGCCACCTTGCCGAACTCGGGCTGCCCGGCGCGCCGGTGGCCGTAGACCTGTGGCCACGCCACGCCGCCGTCGACGGAGAGCGTGTCGGGCCCGATGCGGACTACGGGCCCGTACCGTTGGTGCAGCTCACGCAGCCGGGGCTGGAACGTGCCCCGGACATGGACCTGCCAGTCCTGCGGCACGTCGGTGATGGCGTATCTCTTGGGACCGGGAAAAGCCGAGAGAGGATGGAACCAGACGCGGTAGATGGCCGTGGCCGTGATGGCTGCTGCGGACTGTGCAGCTGTTACTATACTGTTGAGAGTTGTGAAGCTGGACCCCCCTGACTGCCTGCATCGGGTAGACTCACAACTAGGGCCAGGATTGTCAACCCGGACGGATGGGCCAGAGCTGTAAGAGCAGCCCGGAAAGGTTCTCGGAAGGCATCCATGGCGCTGACTGCGAGTTGTTGGTAGTGGACAAACCGACTAACCTACTGATCCTGCACACCCGTTCAAGCTGGTCGATTCCAGCACAACGTTGTCACGCGCGAAAACCGAAAATCTCAGCGGGTATAGACGTGGCAATCTTAGCAGATATACAGACGGCAGACCATGGTCAGGCCTCACTCTGGCAGCGCCAAGATCTCACATATTCAGAAAGCATTTGTGGCGTCAGCCATGCATCCCTCGACATGGCCGTACATTATCGCCAATGAGATTCAAGCTTGGTGATCCTCCCGCTTATTTCTATGCACTACGATCGGTGGTGCACATGATGACCAACTCACCCCCAAATAGCCGCAACGTAGCGTTCGGCTCCACTTCCACTTCAGGGGCCATCAACTTCAACTTTTCGGACGCCCCGAAGCTGAGGTGCGACAACGTTAACACTTTCGGGCGGAGATCCTGATTGAAAAGTGTTGGGAGCTGCACTGAAACTGGCACCTCACGGTCGGTGGCTGTTTATGTCCCAAGTCGTCATCAGCCGTCCGTACCAACCGTCTTTCCAGCCGCATGGCACGCATGTCTCGGAACGTTTGGTCCACTGCTTCCACTCTTCCTTTTCCTTTGTCTTTGACGAAGACAATCTTTTGAGTACTGCGGCATACGACGACTTGACAAAGGCCCGAGCTGATCCTGCCAGATTGCCGCGCGGCTGAAACAATTCATTTCTCAGCCTCACAGTCACGCCACGACGCCGACCATCCCACTCCATGTGATCCCGGGAAGGAAGTGTTGAACATACACTCAGTGCCCCTTGGCACATAATACACACAGGTCAATTTTTGGAAACCGTTGTGTGACCCAACCGCGATGCGTGATTTGACCATGATGGTTTGGATTGGTGACTCAATGCATACACGCCACATCGGAAAGATATCTGCAATCGACCTAGCGTAGATCGGAGCCGCCTTGAACAACATATCAGTCACCGAAACCAACTTCAGAAGCAGATTGCCGGCTTGTCCATTTCAGCAGTGTTCTTGACATTTTGCCTTGGGCTGGACCTATTGAAGGCCAAACCTAAAACTTTGCCAGCTTTAAGAGTATGGTCGGGTCAATTGTTAACATATGTGGCCAGCATTGCGTAGCTATGCTTCTTATCTTGAATTCCTGGATTACACAGTATTGACAGGTCTGGGCGGAATATATGGTTGCTGATTATTATTAATAGCTCGCACGAGTCCTGGTGGAGAACTGATCTATATTCAAGTTCTCTTCCTCCCAACCTTCGAGTTCCCGCTTTCTTCTGGAAGAGGGGGGGGGGGGTTGATAAGGAGAAACTTCTCAATCTGGATGTGAGCAGGTCAACCCATGATGCGCATTCTGTTTCGTCTTTGTCCCTGGCAGTAGAAGGCTCATCTCGTTGACTGCCATCATGTCCCTGTTGAGGTGTCTGTGCGACCCTCGACTGCGTACGATGGACAATTCAACCATAAGTTCGCATGCGACGGTACTCCACAATGGGATGCCACAGGTGCGAAAGCCGCGAATGGTGGCACGAGATGAGTGGATGGACTGGCCGGGTGCCCAGTCACAATCACGAAGCTGGAACATCAGGCCTGCCACATGCTTCACACATCTCTAGCTGCGAGGGGCCGATTTCGCGAACCTTGAGCCCGGAAACGGAGCGGCACTCGGGCCGGACCCGGGGGCCGATCCAGGACGAGGCCTATCAGCGGACCGAACTTGCCGGCATTATCAACGAGAAGCCGCTGGAATCCACTATCCCAGATGAGAGATGGTCCCGATAACGCCGGCGCATGGGGGTTTGCATCAGTTCTGGCTATGAACACAAATGATCCGACCAGCGAGTCGAGAACAGCACATCAGAAAGCCCCAGGGTTTCTTTCTTTGTTTCTGCATTCGGACGTGGTCAAGTGGCCTTCCTATCGCTGTACCCCTCAAGAAGCGCAGGCTGAGTGGAGAAGCATCAGGGCCCTCTGGTGGGTTCTCGAGGCCGCCTATAGGTCGATAAGTGGCAGAGGCCAGTCCCGCCTGGCCCTTGATGATTATGCACGACCAGTCGGCAAAGCATACCAGTCTGGCCCGGCGAATACAAGAGCTCGCCGCACACACCACGTAGGAATTCGACCGCTCATTTAGATTGGAGCATTGTTTCGTCCTCGCTTGCCACAGCCATATGAGAGCGCCAGCACAACCACACATCCTACCCGCTAAAGGTTTCGTTGGCAATGTCATCCACACGAGAGCCTAGTGTGGCGGAGGAGCGCTCGTTCCTTACAAGGCTTAGAGGTCGGTTCGAAGAGGACTTGAATTGCACATTTGCCTCGATCATGAGCTCACGATGACAATAGTGCTCATTTTCGGCGAGCTTGCATCTACAAAAGAAGAGAGATGGCTTATTCAGAAGCTTGGTTAGTGACCTTCCATGCCCGACGCTCTCTGGGTTGTCCCCTCGAGCTGACCATACCATAATGTACAGATTTCTTCATCCTAGTGAGTGTTCTTGACAGGCCCGAGGAAGCAACAGAAACAAAGCGTGCTGACCAAGCTTCAAGACCTACTGCTGTCTGAGTTTCTTCTTCAATTACCTTGACCGTCAAGCATTTGCAAACGCCTACGTGAGTCCTGTGTGTTCCAGTAATTTGGGGTCTACTGTTAACGGAAGCCGCATAATAGGTTGCTGGCCTCCAAGAAGCCGTGAACCTACAGGGCACCGACTACAATGTGCTGCTAGCCATGACCACTGCCGGGTGAGTCGAATCACTGCAACCGATGAAAGTGCTGAAAAATTCCATATCACACTTCTGCTAATCACGAGCAACACAGTTATGTCCTTGGCCAGATTCCGCACGGCATAGTCATCCAAGTCGTGGCGCCACGAATCTGGTTCCCTTCCATGGTTGTTGTCTGGGCTATCTTGACCATGGTCAGTGCCGCCGCCAAATCCTACGTCCAGCTATGCGTGATCCGCTTCTTCCTCGGCCTAGTCGAGGCCTCGACATATTGTGGTAAGTGCAAGCAGGGATGTTGTCATGATGCGTGATCTTTTGGACTCTGCTGATCAGTCACTGCGATCAGGCGCCATCTACTGCATTGGTTGCTGGTATAAGCCTCGCGAAATCGCCAAGAGAACGGCCCTTTTCACGGCTTCTGGACAAGCCGGATCCATGTTTGCGGGCTTGATGATGACCGCCATCTACAAGGGCATGAATGGCCTTGTAAGTCATCACGAGCATCCCCTTGTGGTCTCTCGTGTTCAATGCTAATGCGCCCGTGCAACAAAGGCTGGACTCGCAGGCTGGCAGTGGGTGTTCATCATCGATGGCATCATCACACTGCCCATCGCCATCATGGGATTCCTCTACTTTCCCGACCTCCCCGAGAAGACCAAAGCCCCATGGCTCACCTCTGCTGAAAAGCAGCTCGCTCTCGAACGATTGCCTCCAAAGCGCGAGGACGGCCACAACATCAACCCATGGTCTCTGGCAAAGCGCACTTTCACCATGCCAGCCCTCTACATCCTCGTACCCTTCGCCATCGTCTGCTCGGTTCTCGAAGCTTATAGCGTACAGAACCTGTACCTGCTTTGGCTGAAATTCCAATCCAGCCTTGGATTCTTCACACAGGCTCAAGTCAACACTTACCCATTAGGTATCCAGGCGGTGGGCATTGTATCCAATCTCCTGGGCGCTGTCTACATTGACGCCACTGGTCGCCGTGTCCCCATGGGTGTCGTGGCAGTCACGCTACAGCTCGTGGCGACGATCCTGCTCATCATTCCCAACATGCCATGGGCCGCGACCATGTTCGCCTACTACCTGGCCGGCTCGGCATACATGGTGAACTCGCTGCTTTTCGGCTGGGCAAATGTCATTTGCCAGCGCGGCGGCGACGACGCCCTCCGCAGCATCATCCTCACTTCAATGAATGCCTTTTCGCAGATCCCCTACACGTTCTGGGGCATCCTGCTGTTCCCGGCAAACAAGGTGCCTTACTGGCGTGACGGCTACATCAGCATGTTTGTGGTCATGGCTATCATGCTTGGCCTTCTCTGGGTCGTGCTTTGGGTAAGTGTGACCTGTACTCTGCCACTTACTTGACTCCATACTGACAAATATTTACTACCGCCTGCAGCTTGACCGGCGCACTGCAAAGGAGCATCCAGATGCAGCGGCTTATGACACGGCCGAGGTTGTGGTCGCTGTTGGCGGCGAGAAGCCCCAGTACATCAAGTCCATGCCCAAGGTGGAATTCCAAAGGGAGAACAGCGCCGTTTAGTCACACAGCGAAGCAGCTTGTGATGCACATGATATTGCTATAGCTAAATGTCTGGATACAAACCCGAACTTGGTGCCTGAATAGTACGACAGTCACGTATGTCGTTCCAAGAGCCCCGGCGACTTTTCCAGGACCTGAGGAGAACCGAGTGCAGCACAGGAAGGAAAAGCGGCACTGACCCCGTTATTGAATAAGAATAGAAAAAGGGAGGAATTAAGAAAGAAAGCAAGAAGCAAACACCAAAAGGATTAGAGCATCTTTCAAGATAGGACCGTTTCAGAATAGAGACTGAGGAAATAGCCTACTCCTGCCACCGGCGAATTACTTTCGGAGGAGAGACAAGACCGCCGACAATATCTGGTCCTTCGTCTCTTGACTCAAGTTCGTGAGGTCGGGAAGCTTCTGCTCAGTGCCTGCCGCCGCCGGAGCCGCCGCATGTTCGGGCTTCTTCGCTGCCGGCTCGGTCTGCTTCTCCGCTGCTGATGAAGAAGAAGAAGACGACGAGGGCGGCAGCGGCACGACAACGTCATCGTACTTGCGCAGACCCGATGCGGGCTTGGGCGCTGCCTTGACAGGCGCAGAGCTCGGGGTGTCAGGCCTTATTCCATGCGCAGGCTGTCCCGTTGCAGATCCGCCCTGCGAAGAGGCAGACTCGACATCGGGATCCTCCAGGAATATGTCCTCGAGCTTTGCCTCCTTGAAAGTGAGCGACTCATCCTTGCCCGTAAGCTGCATCATGTACCCCAGTATCTGCGGCCCCGGGATCCTGACCACCACCCCGCTCTCCGTGGCGACAGTACTGGAACTGCTGCTGTCATTCGAGGATCTGGAGGCGTTGCTATGCGAGAAGCATAAGAAACCTCCCGAGCTCTCGGACTGCTGGTCAAAGTGCTTCTTGAGATCGCGGCTGTTCATGGACGAGGACGTAACCTTGATGGTGCAGTCCTTGACGAGGATGTATCCGACCGGGAACGCGGCGAGGTAGCCCTTGGGCTTGTCCGCGGCGTTGGCGCGGATCACCTCGGTGGCCTTGTCCGGGGTCGTGTGGCCCTCGGCCCAGGTCGACCACGAGACGTAGTTGTCGTCCTTGGCACCACGCATAAAAGCTTTGCTCATCTCGAGGAACGAAGGGTCGAACCAGCCCGACCGGTCGACGGTCACATAGGTGACGCGCATGGAGACGTCGACACTCAGGCTCTGGACCGACGACTGGGCTTCGTTCTGGGCCGAGGATGAGGCCGAGCTGCTCGAGTAGGAGCCGATCCAGAAGTTGCAGCGTGAGGAGGACACGGACGAGGACGACATGCTCGAAGTATCGCTGAAGGTGTCCTTGGCGGAACTCGAGATGTGTATCTCGGACCAGCGGGAGCCGCCGTTGCCGGCTGGCATCTTGCCAGCCTGATCCATGGTCTGCGTCGCGGCGCCGTCAGTTGCTGAGGCCGAGTGGGAGCTGTAGGAGCGCTGCGAGATGGTGTAGCTCTCCTGCAATTCTGCCAGCTCGCGCCTGGCCGTTGTGAGTTGTCGCTGGATACCTTCGATCATGGTGCGTGTATCGCCCGCCACAGCCAGGGAGTACTCGCTCATCTGCTGGGTGAGGGCGCGGGACGCCACATTCACGGCCACATTGGCCTGGGCCACAGCATCCATCTGGGAGCCGATATCCTGCAGAGCCTGCTCGTTGATTCCAGGGAGACCAAGCAGCCCTGCTTTGGTTGTGTCCGAGCTGTCCCTGCCGAGAATCGCGATAACTCCCTGCGACGCCATCTGGGCCACGGCACCACCAGGCGTCGCAGCCGCCACTGCCTGGACGGCGAGCTTGACGGCCGAGATGGTGGACTCGGTGTACTTGCTGGACAGGGCCGTCATGGCCTGCTCGTGTCTGCCTGCAGCCTCCTCCACTGCCTGTTTGGCCTTTTCAGGGTCGCCCTTGTTGAAGCTGCGTAGGTTGGCAATCTGGGACTCGAGATTGTCAATCAGCTGAGCCTTGGCCTGCACGGCCGCCTTGATGAGTTCCGGGTCCTGCGACAGATCCTCCCGCGTGAAGCCCGTGTCGAGCGCCTCGAACCAGTCCGCTGGCAGCATGGCGACAGGGTAGACCTTGGATGCCGAGTATAGCGACGAGAGAGCCGACTCGCGCAGTGAATCCTTGGCGTCCTGAAGCGACTCGGCGACAGACTTGATGTCGAGATGGCCCATGTAGCCGCGGACCGTGTGGCTGTGTCCGCGGACCACGGCGTCGGTGTACTTTGACGCCAGCTTGGCCTCCTCGAGCGCCGTGATATGCGCGAGCTGTCGCGTCACATTCTCCAGCGCCTTCGAGTCGGCGCCCAGCTTCTCTGTAGCTTGCCGGATCATGGTGTCCCGTTCCAGCTCCCAGGCCTTGCGCTCGCTCAGGTACGTCTGCATGAGCGAGTCGGCAAACTCGATGCGTGTCATGCCCCTGGGGTAATTCATGCGGTTGCTCTTGACCCCCTCAATGGCCTGCAGAGCCATCTCCTTGGCCGCTTCCTGGTCAGAGATCGGTGCTGACGCCGACGGCCCGACCGTGATGGTCATGCCTGTGGCCTGGGAAAGCTCCTTGGCAGTCTCTTCGGTGATACCCGGGATGGCGAGCCGCGTGTCGACAGTGAACGCCGCATTTCCGGCCTTTGTCTCCTTGAGGAGCCACTGCCGCATCTTCTCGCGCTGCCTGCGGACCTCGACACTTTCAAAGGTCGGGATGAGGCCGTTGAGGGCCTTGCTGTAGTTGCCCGACAACGTCTGGCCGTTGGGGCCGCCGACGATGGGTGCGACGGGGTACAGGGCGTCGGTGAGTGCAAACTCAGCCTCGTTGACGGTGACGGGCTTGTTGAAGCGTGAGAAGTAGCCGTCGAGGGCGTACGCATAGCTCTGCTTATCCAGGAAGCGCGTGGGGAACTGCAGAGCAAAGTATTGCCCGCCACCGGGACCTAGATTGTTGACGCAACGGGGGTTCGTGTTAGTCAATAGTGGCTTTTTGGGAGCTTTGTCTCTTGTGAGGAGGATTTGAGCCTTTGAGACTTACAGTACAGTTCAGACAGCTTCTTGTAGAGCAGTTGGACGAAGGAGCCGTCTCCTGCTGCCGCTTCGACAGTATGTTGAGGCCTTGCGGGTGGCCCGGTCGGAGGAGGGTCCGTCACGGCATGCGCTGGCCCGCCTTTGTCAGAAACGAAGTCAACATTCAACTTGCGCTTCTTCGTTGGATTCGGGTCCTTGAGGTCCGGTGTGACCACCAACTGGCTGGCAGCGAACTTGCGCCACTCTCTGAGGTTAAAGACCTCGTCCTGTTGTTTCTGGTTCAGTGCGGCCAGATAGGCCTCACGGGCCCTCTGCCACTGGCCTGCACGGAGAGGCACCGAGATCTCCTTCAGGGTCTTGTCGGTGAGTAACTGAAGTGCCGTCAAGTACTGCTCGACCAGAGTGCTGGCAGGAACCTGTGTAGATGGCCTAAGCGTGAAGACATCCTGTCCGGGGGTCGCGCTCACTAGATTCGTGGTGCCGGGGTACAGAAGGGCAATGTTGGCCTCGTCGTAAAGGGACAAACCAAGAGCAATGTTGACAAAAGAGACAGCCGGTCCTTCCAACCCCTCGACGTTGGCCGGCTGAAGACCCTTTTCCTCGAGGATCTTCAGTGCCTGGCTGCGGAGGCCTTGCCCGATGCAGTCCATGACAGATCCGGCATCATACCGCGTCGCATACAGCTTCTTGGCTGTCCACTCAGCCTGGCGGTTCTTGGTCGTCACGTTTTCGTTGAACCTGTGCATGTAATAGCCATACAAGCCGCATTCCTCGTGATCCAGGCCAAGCCAATGGCCAAGTTCGTGGATGACGCTGCGCTGGTTCAACTTGTCCCCATGCACATTACCAAACCATTTGGATTCGTATGCTTTGGCATCCTTTTCTTCTCTGAAGATACCCTTGTACACGATGTCGGGATCCCGGGTGTCGCGGTCATTTGGGCCTTTTCGCAATGCAACGTAGATGTTCCCCGGCAGCATATTCGTAATGCTGCGCTCGACTGAATGCTCGGGCTGCCACTGCGTTGCGTTGTTGTACTGGACGACCAGATCCGGACGAGCGTCTTTTGCCACAGGAGCGAAGACCACGCCGGCGAATTTCGACCAGGTCGCGATGGCGTTGTCAAAGAGCGCTTTCTGGTATGCAGTGGGCACCGTGCCTTCTGTCCCTACAGGCGCCACTCTGAGATGGTACGTTATCTCTTGAGGCTTCGTCACTTTGTCTGCAGGCAGCGGCCACAGGTAATCTGCATCCGTCACGGTATGCGCCGGCTGTTGGCCGGGACTAGAAGGCGCGGTGGCCTTGGGCTCTGCTTTGCCACAGAGATCCTGGCCGTCTTGCACCTGTGCCGTCACGAGACCCTGGGTTTCCGTTCTGATGATGCTGTGTGCTGGCCCGCCAGTGCTGGGCGGCTCCACGGTCCTCTCAGGGTCCGTGGTGTCGCCATCAGCAGCCTTCCGCCTGGCTCGGCTCCAGTCCTCGATAATGTTGCGGATGTTTGTTGGGGATATCTCGCCGTTGAATTCACCACGGTCCAGTTCGATGCGTTCAAGCACCTGCTTCTTGATGTCTGGAGGAGTGCCCATCACCTCCAGAGCTCTCTCGAAACTCCAACCCTGCTTGACCGCTTCACTGCCCAACTTGGCTCGGGGGTACTGGAGGATCACGTAGGCCTTGTCGAGGTCGGAGAGCTTTTCGTTGTAAGGCACATCCTTGTCCAGGCCGGTCAGCTCTTTGGGCATGGGGTAGTGCATGATGGAGCTCGTGTCCACCTGGGAGAAGTTTGACACGTCCGACATCTTGTAGACGTCGACGACCTGCGACATGATCTGCTCGTCCGACCATTTCTGGGTCCTGCGATAGAGCCTCAGGGCGGCGTCTATGTCCATGACGGCGTATTTCCCGTGAGCTGGGGACTGATGTTCGTGAAGCAAACCAAGGACATGACCAAACTCGTGCAGGATGACGGCCGTCTCAGTGGCAGTAGGGTAACGCTCCCATGGATCGAGCCAGGCCAGGTTCATGGTGGCTTCATCTTTCGAAACGGTGTCGTTCTGGCGTCCGACATAGGACCAGCTTCCATCGGAGGGATCGAAGCGGATGCGGACCTTGCTCTTCTCGCGTGAGTCTGCCTTGACAAAGACCACATTTGCATACCATGTCCACTCGTCGATCGCGCTGGCCACCTTGTCGTGCTGCTCCTTTGTGCCGTCCAAGAACCAGTAGCTGATGATTTGAGGCGTGCCGTTCCAGAGGTTGTCCTGGCTAGTAAAGACCGCGGGGACCTTCCCTGGTCCAAGGGAGTAGTCAAAAAACAGGCCAGCATGGGCGACCTGGCCCGGGGGAGGCTTGCTGGTTGACTGGACGAGGACGTCCTTGCAGCATTTTTTGAACCACGCCGTGCTTGCGGTCGATTCTTCGGTGTTTCTCTGGTCGCCCAATGCGTCAGGCTGGGAAGCTGGAGGCCTCTGAGCCATGTTGTCGAATGTAGCAGGTAGCGCGAAAAGATCGCAGTTGATAGGTCTAGGAGGAGGTGAAGGTGAAGGATGGGGAGATGTCATAATGGTCTGGACCTCCTTTTCACATCGATTGCTTCGTGCCTCGAACAGCCTTTTTATATTTCGCGAGACACCAGCCGTTTCCACAGTCTGTTCGCGGAGCAACCGCTCCCCTTTCACCTACGATGGTGGCCTCGCAGAGCGGCTCGTTCTCAGATCCATATTTCTCTGATGTCATGGACCTCTGGACCGTGCCGTCGAAGCCTCGATCAGTTCGGCCATCGATTCCTAGACGGGGCGATTGACTCTAGTCTTGGGGCCGCTCTGAGACCAGCTGAAATTTGCAGCCATTTTTTATCTAGAAGTCTCAGTCTGTGGCTTGCTGAGCGTCACGGGAAGGGCAACGATCGCTGCGCGCTCTGATTTCTTCCTCTGAACATGCTGTATGCCTCCCAATTGGGGTATCAGCTGCCCTATAGATTGCCAAACGGGCGTCTAGCCCAGGTCCTTCCGCCGGTCTAGGACCAGCTGAAAGCTGTTTCGGAAGGATCAGTATTTGTCTGTGGCTTGCTGACTGGCCGGGGCAGGGGACGACCCCTGCGTGCACCAAGTGCCAACCTCCAATATGCCGGATGCCTCTAATCTGGGGTATCAGCTGACCTAGTCTAGACTGCTCAGCCCTACAGGGTCACAGCGCGTTGTTCTCGATTTGATGCAGATTTCCGCAGCAGAAGAACGCAGCGACTAGCTGAGACTATACGTGCCTGCTGAGCATGCCGGCTGAGCCCGGCCAGCCAGCCACCATCCACGGGGTCGCCTGCAACGACAGATTGCGACCTGCCTGGTTTGGCTATGTTCGATCCCACCCAGAACTTGGTAGAGAGTAACCAGTGCTGGAACAGCGTCTGGGAACTCCGGACTGGCAGGGGTTGACACAAATCGTTTGCTGGGTGGCAAATCGCTGAGCGGTTTCTCCGCACCAGGATCGCACCACGAGTCATCTTCGCCCGTTGGTCGAAACCCCCTGCAGAGACTATGCGCGGTGCATAGTATGTTCTTTGAGCACCGAAGACTAATTGGATGCCTTCTCTCCGCCCATCGTCCTCGAACGTACCCAACACTATCATTACTCACTAAGCTCCGTCCTTGCGGTCTCAAGTCCCTCATCCAGCCCGAGAACGTGTGCTCCATGCTCGATATACCTTTGAGCACATGGGCTCGAATCTCGGTGCTGACGAAAAGGATTCTATCAACGATACCCACTGAATATGATATCCCTCCAGCATCAACTACACAGCCGCGGCTACTGATTCGAGCTTGAGATGTCGCCGAGGCTCGACTAGACGTAGGGCTCGAGACCTCAAGTGGCTGGTGATGCAAGTTGTTCCCGACCTTACAACGTTTCAATAATGGCTACGCTCAGATCAAATTCGTACGTCGTTTGAACAATCTTCTCGACTCGGGTCCTGCTTGCCGGGTCCTTGACGTAGCCCTGTCCATGGTAAGTTTGCCACACCAACACACTGATCGCTAGCGCTTGTAAGAGACTTGGATTATTGTCGACACTATCTTATCCGGAAGGATTTAAGCTTATTCTTACGAATCAACCTACATTACGGTAGTGGGTCCGCCGTCACGGCACAAGCCGGTGCTAACGATGTACAGGAGGTCAGCATGGCCATGACGAAGCGCTAGTCTTTTTGGGTCGAAGCGATGCTTGACGTCGCTTCTTGAAGGACGTGGAGCTGACCACGTTGATCAAAAATCTCTCGCATGCCCACGTGGTGTGGCGCAGGAACCCGACGTGCATTTGCAATATTGGCCATGATTCATGCACACTCCGTTCATGCTCCCGTACCTGGGTGGTCTTGAATCAAGGCTTGCTGTTTAGAGCTGTTGTGGCTGCTTTGAACTGTTGCGGGATGTTCCGTCCAGGTTAATCTCTTCTTTCGTTCTGTTGCCAAGATTCCCATGGAACTGACGACGTTCAAGGTTGTCCCAGTCTAGGAAGCCTGGTATGGCAGATGCTGGATATGATGTGCTACTGAGCCCGATTTCAAAAGCGATCAGGAGAGAAGCCGATACTAGCACCCACTGGCTAACTTGCCACAGACTCTCGGATTGCGGATGCGATAGAGTGCCAAGTCTAGTCAACAAGAGACGATTTAAAGTGAGCCATTCGTCTTGTTAGGGGCAAGAAAAAGATCGCAGTGGCTGAAAGGTCACAGAGATGTCTTTCGCAGAAAAGAAAAGGGATTATTGCAAAGCTTTCAAGAGCCGCTTCAGCAACTTGATTGTATAACGTTCTGATCTTCCCACACATGATCTCTTGAGTTGTTGATTCTGGGCATGCGACCGCGCCGAGTTCAAGCTGAGAGTGGTTCAGTCTCCCGTTCAGGTACACACAGGGAAGCACACACGCAATGGCCTGCCCCCATCCGTTTTTGTTTTTCAAGGCCTGCCTAGAGTGATCCCAGATGCCAATACTGACTCTCAGCCGGAGGATGCTAGCCAGTCGGTCGTCCATACATCTGCGATGAAGTTGGGTATTCCATTCCTTGAGTCTCAAGGCTTTCCTCTGGTGGACAGTAACTCACAAATAGCCCCTCACCTCCGCGGCCAAGTTTGGAACGTACGCAGTGCTTTATGACACCGTCTTCATGCGCGTCTCCTGCTTGGCCCCACCAAAATTCTCGAAACCGCCGAATGCCTTGCTCATCAATCCTCAATTGCTTTGGATTGGCCTGGGTGCGCTCTGACAAACGCGAGGGAACCGACCGCTAGCGGACAATACACACGCCGTAACCCGGCCTCCAATAAGCCCATCAGGCTGTTCAAGGCATACAAGTGTCAGATCTTGCATCAACGAGCTGCAGGAAGCTCCCCGATTGGTGGGGTGGGAGCTTGCGACGCATGGATACGGTACCCGTCTGACATGCTTTTCACCAGTGTGCTTATTCCAGTTCGATTCTCGTCGGTGACCAGAACGTAATGTTTGCTTCGATGAGGCTCAGCGGAGCCTAATCATAGTCGATGATGCTGTTCTGAGCGCTCTCGGTGGACGGCCAAATTTTCGCAGGGCAACCTATGGTCTGGCCTGGCCTCGTTGTCACAAAGTGGTACGACGAAGACGTGACGTGACGTGGTACGGTTCTGTCCAGAGAGCCCCGCACCCGCACACGGGCCATTTTCCATCACGGCACTCTGCATCAACTTCGCGCCTTGGTGCGACGCGGCCAGAGCCTTACACGATAGTAGTCAGGAGATATCATGTCAGACTACAGGTGCGGCTGAAAATCACAGATGGTTTTCATCCTCGCCAAGCATGGTCAGACGCCGTGATATTCTGAGTCTCATTTCCCATCCTTAAGTCCATCTGGCGTGGACGGTGCTGGCAAGATGATTCCGGAATGGGTGCCAGACGCACCTGGGACGATAAATCCTGCCAAGCTCGTCGTGAGAGCAGCACCTCTGCCCTCGGCGCTGCCAACACCTCCACCAACTCCAGGTATATCCACAAGTTCGACTGTAGGCACTGATGGCTCATGTCCAACAACACCTCATGAGACCGATGTGGGAGACACAAAGCGGTTGGATGCCGTTTCCCGCCATACCGCGCTCTGTCAAGCACGGTTGCCACGGATATCATCAGAGATCGACTCCGGTTCGACGGCATTCAGTGCTCCCCTTTCATCCTGCCGTGATGGGCATGGGCACGACTCACGGCTCGAGTTTGAAGCATTCTGTGGTCGGAAACCATCTAAAGTGCCCGCACGACTGAGTCTACGAAAACAGCGGCTGGCGAGGCACACCGACTACTTCATGTCGCAGATGCTGCACATCAAGAAGCTCTCTCTTCTTGTGGATCCTGCCGCTGGGTCTGAATCGAATGTTGTGGTGGAGAAGTCGACGCACTCAATATGGGACGCGTATTTGCTGCGAGCAGATGTGCCCAGAAATGTGAATCTGTTCAGACGGCAGCAGGTAAGCGATACGCTTCATAGGAAGAGGCTGAGCAATGAAATTGACTCGACTGACAAACAACCAAGATTATCTACAACAAGGTCTTGGAGCGGTACATACTTTTGGTACGAGATGGGTGTGTTGGTCAGCTCGGCCACGTCAGCACGAGCAGTCGCGAGGTCCTGTCCGCGCCCTCACTCAGACCTGTGACGACTCGCTTCAAAGCACTCTTCAAGCTTGCAACGGGCAAAGTCTGGGAGCAGCGCTATTCGGAACAAAAGTTCCGGCGGCGCACTGAGCAGTACGAGTTTGTCGAGCTGGATTACGTTTCCTCGAGACGGGCAAGCCCACCTGAGCTGCCCGATTATACCTGGCTCAACTTGACGATCGTGGACGAGGTCAGAACCATGATGGACCTCATCCTCCACGGGGCGTCCGCGGAGGCATCGAAGCAGTCGCAGGATTCGGAACAGAGGAGGTCATGGTCGTCATATACCGCACCATACCAGGAGCTCAGTCAATATACCATGTTCCTGGGCTTCAGAATACTCAAGCTCATTGGGGATGTCCTGGAGGCCACTGACGGGTCCGTCAAATGGAAAACTATGCAGCGGCTCACATCACGCTACAGAAGCCAAATCCCGCACTGCCGGGGATCGGCACATTACACACCAGTGATATCCAGCTACCAGGCCCTCCTTCTCGAACTGCGGCTGCTTTCGTCATTGTGGCCAGAGCAACAGGAGATATCCCGCGCCTTGAACAGCGTGTGCACTCGCGCGACGATGCACTGGCACACACACGGCGTGCTGGCCCAGCCGCTATATCAGGCGTACAGCTCGCTAAGACATGGCTTTAGACGCCTGACGGATCGGTCTTCGCTCGAGTATCGCGAGCTTTGTCAATATCTGCATGGCTCCAACCACCCAGTGCACCGTACGTATTTCGAGGTCATGGACATATACCGAGTCTTCATCAAGTCGGGGCTACCCAACGCCTACCAAGAATGGATCGACAGCAAGACCCCAACCTCGGACACGAATACAGTATCGACAAGCGGATCCTCACTGAATTCTGATCCTCAAACCAGCTCCAGAGACGCAGAAGACCGTCGACTCCTCTGGCACGGCACCCCGCTCGACTCACTCCTTGGCATCCTGGATCTGGGCTTGCAGATCCGCCGCCGCGGCGCAAGCTTCACGGGCACAATGTTCGGCAATGGTATATATCTCGCTGACTCGTCGAGCAAGTCTGCCGGTTTCTGCAGACATCACGAGAATGCCAATCGGGCATCGATTTCCGGTGGTCAACGGTCTCCTCGGACGGGCGGCGCAGGGCTCTCGCAAAGGACGATGAGTTTCGGTCGCGCTGGGAAGTCGGAGAGCGCAGAGGCTGTGCTGCTACTATGCGAGGCCGACGTGGGAAGGAACAGACTGCTGAGCCAGCATAGCATACCGCAGGGTCACAATGTCGTCGAGGCGACTTATGGGCGGCGGCGCTGTATTCAGGGGCTCGGGCAGAACGGCCCTCCCGCGTGGAAAGGGGTCAGGTGGAACATTGAGTCTGCTCCGTCGGCGAAGCCTGGAGCAGTGCTAATGGTGAGTCGATTGTTTAGCGATGAGTGACGAATCAGTTGCGGGACGCGTGACCCTTGACGAGTGAAGAGGCCATATAAATCGGGTGCGACCAAGTTCTTCGCACTCCATAGCCCCCCTTTCGGGTTTTGCTTTCTTGACTTTGCGAGTACTTTAATCATGGAGCGCAGGTGTTGAGTGATCTGAATCTCCGGCACCCTTAGCTAACAAGATCAATTCTCGGTACAACAGCCAGACACGACTTCACCATATGGTGGGACGTCCTCAGGAGGCGGGTTGCGCTTCAACGAATACGTCATGTACAATCCTTCCCATCTCATCATACGATACGTCTTCCGGCTCAGAATCAGCGGCCCGGGTTACTAGAGTAATACTTTGCCCGGCAGACTCGCCGCACCTCACTGGTGGAGGGTATGGCATCACACAATAAGAACATCTACGGTTGAGCTGAAGAATCAACGTTAAAAAATGTGGGAAGTGCTTCGCCACAGAAGCTGAAAGGCAAGGAAGGGACCGCGACGGGCTGCAATCGAATAGAAGGGTCAAGGAACTGAGCTTTTGCATGGCTTTGCTTCCCGGAGCTAGGTGAAGGCACGATGCGAACGCATCAACGTCCAGCCAAAGGAAAGCATTTCTGCCTACAATATGAGGAAGACACCAACACAGAGAGCTAGAGACAACATCTTTACAATGCTGATGCGCTCATGGTATACACTGGCCGCAGCACCGCCGTGTGTGCTCCCGGAACCGCCGCTGGAGCCTCCTGATCCAGAGGATCCAGAAGACCCCGAGCCGCCGGAAGTGCTGGTCGGCACTGCCGTCGTCGACGTCTTTGTTGCACCTCCAGCAGCAGTTGTGCCCCCAATCACGGTGGTGTCGGCGACGTAGCCCGTTAGCCCGGCGACGCTGGTACTCGGGGGCCCGAACTGGCTCTTGACGCCGCTGTCCAGACAGTTGACGGGGTCCCACTCGCAGTCGCACATGAGGTAAGGGTACGAGGGGTTCGCCCCGATGGCGTCGCAGCGCATGGTGCGGCCCAGGAAGGAGATGTCATAGGCGGGCTTGACGATGGACATGCAGAGGAAGGTGACGCTGTTGTCGACGCAGCCCTGGGCGCTGCAGATCTTCTGGGTGCACGAGCTGGGGCCTGGATGCGCCGTCTGGACGGGGCTGCCGCGGCCGAAGATGTCGATGGCATTGGACATGATGGAAACTTTGGGGGATTTTCGGATGGGGTCTAAGCTGATCGACGAGATCTTACTTTGAATTCAGGTCGTAAGATCTGGACCTGAAGGACCGATACGCCAAGAAAAATGTCAAGAGTGCGTGGATTTCGCTCCCGTCTTGGCACTGGCCTCTTATAATCGTCCACTTTCCGCCTTCTCGTACGTTATGAATTCCCGACCGCGTGGGCACAGGAAGGTCACTAGACAAATTTGGCCAATCACGAGGTCCCAAGAGTCAAGGGAGAACGCCAAGCTGAAGATGCCGTGCTGTCGCTTGTGCATAAGCGTGAGGTCTCGCCCCGGCGTAGACGCCACCATTATACTTGATTGAGTCGTTAGCCAGCCACAAAGCTTATCCCTAGCTATGCAAACCCCCAAAACCTGCTTCGTATATGCCCCCCAGGCAGATCCCCTGAAAGCCAAGGCGTTCTTGTTGGGACCAAGGGTGTGTTTGGCATGACCTCCACAGTTTATACTCGCAAAAGCTGAGCCTCCATCGGGTCGTGTGTTGGGGGCCGAGGCGATAGTCTGAACACAGAACCTCTAAATATGGCCTAACGGATCGGCGGTTCAGCCACTAGTCTGGCGGCGCAGGCTGTGCTGAACAGTTTCTTCCTTTGACGAGGGAAGTGTGTGTGGCGGCTGAACAGTAGTGCTTGCCGAGGGGGCTTTGTAAGGAAGGAATCTCACCTTTTCCTGGTCCAGTTCCTGAATGGTGATGTACGGGTCTCTAAACAAAGACACGCCAGGGGCCACTAAGCGTTGATATTAATGATGCGGATCCTATAAGCCAGCCTGATCATCAGTAGACAAGTTCCTCATAAAAGAGTGAGCGTTAGATTGTATCCGCTTTGAAGTTGATCCTGGACACGACCATGAAGCAAGCTGGTGCAACAAAGTAGAATATTCGACCTCCGCCTTTCAGTGGGCAGGTGCTTATTGGGTGACGAGCTCCAACAGAGATGAAGGTTTTGTCTCCGTCAACTTAACTGACAGGCACAATGATCAATGCAGGCATGCATACCATGCGTCGCATTTATCGGAGACCGACCACTAGAGACGATCTGAAGTTCGTCCCGGCTGTTTTTATTGAGTAGGGCCACCACCAAAACACGCTCATTGTGCGTGTAGCCGCCAATACAGGACCATCTTGCTCGGGGAAGCAGCTCAGGGTCTGCAGGAGACCTTTGATATCATGGCGTTGCGTGATCGGTGGGCAGGCAAACAGGGCGCAACAAGCCTTCGCATGCACGTGATAGCTGGCCCCTCGTCATTAAAGCCAAAACCACGACAAACCTGGTTATCATTGTTGTCGTCCTACCGTAGTGCAGAGCGTGTAGGAGTATACGGGATCATCGGGATACTCTCAGCCTAGGGAGTTTCGAGGCTACCGACCAGTTGCCCACTTCGGTGAGCAAAGAAGGGCATGGCAAGTTAATTCAGGTGTTCCTTGTTCCTGACTAGGCTACTTCTGTAAGAGAATGCTGGGAGCAGGAAGCTTTCCCCCGAGTCACGCCAGCAGTGCACTACATTGCACTGGGGCTGGCCTGAGCGAGACGACTCACGTCACATCCGTCGCTGAAGTCCCGCGGCGGCCAGGTTGTCCGCATGTCCCTGGCGCCCATCAGCACGGTCTGCTGCGTCGTTGTTCCCAGGGAGCTCGGCGTCATTGTTGTGCTGCTGGGCCGCGGCTGATTCGGCTTTGGCGTTGTTCTCCTCTTCCCGCATAACGATGGAAAGGGCAGCCGCGGTTGTGTCAGTATCCGTCATGGCTGTAGTCTATCGCTCATTGTTCAGCTGGACACGTTAGGTAGGCAGAAAGCTTGGGAAATCCAGGTTCACTTGGTCGTTCAGGAGTTCTCTTTTTGTAGGGCGGGCCAAAGTGCCTGGAGGTGTGCTACACGGCTAAGAATGGTATATGGGACAGAATGTAAGCGCGGGGTTGAAACCAGCCAGTCTTCAAGTACCATTATGATGGAGACGTCGGGCGAAGTGCTGCTGCGCCAGCCGACACTGCCACCAACACGCACGACTTGCTTGTTCCTTGCACTGGCCAAGCCGGGTCAAAGTCATGTCGGCCCAACCTGCTACCAGGGCCTCTCGTCTTCGACGTCAAGTCCTTCTGATGTCCTCGTGCAACGCGTGCTGAAGCCCAAAGCTGCATGAATTGTTCACGAAAATGGCCGTCATCTCGGCGCCTGAGGGTGAGTGAGTGTCTTTTCTAATCAAGCCTTGGCACCATGCTGACACTGGTGCAGCCATTGATAGGCTGTTTGCGTCTATTCTCCAATCCTTGGCAGACATTGACGCATTTTCTGGGCCCAACTCGCCGAGCATCTTCATCGTGTACGCTCATGATGCCGAGCCTGGGCCCCAGGCTGCCGGCAATAGCCACCCGCCGGTCCAAGCGCATAGCGATGTCGTAAAGCTATTCATCAAATGGCTCCGAAGGTTACGCAGCAGGACCCTGTCCGACCAGCATCCGATGGCATTGTTTGAGCATGAGAGTCGTGCCACAGGCGAAGCTGCATGCCGCGATATTCTCAGCAACCAGCTTTGCTTGCTCCCAAAGACCAGTACCCACAACACCACCTCAGGTCGCATCAACCGAGTCGACAAGGTGGTCGTGTTCGGATCACCACGGCTGCGAATGTACTGTGAGCCAGCTGCAGCCCATGAGTACATTTCTAGCATCCGCAATGTGTTTGCAGAACGCGAATGGTCATCAGACGCCAATCTGCGCCAAAGGATCCTGACCGACTGCCTAGGCCCCGTCTTGGGCGATCCGGACTTCCATCATGTGCTCACCGAGCTCGCTTTCCTTGAGCTCAGGTACCAGCACAGTCAAGGTGATCATGGCATCATCTTGACGTCTCTCGACTCGACAGGTATGGAATATATCCACTTCGCGGAGTGCACCAACCTCAGACTCAAGATACAGCCAGGGACTTCGGATTCGAAGTTGCATGGCAAATTCTTCAAGCTTCTTCGTCGTATCTACATCTCTCAACATTCAATACTCCACGCATGCAAGGAAGCGTACGGAAATGCCAAGCGTGAGCTACAACACTGCGACAATTTAACCGAGGCGGCCATGGAGATGATAATCGATTCAGCTCAGCGCACTGCACGCCAGGAGATTGCTAATTTCCAGACCGCCAGCCTGCGTGACGTCCAAAGACGTCTAGAATCTCCGGCATCTAACCAGACCAACGACCCTGCTAAGCTTGAAAAGCGTCGCAACAAGCTGATGAGCACATTGGCCACCATCCCTTACAAGGATCGTAAAGACCGAAATATGAAGCGCACGGCTGGAACTTGCGAGTGGTTCACGCGCCATCACATCTTCCGAGCATGGCAGACACGCGAGGCGCCATCACCCTTGCTCTGGGTTTCGGCATACCCAGGATGTGGCAAATCAGTACTACTGCGATACTTGGTCGACGACTACCTAAAGCATCCAGATCGCACTGTCTGCTACTATTTCTTCAAAGACGACTTCGAGGATCAGAAGTCGGTCACACACGCGTTGCGATGCATCATTCACCAAGTCCTCAAGCAACAGCCAGAACTGCTTACCAGCGAGATACTGGGTGAATTCGCGAGGGATGCCCAGCTCTTGGACTCCCTTGTTGGTCTATGGGATATTTTCCTGCAGATATGCCAAAGCCAGTCCTCGAGAGAAATCTTCTGCGTGTTCGACGCTCTGGATGAATGTTACAGCTCCCAGCTCCAGCAATTCGTCGAGACTCTTGTACGCTGGAGCGAAAATTCTGGAGCCAAAGGCAGAATTCGGATCCTTGTGACGAGCCGACTCTATGCTGATGTCAAGCGCGGGTTGAGTGAGCTCGGACCAGAAATCCATCTCAGCGGCGAAGGTGATAAGGAGATGGGCGAGATTTCAAGGGAAATCAACCTGGTCCTCGCTGCGAAGGTGGAAGACGTTGTCAAGCGCCTAGATCTTTCCAAAAGTCAGGAAGATATTCTCAAGCAGGAACTATCACGAGTGCCCAACAAAACATATCTCTGGGCACATCTGGTCATCGATCACATCAAGACCAGTTTTTTTGACTGCGATGACGAGTCTCTTCGGCAAGCGGTGCGTACGTTGCAAAAAAGCGTCGACGAGTCATACGAGAGGATCCTCAGTCGCAGCGGTGAGCGAGAGAAGGTTAAGAAGTTGTTGTCCATCATAATAGCGGCAAAGAGGCCGCTAACTGTTCGCACACTCGCCGAGGCGTGGGCTGTCAAGCCTGGTCAGCGTCTATCCTCCGAGCTAACTATCGCTTCTGATAGCCGTTATGTCAGTATGCTGCATGACCTTTGTGGACTTATGGTCATTGCTGTTGGCGAGAGGGTATATCTCCTCCACCAGACAGTCAGAGAGTTCCTTTTGGCGAGCTCTTATACACCCCTCCCGGTTGGCAATTCTCCAGACATCATATGGAAAGGATCCATCGACGAGGACGAAGCAGACTCAATCATGGCTACCATTTGTTCAGTATTCTTGCTTCTCCAAGACCTACCAGAGATTCAAAATGGTAGTCTATACGACAATGTAGCACCAAGAAGCTCGGCCGGAGTCAACAGAGACAGTCACTTAGCCACCTACGCAGCCCGTTTCTGGGTCGCACATGTGCGAGGCGCAGGGGATATGGCTAGGGAAGAGCTTTTACTCCTGGCGACGCAACTTTGCGATCCGTCGCTATGCAGTTTTCAGAGGTGGTCACAGGTGTACTTCCCACTAGTGTTTGGATTGGACTGCGCTCCAGAAGATGTCTCGAGCTTGATAGTCGCCGTCTCTCTCAACCTGCCCAAGGTTGTAGATCTGCTGCTGAAGGCCGAGTTCATCGATTTGGAGTTCAAGGACAGTACGCGCCACTTGACAGCCTTGGAATGGGCTGTCACATATGCAGACATCGAAATTATCCGGGCCCTCCTAAGCAAAGGGGCAGATTGTCACAACGCGTACTTCATCGCCATGCGACGGAAACGTCCCTGGGTCAGGGAGCTGCTCGTGACAGCCTTTGACAAGGCTGAAAAAGGCCACCCACCCTCGCAGGTCAAAGTAGGAAACGAACATGAAGTAATCGACCTGACTGCTGATTCGACAGGTGATGAGGACGATGGCTCGTCCGTGGAAGAGATCACAAATACAGATCCGAATCATTCAGACATTCACAAAGGCAGTGTGCTGCAGCATACACAGAGCATCAGAACAACGCAGTCGATGTCTCCCGGTGACCACATTGTTTCAGAAACGGCAGGCGGGTCTGGAGTGAGCCCTGGCAGCGGAGACTCTGCCCAAATTGACCGGAAACGCAAGATACCTTCACGACAAGAAGAAGACTCGGGACATACATCCAGGAAGAGACATAGGCCGACAGTGCTATAAGCGTATTCAAACGTCTGAGCAGAAGGTAATGGACATCATGTTGGGACCACTCTGGTCAATGAATGAAGGTCAGCTGCTGTATTCACATCAAGCTCCATAGAGACTCGAGGGAGTAATTAGCTTCGCATGTGTAAGCGCACCATCAATGTTGGGCACAGGCTGTTCTTAGAAAAAGAAAGACAAGCTGTCCATACACATGCCGATGCAGCAGAAATGAGTAGTTCGCTAGGTTTACCCCATACAGCGTATGCTGCATTAACAAGATGTAGTGCCAAAGCCTTGTAAACACGACTGTCCATGCGGGAGGCGCCCGTGATCGGTCCTGGACTGCTGCTGGCCCAGGAGAGACAGCAGACTTGCTGCCACTGATGTACTGGCCGAGCTCGAATCGCTGATTGCGCTCCTCGACGAGGGTCCTGAAACGTGAAACCAAAGTGTTCGGCCGGCCCTGCAGCGTCGTCTCCGTTCCACCCAAGACCATGCCCGGCTCCGTCATGCTTAATCCCCAAAGATCGGGAAGACATGGTGACGGTGCTAATGGCCCGCGGAGCAGATGCCTACCTTGTTTTACGAGTCAGTTCTGCGAACGAGGGCTGTGAGATGGGCACCCTAGATCCTGTCGCTCTTGCGCGAGTACGGCGTTTCGTTTTAAGCGGGCGGTGACGGACAATGCCCAAGTGGCGGCGACATACGAGCAAGCCAGTGTCATGTCGGGAACATGCGCGAGACGGTGACTTGAGCCCGCCCACGTAGATTATCAGACATGCCTAGCTGCTTGACAGTCCTGTACACACTTACGAAGCGACAATATTGATCGCGGACATTGCATGTACTCGTGATTACTTTGATCATTTGATTCATATGTGAGTTTATATGTATGTACCTATATATCTATTTGTGCGTACGTGCCTTGCTCCATTGTCTCGTGCTGTATCGTTGAGAAAGTAGGTGTTGAAACAGGATCCTGTACCGCCAGGGACGGGGGTGAAACGACTGCTTGGGTATTGTTTCTAAACACGACTCGTCTCGACCAGAAGAATATATTATGCACTGACAGTACTCTTTCAAGTGCGCTGACAGGACAAGTATGATGATGGGTATCGATGTGAACAAGCACGGATGAAAAGCGGTGCATGTGTCCGCGAAACAAACAAACGCTATGCAGGGTGATGATGATGGTGAAAAGAGAAAACATGAACCGAAAGGTTCAGTGATGCAATGCACTTGTAGCTCACATCCGCAAGGGCTGTGCCTTCTGGGCCGTCTCGTCCTTGTCGGTGCTCTCATAGGAAAAGGCAGAGGGCTCCCTCTCCTTCATGTTCCTCTCGATCTCGACCACGACTGTCGTTACAGTGTCGAGCATGATGCCGTTGCCGCCGCCGTCTGGCATGTCAGCGCCGGCGGTGCGCAGAGACTCCTGGCTCATATTGCCACGACTCATTGCCCACTGGTCACGCCCGTTGTTGCGGCTTGCAGAGCGTCCGACGGCGCCTCGCCAGCCCATGCGCTCGCCCAGGACCTCCCAACCCCACGAGCCGTTCTTGCGCTGGCCACGTCCGCCGTTGGAGTTGCCGCTCCGGTTCGTGTCGTCGTTCAGTCCTCCCTGGACCCAGACCATGTTACCGTATCTGCGGCCGTGGGGGGTGCGCATGAAGGCAAAGGTCTCGATGCCATCCTCCTCTGCGTCGACATTGGCCTTGAAAATGATGGAGTTCCTCGTCGTCGAAAACAGCACCACGTCGAGCCATCCGTTCGACGCAATAAGAGATCCAGCCAGGCAGAAGTACTCGACGCTGACGTTGGCACCGGCCATGGTGGCGATACGTCCAAAAGCAAGCGGCGCCGTGCAGATGACGTAGATGATCGGGTACACGAGGAAGGCAGGGTGGTGTCCACTGGCTGCCATAGCGGCTGCCGCTGCATCGATGCCGCTGTCGCCTCGGGAGTCACCCTGCCTGTTGTTCGACGAGGTGGCTGGCTTCTTGGAGCGAAGGGACAGGAAGACGAGAGTGTACAGCAAGCTGGTCAACGCGAGAGAGACGAAGATCCAGAAGTAGTGCAGCCACAACCGGTACTTTTCGTATTTTACGTTCATCCAGCACTGTCAAGAATAGAAAAAGCACAGGTCAGTGGGTGGTGAAAGAGGAGGTAGAGGAGAGATGAGGATCAGACGTACCCAGGCAGCGGCACGAACATAAAGACCACCGGCTTCCTTGCCATTGTTGGTGATGGCCACGCCAAGGCCCCCCATCAGGTACACGAACACCCACAGGAATCCAATCATGGCATACAGGACCCGGTGAGGTGGCCGGTAACCGCGGACGACGGAAAAGTACGTGTGGAAGGCAATGGCGGTGATGAAACAGCTGGCAGCCAAGTCGCCGTTAGACACAAAGAAGCCCTGGGCCCAGCAGGCATCCGTCCCAACCGCGATCTCGTTGCGGTTGAGCCAGGTGATGTTGAGCATGAAGGCGGTGGCCTGGTGCATGTCGGCAAGGAGGAGGTTGTAGACGAGAATCAAAAACTGGTTGGGCGCCTTCCGCCTGTAAGGCCCCCGGGTGGAGGGCGCTGGTGGAGGATTGCTCTGGGTCGGCTTAGTTGCAAAGTTCTTGGCTGTGAGGCCCAGGGAGATGTCGTTGGTGTTCTTGGCGTCCTCCTCGGCTCGCCTCTGCTCCAACGAAGGCCCTGATGAAGGGTGTGGAGCAAAACGCCATCGGATGAGCTTGACGGTGAGGAAGAGGAAGAGCACCGTCGAGGTGACAAAGGACAGAGTGCCGAAGAAGGCGACGGCGGTCAGGCCACTCCGGTGGCTCGGGGAGAGCCCGACGAGCGTGTCACTGTCGGGGGGTAGAGGGGCATAGCCGGCCTCCTCATTGTACGGAGGGTAGGCCATGATGCTGCTGCTGCTGGACAAGACTGAACCATGGGAAGGGCGAAGCAGAGAAGGGAAACAACACGGGTCGTTGCTGGAGCGAGCCGGCCGGCCAGATGGTCGAGCAGGTATATGATAGCAGGCGAGCAAGCAGGGCGGGCACACGAGCCCTCCTCTAAGACGGGAAGCGGAACGCCAGGTGAGAAGACTGCGGGAAAGGCTTGCGTGTGGGTGGGCGGCCGGCGGCAACGGATATAAAGGTGTGGTGCATATGACACTTGGGATCGTGGAGCCACATGGTGCTCGAGAGACTGGGCTCGAAGAGATGGCGGCTGCAGGGGAGGACCCCGCTGGGCGGAGGACTGAGGTTGCAGTCGACGACAAGACGATCCACGGAGCCTGTCCAGGGCCCAGGGGCCGGGACAAGGAACCGGGGCACCCTGGTGGGAAGCCGAGGGCTCGTCAGAGCCCGCCAGGGCAGTCCTGAGAGTCTGTTGCCGCACGGGCTTGGAAGCGTCCATGGATGGGCTCACCGAGCGATGCCGCGCGCATGAATACGCAGGACCACCTGGCGATGGGTGCTGACTCGTGAGTCGTGGAAAAGGGCCTCCGCACGAGATGCGTCGCAGATTCAGCCAAGATTAGCTGCCCTATTGGCGCGGGCAAGGACTAGTTGGTGCCCGCGGGCAGCTGATGTGCCGTGCCGGGCAGGCTGCGTGCCTGCAACAAGGTGGTGGAATACCCTGCGGATCCTCGGCCCTGCAGCGGCGTAGCAGGCTGGGCTCCGATCTGGGTGATGGAGGGCGCCGGACATGATGGCGCTTACCAGGGACGGCCTGGACAACGGAGACGGCGCCGGAGACATCCTGTCGATTGCGGCCCAGCAGCAGCAGATGGCGCGTGATGCTGGCGGAGCGGACCTAGGCACACCTTATCCCTCCATGTGGTCGTGCGGCGGCAGTTGAAGCCCACGATGCAGCCAAGCGAGCAAGCAAGCAAGCAAGCAAGCAAGCAAGGCGGTGTCGTGCATCTGGTGCCACCAGACGCAATGCACGCCCATGGGCAGCTCCTGCCTCTGGATCTCTCAGCGCGTCTGGTGCGGTGCAGCGCTCCTTCCGTCCTGTCCCACCAGGTGGTGCTGCCCACGTTACCCTGCAGTGCCTGCCTTTGGCTGAGTCGGGGCAACCATCATCAGCATCAGCATCAGCATCTTCAGGGCTGGCCTGGCAATGGCCTCGAGACACTTGCGCCCTCTCCCCTCATATCACACGACTCCGCGACTCCGCGCATGCCCCCGTCGTGTCGTGTGGCCTTCCATGCATCTTCGCCAGGCCTTCGAGCAGGCACCCCGGCCGCCGCCCACATGGTCCCCCACCACCGACAGCGCTAGCCAGCCAGCCACCAACTGCGCGCGATCTCATCTTGTCCTCGGGGTCGCCGGCCTTCTTCCCACGTCGTCTTGCGATAGGCTGCTTTCCCGCCCCGCCGCCGCCGCCGCCTGCTGGTCACTCAGTATACACTGTAACATCAGCCCAGCAGATCCAGCGCAGCCGAGATCCTCTGTCTCCGCCTGCCCGACACGCAAACGACTCGGACCCAGGCAAGGACAGCGGGGCGCTCCTCGCCAAACAGCACCTCGAAGCAATGTCTTCTGAGCTCAGGTCTTTCCAGCCCGGCTCTACGCTCGTCACATGCCAGCTGATGGCCTCAACGCACCGGGCAACCCGCTCGTCCTCCCCGTCACAAACAAGTACAGAACTCAGTACGTAGAGAGGAAACCCCAAGGGCCCCCCACAGAGACACTCTCTTCACCCACGCTTTCTGGTCTCGTTTAGCATCTCCAATGTGCATACAAGGCCAAGGCCAAAGCCAAGCTAGCCTCATGGCAATCCTCCTACCTTGGCAACTCGAGGTTCTGATGCAACATTTGCAAGCCGAGAGCATCATCGATAAGGACCCCGCACAGGACGCGTTGCCATTGGCCCCCCCTCGGTCAGTCTCCGTTCTGCAACGAGCAAGAGGCCCAGGGCCCCCTGCGGCTCAATAAACTTTGCTTTTCAGCTGTCAGGGAACATGAACCGGGTTCTCCAACGAAGACCCAGCCAGCTCCACCCAAAAGCCTGGACCGCCTTCATCCTTCAACTCCGGCCCCGGCCAACATCTCAAAGGCTTTCGCTCCTGACCTGAACCACTTGAGCTATACAGCAGTCGTTTACAGAACACTAAGGTCATGGCGTGGATAGTTGGCTGTGGCACAGCATCACCTATTGATCCTAGCCTGTTGAGGATGGAGTGACAGTGTTGCGATAACCCAGGTGCCATCGCTCGGTTTGACGCTAAATCCAATGGCAAGTTGTGGCTTGCGCCAAGACCCATGCTGCCTCTCGTGGCATGTACAAAGTCCCGATAGCTTCTCGGTCGTCGAGTGCTCCGTGAGAAACAGCCCGGATCCCTTTTTCGGGCATCAGTGTGCCGGCCTTGCTGTGGCCTGGTGGCTTGTTGCAAAGAACAGAGCTTTCGAAAGTACTTTGAAATGACACAGCCACGCCCGAATGATGGGAGGAAAGAGTTGACAAACTAGCTTCATCTCATGCTTGGACTGGCCAACGGGCCTGCCTCCACTTGCGCGACGCCCGACATATCGGCGCACCAACGCTAATTAAGCAAGTGATCTGCCTAGCTGCTTGGGGATACACGCCCGCATGATGCCCGTTGCGTCCGAAGCAAATCGGTTTCAAAGCTTTGCACCAACTCTAGCTGTCGACGCTTGAAAGTCGCCGGCCGACCGTTAGGCCAGCCGATCAGGTCTTCCGACGGCTCTCTCGACCGGTGGCCTTTGATCAGATTTCCACGTGTCCATCTTGGCGGCTGTGTAATACGTAGGGCTGGGACGATCCTGCGTGGGGAGAGCATTTCGCGATGTACGCTAAAAGACAAACATTTGCGCAGGTGGCCAGAGTGGTGATCGGCAAGACGCGAGACCTCACCGAGCGTTCTGCTTGATGGACGACACCGCACGGCCATCTGCAGGAGGCCGTTGGATCTCTTCGTTTTTGCGTTGGCCCATTGCATTCACAATGGTGTTGGTGACGCTGGACGCCACAGGCCCGCTTTCGGCGCGCCTGTGGGCTCAGTGGCGCCTCCTGGAACACGTCGAAGACCACCAACCCCTTTTTCTAGTTGCTCGCACTGGCGTGGCTAAGAGCAGGTTTGTTTCTTGGTGCCAACGGTTTTTCGAAATTTCTCCGACACTGAAGCAGCTGAGTCACGAGCGAGGCATGCGGAGTAGTGCATTTCCACGCGATTGGGTACGTGTGTCCAACTGGGCGCTTGCGATGGTCGTGCCTGTAGGGCCAAATGCGCACACAGTCTGCAGGCTGGTGTCGGGGGCCTGTTTTCGACGACGTGCACCACCATTGCCAGGAAAGTTTCAAGCGAGGCACTTGTTCCAGCATACCCAGCATCACCAGCTGCCCGTATCGGTATATTATGCGCAACCAGGGTCGAACCGGGCCTCACCAATCTGGATGGGACAGGCTGGAGGCCTTGCTATCACGCAAAACGACTCGACATCTGCATGCCTTTCGCGTGGGCAGTGAGTGAATCGGGATACCAGTCGTCAACAACTTGCATGAACTGATATGGCGTGGCATCCGAGGTAACTTCGACTTCCTCGCCGCGATCCTTTGGCCCAAGGACATGGCCACGGGAATGGGCAGGGATGCCGGTAAAGTTCTCACTAATACCCATTCCCCTGCTGATAAAACGAGACGCCAGCTGCTGAGGAATCATGCAGTGTAGGTTGGTTTCACCTCTGCCCGATGTCACGATGCTGCGCCGCAGCACACAACTTTGCGGGGTGTTGAGGGTCGCCTCCAGGGAGCAGTGGATGGCGTTTGTGCCCGTGTGTCTCCAGGACGGCCTGGCCTTGCTGGCCCTGCTGGGCGTCCACAGAAACACAGGGTCTGCCATTACCCCGAAGAAATCTGGATGGGTGGCCAGTGGCAGCCTCGCCGTCTCGTGTCAGCCAGTCAGCGACCCAGGGGCAGCAGCCTGGGCACGACAGGGATCAAAGGAAGAAGCCCTCAAGGACGACCAGGATGTCATTTGCTCCATGTGGCATGCGAAGAGATCCAAACATCCTTGAGCCTGCACTTCTCGGCACGGCTGGGCTGGCCTCCTGCAGCCTGGCAGGCATCTCGACACAAACCCCCATGCCGCGTCTCATCTGCCACAGTTCGCTGCATCTACCATCTCCAACCAAAGACCCTGTCATCTCGACCCCTGGCGCCGCCATGGTCGATCTATATGTTTGACGTTCCTTGGACGCTTTGGTCGGATGGTCTGGCTTCATGCGGAGATGGCTTCATGTTATGACGCCGGCACGACTTCCAATGTTACTTTCGCTTGTAAGCGACGGGCCTTGGTCATTTTATGCCCGCCCGACCTTCTTGCAGCAGAGATTGTGTGGTTTGGAGAGGAATCTGCGGCGACGCGACAACGCACCTTCAGCCAGCCACGGTTTTGGTACTGAAGCCCTTGCAGACCACCCCGAAACAAGAAGACGCAGGATGGATATTGTCACTCTTGCGTGCAATCTGAACGGCCTTGACAACACGAAGCAAGGGCCGGGGGAGTGTATCGTACTGTGTGCAGTTGATCTCGCTTGCCTGGACCTCGCTTGCCCGGACCTCGCTTGCGCACTCTCTCCTCCGGACGTGTCCGCCAAGACTTGCCCTATGTGATGTGGACATCCTTCCATGCTTGCCCCCTACTCTGTCAGTCTATCCATCCGTGACGCGAGGATGATGATCATTCTCATAATCATGATGCTGGCGCAATAAAACTAGGCTGCAGATCTCTGTGGAGTAGACCTTGTCACACAGCAATATTTTTTCAATAGTTGTTCTGGTTGGACGCGTAGTTTCTACAGACAGGGGAGGGCATCACTTTGGAGGCATACAGGGCTCTGTGTGTGTGTGCGTATGTGTACCATTGTAGCTGCGAAACCATGTTCCAGGCTCGCGGGCTCGTGAAGAATCAACAGGGCTCTGTGAGATCTGTGACTGCCCTGTGCATTAACCTGGCATGGCATGGTGGTGGGTGGTGGCCCGCAGTCCCGTGTCTCCTCCCCCCTGCCTCCCCTGACTAACCTGCCAGCCAGGATCAGCCCCCTGTGATTGGTGAAGGCACTTCCACGCTTGTTGGAGGTCGGTGAAGAGAAAGAAAGCCGTCATCATCGAATGAGTTTGCTTGTCTCCCTGTGAGTTTATTGCCCATGTTTTATTTTTTATCTTGTCCGGCACCTCCGAATCCGAAAGTTTGGCTTTTCGATTGTTCTTGCTTAATGAAAACTCCCCCGGGGTAAAATAAGCTTCGAGTTTGCGCAGGGATCTTCCGTAACTGATGCCTGTTCTTATTCTCCTTTCTTCCTTTCTTCCTTCCTTCTTCGACTTTTGGTTAGTGCTGGTACTGGTGCTGATACTGCCCCGTGCTCCCGGATGGTTTGTCCAGAAAAGCAAAAACAAAACCACGAAAGGAGAAAGGACATGGGCTTTGAAGGGAGCCTTTCTCAAGTCAATGATTGGATATCTCTCTAGCGTCGTGTGCAATGAGTCGTCATTTGGATGAGTTCAAAACATGGCTCGTGCTTGTGAGTCCCGGCCTGCCTGCCTGCCTGCCTGCCTGGCCGGATAGTCGGGTGGTGCGGAACCAGGGGCGAGGGTGGGGAGCATCTATGTAGATAAGGCTTGGAGAAGCATGAGATTGCCCAGAATGCACGTGGTCGCGGCGCGGACCACCGGTCGGAGAATACAAGGTTCAGGAACGAAACTTATCGAAAGTATGAGGGCGATTGATCGTCGAGATGGGCCACGCGTTCACATTTTGCACACGAGTCTGGGCGAGAGCCGGGCGTGGCTTGAGTGTGTGTTATTGACGTGGCTGCGCAGAGCTGCACGGGCTGCTGGCTGGCTGTTTCGTCTGGGGGGCTTGCTGGCCTGGTTGACCGACCGGTCTGCGTTGGGGCAGAGGACTGATCATTGGGTTTGTGTAACTTGGAAGGCAAGCACATCGATGAGTTTAATTCTTAGATGAACATTGGTACTTGTCTGCTAGTAAATCCGCGGGGGGGGGGGGTAGAATGTGTCTGCGCTGTGGGTTTTCGGCCTGAACCACCATGGATGACATGTTGCTTCATTGCTATCCGAAAAGAGTTTTGAATTAGAGGTTTAATCATGGCACACGGGCTGGCCTCTGAACTGTCACATGCAGGTGCAGTATGTATGATCGTCCATTGGACCGTGAAGACCACTTACAGTGACAATCAGGGGTACAGGTACCGCGCCGAGACAGAAAGCGGTCCGTACCTCGGGGGTTCCGTTAACAAGATTCCCAGAGGCACTTCGCCCGCTTTTTCGTCACGATCTCGTGGTCCTCCACGTCCCGGAGCGTCAGAGAACATTGAAACCCATAGAAAGAACAGATCCAAGGATGATTTCCGCGTAGATTTGTCTTCCAAACACTCGCTAAGGACATGTCTGTCCGTGATAATTGAGGTAGAGCCAACTTTAGCTGTCGTTTAATACTTTGCGGAATTCCTTCATGCTTGTTCCGACCACGAGTCTTGGGTCCTACTCTTTCTCACGGGAGTCCCCAGGAGAATTTGTCCTCCTCAATGTCAGGCTTGACTACTGCTTGAGGACTACGCGTTTAAATCCCCCCTACACTTTGGTCTTTGAGTGGTCTATCCTGATTCCCATGACATTGGCAGGTTGCGCTCACAATGAGTCTTTGGAACAAGCAACATGGACAATTGGAAGTGCAGCGATGTGCAATGCGAGGATTGGATGGGTGGTTTTGGCCCATTTGGGCTGAAGTAGACTCTGAGTTCCGCGAATGGGTCGTGTCGTTCATTCAGGAGGAGACAACGACTTATTTTGCTCCTTGATAAAGGTGATTCGTTGGCTCACCAACTCTGGAACTGGCCATGTGTGGAACGTTGTTGGTGGCTGCCTGCCAGCCCTTGATGAAATCGGTCGGTTGAGGTGTGAGAAATCAGCACCATATATCGATCGTAAACAATACAGTCAATCCTCCTTTTGAATCTTCTTTTTCGTGTCCTAGTGTTTGGAACTCCGTTCAACAAGACGTGATCACCTCAAGACTTGACAGGTTTCGCGTGTTTGCTTCCTTGCCTTGGCAACAGGGCAATCAAGCTGGTATCAAGTGCTTTGCCGAGCCCAGCAAAGTATGGTAGGGAAGCATTCTTTGTGCTGTTGGTCTGAGTTCCAGCAACAAAAAGGATCCGCATCCTGTTGTTTCCTCAGCCGCAATCTGAATCGCTTCCCGGGCGGCTTCTGCCTGGCAGTTGTACGCACAACACACACAACATGTGTCGCTGGCAGCCAATCAACCCCCTCATGAACACGGGCCAACAATGCCAACACAGCCTGCATGTAGGCATGCTGCTGCAGTGCGCCTCGCGGGGCAGTCTTCAGCTCTGGGCCGGCGTTTGCGCCCGGCGCAATACAGCAGCGTGGTGATCTTTCACTGGTTGGACATTGACTTTTTCTTTTTTCCTTGTTGGTGCGAAGTTGCGCTGCACTATTCGGCATGCGCGCCGGTGCGCAAGCTCAGAGGTTGTCCAAGTGGGATCTTGACCACTCTCGAAAATGACAACCAGTCTTCTACGCCGACTAATACTATATGACAACAATATCTCTCTTCGCCAGAGTGAATAACCGAACAAGGTTGAGAGATGCGGATCTTAACAAAACTCTACCTTGGCCGGACGCGTCGATTCGTCTCCCCGGCTACGTCGTCGCCGCGAGTTAAACACCGCGGAGATACAGCATCAAGGGCGCTTCGCCACTAGACGGCATGCTCACCGTGACTGGGACAGGATCAATGTCACAGCTGTCCCAGGACGAGCTGTTTGCAGAGATCCACGCCTTGTGCCAGCCAGCATGGCAACGCGAGCCAGAACCGCCGATGGACAGCCAGCAGGCCATGGACTGGCTGTTGTTGTGCGGCTTCGCAGAGGATAAGCGAGATTCATACTGGATGGCGGGGTTCTAGACAACAAGGACACTTGGCACGGACAACTCTTAGAGGGCGAACAGTTCCTGTTGAGGGTCCAGACTTACAGCGTATGTAGACTAGAAAAGCTCCTCCTGCTGCGGTCAGCATGATCATTTTCACTCAACAGTCATACCGGTATGATCTTAGTCCACAGACTGTCTTGGACTCGCATCTATCAAGATCTGCAATGTTGTTCCTAATGCTTTCCTGAACCGCAGACCGGAGCGGCCAACACCGGCTCATCCCGTGAATCCTACCAAGTCAGGAAAACTCTTTGGATGGAATTGTCTCTTGCTTCTCCATCGGCCACCTTCCCCGGCAGCACGTATCGCAAACTGTTCGCTCGTGATTTCGTTCAGCGGCTCTTCACGCCTGCATGTTCTTACGTTACGCTCAAGACCGCCGTGCTTTGCTTCGATAACACACAGAAAGCTGCGCTACCTACAAAAGGGGGGCCTGGTCAAAGACCTTGGCTGTTATCGCCGAGTTCTGACACAACGGCGTGGTGATACGCGCAGTCCTTGAGGCCAACCGCTCTCGACTTCGGGTTGTGTGGACGCACTACAGCCACTACAGTCAGCAGTGACTCTGGTTAGAAGAGCGCTAAGACGCCCTGAGATGCGCTGAAAACATGCGCTGAAGCGACGTTCTAAAGAAATGCATCAAGGTCATTGATGTCATGTATGCGGTGATTCACGGTATAATTCGGTGCTCACCACGGCTCAGGGGCAATGAGAACGTCGGGTGTATCAATCTATCCAATCTATCCCTTCTACATAGCACAGTCATCCCGCTCTCCACCAACATCTCAATCCTCGTCGTCACTCGAAGCCGCTGCATCATCCTCATCGTCATCCTGCCCGGCGCCGCCGCCCTCAAGCTCCCCATCATCATCCACGTGCGTCGCAAAGTACCGCACCAGCGCGTCGTACGACTTGTCACGGAACAGCTGGGCCATGTTGTCCCAGTGTTTGGGCTCGCCGCCGAGGTACGGATTCCTGGCGAGCTTGGCGCCGGTGGCCTCGAACTTGCGGTTGAGCTCCTCGAGGCGCTCCTCCTTGCGCTGCTTGAGCATCATGTTGAGCTCGTCGGTGGTGTGGGCGGCCTCGGCGAGCTCGCAGACGTCGCGGTGGAACGTCTCTGGGTCCTGCAGGGTGAAGGAGAAGGTGTTGTGCTGCGGCTGCAGCTGGCGGAAGAGGTCGGACTGGCGCATGTTGAACTTGTCGGCGGGCCACCGCCACTTGCGGGCAATGTTGCGGATGGAGGGCTCGTCGAGGCGCATGCCGCCGGCCTGGTTGAGGGCGAGCCGTGCCGCCGTCGGGTGGTCCTTGTCCCGGCCCCTGATGAGGGCATCGATGACCCGAGGCTCCATGCCGAGCTGTATGTGCCGCAACACCCACTCCTTGACGCCTATCGTGAGCTTGGTGGCGTCGAGCTCCTCGAAGCCGTGGTTGTGAGCCGTGGCGCCGCGGACATGGACGAGCCTGTTGTTGTGGTCAATGTTGGCAAGCAGGCGGGCGTTGCAGCCGTAGCCTTTGCGGATCTCGCGCTTGCGCTTGCCCGTGCTCTTGCTCGGCAGGGGCGTCTTGGCCATGTAGCGGCACTTCCACTCGCGGTGAGTGATGCCATCTTGCTTGAGGTACGACCGGCGACGTGGAGTCCACAGGTTGTCTATCCAGATCCACAGGGCATCCCACTGCTCTTGGGGGAATGTGGTTGGGTTGTTGACGACGTCAAAGAGCTTGTAGCGCCACTCGAGGACCTCTGGCGGCGCCACATCGGGTATAAGTTCAGTAGGCACATCGATGTTGCTATGGTCACGGTAGTCCCGGTCCTGCTGGGTCGGATATGAGGGGGTATCCCACGTGGAGGTCCCCGGGGTGCTAAAGGTTCTTGGGAGGTGTGCCTGGGTAAGTGCATGCGACGGTGGCGGTGGTGGTGGTGGCCGACCACCAAAGGGCTGGTAGGGCTGCTGATATGCTGTCTGGCCAGGGTAGACAAAGGGGATATCCGAAGAGCCAAGATACGGGTGGCCAGAGTTGTCCATGCTATCCCATTGGTCCCATGGCGACACCAGCTGGAGCGAGATCCGGGACATGGGTGGCAGGAGGGAGGGCGAAACGAGCGGAAGCCAGCAGCAGCAGCAGACACGAGGTCGATATAAACGAAAGGGAAGCAGTGGAAGCAGCAGCAGGCGGGAGGATCAAGCGACAAGAACGCCATCCCGAGCTTCGGGCACTGCTGCCCCTGGGCTTATATGAGGAGTCCCACGGTGGCTTGCGGGTGGAGGCCGTTGCGGCAGCGTGATGGGCTGCTTGGGCGCCCGTACAGGCACGAGCCCATCTGTTGGTGAGGGTCAGATGCAACGTTTCGGGACCCCTGGCCCATCACGAAGTCGACCGGCGGGCCGACGTCATCGGCCGTGCATCTCGACCGGCATGGACAAGAAAAGGGAGGACGTGGCACGATGACAGGTTCTCCCTTCAGGGCGGTTCCAACGCCATCATGGCCTGCAGCTGGTGCGGTTGCTTGGTGCTGACGATCATGGAGAGAGTCACGAGGAAGACGGCGGTGGTGTTGGGAGCTGCAGAGCGGAAGCGACGAGGTCGGTCGAGAAACGACCAGGGGGGACCCCCGGGGCGATCGTGATGGCAATCTGACAGCCTCAGCGCTGGAGGGGATAGGCGGGCCGCTTTAAGAAGGTGCTGGGGGTGGCTTGCTGTGGGTGGTTACCACCAACTGGCCGGCCACGAGGGTAAGGTATGCTGAGAGTAGGTATATTACAGCGAGGGGAGGACCTGGCGGTGTTTCTATAATTGTCGCCGCGGACGAGGCTGTCGCGGTCCCGGGCCAGGCGGTATTAAAAGCCTCAGCCGGTGCCGCGTCGATGCTGGCCCGTGGCAGCGATGCGCGCGCGGTGGTCGATCATGATGGGGAAACGAAAGGTTACATGAGGTGCGCGCAACATGCAATTGCCGGCCCCTCTTTTTTTATTCTGGGCGTCTCTGGGCGGCGTTTCTGCCTGGGGCGGGCGCTGAGCCAAATGCTCCCACGACTCTTCCCCGGGGGGAGTGAGGCGCGTGCTTATCGATTGTGACCTGGCGCGGTCACGTCACTCGGGCAACCCCATCTCCAAACCTCCGCCTCCGCATCGTGTGATTGCAGCAACCACAACCACCAGCCGCCTTGCCCGACGCCATCTCGCCCATCGCCCTCCCACATCGTCGCCATCCACCCAGTCTCGCTCAAACTGGTCGCGCTTACTACCGTATCACCTGCTCGCAATTACCCAGGCAGCGCGCACGGCTACGACGCGTGCTGGCCCGCACCACGCAGCCTCTCACCCGGCACGTCACTTCCCAGCATTACGCCACAGCACCCCGACCCCGGTCCTCGGTAGCGGCACAAGGGTCCCGTGTCCGTCCATCGACTCGCCAAACGACGTCTAGCGCCGCAACCTTCAATTGCACGACTGGCACCACGCCCAAGGTCGAGCAAGCAACACACCGCATACCACACCCACGCTACACCTTGCAGGCCGATATGCTGTGACAGTTGCGCAATTTCCACCAAACCCCCGGACCCTCTTGAAGCTCCCTTGCTCTTCACGACTCTCTGCTTTGGCCGCGCATCGCCATGTCTGAACCACGTGAGGCCCCCCTCTCAGCTCTCCAGGCTGGCTGCCATGACCTTCGTGCTACCATGAGGGCATGGTAACATCGTGAGCCGCTGCTGACTGTGCGGTTTCCCCAGTATCCCCCGAAGATGAGAAACACTACACCCAGATCATTGACGGTATCCTCTCTACTGTCGACCTCGAGACGGTGACCCGCAAGAAGATCCGCAGTGGCCTCGAAGCGGCGCTTGGCGGGAAGGACCTGAGCGACCACAAGGTACTGCTTCTGTTTTCTGCAAAGAAAACGCAGTCTGTGCGACACATGTGCTGACAATGAGTCATCAAACCTCCAGCATGCCATCAAGGACCTGATAGAACAGCGCTTCGATGCCATCTCATCAAACGACGCGCAGCCCGACGCAGCATCCCCCGAGGCCAATGGCCACGACGACGATGCCGACGGCGACGAGATCAAGGTGTCCTTTGCGCCGCCCAAGAAGAAGCAGCGCAAGGAGAGGAGCGTGGACACGGAAGACGCAGATGCCAAGCTAGCGGCCATGCTACAGGCCGAGGAAAATGCCCGGTCACGAGCTACTCGTGGCGGCGGCGCCAAGTCCAAGCCTGTCAAGAAGAAGGCGGCGCCGCGGAAGAAGAGCGCCAAGAGAGTCGGTCCTGACGATGATAGCGACGTGGACGGCAGTGACGCGCCACCGAAGCGCAAGGCTGGCGGTGGCTTCCAGAAGCCTTTCAACCTTAGCGAGCCTCTTTCCGAGCTTTGTGGCGAGACACAGGTGAGTGCACGCCCTGGTTGCTTTGGGTTCTTTACGATGCTTGACAGCTGATCTGGATCACGATGACAAAGCTATCACGTCCCCAAGTAGTGAGCAAGCTGTGGGAGCACATACGTGCCAACTCACTACAGGACCCGGCGGATAAGCGTCAGATCATCTGCGACGAGAAGATGAATGCAGTGTTCAAACAGGCCAAGATCAACATGTTTCAGATGAACAAGTTTATCGGCAGCCACCTCTACCCAGTCGAAGCCGAGTAGTAAAAGCAACCTTGGCAGTTATTGTATCAAACCATGCGCGGTCACGCGAAACAGCCGAGAAGGGGGTGCGGCGGGACTTTCCAGCTCCAACATATGGGTTTTTTCATATTATCAAGACTTTGTCATATTCGGTGCAGCATGCGCGGGTCATGGTGTCCGTGGGGAATGCTTTTGGGGGGGTCCAACGGGTTGGTCGGCGCTGTTCCTTTTGCTCAGAGCTGGATGTCAACCGCAAGCGTGTAACCTGATTTGTGTTTTACGAAGCACAGACTAGTCCAAGGATGTTCTCTCGAGATACGTGCGCGAGCTCTAGGAGTTTTTATGGCGCACTGTCTGTCCATACTCAAGACAATAAGAAGTAAAGATAGATCTTGGTATGATCCCGCCTACCTTAAGGTAGGAATGAAAGCCTTGATGCGCCGTTTGTTTGTGAAGGTGTACACTTTGAGATGTTGTCCCCAAGGTTGACGGGCGGCTGGTTTTCAGGCACAAGTTCAGTAAGGCTGAATGCTCAAGCATTGCGACTGGACACTACACACTATGATTCATTGTGTCGAGATGCAGGAGTCCTGGGATGTTGACTACGTAAGTACCACAAGGTAGATTGCTGCGAGGCTGTGCAACTGGAGCCGGCTACAAGAGTACCAGTAGACCTTACGCACGGGCTGGGGATGGTGGAGGCGAGACCAGCCGCCACGAAACGGGAAGGAGTCACCACCGGTTCGCCGATCAAGGGTCCATGCCTTGTCTCTGGGCTGTGCTCGAGTCTCGTGTCAGCCGGTGAGAGCGCGCCTTAGTCGTCAATACAATGCAATCACGGCAAGACATTTCCATTGCCATGTGACGGTGAGGTGCCATAATGAGAGGGATACCGATGTAGCACTCTTTTTGCCCAGTGTGCATCTCCAGTGTGCCTTGGGTGTGGTGTAGCGTGGTGACAAATTGCCCAGAGAAGCCTCTGGACCCCACCACGCCCTCCAACGGCTTTGCTTGCCCAGCCGCCCCTCCAAAAATCAGCTGGAGCTCCAGATGAGTTTAATATTTCACGAGCCACAACCGCATCATTGCCACTGCGCCCGCCCACTTTCCCCCCGGCAAACAACGACGCACTTCGTACCACATCCCCAAGGTTGTCATAGCGGAGACTCCTGAGCACCTCCCCGACAGATCTGACGCTACAACATAGAAAACGAAGGACGGTCACGTCTCGCTACGGCCTGAAGAAGCGAACGGTGCCAATTGGTATTGACTGACGTCAACGCTTTTGGCGCCCCGACACCTCGTCCAAAGGAGGTTGAGCCAGCACTTTCTATTGTTACCAGATCCTGCCTTTCATAGCTCGCGCAGAGCTTGCTCGACCCTCTCCGGCATTCCAAACGAGCCCAGATCTTCCCGAACATAGTTGCCCGCTTCCGATCGGCGGCACCGTCTCTTCTCAATGGAAGCTCTTTCAGCGCAAGCTGGCGGCGGCCGCCCACCCAATGCTAGAGGCCGAGGTGGACGGGGCCGCGGCCGAGGCGGCAACACCGGCAACAGCAGCAGTAACAACAACAGCAGAGGAGGACGCGGAGGGTCCAGGTCGCAGCAACAAAGTGGCGGCGATGCTTCGGCGGGACAATCTGCGGCAGACCCGGCTTCCCTGCCGAAAGCACCTGTCACAGTCCCGGTAGCTGCCGACGCCGCCGACGGCGAAGACGACCTAGAGGCCGAGGTGTGCTTCATTTGCGCCAGCCCTGTCATTCACCAGTCTGTCGCGCCCTGTAACCACCGCACCTGCCATATCTGCTCATTGCGGATGAGGGCGCTATACAAGAGCAAGGAGTGCGCGCATTGTCGGGTATGTCCTCTGCCAGATGTGGCCACGTACGTTGTACATGGAGAACATATGCTAACTTGAAAAATGGTGCTAGACACTGGCACCTTTTGTCATTTTCACCGATGACGGCACGAAGCGGTACGAAGACTATAGCGAGGCGGATATCACCACCACCGACGATAACATCGGCATTCGGTATGCGAAGGAGGACATCGTGGGCGACACGGTCCTGCTGCTCCGCTACAACTGCCCGGAGGAATCCTGCGACTTCGCCGGCCTCGGCTGGCCAAACCTACACAAGCATGTCCGGTCCACACACAACAAGAAGATGTGCGACCTGTGCACGCGCAACAAAAAGGTCTTTACGCATGAGCACGAGCTCTTCACCGACAAGGAGCTCGAGAAGCACATGCGCCACGGCGACGACAAGCCCGGAGCGATCGACCAGACCGGCTTCAAGGGCCACCCGTTGTGCGCCTTTTGCGGCTCGCGCTTTTACGATGCCGACAAGCTCTACGAGCATTGTCGTGAGAAGCACGAGCGGTGCTTCCTGTGCGACCGCCAGGATCCCCGGCAACCGCACTACTACCGCGACTACAACTCGCTCGAGGACCACTTCAAGAAGGACCACTTCCTGTGCTACGACCGCGAGTGCCTCGAGAAGAAGTTTGTCGTCTTTGGGTCCGAGATGGACCTCAAGGCGCACCAGCTTGCAGAGCACGGCACCACGCTGAGCAAGGACGTCAGGAGGGATGCGCGCCACGTAGATATCTCTGGTTTCGACTACCGGCAGCCATACCAGGAGCCTACTCGGGGAGGCCGGGCAGGCCGTGGCAGAGGAAGGGACAACAGAGATGGTGGCGGCGGCGAGCACGCTGGGCGAGATGGCCGCAGGGGTAGGGACCCTAATGCGGAGCCCATCCCAGCCAGCTCGGCGCAGCCACTGCGGCGTGATGAGCTGGCGTTCCAGCGACAGATGGCCATTCACTCCTCCCAGTCCGTATCAACTCGCACATTTGGCGGTCAGCTCTCGTCCGCGAACCCGACGCCAGCAGCGGCCTCGGCACGGAACAATGCCGCTCCAGCGGGAGCTGCCGCGGCGGCTGGCCCTCCGACTGCTGCTCTCGAAGGACTCGCGATATCTGAAGCAAATCTGACGCCAGAAGACCGGGCCAGACAGGTCCGGCACGGTGCCGTGCTCGAACGCGCGGCGAATCTCCTGCAGAACGACCAGAACAAGCTCAACACTTTCAGAAACCACATCTCCTCCTACCGCCAAGGCAAGCAGACCGGGACTGCCCTGATCGATGCCTTCTTCTCGTTATTCTCGGACACCTCCGCTTCCGCGCTGGGCACGCTGGTACGGGAAGTCGCCGACCTGTTCGAGGACAAGGCCAAAGGCGACGGCCTGCGGAAAGCATGGAGCGACTGGCGCGCCATCAACGAGGACTACCCGGCCCTGCCGGGGCTCGGCGGCATGCACGGCGCCACGACGTCCAACAGCGGCTGGGCGTCTGCCGCGTCTTCCACGCCGGCGCAGACCTCGGCCGGCGGATCGGCCGCCAGTAACCAGCGCCACACGACGCGCGTGCTCAAGCTCAAGAGCTCCACGCAACAGTCCCGCAGGTCGAGCATGGGCCAGGCCGGCGTCCTGATCCCCACGACTGCGGCACCGCGGCCTCCACCGCCCGCGAGCGCGACTTCTGCTTTCCCATCCCTACCGTCGGCAGGTAATAAGTCTAACGCCAATGCCGCCGCCGCTTCCCGCGCCACGGCCAACGCGCTCTGGGGCGTCAGCAACAACAGCAACAACGGCTCGTCGTCGTCGCCGTCGTTCTCACAGCCATCCTCGACATCATACAGTCGCCCACCGCCAGTGCGCAACACGAACCGCGGCGGCGCAGGCGAGGACGCCTTCCCTGCGCTGCCCGCGGCGCCCAAGCCGACGACCACGATCTTCGGGTACGGCCGGGGCGCGGTGCGCCGGGATTTCGGCGGCTCGTCGCGCGAGCCCGCCTTCTCGTGGGGTGGTGGCGGCAGTGGGAGCGGTGACCCGGCCGCCGAGGGTGCTGCCGGTGGTGCTGGTGGCGAGGAAGAGGGCTCGGGTAAAGGAAAGAAGGGGAACAAGGGGAGGAAGAAGGTCCTTGTGCAGTGGGGATGAATGTATCCTTCTTTAGTGAACAAAGCAAGGAGCGGGGGAAGAAGAGACAAAAGACGAACCGGCATGTACAGGGAAGTGTAGAAAGTGTACGGGGTTGTGTAGAAGGTAGAAAGGAGGAGGAGGAGGACCTTGATGGGCACGCCCCAGCCCACCACCCACCCGGCCAGCTTTTTTGTCTCTCTGTTTGATGCAAAATTAGGGCGGCCATTAGCTGAGAAGAACGCGTGCGCGCGCCGCGCATGTGTCAGGAGTACATATATGGAAATTGAGAAGAATATAAGATTACAAAGGATACGAAGAGCACATGGGCACATGGGCACGAGCTGGCAATGGCGCGTGCGGAATCACTCGAGAATGTCAGCCACCCCGTACCGTACATGCAATAAGTGCTTCATGATTGCGAGAATGTTTTTCCGTGTTTGTGAATTATAGATCTACCCAGGTGGCACAAGACGGGTCAGACAGACAGTTCGATATGAAAGGACGCTTGCGAAGATAAGAGGGCGAGTCGAAGAAAGTGTGTAATGCTGGGTGGGAGTTGGCAGAGACTAGACGATGGTGTGTTCAATTAGTCTTGCTGAGTTTTGACTTTCCCAGGGCATTGTTTTCGACGCGATTGTGACGGGCCGCCGTGAATGCAGAGTTGATATCAATTTCGGGAATTAGCGCAGTCCCTGTCGCTCAACCTTTTCATGGATGCACCGAGGCGGTATCGACATTGGCACCAGCACCAGCACCAGCACCAGCACCAGCACCAGCACCAGCACCAGCACCAGCACCAGCACCAGCACCAGCACCAGCACCAGCACCAGCACCAGCACCAGCAGCAGCAGCAGCACAAGGACTGCACTTCACAACGCTCTAAACTATCAACCTGCCAATGGCAGCATTTGCTAACTCCTTCGAGGCAATACCATGGAAACGGACCGTTGACCCACAAATGCAACGCTTTGTCGCAGTTCACCGCACACAACCTGGGGGGGCTCGCGGGTTGTCGCCACTTTGTCATATGAAGTCTACCCGTTCCTGGTAACGGCCGGATGATGCAGTGACCGTGACAAAAACCAATCAGGCATAGTTAAGTGTCGTAATTCTTGAGGAAACAGCCGAGCATTTTATCCATATTGGGGTTGCATAGATGCAGCGCACAGCCTGAGGCGATGACATGGCCTGGACGGCACATCCAGCCAATCGTGTTCGGGGAGCACGCTCAATAATGTGGAAATAGCCGGATCGTGCTTAGTCCCAGGCACGCTGCACTCGGGGGGACGACGCCAGTCACTCGCTCTACAGCCGTGGCCGTCATTTAGTCAACCTTGTCACTTACGGATTGGTGCCTCGTCGTCGTCTTTGTGTGGTCGGGATATGAGAAAGGTTTGTCACGGCGCGCGCCAGTGTAGCTAATTCTCTCCAACACGCGGCTATCTCAGCTACCCGCTGGGATCCGGAAGGATTGGGCCGCCGTGCCGAGAATAAGCTCGCTGCGGCTGGCTCGGTGATTGCACAATCAGACGAGGTGATGCGGCAGCACGTGTCGGGGCCGCTTCTGCCTAGGACGAGTATACACTTAGGGATAGGTCCGGACGAGATGAAACCAAAGGCAGCGCAGTCCTGGCCTCTCAGCTGGCCAAATCTGTCCACCAAGGCAGCTTACGAGGTCGGACGAGCAGTGGGATAGGAGAGATGGAGGTGTTTTGAGGCGAGCTGCCACGCACCACGCTTCTGCAAGGGGCCGCGCCGCCCCCGGCCACTGCCCTCCAACACATGTGTGGGGATGGAGGGGTTCGACCTGCAACACACCCAGGTTGTTCCTACGTGGGCTGGGACCATCTGGTACAATCGATTCAAGAGGGTATTGCCGTGATCGAATCACGGCCGAGAGAAGACCGGAGAGCACGCCCCGGGGGGGGCAAAGGGAGGCTGATTGTGCCCGGCCGTCCACGAGGGCGGGCCGCGGTGGCATACGGCATGCGTCAGCACCCACCAGCAGCTTTCCTATTTCCCTCCCTTGCCAGCCGAGACAAGGTCGACGGGCGGGCAACGATGCGAGGGATCGGAGAGGATCAAGGCCCGCCCCGTGGCTGGCCCACTGAGTGGTTACTACCGCGTAAGTGAAGCCGTGTGCTAGGGCCCCGATGGCATCACCGGGCCAAGGGTGGGTGCCATTGGCTGGCCGTTATCGAGAGGCATCTGTTGGAGTTTGAAACATGCCCACAACAATTTTTGAGAATTGCCTGCAGTAGGACCCTGACCAGGCCAGGTCTCGTGGTTGGAGTTGTCCTGGGGGTTGGGTGAGACGCAGAGTTGCTGGTGGAGGAGAATTTCAGCCGTCGGGCGATTGGAGACTGCGGCCCATCACGGGCGTAGCTTCTTCTGCTACGACAGTCGTGTTTTTTCCGTGACTCTGGGACAGGTTGACAAGTCTCGAGGCTGTGGTTGTGGTTGTGGTTGCGCTGGGGAGAGAGAGTTGCGGACGGCGGGCCGGCTGGGCCAAGACGAGACTGACTGGAGGAGTGGCTGACTGGAGTGTGTGGGCGATCGGGGATGTCCCGTGGGCGGCAGTCTGGAAGGAGCAGCCCCCACCCACACCCATCTGCGCCTGCCTGCTGCCACTGCCAAATCATTCCACCCCCTTCTGCTGCGCACCCCATCCTGCCAATCCTCCCGCCTCGGCCGTGGCTGATCGGGTCAGCATTGGAAAGCCTCAGACAAGGTTGGCAGGGCTACAGGGCCACCACCACACACCACCACCACTCTGGGTACCCGGGCCACTAAACGGACAGCCTCCTGTCCTCGTGCGTACGTGTCGGGGCCAGCCCTTCTTTGCTCCTTTCTGCCATCCCATCACGGCCAGGACCACACCTAGACACTAGCATCACCAGCAGCGTCCACTCCAGTATCGTCAAAGCCGCGCGTGTCGTCGAGCCTCCTGCCGCTTCATACCTTGTTATACACGCCCAGTCCACCTTCAAGTGTGCTTGCTCCACGGCTGCCGGCCACTCACTAGCGTGCCCACACAAAGGCACCCGCAGCGCACCTCCTCCACCCACCTCTCCCACGCACACTTTCTCAGTGGGCCGATTGCTCAACCACCGTCACCACACATTCGCCCAACGTCAACATCACCCGTAGGCTGCACCTTGTCAACAGCATCGAAGCCACCAGTAGTATCTTCATCCCCAGCGCCGCCTCCCCCATGGCAGGGCCGTCATCTCACTTCGGTCCATTCATGTGAACCCCGACATCGCGTCAGCGGCTCTTCTGCTCGAATCTCGCCCGCCTCCATCCGCATCCCGGCGGACGGCTTCCCTCGTGTCCCAGCTCTGCTGCTGTCATCATGTTGCGACGGCCTCCTGCTGAGGGACGGCTAGTCGCCCGACAACCCAAGAAGGCCCTCCTCGTCTGGGCCCTGCTCCTCCCCTGGCTAGCCTCCGTCGACGCCCTCCAGCCGCAGCAAAATCAGCGAAACGCCATCCACCACGAAGCTGCTGCGGTCCGTAATGCCAATAACGTCGGTAGCAATAGCTACAGTCACCATCTCAACAATGCCGCCGATTCTGCAGGTCAGCGCCGGCGGCAGCCGCCCTCGGCCGAGGTTGACCTCCCAGCCGAGCACCTTGCCGCCACCTCAGCCCAGTCACTGCTTGACAACCAGGGCACCCCGACCATCGGCTACAAGAGCACCATAGCCACCGTCCAGCACCGCTACGACGACCCGAACCTCTTAAAACATAACCCTATCCCCGACGATGCGAGCGCCCTCGCAACCACTTTGGCTCCGGCTCCGCCCGTTCGAGCACCATTCCCCTCCAGGCATCTGTCCAGCCTCCTTCCTGGAGGCGGCCTCTCCTCGCTGCACCACTCTGCGCGGAGCCTGGAGGACTGGGAAGTAGAAGATTTCGTTCTTCTGGCGACCGTCGATGGACACCTTCATGCTGTCGACCGCGAGTCCGGCGACGAACGCTGGCATCTCGAGGTCGAGCAGCCAGTAGTGGAGACCATCCACCACAACGCCTCCGCCCACGGCGACGGCGGCCCTGATGACCGCAATCGGCACCCACTCCATGGCAACATCTGGGCTATCGAGCCTACGCGCAACGGCCCCCTCTATGTGTGGACCCAATCTGGGCTCGGCTCGGGTCTCATGAGCACAGGCTTGACTATGAAGCAGCTTGTCGACGACCACGTCCCTTACGCCGTGCCTGATCCACCAGTAGTATATAATGGATACAAGAAGACGACTCTGATCACGCTCGATGCATTCACTGGAAGGGTCCTCAAGTGGTTTGGCCCTGGAAGCCCGCCTCAAGTTGACGATCGCGCCACCTGCTACCGTCCCAACGGCCGCTTTGCTGACGGCGACGAGTGCGTCAGCAGCGGCACAATCACGTTGAGCCGTACCGAGTACATCGTGACCATCGACCACCTCGACAGGTCCGAGCAGATCGCAACCCTCAAGTACACTGAGTGGGGACCCAACAACGCCGACAGTGACCTGCACGAGCAGTACCGCAGGTCACATGGTGAACGCTACATTACGAGCCGGACTGACGGCAAGCTGTACGTCCTGGGCCCGTCTGGCAAATGGTCCATGTCCCTGCAATCGTCCGTGCCTGTCGCCAACGTGTTCGAGATAGCCCGGCCCGAAGACGCCCCTGCCGGGAGCAATCCAGAACTCGTTCTCCTTCCACAACCGACTCCGGACGCCAAGGATGAAGCAACGGCCATAGCACGTAGCAGCAAGGTCTTTTTGAACCAGACCGAGACAGGCAGTTGGTACGCCATGTCTGGCATTGCATACCCTTTGATCCTAGACGCCCCTACTGCCCAATTGAGCCGCTATTCCATGAGGGACATCAATCTGGACCCGAGCAGGCCAAGGCAGGAGCAGATTGCGGAAGCCCTTGTAGGTACGCATGCTCTCGGGCAGAAGACTTCACAGTGGCCAACGCCTGTGCCAGGTCTGCCAGCACCCCCGGAGCAGGAGAAGGAAGGCGAAAAACTCACGGAGCAGGAGGACGTCGGGCAAGTTTCCAGCAAGCTCGCAGAGAACATTTCACACTTCCCCGATATCGTGACGGAGAACATCTTGTCCATCCCTGACTACATGACCCGGAAGGCGACGGACTTCTTCACCAATCCCGTGGTCTTGCTAGTCGGCATGTATTTGCTGTTCACGAAGCGAAGAGACATTGCTCGCTACCTCAAGGGCACAAGCAAGTTCAGCAAAGACTACGATGCCACCATCACCGTTGAGCCCACAGAGGATGCTGGTCAGCAAGTCACAAAGGTTGAAGACAAGCTTGCAGATCCTGGTACTGTCAGGTTAGGAGCCAAGCAGCCAGCAGACCCGGCAATCGACGATGCAAGTGCTTCCGCAGACAAGGCGGCCGCACCAGCTGAGGCTGTTGACACTGTCGCAGCCTCTCTTGAGCAAGCCAAGCAGGATGACAGCCCGGCCGAGCAGGAATCGCCGGCTGGCTCGGAGTCTCCTGAGAAGAAGAAGAAGGCGCATCGTGGCCGTAGGGGTGGCGTAAAGCACCGCAAGGGAGTCAAGAAACAGGACTCGACCGGGTCCAAGGATGGTAATGGCTCGGATGAGCTCAATGACGCTGTGCCTGGCATCCGCAATGTTGGCATGCCCACTAAGATTGAGCCCAACATTACGACCGTCAATAACGACCCAGAGGACGTGAGCGGCCCCATCCTGAGGATCGGCGACATTGAGGTCAACCAAGATGAGCAACTCGGCATGGGCAGCAATGGAACAGTAGTTTTCTCCGGAAAGTTCCATGGCCGTGACGTCGCCGTCAAGCGCATGCTTACCCAGTTCTGGGAGATTGCTACCCAAGAGACGCGCCTGCTGCTCGAAAGTGACAAGCATCCCAATGGTATGTCTTTCGCGATATTCTCCATTCTCTTTTGGGCGCGAACTAACAATTCTCAAAAGTCATTCAATACTTCGCCATGTCCAAAAGCGACAGCTTCCTCTACATTGCACTCGAACTATGCCAGGCGTCCTTGTCTGACGTCGTAGACAGGCCGCACCTGTTCCCCAAATTGGCCCAGGCTGGTGAGATGGATATGCCTCGTGTCCTCCTGCAGATTGCCCATGGACTCAGCTTCCTGCATGATTTGCGTATTGTCCATCGCGATCTCAAACCTCAGAACATCCTTGTGACGATGGGCCGCGACGGCAAGCCGAGACTGCTGGTGTCCGATTTTGGACTCTGCAAGAAGCTCGAGGGTGGACAGTCGTCCTTTGGCGCCACCACGGCCCATGCCGCTGGTACTTCTGGTTGGCGAGCTCCGGAGTTGCTGCTTGACGACGATGCCCGAGACGGCTCGCACTCGATGAGCAGCATCCATAGTGACTCGAGCCAGCTTGTTGGGTCTGACGCCATGACGAGCCGGCGTGCCACACGCGCCATTGACATCTTCAGTCTGGGTCTGGTGTTTTTCTATGTCCTTACCAAGGGCTCTCACCCGTTCGACTGTGGCGATCGGTACATGCGCGAGGTCAACATCAGGAAGGGGCAGTACAACCTAGACCCGTTGGACGTCCTGGGTGATGTTGCCTACGAGGCCAAGGCTTTGATTGACATCATGCTCAGGACGGACCCTCGGGCCCGCCCGACGGCTCGAGAGGTCATGTGCCACCCATTTTTCTGGTCCCCTAAGGAGCGGCTTGCGTTCTTGTGCGACGTGTCGGACCATTTCGAGCTCGAACCCCGTGACCCACCCTCGCCGGCACTGGCACTGCTTGAGACGTATGCGCCCAAGGTCTGCCGCGGGGACTTTCTCAAGATCCTGCCAAAGGAGTTTGTTGACAGCCTGGGCAAGCAGCGCAAGTACACTGGCACTCGGATGCTTGATCTGCTGCGCGCCCTACGGAACAAGCGCTTCCACTATGGCGACATGAACGAGAGTCTGAAGAAGATGGTCGGAGGACTGCCCGAGGGGTACCTTGGGTTCTGGACGATGCGCTTCCCGAATCTGTTAATTGTGTGCTGTGAGGTGATATACCGGCTTGATCTGGAAGGGACTGACACGTTCTGCGAGTACTTTAAGCCCAGGACGCCTTGATTGATGTTTTGTAGCTGTTGTACGACATTGCTTGTGGAGGCTGGATGGTATATATTAGCGTGGTGTAAAAGTTTTGAATAATACAGCGTGTTGGTATCGTCTTTTGTCCAAACCGCAGTCTTTGTCAGTGTTTGCTGTGAATGTGTCCGAGGGGGTTCCTTGTCCAGGGCGGTCTGGAGATGGCCCGTGACTGAAATGACGAGTGTAGCTGTGAAAGCAGTAGAAGCCCACCTGCCAGAAACGTGAGGACGAACGGACGACGACATGCGAGCCCGCTCTCTGCAAAAAGCTTCGGCGACCCACAGTGTCGATCGAGGCTGAGTACCAGGCAATAGAGAGATCCCGGGAGTACCTAATAGATGTGGCTGTTCTGATAGACCGAATCGTGGGCATTCCTTTCCTGCACAAAACTGCATCTTTCGTTTGTCATAAAGTCAAGCAATTCTGCTCTGGCCAGCGAGTCTGGATTAATTAAGCTTAGGTCGACACTATATATATATATATCTATGTTATCATGAAATTTCCAAGGTGCGTAAGTTGATCGTCGGACGAGTTGCGCCAGCGTGGTGAAAATTTTAATGCCAGTGATTGGGAGCTTACGCATTTCGGGAAGAAGACTTTTATTGGGCGGCAGTTATTGGATTTCAACGTGGGGCTTGAATATCCAGGTAGTAAGTACAGCACTGAGGGCTCTCTAGCACTGGTTTCAAGGCAGGTCGGACGCATGGCACCATCTTGGAAATGAAAAGCATAAAACATCTCGAAACTTGATGAGTTCGTAATGTAAAGATACCGTGCTATGAAAGATTCCTTTTCGTGTTGCCTAGGTTTTCAGACGACTTGCGACAACAAAAACAACGAACAGGCAGACTTTTTGTGTGTAATTCTCGAGAGCAAGTTCGGTACAGGCTTGTGGCGCGCGTTGTCGCCAATGGAACACGTTCGTCCTCTTGACTTTGATTTCTCTACGCCTCGACCCGTGGCGGTTGCGATGTGTGTGTGTCAGTATGTGTGTGTGTATGTGTGCGTGTGTACGTGTGTGTGTGTGTGTATGTATGTGTGTGTGTGAGTGTACTTGACACGAGGAGAGTGAGAGTTGGGGAGCTCCTTCCTGCTGCTCTGTGCTTTAAGCCAGCATGGCCCGGCGCTCAAGTATTACTGGTGTCCCAAGGATGATGTGATCAAGGGGAGGAGGAAGAGGATGGTCCGCCCGCGATGGTCACGTTTACCAGGCTGATGTCGTTTACATCGCTTCCGGGCTCGTAGTCCCCAATCGCCCGGCGGCGGCGGCGGCCATAGCCTATTACGTACTTGGGGGAGCCTCTGCGAAACGTGAGCGAAATGGTCTCGCCCGCATCATTAATAGCCGGACACGCGACGTGCCAGTCAGGCATCGCAGTCCCGCCCTGGCAGCCGAACCACCAGTTATTCGCCCAAAGGTTTGGCCAGTTGGAGCCCTGAGCAATGGCGGCGCCCATGATCGTAAAGCTTGTCCCCGGCAGGGCGAGCGGTCCGCCGTGGATGGTGAATGTCATGTTGCCGACAAAGGCAAAGTTGAGCTCGTCCGGGTCGGCCTTGAAGGTGTTCTCGCTGGGCTTGATACGAGACGTCCAGAACTCTGCGACTGGCGCGGTCTTGCTGCGGCCGACGGACCAGAAGATGCTGCCGTCTGGTTCTTGCCAGTGCTTGACGTCTCCGACCCGGTTCCTCCGCTCCGGGTCTTGACCATCGGTGATGGCCATTTCCAGGACTGTAAAGCTGGCGCTTCCAAGCGTGTAGTCTTGTGCAAGCCACGGCAGCCTGAGTACGTTGTCCCGGTAGGTCATGCGTCTGGTGATGACATTGCCAGCTTGGACCAGGGATGGCAGGGGCAAGTCTGTGCGGCTGCCATCCCGCTTGGTGAGCCTTGCGGCGTCTGGCTCGACCTCGGAGTATCCGCCGTCGTCATTGGCATACCATGGATGATCGTGTGACTGCCACGCAGGCTTGGGAGTCTGCCCTTCTGGATCAAGAGGTTGCCCCGCAGGGTCGGCTTGCGGCCGCTTACGCTGCCACCGAGGACCGTGCCGCATCGCCTCAGCTGCAGACTTTGCCGACGCAGGCTCGAGAGACCGCCGCTCAGGAGAGATCGGCAACGACAGAACATCGCCAAGGGTCGGCGGCGGGGAACCAGGGTAGTCAATCTCCCCTTGACTATCGCCAGGCTCCCCCTCAGAGCCGCCAAGGTTCTTATTTCTGTCGAAGTGCTCTCGGAAAACGTCAACTTGCCGCCGAGGATCTTCGAATAGCCCGCTAGTACCGTGCTGTGGCTGCGGCTGCTCTGGGTCCGGCTGCGGCGTCTCAGGAGCGAACTGAATCAAGGGCTCATGGAGAGGCAACTGTGAAGGGCCGAGCTGCTGGCGCTTTGAAAAGGTCTGATCCCACTCATTACGGGAACTCTATCCCACAGGTTTGGCCCCAGGCCCCTCGAATTGGTTGCACGCCGAGTTGGGATCGCAGGCTTGAGCTCGTGCATTTGGCGGTGGCCGGATTGATAGTGCCAGGGTACGGGCGGGGAGAGAAAAGAGTAAGAAGTGTTTAGGCTTCATCTTGTATTGTAAGTCTCTTCAACCTTTTGAGCCCCGGATGTGTTGATGAGTAAGATTGAGATGTATTGGAAGAACGGTGATGAGGGTGCTGATGATTGTACCAACAGTTCAACCGTCGCCCGGAGTCATCGCCCTCTTTATACAACCACTCGTCTGCGAGTTTCACTCTTTCATCACTTGATATTCTACCGCCATTTTTGAATTTTCTCCTTCATCCTTTGACGTCCGGCATCCCCACCTGCGCAAGAATTGCTGCCTGGGTACATCTTGTTTCCTTTCCAAGATGGGGTCTCGGTCGATGTTCTACCGACGTGAGTATCGAATGGCACGTGGTGTTCAAGGTTCAGCCACCACTTGAGCAGTGGCGTCAACCTACAGGTGCTGTAGGGCTGTTTATAGTTTCCGCCACGAACCTCGAGAGTCGCCGAACACAAAGTTCTAGAACTGAGATAGGCGCTGTCAGGGCGGCAACTTACTGGAGCAAGCGCGGGGAGCGGGTCGAGAGCGGTCCAGCACTCTGGGGATGATGGTCTCGGCCGAGATTCTGGAAGCCAAGAGGCTTGCGCAAAAGCCACCCAAACATTCCCGCTTTCCTTCTCACTCAAAAGGCTGAGGCTTTGCTGTGAGAGGCCTTTGGTCAATACTGACTCGCGCACCAGCTACTTGATTCTGGGAGTAGCCCTGCCGAGATTGCCGGCCGATGCAGCAGAGGGCTGTGCCGGTTCAACGCCACGAGCATGTTGTTGCTGGCAGAACCAGGTAGTTGGCGCCACGGAGCGTCAAGTGTTTGAGACATCCGACTGCGCGTGTGATGTCAGAGGCGTCAGGCACCGATGGGATGGTTGACAGGGCAGCTTCAGGTGAACTGGACGTGCTGTATCCTCCCAAGGCCATCATGGGCTTTGGCCCATTGGACAAAGCATGCCCAGATGAATCCAGCCGGTAGACGAGGTTCTGCATTGTGCAAACGCAGGCCCCAGTGACTCCACTTTGCTCCTGCGACGAATGGCGGCCCCACCTGCCCTGAGAGCATCACCACTGACATCTGTCTGGGTTGTGTCTGGCATGCAGCGCTGTGCATCGCCCTGGAAGGCCGAGATTTGTCCGGAGAGTGTGGTTTGAGGTGCATAAAGGGCCAAGTCGCCTGGTCTGTGTCGCTGTTGTTGTTATTGTGGCCAGCAAGAGCCGCTGTGCAAGGCAAGCCCTAAGCGGGAACGAGGCGCCATTATGCATACATTGCGCTCTATCTGGCATTCCAGTAGTGCTTCCGGGCGTCGTGACACGCAGGCGAACTCTGGTTTACGCACGACGAGAGGGCAGTTGCGTGCTGGGTGATCTGGTCTGGACCCAAAGACTGACGTGAATGGACGTGTAAGTGAAAGTGGATGCCCCACCCTCTTTCCCCAGATTCTGGATTGGGAGATATAGATGGAGAGGGGCGGGTTGCGTTGCCTTACCAGGAACGTCCAAGGTAGCGCCAGGGGGCTGCAGCCCTTGGCAGGGACCCCTGTTTGCTCTTTCCATTACAGCCAGCCAGGAACAGCCTTGAACAATTGCGAAGAAGAAGCAACTTTGACAACCTACCCGTGAAGAATGAGGTAGGTTGTGTCCCATGCGTCAGCCTCCAAGTCTTCAGTCCCTGATTTGCTTCTTCCACTCCATCGCCTATCTCGATAGACGTGCATCTGGCATAGTGAGATTAATGGGAGGATGTGCATCCTGGTGGCTCATGTCGTGCTGGCAATGGTTCCCAAGACCTGGTCGGCAGCTCGACTCGGGCCTTGCAGCTCCATCGGAACAACCTTGGAATCCCGGTGCAGGTACCATAAGTCTAAGCGTAGTTGTTTCCGAGATCCCCAGGTAGGCCCTCTGACAAAGTGACGGATCGCAGCGCATCGTTCCTGGAGTCACCCGGGACGGCGTTGTCGATGTGCCAAAAGCAACCATGCCCCGTCGTCCCCCTGGCCCAGCAAGACCACGAAGGTTCGCAAGCGCGCGTTCTGGCATGGCCGACCCGGCACCTGCTGCGCAAAGGGAGCATCGCCCAAAGCTCAAAAGAAAGACCTGCCTGGTGCATCAAAGTATCGCGCCTTCTCGCGCGTGGTGTTTTGGCGTTTCCTCCCCTCCTCCTCCTCCTCCTCCTCCTCCTCCTGCACGCCCGCACCCTTGCGCATGTCGTCGTCACTGCCGTCGCATCGCCATCCGACCACAACCAACACCACCACCACTACCACAGAGACTCGGATTCAGAAAAAGCTTCACAAGCACTTGCGACATTCTGTCGTCCGGCATTGCGCAGCGCAATTGTCGTCCACTCCTTTGACCAGTTTGCCATCCCCGTCCCTCCTCGCGCCCGTCGCATCGCCTGCAGATAAGCCTCCTCCACCTGCTGGCCTGGCGCAATCCACTCCTCGACCGTCCGCGATGGCCTCATAGCCCGCGGCAAGCACCAGCATCTGCTCTCGTAAAGACAATCATCGATGCTGCGATCCTCGTCGCTCTTCCATTCCACGAATCTTCTGCGCGCACTCTCCAAGGCCATTATCCAACGCTGCGCTTTCAATTCTCCCATTGTCCCGTTCAGCTGCCCAACGATTCGCCCGCTGGCCATTTCTTTCACCCACGGCTCACCAACATATTCCCCGACAGAGACCAGGAGGGAACGCACCCAAATTCACAGGCGCAATTTGTCGCATCCTTCTTCTTCTTCTTTCTCTACTTGGCGCCTACTTGGTGCGTCCGTCAGCGCACCCTTCCATTTCATTCATAAATCACAACCAACAAGGCACACATCTGTCGCATACGACAGTATAATGGTCATGGTCGGCGGACTGTCGCAGCCATAATCCTCGTATAACTACACGTCTTTCTCCTGCCTACCGACAGTGCCCACTTCCACGGAAAGGCCCCGAGCAGCCACAATGGCGGCAAACTCGCACTTCGCGGCGCCATCGCTGAGCATGGCCGTATCTGTTCGAGTGGAAGTTTTCGACTCCAGAGAGTCGGCGTCCAAGAGGAGTGCCAAACCCATGGCCAAGTTCCGCATGCGTACCCCGGCATCGACAACCTTCGAGACCTTGGGCGCATCTGTTGCAGAACGATACTTGAAGGAGTCTGCCGGCACCATCAAGACCCTACCCCGGGTCGTCTGTATTGTCGACAAGGAGGACTGCACATTCGATGTGGATGACAACATAGACGCCATAATACCCAATGAAGCGATTAGGATTGTCCTGGACCGTACGCCCCAGCAGCAGCAGCATCAGCATCAGCATCATGAATCTCCACCTACGCAAGTCTCTGCACCTCAGCCTGTTTCGGGTCCTCGTATTGCCAGCAGGGCAGCACCGACTTCGCCCACCCGTCAACTGGGACATGCTGCAAGCTCAGATGTGACCACGGAGGCTTCTGCACAGTTTCAGATTCATCCACCGTTGTCCGCTGGCCGGAAGCCTGCTCTTTTGAGCCAGAGGCAGGGAATTCTGTCGAACGCAGGAACGAAAGCTCAGGTCGCTCCCACCAAAGCAAAGCCTTCCACTGCGTCTTTAGTCATCACGCCAAACGCTCGCTCTACAGTTCCCATCACGAGTTCTGGCTGTCAGCACAAAGATACACGTGATGCGCAAGCACAAAGCGTCACCTCAGCATCCAGGAAGCGGGATCCATACGACATCGACTCGGACAGCGATGCCAACGACCCGCCTTCTCATGGGACATCCTGGGTGAGTACTCGAAAGCAGGGCGGTGCCATGGTGGCAGGCGGACGAGGCAGAACCCCGTCATCCTATCGCCGGCCCGACAAAGTGGTGAACGCGCCTGACAGCGCGGAAAGAGCCGCTACATTGGCGAGTGTTTCGGCTTCCCATACATCGCAACCTCTACTTCCGAGCGCTGTTTTTAGGCCGTCTGAGAACTACAACGACTCGCCGAGAGGCCCTGTGGCAAACCAGGTCTCGAACGCTTTGTCACAAGCACAGCTTCAAAATGATGGAGAAGGGCCGCGATCTACGACCATTTGCCACACTGATCAACCGACAGGACCTCATACCGAATCGACCGCCTCGGGCATGCGGCTCCGTAGCAGCGTGATCCTGCAGCATGCCGAAGTTGCTTCTGTTGCAGATTCGATGTCGGACGGCGAAAACTCGCTCGTCGAACGCACACGGGCCACGGCAGAACCTTCACTGCGGTCGCTGCAGAAGCGGGCTTACCACACAGTCAATGAACATATCGAAATTGTCGACGGCCCTGACAATCCGGACAGGCAGACACTGCCCACGCCGATCCTTCTCAAGAACTCCAAGGGTGTCTTTCCCGTCTATAGGAAAGGCGAAGCGCCATCTCTTGCTTCTGAGGGTGCCTCTGGCACAGAAACGAGGAGCAGTAATGTCATGAACGCCACCAAGCATGTGTTGACGCAGAGCTCCCCAGGGATGCCAACGCGCTCAAACTCTGCGAGCCACCGTGCCACAGCTACAGGCGAAGCTCCAAAAGTCACAAAGCCACTCAGCACCATTCCCGTCATAGACATCGAGACCGAGTTTGCAGGTTTCGAAGAACTGTCCGACTTTGAGATCCGGCCGACCGCCCGCCCAATCATGTCTGAGCCACATCATCGGACGAGGACACCCTCACGCTCCAGCATGAAGCAACCACGGACCGTTGCAAACACGCACGAATTTCAGTCGTCCAACCATCCAAGATCGTCACCTCTCGAGAGCAAGCAAAGAAGATTATCACTGTCTCGAAGGACCAAACAGGCTCCAAGTCCTCGACGAACGGCGCTCTCTCCTCCCAAACGTGGCACTAATAACAGAGCAAGCCGCGAGCACTTCGGAGATGCTGCCAAAAAGGCCACTCCAAAAACCATTACTAAACCGGCGGCGTCAAAGCCTGTCAATCCTCCAAGTTCGGCAAGCAGCGGCATCAGCGGCGATACGATCCGGCGGTGGCTCGCTTCCAGGAAGCCAAAAAGTCCAGTGGTCCCTCCGGCAAAGGAGCCTCCGTCGACTGTGAGGCCAGTCATGGCGCAAGCAGCCGTTCGACAGCTGAAGTCCATGGCGGAGGTCAAGCTGAAGCCGAAACGTAGGTGTGCGAGCTCTCTGTGGAACCGGCAGTGCTAACAAGGCCACAGCGAAGCAAAGCACCATTCCGTCGTCGTTTTACGCCGACAGCGACGAAGACGATTCGTCAGAATCATCGGCCCCTGGTGACGAATACACTCCGCGCGGAGCTCGTGCCTCGACTGTGCTTCCCAGAGGCCCCAACTCTCCCCAGAAGCCCCAGTCCAGCAGAGCCAGCTCGCGCAGATCTTCATTCTCAAGCCACCGGTCCACCACGAAACGGGGTCTCATTCCATCATCACCCTTCTATCCAGTCGACAGTCTCGCCGTTGAGGCACCGAAGGACAACGAATCAGAGGGTGTGCAGCATTTTGGCCGTGGTTACTCCAAGAGAGTGCGGCAGATATTCTCGGACGCGTCAGAGTCATCAGGAGGCGATGCAGAAGTTATCGAAATGCCCAACCTTCCCGTCGAGAAATGCACCGCGCCGGCTGAGCCTTTGGAGGTAAGCACCGCGGAGCGTGTAGCCAATATCTCACCTCGCGAGCATGTGGTGGTACCTTCCGTTTCTTCGCCGCCCGACATGCAAGCTGAGGCCACAGACATCGCAAAACCATCATCGCATCCCAAGTGGCGGCCGTGGTGGCATCCATGGGGCTGGATCAACCGATACGAGACGGTGTTCCTGCCTGGCGGCGTTATTGGCAACGGCCCGTTCGAGGGCTATGAGCTCTTCAACGAGAAAGCCGGTGTCTACATCTCTGGTTGTGAGCCTCCGACTGAGAATCTCCTTGCTGCCGAGGATCTTGTCTGCAAGAAAGACGAGTTTCGATTGAGGTGCAGGCGTGAACGCCGCCGCGAGCGTCGGCTGCGAGGTGACTTCGTCAGACACGAAGACGATGGCTATGATAGTCCCGCGGAGCTGGCACGCGAGTTTGACAAAGACGAAGATCTGTCTGTTGGCCCAGATATATCTATGTCTCTGGAGATTTCGAACAGCGTAGACAGTGGCTCTGATCTGGACACAGATGACGGAGACTCTCCACCCAGTGAGTCAAGGATGGAAGCAGAGACACTGTATCTGGCTTCGGGTGACAACAAGCTCGATATGCAAGGCTCAGTGCCAGACGGCGGCAGTGACAATGTCTCTGAAGTTTTTGACCTTCCCCGTGGCGTGTCACCAAGCTCTTCAGGTGTTTCCAGGATAGACCAGGACGCAGCAAAAGGGGCTGGCGATGCGGGTCTCGACGAGAGCTTGGAGACGACCCATATGTCCGACGAGAGAGTGGCTGAGCGGATCGTACGCATGGAGCGAACTCGGCAATACGCTCTCACTGGCGAGGCGTCGTCTCAAGAGTCTGCGTCCACATCGATCAACGACCCGGTCCAGCTCAAGGATCTGGCCAGAGAGTCAGTGGCGACATCTGCGCATTCAACCACGACTTCGGTGCTGATTGCGCGGCAGTTGAGCTGTGTCAGCTCTCCGCCCTCTAACCAGGAGTTGACACTTATCCTGAGCTCTAGCCCTTCGAAGCTTTACCGAGATCACACTGTTCACACAAGTGGAGAGGATCCATCAGAGAGTAGCTCCGACTCCAGCTCGAGCATCCCGGCCAGGCTCCTGTCTCCCACTGTCCCAGGACAACACAAGATGGTAGTGGAGGTGCCGCAAACACCGGTAAAAGCTGCCGAGGTGCCACACCACGATGACGCCTCGGGCGTGCATTCCTCTACAAATGTGCCCAATTTGACGGAGTCGACGACGGAAAAGCTCAACCTCATTGAGACAACACTTACGGAACCAGCGGAGGATCCTGATGCTGTGCGTGGAACAAGGACTTGTCCAAGTAGTGATTACAAAGATCTAACCAAGCACGTTGAACCCCAGACCCCGTCCGGGCTCGTTGTCGAGATCCCAGCTCTGTCACAGGAGCAGCGAGCCGAATATTCAGACCCCGGGCCAAGGAAGGTCTCTACTCCGCGCCAGCCACGGAGCTTTGGCGACATCAATCGGGCAGAAAACGACGTAAGTCTACGCAAACATACCAGCACCCCTATCGTCATCGATGACGATGATGATGATGATGATGATATTAGCTATGTGCTTCGTACATCGCCCAAATGGCTGAACAATGGTCTACAGACACACTCACCCCTACTATCTTTACCACGACTGACAGGCGAGGATGATTCTGAACACGAAGCCGAGGCTCCCTCCCCAACGATCGCCGCTCAAGCGCGACGGCGCGTCACATTTGGGGATGATGTGTCCGATGAACCTGTGGAAGACTGGAGCCGGTCGCCCCATGTCCCAGAATCACCAACGATCTCGCGGGGCACACGCAAGAACCTCGTCGCCAAGGGAAGCCTGAAGAGGACATCGCCCGCTAAGGGCAAGCCAGCGAAGCCCAAGAGAATACCCGTTGTTTCTTTCACGATATCTGACGACGAGGAAGACTCGGTTGCATCTGTCGACGGGATGCCCAATGTCGTCGAGCGTGGCACGCCAATCGAGATTAAAGATTCCGATGAACATCTTGTGGCTGGGCGTGGTGCTTTATCGACGACGACGCAAATTCTGCCGCCCAACCGCCCCTCTTTCAACCAGGCTGCTCTTTCAGATCGGCGGCCATATGCATCGCAGCCTGTACCGTCTGCATACGCAAGACCGCGGATTGTCACTCCGATCCCACCACCTGTGATTCCCACCAGCAGCACTTCCTCTGTGTACCTGAGCCGGCCGAATGTCATTGAGATCGAGAGCTCGGTGTCGTCTGACTCTAAGGAGGACAGCGACGTCGTGGTGATCTCCAAGTCAGAGGCAATTGCACCGATGCAGGCCAGCCCTCCGCCAGAGCTGCCGCCTTTGATCCCAGTAAGTTATACGAGATGCAACGGATTCTATGTGGATAGAAAGTCCAATGCTGATGTTTTCTAGCTTGAGGTGAAAGCAGCAGCACCGTCTCCCCTCTCATCTCCCTCACCAGCACCGGCACAGGGGCAACACATGACTCAAGATAATCGCGAACTTGAAAGTCGTGACGACGAGCCACAAGAGAAGCATTGTGACTCACCAGAGCACTACAACGAGCCACTCCTTCCTCCCGCGGCGTCGAGCTTCGGGCAAAAAGAGCCGCAAGTGGCTACAGAACCCCAGCCAGCTCAGCAAAGCCCCGAGCCAACAAGGAAGAAGGCCAAGCGAGGTAAAAAGCGGCGGAGATCCAGCATGTTCGCGGAGCAGGCGGCCCCGGACGTCAGCGTTGGCGTCGGCGTCCGGCTCGATCGCGCCATGATCATGGCGCGTAAACAGTTCCTCTCATCGCTCTCACGCTTCCACGGGCAGAGAGCGGTGAGCGACCAGGCAGTGTACAGAGCCGAGCACCACGGCCTGAGCAAGAAGGCGCAGAAGAAACGGCGCAGGTCTAGTCAGCAGCAAGAGCCTCTTGGAGGTTCGTTCCATCTGGCAGGCAATACGTCCTCCCTGGCCCGTGGCGAGAAACGGCGGCATCACGATGATGCTGATGAGGGCCAAGACGACGGCATCAATGGACGAATCACGCCCGCTGCTGACACGAGCTATTTCTGCACGCGCACCATGCTCGCCGATGCTGCCGCACAGCTGGCCAGCAGCCACTCGCCGCACAAGCTGAAGAACAAGAAGCGCAAGCTGAGCCACGACGACGACGACTACGACGACGCCAGTGTTCAAGATGATGCAAAGTTCAGCATCACACGAGGAAACGGCCTGCCGCCACAGTCGTCATCCTCGGCCACGAACAACAACAACAACATCCCGAGCAGCAGCCACCCGTCGCTGATCTCGCCGCCGACGACCTCGCGACCGTCTAGTGCTGGGTCGCGCGGGGTATAGCTTGAAACGGTTTTTTCCCCTTGCATTTCAAGGAGGTGATGAGTGTGGGGGGGTTTCCGCTGGCACGGCTAAGCGTCTTTTTGGCAAACGCCTGCGACAGGCAGTTGTTGGTTGTCTGGCAATCGCTCTGTTTGGATGGTACCACAGAGATTCAAAACGAGGTTTTGTTGCAAAGAGCGGCGTCCTTTTTTTTTTTTTTTTTTTGTCGACTTCTTCCTTTATTTAGCCTGTGTCTTAGTCTCGGCGCGGTGTTTGTACTCTCAGATTCCCCTTTTGTTTGACTTCTTCCTGGTCAGTTGAAAAAAGAATTACTCCAGTTCTCAGCTTGTAAGCATCACACAGCGTAACTGGACCGAGTCAACATGAGCACGTGGCTCCACTACCTTCTCGAGTATAATATCCGGACTGGTGGGCTATGTGGGTGTGTGTGTGTGTGACAGATAGAGAGAGAGAGAGAGAGAGAGAGAACTTCGAGGTATTTTGTAGAAAGGTCGTCCCTGTGTAAAAAGCTCGTGCGCATTGAGGGCCTTACCTCAATTCTCACGCATCCAACCCAAAACCCATTGTCATGAATCCAGACACTTGATGCAACAACCCGCGCGAACACCTTTTTCACTTATTCGCCAGGCGGAGAACACCAGCCCGAGCGAAATGGGTGGTGTGCGCTGACGCCAGCTGCTCACCCTCTTGTGTGTGTGTGTGTGTCTCTCTCTCTCTCTGTCTATCTCTCACATCAGCAGTCAGCAAATGTGGAAGTTTAAAAGTCAACGCGAGGCAAGGCCACGCTCGGCCACGTCTCACTCAAAGCCACATAGCTTAGATTGACAAATATCCTGGCTTCAGCTATCCACAGACAGACAAATTCACACGGCGCATGAAAGGACATCCTTTGAGTGGTCTGTAGACGTTTCTTAACTTCATTATTTCCATTTGTCTCTCTGTCTTAAAACAGCTAGTCTTTGGTATCGTGTCTATCCATTTTTGATCCCGCGGTGACAGTCTGTGTGAACTCAATCGCAAGCGACGAAAAGTACTGCTCTAGTTTATCGCATGAATAGAATATCAACATGTCCCGCTGCGCAATCTCGCATTCTGGTTCAAACGTTCAAACCACTACCCACAGGTGACTTCGGCCCTGCACAGACGGCTGCCAGCTCTTGGATTAAGCCGTCGCATGTAGGCAAAGGTCCCCCACGTTGCTTTTCCATCGTCCCAAACTCGAAGAACAATTTTACTGGGTGGGGGGAGCGAGCTGGAGAGGCTTGGTGCCGACGCCGTTGGAGTTGCGGAAGAAGAGGACGCCCTTGCCCTCGCCCTTGGCGCCCTCGCTGGGCTCGACCCACTGGCAGACGCGGGCGTTCTTCCAGAGAGAGGCGAGGAAGCCGAGAGAGCCACCCTTGGTGTCGGCGCGGTAGTGCTTGCCCATGACCTTCTTGATGCCCTCGGTGGCCTCGTCGGCGTTGTAGAATGGGATGGTCGAGACGTAGTGGTGGAGGACGTGGGTCTCGATAATGCCGTGGAGGAGCTGACGACCGATGAAACCAAACTCGCGGTCGATGGTGGCAGCGGCGCCGCGGACGTAGTTCCAGGCCTCGGGGGTGTAGTGGGGCAGGGTCGGGTCGGTGTGCTGGAGGAAGGTGATGGCAACGAGCCAGTGGTTGACCCACAAGTAAGGGATAAAGTACCAGACGAGCATGTTCTTCCAGCCGTAGGTGTTGCCGAGGTAGGCGAGGACGGAGGCGGTGATGGCAATGCCAATGTCGCTGAGAACAATGAGCTTGGCGTCCTTGGCCTCATAGAGGGGGCTGCTGGGGTTGTAGTGGTTGACGCCACGGAGGAAACCGTTGGCCTTGCCCTTGCCGCGGCCCTCGCGCTGGCGTTCGTGGTAGTTGTGGCCAGTGACGTTGGTCAGGAGGTAGTTGGGCCAGCCGATGAGCTGCTGGCCGACCAGGTGGATCAGAGTGGCAATGGGCGTCTCCTCGCACAGCTCGTTGAGCTCGTGGACCATCTTGCCGATGCGGCTGGCGCGCTCCTGGCGGGTCTTGGGGACAAAGACCATGTCACGCTCCATGTGGCCAGTGGCCTTGTGGTGCTTGCCGTGGGAGATCTTCCACGAAAAGTACGGGACGAGGAGAGCCGAGTGGCAGATCCAGCCGACGGTGTCGTTGAGGACCTTGGAAGGGCTGAAGGACTGGTGGCCGCACTCGTGGGCCATGACCCAAAGGCCGGTGCCAAAGAGACCCTGGAGGAAAGTGTAGACGGCCCAGCCGGCGACACGAGCCGGGTAGGCGGGGACGTTCTCGGGGGTGAGGTAGGTGTGGAAGAGGTAGAAGGTGGTGGCGAGGAGGGCAATGTCGCGAGCGACGTAGTAAAGGCCCTTTGCGGCGGAGCGCTCGAAGCAGTGCTTGGGGATGGCGTCGTGGAGCTGCTTGATGGTGAAGTCGGGGACCTCGAACTCGTTGCCGTGAAGATCGAGGAGGACGCCCATGGGCTTTGCCTCACCCTCCATCTCAGACATGGAGGAGAGCGAGGTCGACGAGGCAGAGGGCCGGGGCGAGTCCATTGGGGAGCCGGAGGCGGTGGCCGGGGCAGAGGCGTCAGTGTCGACGGTGGTCGAGGTGGCGGTGCGGCGCATGGCCTGGCGCGACGAGACGCCAGAGCTTGTGGCGGGAGCCATGACGGGTGGTGGTGGTGAGGGGAGGAAGACTCTGCCGCAGAGAATCAGAAGAGAGAGACAGAGAGATGATGGCCTCACAGGGTGTCGAGTGCCTGGCCTTGGGTGAGGAGAGGACGAGGAGGGGAAGAGAGAGAGAGTGGGAGGAGGGGCCAAGCAGCAGAGATCGAGTCGAGGCGGTAGAGGTTATAAGGATCTGGACGGGAGAGGGACGCTAGACCGGGGCGTAGGTTTGGCTTGCTCGGCTTGGCAGGTGGCCGTGTGCGTGTGCGTGGGTGTGAGAGTGTCTCGTCTTCTCTCTCTTTTTTTTTTCTCTTTCCTCACCTGCATTCTTTGTCTGGCGGCCCCAAGGTCTCTCTGTCTGTCTGGGCAGGCAGGTACAATGGAGGGAAGGTGGGCGGTACCTGGCCCACGGACTGAGGGTCCAGCAGTGGGCTAGCCAGCTGGGGCGAAGTGCGGGCTGTCATTGGCGGGGAGGCGCCTGTCTGGCCCCAAAGCAGTAACCGCAGGCCAGGGGCAGCCCCGGCCCTCGCTGGCCCGGAGGTCGCCTGGGGGCCGCCCCTGAAGTACCTATACCGTCCGTACCTGCACCCGCACTGCACACTCTGCACCTGCCTTAGCCTGGCCCTGCATCGAGACAGACTGTTGGGCTGCTCCTGCTGCTGCTGCTCCTCTCCCGACTTCCCCCGCCCGTTCGCTCACTCACACACACTCGCCCACCCATTGACTCGTGGCGCCATCCGCTGGCCGATCATCACATGTTGCGACCGCTCTCCTTCCCACCCAGCCCAGAGCCAACCACCCGAGGCCATCCATCATATGCCCCTTGTGCGTGTCATCACGACCTCCTCCTCCTCCTCTTCCATATCCTCTCTGTGGTGTATGCTCCCCAATAACCTGACGGGGGCTGGAAGCACTCTCTGGTGGGTGAACCACTGACTGAGACTGGCCATCACCGCCTCCCCCCTCGCCTCAGACATTGGGCAAGCTGATGACCATCCGGATTCGCTGATAGGGGATGCAGGATTCCCAGCCCTAGCGCTGCCAGTGGACCAGCCCGCTCGCCTATGCAAGACCACGACTCTTCACGACGCGGCGTCCTGGGCGGCATTCCCACACCGCCCTGGCCACCTCGAGCGCTGGGCTCTGGTCTGGGTCTGCTCCCCCGCTCCGCCACTCGACGGTCAGTGCCGTGATCATCGTTTCGTGCCAGCCTGCCCATCCAGAGCTCTCCTCCCCGGTCTGCCGCAGACTGCAGTTGCCTCTTCCAGACCCGCCGGCCCCAACTCCTCCTGCGCTGAGGCTTCTCGGCACATCCAGCTCCATCTCGGCCTCGCTCCTGGCCATGAGCAGCTGTGCCGGCTGCCGCCGCGGTCTGACCGACGAGACGATGGGACAGTCCCCTTGTCTACTCTCGGCAGACCAGATGCTGACTTGGGCACACGAGAGCTCTCGCAGGGCAGTGAGTGACTAGCCAGCATTCCAGAAGGACGGACCCCGACCGTCTCGAAACACTTTTCTGTGGAGCCCAGTTATGCCGTGCCACGAGGTGCCGTGGCCAACCCCAGGCTCCGCGGACGGATGGAGATCCACTCCGGCCGCTGTGAAGACCAACGCCCGACGGCGCCTCCCTTTCTGCGACACGGCTGGGTAAAGACGAGCATCTGCATTGCTGGCCTGGCACTAGCAGACTGATGCGTCTGGTTAGTCCGGCCGCCAAGCAGAGCAGCGAGTGTCTCTCCCACGGGTGCCCAGCCAGCCACTCTCGCGGCGGGAGAAGTGAGACATGGGGGCATGGGCCCGAAGCTGGATACAAAGGTTCTGGCTATCCCCCATGCGTTGCGTCTCTCGTCATACGATGGACGGTCAGACAGGACTTGCCATTCCTGCGTTTGGCTGGAGGACGGCCCTGGCTGGGTTGCCAGCCAAGCTTAAGCATGAGCTAATCAACCATACAGCACTGCCGGCTCTGTCACATGGGAAAAGGGAGCTGGTTGGTGAAGGGCGGCACTGGTGACGTGCATTGGGCCACCACCCTCGCAGCCAGGCAGCCCGTCACATGCGCCAGAAGGGGCATCGATGGGCCGAGGGCACTGTACGGCAGTGCTGGCAGAGTGTTTTGTCTTGGTTGGTCTCTCGTGTGCCACCGCCGTCGTTGATTTTCTGTTGGGGATCAATTGTTGGGGGGAGACCGGGGCCCTTCCCCCGGGCGCCTTGGCGCTGGGTCCTCCCAGATCGGGAAGCGGCGTCCACTCGTTGGCCACACCCAGAAAACCCTGGACCCTGCCATGCCCTGCTGCGGGGCCTCTCCTGTCTCTGAGGTTTCTGAGCAGCATCGATTACCCCACATTCTACTTAACCATTGTATCAACCAGAGAACTCTGATACCATGGTTTTGCCACTCCACCACGGTGCAGAGAACCTGTCTTGCACTCTGATATCCGCACCCACCCGCTCTGTCCAATTGCCATCTTGTTCCCAGAGATTTTCCAGGAGAGGTGTCTGGGTGTGTGTCTGTGTGTCTCTGTACGCAGTATGTAATATGCCATCAGCCGGAAACAGTCAGCGCTTGTCGTGAGACTGAGCCTCGACACACGCGTGCAGTTCTGCTCGGCTCTTTGACAACCAACCCCACAGCTCATTTTTTGCACATGTCAAATCCCTAGGACACTCTGGATGTTAGCCCCAAAATAGCAATTGTCCAGTTTCACGTCGTCTGTTGCCCGTCAAAGTGGACACAGACAGGGCTGCTGCCAGCTGGGCACATCGCCTACTCTGTAATCTGCAACACCATAATTACCAACCAGTCCTGTTTCTCTCGTGCTACAAGCAAGCGAGGCAAGGTCCGCTACCATAGGCACGATCCTTGTCCAACACCCGGCGATGCGGATACCAGGACCCACACACATTCGACTCTCTTTGGTGCACTTTGGTTGCTACATTACATTAATTATTGATGTTAAATACTTCGTGAAAACCTACTCTGCTGGGTGCTGATTTAACCCACCATTGCAGTGCCATGTGGTCCACAGAGATGCAGCTTCACAGAGCAGGATGGCCATGACATGGAACACCAAACGAGTTTCATTTTCACAACCACAGAGATTGTTAAACAAACCAAACTAACAAGTACAAGTTATTCACCCTCGAGTTTTGGGGCGTAAAACCAAACCCAAAAACACACTGGCACTCGCTCAGCGCCGACGCGAATCTGAGCCCATCGACTTGCGAGCAGCCTTCCTGGCAACCTTGTTCTTCAGCGCGGTGATCTCCTGATGGAGCTCCTCCAGTCGCGACGAGATGCGCTCGTCGTGCTGCTCGTCGCTCAGTGCCTGAAGGACGGGCGTGTCCAGCCGGCGCGTGCGGTGATTCCGGCCAAACGGAGGCGCCGTCTCGCCGCGGTGGGTAGGAGCAGGCGGCGGCGGCCGAGGTGGCAGAGGATGGCGCAGCGGGCGGGCAGGTGACGACTGTGTCTGCTTCTGGGTGTCTCTGGCAGCGCTGGGGCGGCTGTTTCGTTGGTCCCAGCGACGGATCGGAGGCGGCTGCTGCTGGCGATGGATCGGGCTGCGTCTTTGGCTGGGGCTGGATGAGCTTGTGCCCCTGGATCGCGAGCCTCTGCGATCCGCGTTGCTCCTCCGGCTCCCGATGCGGTCACTGTTGGCCGGCTTGCCTCGGGCACTGGGCGAGCCGGACTCCTGCCGCCGAGCCTCGACCGACCTATCCCCTGCCCTCCCGTTACTCCGCGCTCTAGTCATTGGTGGAGTCCACTGTCCTGGATTATCTTTGGGGGAGTTCTGTTGATGTTGCGGACCAGCTTCGGGCCCTTGCGACTCTACAGAGCATACATTTTGAGCTGATGTAGAGGACCCCTGGTTCGAGTGTTGCTGCGCATGTCTTGGGCTGCGTCGTGGTTCGAGTTCGGCAGGGGCAGTCTGTCATCAACTCGTTAGTCCTAATACTCGCAAGGTTCTTCTGTGAGCGCAATACTGACCGGCTTGTAGACCGCCGAGCTGGGAAGAAGTAGCAAAGGGTTTTTGAAAGGGCGCAAGGCTGGCGACTCTGGCTCCCTCACGGCACATGTAGCCTCATCTGCTTGATCTGCCTGAAGAGTACCTGACGCCGACGCCGGGTTTTCTTCAGAGTCGAGGTAAGTATGCCGACCCTTCGATGCCGAGACTGCATGGGCCGGCTCCAGTCTCGGCTCTCTCGCAAATCCGCTTCCTTCGGAACCCTTGATCGCGCAAGTTGGATTTTTCTTCTTACCCCTTCTACGCTTCTGGTTCTCCTGATCTAGGAGAATTGATAGTTGTGCACCCGTACCGGGCAAAGCACGGCTCACCTCACTGGTAGTCGACCGCCCCTGTTCGAGACGGCAACCGTCCTTCTGTCCAACAGCTCCGCTACTTTGATTTGGAAAGTAGGGTGTGGCAAATGGATCATCGGAAGGACTTCGGCTTGCAGTATTGAACGTTGTCTCTTGGTGATCAGGAGTCCTCGGCATGGCTTCGGAGCTGCTCTCGCCGCCGTATGCTGGCGACGATTCCTCGGCGCGAGCATCAGCAGGATCATAGCCAAGCACAGTACTTGCAGCGGGAGTGATTGGCGCCACTGAACTGCCCATGTCTGGCTCCGCGTCTTCACTTCTGTCGGCGGGGCAGGGCGTACGCGCTTGCAGGCTTCTCCTCAATCGACGCCGTTCTTTTTGTTTGCGTCGAGAGTTCTTCTTTTGTTCTGACGAGGCTGATTTCGATGTACCACCGTCGGGCTCGGCGCTGAGGGACAGATGTGAAACCTGTTGATTGAGCGCAGATGCTGGGGATTTCGCACTACGTCGACTCCGTGATGAGTATGAAGATTTTGCAGGCGTGTTCGGTGACTGAGTCACAAAAAGGCCCGTCTCGCTTCTTGTCGTGACTCTCTGCGATGAGGGTGTTTGTGGCTGGCAGGCTAACCGATCATTTGCTTCGACTGGGAAGGAATGACTCGCATCAGAGGATCCTCCTTGCTTCCTGTCCTGCGCACACTGTTCCCTGAAGAACTTCTCATATCGGTGTAGCTCGTCTTGAAGCTGTCGCGGATGCTGCATCTGCAGCATCTGTTGGACAGAGCTGTCATTTTCATCGTGCACCATGCTGTCATTGTCGTTCTCGATCGACGACATGGGGGTTTGGGCCTTGCTCGACACGTCTGTGCTCCCAGCTGGCGTGAATGCACCATCCGACTCTGAGGGCTCATCCCCATCAGACTCGTCTGAAGAATCCGAAGAGGCAGCCCTTGCCGGGCCTCTTTGTTTGCAGTTTCGTTCTGCCCTGTCGATCATTTTGAGAAACGTGGAGGAGAACATTGCGTCGCTGGCAGCAACCGCGTCGCGAGAATCAACGGAAAGCGCCCCCAGGTGTTTTCTAACCTTCTTCTCGCTCACGAGTTGATTGAGCAGGGATACTAGCCGCGCTCGGCATATCTTGATACTCCGGACGAGGAGCAGCTTTCGGCAGCGTTGCGTCGATAGTGCCAGGCGTTGCTCTGGCTTTTTAGTGTCTGAGACTTTCCGGAGGAGTTCTTTTGTTTTGGTAAGTGATGGCAGATGTCTCCGTCCATCGCTTTCGAAGGCGTTCTTGATATGGTGGTAGAACTCCGCCTCGGCATCCTGGCTACATGATGCTTCGAGCAACTTATGGCGATGTCGTAGAGCACATTCGAGCAATTTCAAGCGTGCAGAAGTCGAAAGATGCCGCATTCCGAGCTCAATAGGAGAGCCGGTCGACCTCATTGTCCCTCTTTGCTCAGTCTGCTCACTTGACGACTCCTGGCAGGAATATCGGTCGAATTAGTCTCAAGATCGCAGGCAACTGGAGACCACACGAGCGCAACCACCAACCTGTCCCATGTCATGATCGGTCCTATCAGGTGCTATCTTCGTCTCGACGTCTTCAATAGCCATGTCTAGCTGCTGGCCCGATGAAGGGGGCGAGGCGAGCTGGTTGTTAGCTGGGCCAGCTTCACTCCTTCGCCGCGACATCATCTGGCGGCTGCGAGCCTGGGCTGATATGTTGCCCGCCATACTGTGTGGCTGGTTAGTTGGAGTTCAAGAGCGACAGAATCCCCTGGGCCCATTTGGACTCGGATTAAACTACAAATTTTGGCCATCTGAGGTTGAAAATTGTGCAGAATCACCCAGCCCTCGGAACACTAGACGCGTTGCGTGTCTTGCACGCGACCACGCGTTAATCAACCAAACCTTACTTTGCTGTAGAAAAGCAAAGTACCCTGCCTTCCGACCGGAAAGCTAATCGTTGAACATGGTAGAGCACGCAGCAACATCAGCAGGGAAACCCCGGGCGGCCCAGCTCGTCCTGAGGCAGAGAAAGAAATGATACTCCAGCTGCAAGCCCCTACTCGAGGCTTCTGTGCCTCCGAAAATCGTCAACCCTGGCCATGTCGGGCTTTGTTGGACTTGCTGTACTGTTGAAATCTGCCATAACCTGGGTATACAGTGCTATCTTCTTCAGTAGGAACTACTGTAGCGCGCCCGGCCCTGAGTGAAGCTTGGGTCGTTTCTTTTTGGCCAGCATCTCCAGGGACAGCCGGTCGGAAAAGAAAGTTGCGGGATGGGCCGTGCTGCGTCCGGGGTATCGACGAGAAGTGTTAACTATGGGAGTGCTGAGCACAAACGGCTAAAGGAAGCAAGGATGTTGCTTTCCCCCAGATGACCACGCTGGATCATATTCGATGAAATTAAAAGGTGATGTGAGATCTCCCGAGTTGCTGTGCAAGGCTGGAGAGCAAGCACGATGTATTCAGAACTTGATTGCTGCTTCCTGGGCGACCCAGAACCTACGAACGCATGGGCCATCAGTCCTGATATTTAAGCTTTACGTGGTCAGTGGTGCCCAGCTCAAAGGGCGTATGTGCAAGTGATTTTCCGGGGAGCCATCTGGGGCCTCCGCTACCACAGTGGGCACAGGCTGGCGTGGAGATTTAAAATCCAGGCTTGGTCTTGATCACGCAGGCCATGGCTGGGCTGGAGCTTCGAAGACGGTGGCGATGCTCTGGTTGAGGTGAACGCTGGTAATAGAGCTGGAGCACGTTGAGTGGAATGATGACAGCGCAGTGGCAGCATTTCTGACTTTGAGCTGGCCCGGAATGGGTGGAAACGACGGCGTAGAGTAGAGGAGACGGTCGAGGGCAAGAGGGATCTGATTCCTCGAGACCAACAGCAGTGGTTGGCACTGTGGCTCAGCATCGCAGCTTCCTCGGCGACGGCCAAGTCAAGCTGGTGCACATGCACCTGGTGCAAGACCGACTAGGATGCACCAGCTGGGTCATCTGCCCAAGGCCTCGTCCTTCATGCCTCTCCAGCCTCGGGTGGTCCATCGGGCGAGGGGTCGGAGTCATCTCCGGGCGGTGTCTTGTGCGGCACGGACGGCCGGGCATGTCAAAGTTGGAGGTTTTGCAATGTCGCATGGTAATCACACCTTTGCATATCCCAGACATGCTTCGGCGCTGCCGTGCGGAGAAGAGGCTGCCTTGTCGGCCTGGCGAGTTCCAAGGCTTCCTCGAGCTCACGCTATTCTGGGCTGGACGGACAGCATGGAGAGTCCGGTCTCTCCATGCTCGGCCGAGTGCCACCGATGCTGAGCACTTGCTAGCATGAGAGAAGAGACAAATGAAGAGGTGAGTCAGATCACGCCATGGCATTAAACCACAGTCCCGTGACGGAAGCCACCAGCGTGGTGATACCCAGTGCTCATGATGGTACTGTCCCACTCACCTCCAACCTTGGAGCCCAAGTGTACCTTAAGGTACCTAAGGTAGGAATAGGGCACATACAATAGGGCACAATCCGCCGCCTTATCAGCCAGGGACCTCCCGTGCTTATCAGCGGGACCCACTGCAGCTCGGCCAGTCCGCGTGCTGCCCACCCTGGCGCCTGTTAGCGTGCCCCCAGACTGCCCTCCAGCGCCTCCGTCATTCAAACGAAGGACGTGCTCGTGCGGATGAGGTGCCCATCTCCAGCATCAAACCACCTCCTGCTTCCGCCATTTCCAACCCGCCCCCTGCGACGACAGCCTCGACCTCTTCTTGCCAGCTGCTCTCCTGACCGCCAGAAAGACGTGCACAGGCATATCTAGCACCCTACAGCGGCCGCGACAACCGCCCCCCGACTTTCGTTTGGGCTGGTCTTCTCCACATCCTCGCCGTGTCTCACGTGGGGGTCCTCCGGCCCAGCCAGCGATTTCGACCTCACTTTGCCTGCCGCCTCGCCACAGTCGTTGATGCGGGCAGCCCGACAGCATGGATCCTGCCCCAAGCGGCATCGACCGTCCCTCGAGCCCTCAACATGATACCACCCTCAGCAACAACGGCAACTCACGCGATGCCGGCATCGCGAATGACTCGGGCACGCCAGCCCCTGGCCTAGATTCCGACACCACTCTGCCCGCCGACTTGAGCCCCATCAACATCTCGCAGCCTGTCGAAGAGGACGGACAATCGCCGCCATCATCCGCACCCTCCCTTCAGGCAGACACGCAAGACAACGTGTCGCTCCCGTCTGTTCATCCGGCCGAGCATGTTGAAGACGAGGACAGGGCCGAAACCCTTGGAGACGCCCGGGAAACCAGCGACGATAACGAACAAGCTCGATCAGTCGAAGAGGCAACGCAGAGCAGTCAGTCAGCTTTGCTTGACGTTCCCGCGGACGATACTCCAAGCGATAGGCCCACTGTGCTCGAAGCTGCAGTGGATGCTCCCGAGGCACCAGCCATTACAAACCAGACAGGCGCGGCCACATCTTCAGACGACACTGTGCAGGAAGAGGAGGAGAACAACGACGATGACGATCATCTGCTTGAGACACCAGAAGAGACACCCCAGGAGAGGCGGCTCACGCTGTTGGAAGCCCTGAATGAGACGAGAGAGTCCGCCGATCACTACTCGAGCACGATCACTCCTGATACCACCAACGAGCACCAAGGCAATCATGCTGCGCAGGTAGACACTTCGCCCCCTTTGCCAGCGTCGCCCCCGCCGCCTCCGCCACACGCACGGCCGGCTACTCACAGGTCGACCTCGGAATTCATTCTTCCACGATGGCAACCTGACGCCGAGGTCACCTTGTGTCCGATCTGTTCTACGCAGTTTGGCATCTTTGTTCGCAAGCACCATTGCCGGTAAGTGCGGTGTTTCCATAGTACCTTGTCATCAGGGATCATAATACTGATAGTAGCCTGCAGAAAATGCGGTCGGGTCGTTTGCAACGCTTGCTCGCCGCATCGGATCGTCATCCCTCATCAGTATATTGTGCGCCCTCCTGGAGAATATCCATTCCCGCCTTTTCCTCCAGCCGGCGATGGAGGCCACCTCGCCGATCTGAGCGGCATCGCGGGAGGCGAACGAGTGCGGCTCTGCAACCCATGTGTGCCCGATCCGAATATGACTCCCCCCCAGTCGCAAGGCTACCCAGGTAGCATGTCCCCGAGACCATCTCACCAGCGGTCGCACAGCAGCGCGGACACGCCGGCGGGGATCGAGAGCAGCAGCAGCCATTTCCAGCCGTACCCATTCTCGTCACGAGCCGAGTCGCATGCCAGGACCAGAAGCATCACCATGGTTGGTATCCTCCCATCGAGTGATTTGTCGTCCAGCACTAACAACTCATTACCGTAGAATTCTGGTGCAGGCCCATCAGGACAGAGCGGCTACTACTCACGCTCCGCTCGCGCCGCTGGCGACCGTCCGATGTACTACTCAGCCTCGTACTCTTCCTCGTCTGCTGACCCACGCCACGGCTCTCGACGACAGAGCCGTGATGGCCATGGACTCCAGTCCGCAATCAACAGACCACTGCCGCCCGCACCACAGATACCGGAAGAGGACGAATGTCCGGTATGCCATCTGGAGCTGCCATCACGAGATCTGCCAGATGCCGACGCTCGACGCGAGGCCCACATCAACGACTGCATCACATACCATAGCACTTACAACCCACGGCGCGCCACCATGATGGGCTCTGGTGGAGCGCACGGCACCCCTCCGCCCCGGACCGAGCGGCGCACGGGCATGTTTCCGTATATAGCCACAGAGAAGGACTGCGTCGATGATGCCGAGTGCACCATCTGCTTCGAGGAGTACCAGGCGGGCGATCCAATGTGTCGTCTCGAATGTCTCTGTCGGTTCCATCGCGTCTGCATTTCTGCCTGGTTCGAAACGCACCCGGGTCGCTGCCCCGTGCACCAGCACGACAGCTACGGATACTGAGTTTGAAAAAGGCTCAAGGGCTCTGTCTGTCATTCATCCTTCACCCTCATATCAGATACCATTATCTTCTTAGTATTTGAGTTTAGCAAGCATTGTTTCTGGCGTATTGCTACTGTTGGCTTCCTGTCTGTGTCGAAAGTCTGCTGTATGGCGTTCTGGCTATCACTAGGGATACTTGGAATGCATCAACACTCCCCCATTTATACATCGGATTCTTCTGTCCAATTTCGTTTGTCTGGGTACCATGGGTGTATATAGAATGACTTTGCTGGAGAAGCATCACAATATCTTTCCATTTCCCTTTTCCCCTTTTCCAATCGAGGGTTGACACGAATGGTATTCCCAAGTTAGCCTGACACAGAGCTTCTTCGTGATTGTGAAAATGTGAAAAGGTGCAGTGTCGTGCCTGCAAGCAGACGCCAGCCCATGCTGTGCCTCAGACAGGACCGGGGCTGCGATTCTTCCTTGCAGTCTGGCGGTTCGTCCGGCAGAGTTGAGGCTTTGTTCCTCTTGTACTTGCGGACTTTGTTTTCGTTCAGTGCCTCTTTGATGCAACCTTCTGCTGTTTCGTCTTCAAAGTGTTCAACGCTTTTTTCTTCCTCCAACCAGCCCTATTCGCGTTGGGATATTGGTCCCATATCAGGCGACCTCGGCGTCTGGTCGTTGTCTTCACATGTTGCAGTTCATCCGTGGAACCAATGATTGGTTCGGGGCTGAAAGTGACAGCAAACAGTAGTGTGTGTGTGTGTGTGTGTGTATAATCGAGCCGGATTGATCCAGTGATGACAATGAAATATGATGAGATCGGTTGAAAATAACCATAAAGATGACAAAATAAGAACACGAAATCCATTAACGAAGCCAGGAAGGATGTGTAACAAGGCCTAAGGAAACTAACATAAAAAGTGTCGAGATTGATAAATGCAAGATATTTTAGTAACATCTTTCTGCCCAGTAGAATGTAATATGTTGTTTGTTACACGCGAAAAATCAACACATGTCAGTTTAAAAAAGAATCCACAACGGACGCCTCACACGACGAGACCGAGGGCAGACTGGTCTTGTATCCCGATACATGTTTCCGTTATTGCCCTCGTTTCTCTTCCTCGGTTCGGCCCGCCTGGGTTCTAGTAGTGACTTCTTGCCCAAATGCGGCCGAGCTGGCCGCGCCCGAGAGGACACGGCTGAGGGGTACCAGGGTCTTGAGTCTGTTACGACAGCAGGGTAGAGTATCTTCTTATCCTTTTTTCTTATGTTCTCTTCATTTTTTTAGTTTTTACTAGGCACCGTTGAAATTCACTCTCCTGATTCTAGTCCTCGCCTAACCAACGAACAGTTCCAGTGTGCTGTAATTTTTAAGACAAAGCATCGGGCAGAATGCAATCCTTTTCTTAGCTTGTCTGGTTTGATCAAATACTTCCTTGCTCGATATTCTCATTTCCTTACTATTTCGTCTGCTTTCCACAATCATGTTCTATTTGTCTACCTACCTACCCAGGTACGTTAAGAGCTTCTCCGCTGCCAAAACACGGTCCAGCGCCAATCCTTCGCGATCCCAAAGCAACGCCACGCGCAGCTCGGAACAACAACACCATAATTGTCATCACAAGAAAAGAAAAAGGACGATAAACATTCAGCCAAGGGCGACAGCAACCCCAGACTCCGACCTCGACATACGACACACATTGGGCTGCCCTTCCCGCGGTGCTTTTTGCTTCAAAGTACGGCAAAACGCCGCACAGCAGACAACAGACAACTCGATGATTACCATACCTACCTAGGTAAATAATCAATCTTTGGATTTTCGGCTCACGCCTTTGTTTCTTTGTTTCTCTCAACTCGAATAAAGTAGCAAGGAGGAGTCTTAGTCGCAGAATCTTCTCAAAGCATCCTGACCTCTCGTCCAGTTCATGGAGACAGTCTATTTGCCGGGGACTGACACACAGAGACACTCTCTCTGTCGTTGTCGGGGCCCAGGAACATGTACATCGAGAAGACGCCAAGCGATAAGGGAGGGGGAACTGATGCTTTTGTGTATATGCGTGTATGTGTGTTGGTGTGTGTGTGTTCTGCCGCCAGCGCGTTTCTCCTGGTTGACGACGACCTACGAGCAACAAGCAAGTCGTGGGCAGTCCATGCAAAGTGACTGATCACGATGGCCCCCAATGGACCAAACTGTCCGCTTCAGTCCTGCGACGCGGATGCAAGTCCTGCCCGAGGGATCGATGTATATCTCGTTGCGGCACATGCCATGCCGCCACCCGTCCCAATGTACCCTATTGCAACTAAACATTGGGTTTCTCTTTGCTCTCTTGCCATGGTGACGGCGGCTCACCCTTCATAGAAGTTAAGACGCAGAATCTCTCACGAAAGCACAACACAGCAAACTGCAGCCCCCCATCCGCAAAGCTGCAGATACGCGAATGAGGCAGGCCGACCGTGCGTAGACAGAAAGCTACCCTTCCCTCACCACAGCCACATCTTCTCTAATAACTACGACCAAGAGACGGAAACGCCACCCTCAGTCATCCATGCCTCGTACAGCCACGAGGGGGGGCTCCCTGACCACGAAGGGAGCGAAGACAAAAACCTCCGTCCTGTCCCTCAGAGCGACAGCAAGCCAATGCCAATCTATCACCGGCGTCGAACGTCCCTTGTGTGTGTGTGTGCGTGTGCTGCGCTCATTTTCTTTTGTGGTTATTCACCGCAGTCCCAGATGTGGTCCACTGACATTCTCGGTGACAGAAGCCACACATACACACCTCCTCCTATCTCCTTCGCGCCCCGAGCTCGCGGTTTTCCAGCAAAACCCACACAGTTCATATCATCCCTCCATAAAATATGGGAACTCCTGTCGAAAAGATCTTCTCCTCGCATGATTGAGAGTTTTTTCTCCTTTTCTTTCTGCTTGTTGCTTACGCACGCCGGCACGGTAGCTGGCCGAGCGCTCACGAGCGAGCGGACGATCGTCGCCTGCTCCACGAGCTCCGTATGGGTGGCGATGAGCTGCATGTCAGCAGGGGAGATCGCAATCCACGGACGGTCCATATTACATGTAAGTCACCCCACGGTGACAGCACCACTCACAAGCATCTGTTCACTGTCACTCAATCAGTCAGTCAAATCAATCACACGATCGGCAAAAGCCAGGCTTCGTTGCCCACAGTTCCCTTGCTGCCTTCGTCCCCATATGCGTCTCGGATGGCGCCGGCTTTGGGCCTGCTGCTAGCTGCTTCTGCTGCTGTCACATACTGCTGCTCTGTCTAGTTATTAGTCCGCCGTCGCCCAGCTAGTGAATGAGTGGCCGACTTCTACCCCCCTGAGCCCCCCACAAGATGGAGGCACGAGCAGCGTTTCTAGCGGCGCCAACACGCTTTGTTAGTCTCGTCTCGCGGCCCCGCCCCATTCTCTTTAGTGTTTGTCGTTGGGTTTAGACTGCTGAGTTTTGCTGGCCTTTTCTTTCTTCTTTTCGTTTTTGTCGTCTCGCTCTGCTTGTTTCTCCGCCTTTGGGAAAGTACCCGCCGCGGTCTGTGGGGTTCGCGCTCGGCCCAGCGCGCGCACGTAGGGCTGTGGCTGTTGTGTTGCCCGTACTCTGGTTCTGGCAGAGGCCCGGACAACCCTGGGACTAAGCACGCATGACCAAGGACCACGACAAATACAGTCATCCGACAGCCACGACAGCGAAACCGCCGCCGCCGCCGCCGCCGCCAGCACGCCACTCCAATTTCTGCCCATGCGCCCCCGAGGTTCCCCCTGCAGACGCTTTGAACGCGGGCATCAATTTGACTACGTGCTTCTGCTTCGGCCGTGTTTGCTGTTTGATGCTGCTGAAACCGCTTGCTCGGACGGGTCCAAGCGCTCGGGGAAGACGGAAGGCAGGTGATTCCAGAAGAAGAGGGGCACAAACCCTGGCCCAAACACAAAGCAGAACCGCCGTGGATGGGGCGAGTTTGAGCTCTACGCAGGACAAGCCGTGCTGATCGGGCACCATTCCAGCCCTGTCGCAGTGGTGAGGGCAGGACATGCAGCCACAAGGAGGCACGATCGGCAACCCCTGCAGCACGTCTGAAGCGGAGCAACTTGTCGGTGAGCGTTGGCTGTGGTGCACATGACTGCCGTGCCGTGGCTTTGCAGCAATGCCTGGTCGGAGAGATGCATGTGCTTGGGGGGGGGCCCGCCTGCCGTTGTCGCCAGGAGCTTGTCCCCATTACCGTGGGACGGCGTTGATGATCTCGTCCTGTTCTCACCAAATAGCTAGCGCACTGGTGACGGAACACACCGAGCATGATGATGAGCCCCATCTCTCGTTCGTCATGGGCGACACATCGCCGTGCTCGTCCTTAGACTCAACAGCACAATTGCACAATGATCAGCAGTCGATGATCACGGCCTTGACCTTCCTCAAGCACAACCGCTCGCTTGTGCTCAGCGCTCGACGGGCGTGCGTGTGGACACACTTCCCTGGACCTTTGGGCACGATCCATGTTTTCAGTCCCCCAACCCTGGCAGACGAGGCCCGCTTCTCTCAGCAGAGCAAAATGCCGATCAGCAAGCGGACGGAACTGAGGCCGTTGTCATATTCAAGACCTGCCGCTGTTTTGTGTTTCCAAAAAGGCGTGACGCGCGTCGCCAGCGGTGAATTGGTCTTCGAACACCAAAGCGCATGTGGTAGTGAATCCGCTGGTTTTCAGGTGGCTGTGGAGAGTGTGGGACGCGCCAGGCAGATACAGTACAGCAGCATCAATACGAAAGCGCAATGATGGCTTGAACGGAGATGGTGTCAGAGCAGGACAGTCTCACGATGGACTACTCTGCCTGTGCCGGCGATAGCTGTCCTGCAAGACCAACGTATGAGGCGCACGGCATCTTCAAAGAAGGTTTCTAGCGCTGGCGCATCCTTGATCTGGCGACTCTAAGCTGCAGGGGCTGAGTATCCATTGTCGGCTGGGATTCTGCAAGCCTGGCGGGTCGGCGGCATGACGCACACACTGGCAGGGCGCCCGCGTGGAAGCCTGCATGTGGCTGACAGGCGCCACCCGGGGGAGTTTGTCGACGGCGCTGGAATGCTAAACTCTGTCGGGCAGTCGCATCCGTAGACGTCTGCTAATTCGCGATGGCTTGGGTTTGCCGTCCCGGAAGCAGCCTCGAGTAGTGCCACAGACGGTCTTCGAGCAGACCCAACACACGGCACTCTTTCCGCTTGTCTTTCTTGATTAGCCTCTCTTGTGAGGCGAGCTTTGCAGACAGGCCCGTGGCCAAGGCAGCAAAGTCGCAACGGGATGGGGCTGCCGGCAAGGCTCTGTCCCTCGATGGCGCCTTGTGCTGACAGCGCACACATGAGCAGTCGGGTGTGTCTGCTCGATCTATTAATTAGGTAGGTCACAGCGTCGTGCCGCCCGGAGGAGAAGGAGTCATTGCGGCAAGCAGCTGATGATACTGAGTGACTGCCGGCTGTCGACAGTGTCTTGGTCAGGGGACTGTGGCCGTCATTGAGAATCTGCTGGAGGGGCCATGGGAATCAAGACCGACTTCTGGTATGGGATACCCTGCTGTCTCACCTTCCGGACGCGGAAGCAGGCGAGCCAGGCGAAGCAAAAGGGAGAGTGGGAGGCCAGACAGTGCCAAAGGACAGTGCCCCCATGACGTCACGACGGACATGCTCGTTTGGAGCTGTCCACTCCCGAGGCCGCGCTGCAACGGGCATCCCAGATTGGGATCGTCCCGCAGATGCCATTTGACTGGTGCCGCCGTTTCTAATATCGTCGCGAGCGAAACGTCAGGCCAGCCATTCAGTCAGTCAGTCAGTCTGTCGGGCCGTCTGGGGTTGCAACTTTGGAGCAAAGGGGTGGCGTCGTCCTGCATTGCCGATGCTTGTGGCGTTGTGGCCCTGACGACGTGATTTAGGGGACCATCATGCAGTCTCGCGCCTGGTGGCTTTCAGCTGTGGGGGGGGCCAGATGGGACGAAGCAACTCGCAGGCTGCAGATTGGTAGAGGGTCGTGCAAATGAAAGGTTGATGGCGCGACTTGGTCATGACCCTGACTGGCGAGGACATCACTGGTGCAACGGGGGGTCCAAGGTCACACAACCAGCTTCCTGGTTGCTCCTGCTTCCCGATCCCTCCTAGACCGTTTGGTTCCTGGCCCCCTTCTCCGCCCAGCCAGCTCCATTGCGACCCTGATTTCTTTGTCTTGGGGACGCGACTCGCGCATATTCTTAACAGGATCCGCCGTCTAATTACTCCAAGGAGCAACATCGTGACATCAAGGTCATGCCCGCCTACCTGAGCCTTTGTGGCCAGCGAGACAAGACTACGTACGTTCATACAACAGCCTGCCGCGTCCAAGCTCAATGCAAGGGAACAGGAACCTTTGGCCAGCACAGTCCCCGTTTGCGACATACTCTGCTGCGCTGGGTCCTGGTTTCTGGCTCTTCCCCAATAAGACCAAAGCTTGTGGCGTCACAAGCGTCGATCGGCAACCCCAACCCAACAACCTCTGACAGAGGGGGTGTTGGACAATAACCACCATGGACCAAGGGTCCTTCCAGTCTGCCATGAGTCCAGCCAGCGACTGCCCATGAATGTCGGACTCAACATGCGTGGCACACACCACACCAAGCCTGATCAGTCTGGCACCTCTTTGGCTCCCGCTCGTGGTCACCACTCGCAGCAATCTGCCACAGGCATGAGGATCGGCTGGTTTCGAACAATTATGGAACTGAAGCGGGGCAGATCAGCGCTCCCCAAGCAAGAAAAAAACCCTTCCCTCACGGCGGTCACGCCAGACCGTTACTCGCGGATGGTACGAGATCGTCGCGCAACTCCCAAACACGGCCTGCTCCATGAGGAGCTCACGTCTTTGACCGTAATATGACATGCCGTTCACAAGTCTGCTAATTATCGCTGATTAGGCGAGCAATATGCCACTTCTTGCTGGTTTGCCAATTGCAGGGTGACAGCACACACTCCCGCACACTAGGACCAATGCCAAATATCCACAGCAACGACACTGGCCAAACTTGCCCAGCAACGACCCTGACGATGGGGCTGTCGTCCACAACTGCCCTGGCGGCGCCTGACTGGCGAGACAGTACGATGCAGGGTCAAGGCTGACTCCGCGTGTCGTGGGGACGGCAATTTTAAACAAAAGTCGAGCGAGATGGACGGACGCCGCTTGGTCGAAAGGGAGATCGCTGGGTCGCAAGCCGTCTTGGGCAAGGCCACATGAGCAGTGGTGAATGGCCCACAGACCAGTCAGTGAGACTGCCCAAGCGGAGCCAATGGACGCTGACAAAATGCTCTAATCACGGCACCGCATCCGAATCAGGCGGGTAAGCTCCGCCTTGTGCTGGATCGGCTGGACAACGAGGCAGAGCACACCCAGGCTGCCGACGCAGCTGCTTGCTTGTCACGATCGCCTCAAAAGACTTTAGCCCCGTGAGTTCGGGGGAAAAACAGCCAAGGCCAGTTCAGCTGACGATCTTGATGGCAGTGAGCGAGAGCAGAGGCGACATACGGGGTGTGCCGGAGACGCTGATGGACCGTGGACCGTTTCTCTGTTTCTGCCTGCCCGAGTGACCTGACTGACGGGCGGAGGTGCTGTCGAAACTGAGAAGCGGAGGAGGATGACGGAGGGGAAGCGTGTTTTATTCTTGCACCGATCAGCGGGCGCGGCGGCAGCATGAAGCCGGCGCAACCAACGAGGATGGGAGACAGAGGCCTCGGGGGCAGGGAGGGGGCAGGGGGTGCCAGGACACTGTCGGGGCGAGGGCCAGCTTGACTCGGTGGAGGCCCGCCAATGACGGGGACCCTGGCCTGGGGGGGGAGGCAGGGGCTGGTGGTGGCACTGGGGGGACCAGTGGTGATCGGCCTGCTGATGATGCTGGATGATGGCGATGATGGAGGTGCTGTCAGTGCTTCGTCGAGGCGGGCAAGGTGGGCCACACGCTGCCTGAGGCCGGTGCAGGCAGACAGGCCGTTCCCGGCTGCTGTCCACGCCTGGGATGACTAGCACCGCGCTTGGCCCAGTCCGCCCCAAAGGGGTCCTCCCGCGATGGATTCTTCTACCTACGGTGCCCTCCCGCTGCCGCCTGCCCTGCCAACACCGCCCACTGCCTCCTGCCGGCTCAAGCCTACACTAATTTCTATTCTTCGTCGTCGCTGCTCGCCCTCGCCGCCGCCGGCCAGTCTGCCACTTGCTCGTCTTTTCCTCGACGCCAAAGAGCCTCGTTGCAACCATCTTGACACACCACACACACCACAGCTTTCTCTGCACACCGAGCTGCCATCTTTCGTTCACCCGTCACCACTGAACTGAAGCTGCTCCGGCTCTTGTTCGTGTGCTCGCCACTCTTCGGTCCGTCTCCTTTTCGCGCCACTACGACTCCTCTCTGTCGGCCAGGATCCGCACCCGTCGTCACTCTCGTGTCCCCTCCCAGAAAAGGCCTCCTCCTCCTTCTCGCTCCTCGCCTTCTCGCGACACACACACGCACACACCCACACATACACGAGCACCAGCTCGTCAGTTTTCCTTTCGTGGCACAAGCACAACCTCGCCTTGGTCCCTTCTCGTGTCCCCGTGGCGGCTGTGCCTCTTGGTGGCCCTTTCTCGACCCTTCCAGCGTTACCCAGCTACTTACCAACCAACCAACCAACCAACCCCCTGTGCCTTGCGAGACACGCCCACGTCCACACCCTCCCGCCAGCTTCTACGTCACCGAGCAGGCCCCCGGATTCCGCCACTCGCTCACCATTGCTCAGCCTCGACCACGCCTGCTGTGTGACCAGCCGTCGGCTTCCTGTCCATCGCTATAACGGCCCCCTTGTCAACGGCACCCGCACTTTTAGTCTTCACATCCCAACTCCAACCAGCTTGTCGCGACCACTCACCCCAAGGCCTCCCTGTCGCATCATGGAGCACGACAATTCTAGTCCCATGCCCGAAGACCCTCGCCTCTCACCACAATCAGGCTCTTCGTCTGCCTCAATAGAACACAACGACGAGATGCACCACCCAACACCAGTTCGTCCCCGCCTGCCCAATCGCCACAGTAGCGGCACAATCATCGTCAACCGCGACTCGTCACAGGTCGGCCCCATCGACAGGCAATTCGAACCCGACGACGTGCGCGCCATGAGTCCTCGGAGGACAAGTGAGGATATCGAGAACATGGGCAGGGCTGCGCGGGAAGAGATGCAGAGGTGCGTACCCACTAGTCTGGCGTCATATCGGGAGCCCTATTCTTGTTCATTTGTGCTGACATTACAATCAGACACGCTCTCGCGTTACAAAACTCACTCATCATGATCTTCAACCGCATCGAGGCAGTCAAAGAGGAGCACGATAAGCTCGACAACAACAACAAGTTTCTCCAGAAATACATCGGAGACCTCATGAGCACAAGCAAGATCACAGCAGGCGGCAGTCGCGGTCGCAAATAGTACCTCGGGCTCTCCAACCTGTCCTGCGTCCGGCCTCTCTGTCACACATTCCGGCATCGAAGCCTGCTGCCCCTTCACTATACCCATGTTGTTCTGGGTGCAACCACTTCGCATTTCACAACTTTTCGGCATCTCATCATGGCCCTATCGGGCAATCGGCGTATCAACCACGGGGGGTGGGTTTTGTTTTCGTGTCTGGTGTCGGGAAAAGAACACTATACCAATGCCTCGTTTTTTTCTTGACGACTTTCTGGCGACCATTCTGCATGCATCATCACAAATATTCGAGGAAGTCACAGACCCATAGCTTCCAAAGGGAGAGGGTTCTTTTTGTATGATTGAATGGCGTGAATTTCTGGAGTGGTTTCCGGGCATGACCACTCCGTAGGCGTTTTTGTTTTCTTTTTGTTTTTTTTTGTTTTTTTGTTAGTTTCTGTTCTTCAGCATCAGCTGCCTGCCACCTCTCATCCAAGAGGGGGGCATGTGCATGCTCAAATACCCTGACTTGCCAGCTTTACGTCTTGGGACAGCCCTGGGGAAACGGGGGAAAGAGATTATCAAGTTTGCGTGCTTGCTTTTCCGGGCTGCCGGGCCGCATTTCAAAGGAGTGCACAACCGCACTCGCAGGCACTGGAGGTCAGGCCAAACTGTAAAGCTAGTACTAGTGCTTGTATGTGGACGAGGCATACCAATTGATGATCATATTTTCTGCCATACCGCGCGCGGCTGTCCTACTTTGTGCCTTAGACTGGTTGAATTCACGTCCCATGGATTTCTCAAGACGTACTATCGTCGCCATGCGCTCGCTGCTCACTGCTCACCTTCCCCAACGCCAACAACCCAAACGGTCAAAGGGCTAGCAGACGGAGAGCTCGACCCAGCAGGAACGAGCAAGAAGAACATGACGGGGAATTCATGACATTTTATTTCCAAGTTACCTTGACGATGGAACTGCATCCCTGACAAGCCCACGTGGTCCCCAGTTAGCGTACCCAGAGAGGTAGTCGGGCCAGGATTCTCAAGTATCCAAGTGATATACGTTTGAGCGTAGCTAGCCAGCCGGCCCAGCCCATTGGTTTACACTGCCACAGTCCCCAAAACATGGGAGGCGAACTGCTATCCGTGTTAGGTAGTACATTTTGTCTGCCTTTGTTGAGTGTCTAACCGTCTAACTGATACAAAAATCTATCACGGGTGCTTCCCCCCCCCCCCGCATCACAGGCACTGGACGACGAACCCGCTTGTCGAGTATTATATTTGAACGTCGCATGGGAATAGGTAGTAGTAGTAGTAGTAGTGTTGAATCCGTGCTTCTGTCCTTCCTTTTCTCCACGCGTGTCACTAGCTTGTTGTGAGGTCTCCTTTCGAATGTGCATTATTTGGCCCTGCCGCGCGGCGGGCATCTTTCTTCACCACGAGACGTCTCGTCATCCTCACACTTAAGAAGAAAACCCCCGGCAAAGGATCTGACTGTTGTATGTCCACCTCAGCACTCCATGCTCTCTCACATGGAGTTCCTCTGCCACGACTACTACGGATCGCACTATATTTGCGCTCTTTCAGCTCGCCGTGCAAAAGGAGCGACGGCTGCCCCGAGCAGCGAGGGAGAGAGTTTTACGCCTGATTTCACCAGACAGCTCCCTTCTCCTGGCCATTCAGTTCAAGATGCTGTTGAGAGCATAGCTGGCCTGTTCCTGTATGATACGAAATGATCATTCCAGAGCGGTGGGATAAGCGTGCGCATGCCGCTCGTGGTGTGCACGCGGCCGCGATAGCAGGTGGGCAGCAGGCTTACCACGGAACCCCAAAGCAGGCAGCTGCCGCATTCGGCTTGGATGATCAGGATGTGAATTGAGGCGAGCTCCGTGGTCTCTTCAAGAAGCGGGCTTTTTCATGTGGTGCGATCTGTGCGCCACGACGGCGGAGTGTCTGGCCACAACTTTCGAGATTGGTCTGCCGCGGAACGCCTTATTTCATGGTTTCGAGTTTTGGTCTCGAGGTCAAGTACCAGGGCGAGACTTTACACCCTGATCCTTTCCTTGTCATCTTGGCCTGTTGTTGCCAGTCGAATGCGCAGCTGCGAACCAAGCCGCGAGACTATCTGTGCTGGGGTCGGAGGGACTGACACCGAAGCCGACGTTGTTGTAGTCAAACATGCCAGACTGCGACATGGCGTACTCGTCCGGCATGGTGTTGAACGGGTCGGCAGCCATCGTGCTCGCCTCCGGCTGCACATTCCTGCTCAGATCCGAAATGATGTGGGAGAACTGTGCAAGACCGATGTTGTTCCCCTCGAAAGTTTGATCCACCGCAAAGGCTTCGGTGGAAGCGGCTAGCTCACCCGCTTGCCCAGCAGATAAAGACATCCGTGGCCGGGGTGGATTGTTCGTGTCCGACAGCAGATCCATCACTTGCTGTCGGATGACTTCAAACACGTTCCGATATCTTCGAGCGGCTGGCACTCTCTCTGCAATCACAAACAAAACGACGCTGCAGTCGTGAATACCATTGCTTGTGGTTAGGTCAAAGATCTCGGCTGGAGAGATCCACACGCAATATATAAGTGTGAGGCCTGTCAGAAGTGTCAACCTCGAGTTTTGGTGAATGACTTATGCGGGCCGTGAAGTCCACATACCTGCCATGAAGACTGTCTGGAGAGCCATGAGCGAGTAGCCGACGGCCATTGCTTGGTGGATTCGCTTGTAAGCGCCACACACGCCTGAACACGATGTTGCGCATTCCTTGAGAAATTTCAAATTGACCGGTGTTTTGGCAAGTTGCGGATATAACAGGAGGCGTTTGCTCTTGAAGTAATGGACCATCTGATGTGACATGTCAGCGGATGTGTCAAAGCGATCGTCTTCAAAAGGCTATCTTACGTAGAGCTCAAAGCCGTCATACGGAATGGCGTCAAGATGAGACTGATCTCGCTTGCCGCTCGCGTCTTGCGGTACAAGCTCCCGCCACTGTTCCAACCGTTCAAGGAGGTCCTCGATCACTTCGTCTTCAACGTTTGCGTTATCACTATCGACCCTGTACACAGTATTATGTATGGCTGATTCAATTCGACGCAATCGAACAAGCTGGATAAATGAAGACAAGGAAGTACTGATCCTTGGCGCTTGGTATGTACTGGACGACACCGCCCTGGCCTCAAGCTCCTCAGCTGTCGTGCTTTCATCGACGTCGAGTGGTAACGGGACGTCGATTTCTTGGTCTGATATCGAAAACGGACGACCAAGCGGGATAGATATCTGCCGATCGAAGGCGTAGATAGCCCAGAAAAGTCTTCGGTCCAGCTCAGTCTGAAGCTTCGTCCGGCCTTTGACTTCACAGTCGCGGTGTAAGCCAAGCTCAATGGCTATTGTCGTAGCCAAACGTATGTATGCCCAGGCGCCTGGCCCGGACGGATCGCGTAGACAGCAGACTGCGAGTAGGACAAGAGTTGCGACCGAGCGGCGATCAGCCCCTGCACCGAGAATCTCGTCCATATGTTCAAGTGCCGAGGCTAGGTGTCGCTGAGGATGGAAAGGACCTGTTTCTCCAGCAGTCTCAAGAAACCTGCCGGCGCCGGCATAAACAAGATGTAGGATTGCGATTTCGTGAACACCTGTCAGCTGCTGCCTTCGACTCTTGACGTGAACCTCGCTGAGCCAACGTGAGTAGAGGACGGGGAACCGAGTGCCTATATGCTTCCAGTAGCCCCGTAGCAATCGCTCAGCCACCTCCTCAGGCATGTCAGAAAAGTTGATTGTGGTACGAGCCGAAGCGGCCGGGTCTAGGTGGTTGATTGAGGTCTCCGGAGAAGTCATGGCGACCGATCCATGGCGACTGCCGTGCACGCTTTGAACAACACTGAAGGTAGATGCCCGTCGTGGCTGTGAACGCATTAGAGAGCCGAGCAACTTGCCCATCGTGAAATGCGATGCAGAGCCGGTATATGCCTGTCCATTGACGTCAAGAGCGAGATTGCGAAATATGGCCGTGACGTTGCCGCCATCTTGCCACTCCGGGTCAAGTTCATCAGTATTTGGCGTGTCATCGGCGTACTGGCTGCTAGCTTTGTCGCTGGCTTTGGAAGACGGGACCCAGTGGTCCTTGCTTGGCTCTGCTAAGCCATGAGTAGACAGCAGCGTTTCAAGTTCGGCGACCCGGCGCTCCAGAGATTTGATGTATTGGTTCTTGCCGAAGGGCATGGGCTTCTGGGGAACGACATACTCGCAAGGCAGGTCGAGGGCCTCGCATTTTGCACATGGATTTGTGCCATTGCACTGTCAAGAGACTGACCTATCAGTGATCTGTCAAGCCTTGGTTGGTAGTGGTGCGTATTTCTGTCGTGTGCCTCTTGCAATGCGCCCACGAAACACCCAAGCCACAGGTGGAACCAAACTGACCTTTTGTTTCCTGGTTTTGCACCTGGAGGAATCGTGTTAGTCGTTTATGGTGGAAGTGGTTGTCTTGTGCCGCATACAGTATGAGACTGACCTTTGACATGCCAGAGCGACCCGCGACCGCTTTCCGGGACGCGAGTCGTCGTCCTGGGGCAAAGCAGAGGCCCAATCGGGAACTTTTCGATCAGCCGTGCTGCTCATGGCCCATGCTGCCCAAGGGATCCGGAAGTATGAGAGGCTGCCACGAAGGCATGGAAACGGCCAAAGAGGCCGGGCTTAGGTTACAATGTTACGCAGGTCGCCCAGTCACGAATATCCCAGCATGACCGCGTCTGCTGCCAACCGACACGACATGAGCAAGCTTTGAAAGACGAGTGTTTGCCCGGAAGGGTCCGGGCATATCGAGGCTGGGTTTGGCCGGCCAGACGGCCAGCAAAGAGTGGGACGCGAGGGGACGATGTCGCAGACGGACGGAGTCACCATGGGAGACAGCACGAGTGCTGACCAGGCGCGGCCCGCGCTCTCGGCCACTGCTTTCGTCATATGCGCCTGGTAGTCAGGTAATACCTTGAGAGCATTGGTGGGCCGTGGGTGACCCAGGCTGTCGGAACAAAGGCCGGCCGGGTGGGTCATCGAGGAGACCTTGCCGACAGCTCCTCTGGGCTGGCCGGGCCTGTTCCCCTGCTGGACACTGCTAGGCTCGCCTTTGTGGCATTTTGGTAAGCAAGCTGTGCTCTGCAATATCGCTAGCCAGGGTTATGAGTCGAATGCATCTCAGCGTCGATGTGCAATGTACATCGAAGAAGAGGTTGTTGGCGGGAATATTTCCGTTTCAGCCAAGGCAAGGGCGGGGGAACTGAGCTGAGGGGATGGGGGCAGGAGCAGGGGTGAGTGGCAGCGGTGGGAACGGTCGGTCGGCTCGGCAACATCTCCGTCGGCAACTCGCGAGATTGGGCTGGGTTGGGTCAATGACCACGCTGTCGTAGGGTTATCTGGCCCCTAGAGGCGGTGGTCGCCGGCTCGGTGGCGGGGTGGGTTGATGCGGCTCAAATCATGGATGGCTGAGCTAGTGGTGTATCTTGGTGGTCATGAAGTTGCAGCATCACAGAAGGCCGTCCAGGACTGCGGTTTGTCATCAAACGACGTGCGCATGCCCCGGTTCACGCTCCTGCCTCGAGACCTTGCTGCCTGAGGCAAGTACGCTTAGCCATGGCCTCCAGAGATTCTTGCAATCTGATGACGTCATTGCCAAACCGGTGCCTTCGATCGAGCACCTTCGAACACCTTCACCCGCGCCCGAATGACTCGCCATCGTGAGCTTTCAGTATACGGAAACCAGTCATGAACTGGCGGACTGCGCCAGAGACCAGGGCCCGGCGCAGGCGGATCTGCAGTCCCGACCATCGGAACCGGCGCGGCCCAGCGCTCGCTAGCTTCCGATCCTGTCACTTCCTCGCTCGCGCCCCACCACCGCTGGTCCCGGGCCGACGCCAGCACACTTACATGATCAACTCCCACCACGTGCATGCATGGCGATGGCGGCCAATAGCACTCCCAGTCCCTTGATCACGCTTGATAACAACATGTCCAACGCCTTGCCTTGCCTCGTCTTTCCTGTCGAACACCCAGCCGTGGTGACGACCATGCCCGTTGCATCACAGTGCTCGCCCGAACAGGTCAGGTGAAGACAACAACAACCTGACGACTTCACAGGCAAAAGCACACCAGAATGGCTGGCCCGACGGTACGAAAAGCATATGCCGACTCGGCAGATGGGCAGGTCCACTACCGGTACACGGCGCCAACCACCAACGACACAGGCAAGCTGCCCATCCTGTTTCTGCACATGTCGGCGTCGTCCTCGGCCATATTCGAGCAGCTCATGCGCACATACACGGCCCAGGGCTATGCCTGCTACGCCCCAGATATGCCCGGCTTCGGCGCCTCGTTCGATCCGGCCTCGGACCCGCCAAACATCAAGTGGTACATTGACCTCTACATCGATGTCTTCTTCAACTCGGGCAACTTCCCGCGCCTCTCGCAAGGGTGCCACGTGCTGGGCCACCACTCGGGCGGCGTCATCGGCGTCGAGTTTGCAGTCTCGCACCCGGAGCTTGTCAAGTCTCTGGCCGTAGTCGGCCCCGTGTTGATGGACGCAAGCCAGCGCGAGAAGGCACGGGGCTTCCAGGCCTTCAACAAGCCCGTTGCGGACGGCTCCCACCTAACAAAGACCTGGGAATACCTGCAGTCCCACGGCGGCATCACTGCAGATGAGCTCGGCCTCCTGCAGCAGGAGACGCTCGACCACGTGCGGGCGTGGCAGGGCAGGCTCCAGATCTACAGCTGCGTGTTTGGCGACCACGACGGGCCCAGCCTGTACGGCCAGGTCAAGTGTCCGCTTATCGCCATGTGTGCGCGCGACGACGTGCTGTGGTCTGGGTACGGCAAGATGAAGGAGATCAGGCCAGATGTTGAGGCGGTCGAGGTCAAGGGCGCCAACTTCACTCCAAGCAGAGACGCAGAAGGTGTCGCGAGTTACTACACGCCGTTCCTGGAAAAGTTTTTAAACCAGTGAACACAATGCCATGAAGATTTAAAAAGCACCTGGATCTGTGCAATTCTGTTTTGATGCTTCTGGGCCAGCTTTTGATATTCGTTCTGTCAACCCTCCCACAGATAGCCCTGCTCAACTTGACTCGTGACCTGCCTCCTCAACGCCATGCCGTAGTCTCCCCCGTTCGGCGTCCTCAGCAGCGTGTGAATATGGAACTTGGCCGGCTGCTCATTGTTCAGGAACACGCCCGAGTGGTGGTCAAACTCGACCAGGACCACGGGGCTCTGGATCCTGTAGTAGAACGGGTCCTCGTCCCCCGTCCCGCCGATCCAGCAAAAGTACGTCTCGGCATACCACCTTCTCACGTCCTGCATCTTGAGCTCCCGGGACCGCGCGGGCAGGTACAGCAGATACTCGCCCAGTATGCCCTCGACGAGCGCGACCTGCCGCGGCTCCATGTCCGCCACCTTGACGCCCTCGTACGGCACGACGCGGTTGTCCCGGTACGCGCCGCACAGGTGCCGCTGGTCGTCGTGGTTCCACCGGCCCTTGGGCATCGCAGGGTCCTTCATCTGCGTGTACACAATGGCCTGTTGCTGCTGCAGCTGCAGCTTGTCGTCGCTGCCCAGGCTGCGGATGAGCTGCAACCCTAGCTCCTCCTCCCGAACCAGGATGCGCGTGCCCTTCCAGGGCCCGTCGTCAATCATGTTGGGCTCCGCGCCCGTGAACCAGGGCGACACGACGATCTGTGTGCCGACGAGGAACACGCTCAGGCAGAGATGGTGGCCGTACAGCGCCCACCCCCAGGGCCTGCACCCACCAACATCACCACTGCCAGGAGAAGAAGAAGACATGGCAGGCTCGCCGAACAGGACAAAGTTGTAGCTCCACTCGTTCATGACCTTGGTCCCGTTGACCAGCTGCCCGAGGAACGCGTTGATGCGCATCGCGGCCACGGCCTTGTCGTACCCTTCCGGGCTGAGCGTGGCCTTGAGGACCGCCATGACGGGCTCCTGCAGCGCGGGCCACTCGTCGAGCCGGATGCCCTTGTTGCTGATGAGGAACTCTGGGTTGGACCAGGTGCGCCACTCGGGCGAGTCGATGTGCAGAACCGTCCTGTCGCGGAGCAGCGATGTTGCCGTCGTGTTGTTTGATGCTGAAGATGATGCAGCTGCACCAGCACCAGCACCAGCAGCATCAATCTCTTCAACCATGTCCACAACCCTCCTCGCCCGCTCCAAAATCGCCGCGACATCCACGCCCTCGTCCCGCAGGCCGTACAGGCCGGGCTTGACCACGCCGTCGCTCGTCACCCCGCGGAACGGCTCCCGGAGCAGCTGCATCCAGTGCTCGTACAGGCCGTGCAGCCAGGGCGGGCGCCTGTGCTCGAGCAGCTCGCGCGCGTGCGAGTGCGCGTCCGCGGCCGCGAGGGCCTGGAAGCGCGGCGCCGTCAGGTCCGGCAGGTGGCTGCGGAAGCCGGACGGTGAAGCCGCGGCTGTGGCGGCCACCGTCTCTTGGATCTGCTGCTGCTGGGCAGTGGCGTCGGTGGTGTTTGCTGCCATACTGGGCGGGGAGGCGGATGGGTGATGCTTTGGGGAGTCGCTGGCAAAGGGCCAGCCCGGCCTCAGGTTTTTATCTTCTCTCTCTCTCCTCTCCTTCACAGTGTTTCTGTGTGGCGCTTGTCCAGCTTGCCACACGACAACGACAAAAGATGTGCCTGGCGGAAGCTTGGCAGAAAGCTGTCCCGCCCGTTTCCACTCGGGCGGCAAAGCCAAGACGAACAGTCCAGAAGGGCGATTGAATCTGAAGCTTGTCGTCAAGGAAAAGGTCGAAGGACAGAATGCTCCAAACGGAACCCCGCGCGCGGTGCGCTGCAGCAAGGGAGAGGTAATGTTGACGGAGATGGGAGGGTCGTCCTCGAGCAGACTGCAAATGGAAAATCCCTTGCTCTCTCCAAAGTTGTTTCTGCAAAAGACACGCAGTCGTGCTGGTGGAAGTCACAAGACCTGGATATAAATGCTGGTGCCGACGTCGAAAAGGGGTCTCCTCCTGCATGGAAAGTTGGAGAGTGCGGGGAACAAGGTGCGTTGTGGTGCTGCATGAGACAAGAGTGCGGGGGTTTCTCGAACTGCTCATCAGCGATGTGGGCTCTCAAGAAACAATCCATTTCTTCACGGCCAAGCCACGCAGCTTGTCCATTCCTCCAACCTCAATGCTCACGGTTACGGAAACAGCCCCAATACAAACTTCGGCAAACTCCCTAGGGACAAAAGATGTGAACAGCGGCTTCTCGTGGCTCGCTTGGATTATTCAATTAAACAGAAAGGCGCCTCGCTCTTCCATGATATGTAATAGCAGTGGTGATAGTAGGAGGTAGCAGCAATCATACTAGTGCCGCACGGTAGTTACAGCTAGAGTTTCCCATCTCTCTTGCCCGTCGCGCGCTGTGCGTGCTCGCAGGGTATTTGTTATACAGAATTATCAAACGCGGAACATCAACGCTTCCGAGTGTCCTTGCCCTTCTTCTTGCTCTTCTTCTTGTCCCGTGGCAGCTCAAGCGCAGTGCCCTCGAGCATCTTGCTCATCGTGGCCAGGAGGTACTCGTCTATATTCCTAATCGGATGGCCCCATGCGTTGAGCTCCCTTTCCTCCGCAGCGTCCTCGCTGTCGCCCGCGAGCTCAGAGAACAGGCCGAGGTTTGACTTGCCAGGGCCTTGAGCCGCCGTGCCCTCTCCTGGAGCTGGTGTGCCAACCTGGGTGCTCGACGTGCCTGATGCATTCGCTGTGATGGGCTTCTCCTCGAAATCAGCCTCGTCTTCTTGAATCTCTTTCTCGGCTATGCGCGCGGCGTCGACATCTTCGCGGTCTTCAGCCTGTTCCAGGACCCTGTTGACCGTGCGCTGGTCGCTCCGCTCGACGCCACCCAGGACACGGTCCATGGCATCGCCCACCACGTCTTCGTCCGACGTCTGGAGGGAAACGACTTGCCGACCTGGCAACTTGTTCAGATAGTCTGTCGTGAACGAGCCTTCTTGAATCACCACGTCGTCGAGCATCTGCTTCTGACTCGCCTTCCGGAGAATGTTGCCTTCGATCGTGTGCTCGCTGACGAGCCGGTAGATGTGCACGTCTCTGGTCTGTCCGATGCGATGGCATCGATCCTGGCACTGCTTGTCCATGGCCGGGTTCCAGTCTTGATCGTAGAAGATGACCGTGTCGGCTCCGGTCAGATTGATGCCCAATCCACCTGAGCGTGTCGAAAGTATAAACGCCAGAATCCGGTTATCGTTGTTGAATCGATCAGTCAGAATCTGTCGCTGCTCAACCTTGGTCGCGCCATCCAATCTGAGATACTTGTGTCCATGGATGTTGAGGAATTGTTCCAGGATGTCGAGAACCTTGGTCATCTGAGTGAAAATCAGTGCTCGGTGGCCCCCGGCCTGCAGCTTTCGCAGCAGCTTGTCAAGAGCCTGCAGCTTGCCGCAATCATATTGCAGCAGTCTCTTGTCGGGGAATTGGATGCTCAACCGCATGCGGGCCTCGTGCCATGGGTCGATGGGCGCTTCTTTGGGCATGAATGGCGCGTTCCGCACTGGCTTGGACAGCTCGAGATCCATGTCGGAGAAGGCATTGACGCCGCTTGTGCCAAGAACAAATTGATCCAGGTCTCGCGTGACAACTGCCGGTGTGACGCAGGCAAATTTGCTAATGATTGTTCTCATCGCCGCTCCTCGTTCGTCAAGCGTAGGGACCAAGTCATGGAGCGCAGGAGAGTCCTCCTCAAACCAGGCCATGATCTTCCGCGGTATCTTCGGCCGTGGCTTGTGCGGGCGCGATTGAATGCCGATAGTCAGAAAATCAGTCAGGCCTTTGCCATAGACTGGGCGTTCTTGCCGCCTGAAATTACCGGTGTAGACGCACTGCTCCAATTCCTGCAGGCGGCTCTTGCGAGAGTTGCGCTCGACATAAGTGATGCTGGTCTGCACGCGGTTTAGATCAACAGCGCCATCCACCACCCTGCTTTTCTGTTTGTCGTGCAGTAAGCCGAGCGTATTGTGGGCGCTCAGGCGATCGGCATCTTCAAGCGCAGCTGTAGAATGGCTCTCTGATGCTGTGGGAACAAGATTCAGGAACCGCAGATCGACCAGCTGCATCGGATCCGTCCTGAAGCGCCGCCGAATGATCTGTTCATAGCTCTCGTATCCCGAGGCGACTGATTTCGGTTGACGGAACGAGGTCATGATGGGTCGCTCCACGAAGAGGTCAGGGTGATTGCAGACCTTGCGCAGCTGCATCAAACAGTTGATAACGGATATGTAGTTGCCTGATGAGAGCGCGTCCCTCGTATCTGCACGAGCCAAGAAGCCATCATACAACTCTCGCTGACGCCGAGAAAGGCGGCAGAATTCGACATGCTCGTACTTTGCAGGCATCTGCTTCTCGACATCGGCCTTCAGTCGACGCAGTAGGTAGGGCCGTAGGACTTTGTGCAGTTTTGCGATGATCGCACGAGCTTCATCGTCCATCTGCTCCCGGCCGCTTTCCAGAATCTGGGACTCTGGCTTGTGGAACCAGTCTTGAAATTCTGACAGGTCGGCAAAACCGCCAACGCCGTTCTCGGACGGCATCAGGAAGAACAGGAGCGACCAGAGCTCTGTCAGATTGTTCTGTAGGGGTGTTCCCGTAAGCAAGAGACGAGCTTGCGTGTTGAATCCTAGCAGCGTTTGCCACCGCTTCGATTTGAAGTTCTTGATGTTGTGCGCTTCATCAAGAATCATATAGTGCCACTGCCGACGCTTGAACACCTGCTGATCCTGCAGGACGATCTGATACGACGTGATGCATACATTCCACATGTCGTTGTCCTTCCACCCTTGACGTTTGCGTTTTCGTTCTTCAATGCTGCCATAGTATGACAACACCTTGAAACCGGGACACCATTTCTTGAACTCCATCTCCCAATTGAGCATGACGCTGGTGGGCACAATGACGAGATGTGGACCCCACACTTCATGGTGGCAGGCCAGATGTGCTAAGAGAGAGATGGTCTGGATCGTCTTGCCGAGACCCATTTCGTCAGCAAGGATGCCGTTCGTCTTGTTCCTGTACAAGCCCGCGAGCCAATCTAAACCATAATGCTGGTATTCGCGAAGCGTGCCTCGTAACAAAAATGGCACCTCAGTCTTCGGCACGAGAGTCGTTGGCGTTGCAGATCTGCTTTCTTGAGCGACAGGGGCTGCAGGCTTGAGGTCCTCTTCAGCACCAGACGTGGCTACGGGGGATTTGAGGGCCGCTTCAAGTGGTTGTTCGGCTGCAGGTTCTGGCAGATCGTCTGTCGCGCTCTCCATCTCTTTAGAGCAAGCGGTCGCCATTGGGGATCCATCTTCATATTTGGCCGCTTTGTCGACCCTTGAAATGTCGTCGATGGCCTCTTTGATCTCGGACTCCACATCCTCTGGTTGTAGAGGTGCCGGTACAGCAGTTGGGGCATCAGGCTTGTTGCCTTGCTGCGGGTCTTGAGGCGCATCGACAGCCATGTTGTCCGTCTCGGATTTTTCGAATTGAAGCGCGACTCCAGAAGTGTCAGAGCCTCTCTCCCCAATTGTTGGATGTTCGATAACGCCATTTGACTGAATCTCATGCGGTGTGTCTCCATTGACAATTGGCTTCGAATCTCCAGTTGCAGCCGACGCATCTGCCATGTCAACGTCCTCAGCCTCGTCTACAGTGGGCTCTGGTACTTCCTCCTTCAGCTTCTTCAGCTCAGATTTGCCAAACAGCATGCCCAACAGACCGCCTTGATCGTCTTCGTTATCGTCAGACTCATTGTCGTCGTCGTCCACTGGGGAGTCCACATCGGACGCGCTATCCATGTCATCGTCACTCGAGCCGAGATCGTCGTCCATGTCGACCGATTCGTCGCTGGTGTCACCGGCGTCTGCTTGTGTTTGAGGATCCTCGGTGTCTTGATCGGCGAGATCATCGTCCATCTCTACAGATTGGACAGTGGGCAGATCTGGTACGTTGGCGTACTTGGCAAGCAGTTGATCCTGTGTCAACCCCTCATCTGACATGATAGATTTGGTGTCGTCTTCATCCTCATCTGTTGACATGTTGTCGTCATCGTGAAGAGCCGCAGCGGATTTATCGTGCGAAGCTTCTGAGTCAAGATCAGAATCCGAGTCTCCAGAATCATCGTCCGCTTCTCCGTCCACAGCTGGTTCGAGGTCTTCGCCTGACATTTCGAGGTCATCGTCGTCGTCATCATCGTCATCGTCGTCGTCGTCGTCGTCATCCTCCTCGTCCTCGGGGGCTTCCGAATCAGCTTGAGTCCGGTGTGCTTGCAGCCTCATTTCAGACATGTTGACAGCTTCATTGAGCGCGGCCTTCACACGCTTTTGCTCCGCGACTTCCCACTCCTCGAGGCGCCGCCGATTGACTTCGACTCGCACATTCTCCCAGGTCGCAGCCATGACTTTGACCACAGTCCGGTAGCGTGCGAGCCAGGCTGCCGTTGCTTCCGCCTCCATCTGTTCCGCACTCTTTGGCTGGCGTCGCAACCACTCGTCGCGGCAAGCTTCCGCTAGACGCTTTGCTGATGACCGATGCCGTTGTTGCTCCATGACCATGAGCCTTCGGAAGTTTGCCAGCTGCTTGACCAGATGATCCATGTGCGCCCACTGCCGTGGCGGCTCTTCCACGGGCTCCGGCACAAACAGGGCAGAGCGATCCTGGCTCAAGATCCCCCCGGCTCTGTTTCCTCCTCGATGCGTAGTATTATCCTGGCATCCTTCTTGATCTGTTCCTCTGTGTATTGTTGGCCATCGTCGGCTGGGTCGAGCCAGCCACCGGCTGCAATCTCGAGTGCCGGAGCGTTATGTATGTACTCGGCGAAAGTATCAGACACCCGGGGCCGCGGTAGCGTCTGTCCAGGCAACACGTTCGCTTGCAATGGATGGACAAGGGGAATGAAGGTGGGTTTCAGTCGTAGCTTTATCTTGGTCGGCTTTGAACCTGTGTCGTCTTCCTCGTCCGCAGCACCATTATCTCCATCGTGTCGCAAGGCACGCGAGCTGCGTCGCGTGCCTAGATTTCTCTTCGGCGGAGGTGGCGGTGATGAACGTCGGCGACCTGTCGGCTTGGGCGGTGGCCGTACAGGTTGTGTGAAGGATCGCTTAGCTGACGTTGACGTTGGCTTCACCGGCGTGGCTTTTGAGCTGCTTGAAAGACGTCGCTTGCTACCATTCGCCTGCCCATTGACAGGGGTCCGGGCCGTCGCCCTATCTTTGTTACCTCCATTTGCTGAACCGTTGACACTCTGTGGAACATGCCGTGTCTGCCTCCTCTTGCCTGGAGGCTGCATGTCCCGAGGCAACAAGTTGGTGCGCCCAGACTTGCGCCGGCCATTCTCGATGAAAGATGTGGGACCCTCTGCCTCGATCTTCTTCCAGGGTGGTGAGATTGGCTTTTGACGGGGTCGCGGGGGCGGTGTCGAGTCGCGGGTGCGTTGTCGCTTCGCTGGTGGTTCATCACCGTTCAGGTCGAGCCCGTCGGAGCGACTGCCTGGTGATGCATCGGGGTTGCCATTCGTGTAGGGAGGGCCAGAGTCGACGGCATCGAATTCTGACGCGTCGTCAAACTGGTCGTCGAGGTCTGACAGGCTGTCTGAGGAGTCGTCATCGTCCTGGTGACCATTTTGCACGGCAACATCGGTGTGCGGCTCGGGTTGCGCCTCCGAGGGCGGAATGTCGTGGTGAGCTTGCGCGGTGGGATGGGGAGGTGACGCGGTGGCCGTCATAGTGGTCCGGGGTGGTCGGAGAGGGCGAGAGGCGCTTTGCTCGACGAACACGGCATTTGAAGGCCTGAAAAGTACGTCTGCGTGTAGAGAATCAACGGGCGAGCATTGTCATGGAGTCTGACCACGGCCAGGGTGTCGTGGCGGGAGTTACGATGGATTTCGTGGCACGAGCGCAGTTTCCAAGCTGTCTGACGATGACCCAAAAATTTCGCCCCACGAGGTGTATGCCTTGTCCCTTGGTGTCGCGTCTGGGAATCAACCCTGGCGCTGCTCATCGGTGACATTGCTAAGGTGGCCAGCCTCTGATTAGCTAATCAGAGTCACAAGCCTTGGGCGGCCTGGAACTCTATAGTTGCATCCCCGCTTAAGCGTCGCTTCCTGATTGAGCCATGAAATGTGTCTAAGCAGAAGAAGGAGAAGTCTTAAGGATACAGAGGTCGCAGTCAAGTTGCAGAGAGTCAGTATCTGTATCAAGCTGATTCTTGATATTCCATTCTTGAAATTAAATCCGACGAAAGTGCAGGTCAGACTCTAGCTATTGTCCTGGCTTGGTAGTTCTGTTAAAGTACCCGAGTTAAATATGCAACTATCGTAAAGATGCCGGGGCGGATCATGGTGGGGCGGCTTTCAAAAGAACGCCCGCCTATTGGTCCCCTGTGGGCTAAGGCAGCCAAAGTTGTGGCCTAAGAAGCTCAACCTGCAGACAGCTCTCGACGTCGTCACACACGAGCCGCATTTGACGACCACATCCCACCTCGTCGCGATCGAGCATTGACAAGTGTCCACGCCTTCAGGGTTTGTGCCAATTGCCTACAGCCTGCCGTCCCGATGTACTCTTCCCGCTGACCTAGCCTGCACAGATGCTTGCACAGCGACTTGCGAGAGCCTCGGCTCTTCGCGCAGCACCGCGACGACTGCCCATCATCCAAGCCAGAACCTTCCTTCCCGAGTCCCTCAACAGCCGGACTGTCCTCGACGAGAAGTTCCCTGATACGAAGCCTCTGACTGAGGCCGAAGATCCCGGCCAGAACGGCGGCTACCTCAACCCGCCCAACGTCAAGCGCCAATTCCGCGATCCCCACGCCGACTGGTGGGACAAGCAGGAACGTCGCAACTATGGCGAGCCCGTCCACGAGGACCACGACATTCTAGGCATGTTCTCTCCGCACGAGTACACCTGGGTCTCCCCGCGTAAGGGTCTGTTCCAGATCGGCGCCTTCATTGCCGTCTTTACCGGGGTGTGCATGGTGGTCGCACAATTATACCCAGACCGGCCGTCATTCCCTAGAGAATTCGAAGGCGGTCTTGAGCGTGAGCTAGGCGGTGCTGGTGCCGTCCGGGTAAGTGGGAGACATTGCGATGGGGACTCTGTGACCTTGGAAGCCAAGCTGACATGATACTACAGGCGAGATCTCCCGAGGACCCGGAGCCCTTCCAGCCTGAGGAGTCCGATGCATAAATGAGCAACTTTGTACATAGTGTAATATGCTGTCGGGACGTACAGGAACAATCAAGGACTGAATCATTCAATCTACTTTTCATTTGTTGCTGCCAAGACATGCCCAGCCGACGAACATCACGGATGTCAATTGCCACGTTCGAACCTTCATGTGAATGGGAACTCGTAGACATGACTTTGCTTGGAATCCCTGCGTGTACCTAGGTACAGGAGCTTTGAAGAAGCCCATGGGGGGTCGATGCAACTAGTTTCCACCTCAGTCAGTGGCTTCGGAGCCAGCCCTCGCATGCCGGCCAGGGATAAAAGCTGCAGGCGGGATTTGCTGTGAATGACCGCGGGCATGATAGAATCCTGGAGCTTGCGAATGAACAAGCTAGGGCAGTCAATCTCACAGTGCCACAGCTTGCAGAGGGTGCCCATGTCCGAGTGTCTCTGCGACTTGTGTGACGCCCCAAGTCTGGAAAGAGCGAGTGCATCTGGCAGGGTCGGACACAATTGCATGCCCTCCAACCCGGACTGCTCAAGGTTTCTCTTGCACTGCAAGCAACGACCAGTGCAGCAGGCACCAGCTGCTGCCTCCTTGCGCCATCACGCACCTCCCCCACACGACGATAGCGCCATCACCACACGGCACTCTGGGGATGTTCTGACACTACAGCGTGCCTCTTCTTTATGACATGACTGTCACTCATTCAGGATCCTGAACAACAGTCACCACAGCTGTCTTTCCACCCGCAGCTCTGGGCGAAATCGTGTCGTTCCAAATCCATCACAAACGTCCCGCGGCTCCCTTTCTTATCCTCAGCAGGCCACAGCATCACCATGAGATACGAGGACTGGGATATCCTCATCTTCCCACGAGGCAGCAAGACTCCTGTTCGGGAATTCAAGACAGCTTGCCATGTCGTTCCTGACTCAGGTACGTCCACGTCGCTCTACCCGCCGGGTGCAATCATGGTCTAGTGGAGCTGACGATCTTCGTTTGTAGAAAGTGCCTACGCCCATGGTTCGACAGGACTGCCCACTTTGACTTGCTTCATTCCCAGCCTTCCGCCCGGAACTGCATTCTCCGTCTCTCTACACAGCTGGGCAAGTCCGGAGATCAGCCGATTCACAAAGAGTTTTAGCGAGCACCCCGACTCTGCCACATTCGAAGCTCGAGTTCTGATCGATGGCCGACTTGTCGCGTGCGTGATCTGGCGGGCAGTCTGCAGGCAATCCTCTATTGGCACTGACAATTCTGAATAGGGCACGTGCGCTTGGACGGGAAGGGCCTTGGCCTCAACTCTTTGAACATAGTTTTGGTTCGATTATCATATATTGAATCATCCCATGATGTAACATCACTGACACGACTCAGAATTCACCAAAAACGGTAGCTACGAGTTCCTCAAATTCCCATCGTTCCGCAACGAGCTACTTCGTCAAAGCTACTGGAACCCGGCAGATGAGCTTGGCCGGATCCGAATCATCATCAGCGAAGGCTACCCGCGAGACTCGGCGACGGTTCCACTTGAACGTGTCAAGAACGTCATGGCCTTTTCGTTTCAGCATGCGCCACTGGGTAAGCATAGTCACAAATTTCAGGATATGGGGTTGCTGGCGAGGACACTCGCTGATGCCAGTAGATGTCCTTGAGACTGCCGCCATCGCATGGCCGAACCCGACCATGTGGCGCCGCGCAATGATCAGTCCTTCAATTTCCGCCCGCACATTCGGCAAGTTCGAATCATCAGAGAGTCATGCCCACTCACCACGTTATCAACTCAACCCTGCCGGTTCATCTGCTTCTCTCGATCATCACATGAGCATTTCGAACATGCCTCCAGACTACAACTCTCACGATGCAGCCGAACTCTTGAAAACAATGCCGTGCACAGAAGCGCTGCTACACCATGCGACTAATCTTCCAACGAATTCGCAAGGCACTTATAAAGCAAACTTGCAGACCGATGGTGCGGGAGTTCCAGGTTCGATGTCTCGACAGGCAATCATGCCAGCCCAGACCGACCTTGACGACCGTCGGTTCCTTTTCGGACACAAGGCTGTAGCTAAATGGCCAATGGTGCCTGCCGAAATGCAACCGCGTCACGATCTGAACATGAGTAGGCAGCAGCTCCACGGTTCACCCATGTTACGAAGTGAGGAAGAAGGCCTCGAGGATCAGAGTGTGCCAGGTGTACCCACCAACACGCCTACGACTGGAATCGATACGCCTCTCGTGAGACACTTGTTCGTGGACGGGTCAACAGATATGACTGCAGGTTTGTCGTTGTTCTCCAGACGTCCCTTCGTGCCGCATCTTGGATATCCCTGACATGCGCTTGCAGCCGAGGCGCAACGTTTGTACGCACACAAGCAGATTCCTGGGAGACTGGCCGCCACCTTGACGCAGTCTCTACTTAACCAGCCTGTTCCACTACCTGTTGGCCCAATCCAGGCCCAACAGCCTGCGAGCGAAGTTAAGTCTCGTAAGGAGAATCGAGCATCGTCCTCGTCGTCTGCGGGAGGGGGAGCATCGCTTCTGAACCACAACGACATGCGCAGAGTATCACAGTCGGCATTGTCCCATAATTGTCTGGGCAGCGCTGATTCTGCAGCATCGACTTCCTCGCCCAGCTCGAGAGTCACATCGGGAGTCCCTTCTCATGGTTCCAGCCACGAGGATGAAATACAAGTTGTCACTGTAGCCAAGACCCATTCAGTTCTGCAACCTTTGGATGACAAGGTTCTGAACCACTCCGTCACGGGACAGAAGTCTGGTAACAAGTCTGTCACGGACAAAGGCAACAAGCGCATTCGGCAGTTCACTCCTGCAAGTGTCAAAGCAATTGACGAAGAAGACGAGCCACGAAGACCAAGCCCGCATCTACGGGTGACATCCGTCGACAGAGACGCTTGAGGCCGACGGAGCCCTTTGAAGAAACCGCCCATACCGTGGGTCGCCCATACAAACACTAGCTCCGAGCTCGTGTACAGTTTTGAACGGTTGTGCTTGATCCGACATCAATAATGGTTCAGGGAGGAAATACGTATGAGTTACTTGACAGCAGCAAGCATCGTTCTCAGAAACGCAAGATAGCTTTTCACTTGGTACCGCCGCACCACTCATCCGAGCTCGGACTTATGCAACAATGACGCCCCAGTTTCGTCACTTTTCTTCCGATTTATACGTTTTACGGTCGAGTTGAGGCATTGGTACGGCCTGTGCATCATGCTCATACGATAGCGGTGCATTTGCAGCGTTAATTGGTGGTGGGCTGGTTGAGTTGTCACTGGTTCTACTAGAGTAGCCGATCATGATTAGATCAAGCTAATGCAGATTTAATACAATCCACAAGTGACCCAGCTATACAACTAGCTCGGCTACTCTCCGTCATTTCCGCATAGGCTATCTCCTTCCCCCGTTCTATCTACTAGTCATTATGCCCACAGTGATTAGTTCAAGGCGATATTATTCTAGCGCCCAAAGCGCCCAAGAAGGGCAATCACCACTTTGATCGGCATCCAGCGAATGGTATTAGTGGCGAATAAAGTCAATAGTTGCTCAGTGACAGTCATCAAGGTGGCCAACCGCTCTTCATGTAATGATAATTTGGACAGTCCGGGAACAAGACAACTACGCCAAAGCGACGTGGATTAGTTGATCATATCTCCTCGATGCGGCGGCACCAGTCTTCGATGGTGTAGTCATGGAAGCTTTTTCCCTGCTTGTAGAGGCCCCCTTGCTCGTGCCAGACGACGCCCACGTCCGCGGCGGCCCGCTTCGAGTCGGCCTCGATGTCTCTTTGGTGGAGGTCGTCGAGACATGCATCCATCTTGACGTTCCAGGCACTGACCAGCCCAACACAGAGGTCTTTTAGACTCTTGTGTTGCCCGGCATCCCGGTCCTCTGCTGCACCAGGGAACTGCTCGTCGCCGTTATTATCGCCACCGCCGCTCTCAGCAGCCCCAGCATTAACAACCCCGTAGTCGCTGTTGGAGAGTGACTCGTCATCATCCAAACCCCAGCAGTAATGTCCGTCCTCAAATGCGGGATCAATATCCCTGCGGTCATGACCAATGAGCCGCGAGGACAGCGCTTCCTCGACGACGGCCTCGAAATCTGCAATAAAGTCTTGGAACGCCTCGACGAGCATATCATCGTCATCATCGAGAGAGTAGCTCACATCGCTCCCGCCGCCGTCGTCGTCGCGGTCACTTGCGTAGTCGGCCTCGATGTCTGAAGCCACGGGCCCGCACGTATGCCGCAGAGACATTGCCGCAAAGGTCAGGAGGCGGAATGCAGCCTGGTACTGGTCGACACGCAAGATGTCACCGCAGAGCCGGAAGAACTCGATCGTCGTCTGCCCGAGCTCCAGCGGGGTCTCGCCACCGGTAGGCCAGGCGAGCTCTGCGGAGAGGAAGTAAGTCAGCGGTGTGCGGCCGCCGTCCGGGGAGCACAGGCACCTGCGCTGGAGGGCATCGCGCACAGGGCTGGGCACGACGGCCCGGAGGATAGTCAGCCTGTTTTGCCTGATAGTCTGACCGGATTGGCGCGCGATATTGCACAGGAGCCGGTGCGCCAGGGTCTCGCCTGACGAGGACGGCCTCCAGTAGCCGCCCTGCGCCTGATTGTGGTATGTCTTCCAGGGAGCCTCGAGGGTGTCTCGGACCGAGGGGATGTGCCGTAGGTGCCACAGCGCGAGGGCCAGATCCCACGGCTGATACAGCGCCAGGTCCTCCGGTGGCGTGTGGCCCTCTGCGTTGGGGGCTTCCACGTCTCGGAAGCCTGCAGCGAACAGGGTGTCGGCAAAGCCCGCCCTCATGCCGATGGAGTGATACAAGGGCTCTATGAGCTGGTTATACTGCTTCTCCTTCTCCAGGGCACACACCCGGGGTACCTGCACATTTGTAGAGCTCAGTTGCTCTAGCACCTCGTTGGTATGTCGGTCTAGCAGCTGCTCGTCATGCAGTGCCAGTCTCCTGCGCGTGCTTGGCGGCATCTCGCGCCGGGCGACAGCCGCGAGGAGCTGGCGCCGGCGCTTGAGCTCCACCACGTAAACTTGGCGGCACGATGGGCAGGACGAGGCATCTTGATACCTGTACGGCCTGTCAGGAGTCATGATGCAGGCGAGCTCAAACAGCCGGGCCAGGCAGGCTGTAAACGCGCAAGGGTCACGGCGCCAGCGAGCCTGACCACTGCTGACAGCGCACATCTCCAGAGCTGTCTCTGCAAGGGAATTTTGCCACCGGTTGACGTCCTCGACCATCTCTCGCAGCACGACGGGCCCTTGGTCGTTCGGCGAGTCGGCAAGTGCGTCCAGTATCTCGACAAAACAAGACCCCCCGGCATGGAGCGCAAGAAGTAGGTGGCTGTCGAGTATGAATGGCGGCTCTTCGCGGCAAAGATAGTCTGGATCCCTCTTCACAATGGCGCCGGCGACCTTTGGCTGGCCACGAAGAATCGCATCGCTTAGAGGGTCGAGATCGAATGCTGATAGAAGTTTCTGCATGTCAGTCTCAAGACTGCCAGAAACCAGATCGGTCTGGGGCCACGTACCGTCCAGTGCCCATGGGATTGCTTGTAGTTTCCGCAGCACCGGAGGCAAGTCAGCTTCGTCGAGGTAGACATCGGTGAGGTTGGTGTCAGCCCCCCTGAGAGTCAATACCTCGACGACGCCTGCATCAGGCATCGCGGTCATGTCATTCGGCAATGTGGCGTAATAGGCAACCAGCGGAGTCATATAACCCGATGTGAGCCGGACGCTCCCGCACGTAATGATGCTCATGGGGCAAGTCGACCTAACGCTCAGCAGGCAACACTTACTGGTCGAAAAGGTCTGGCAGGTGCAGTGGAACGCCAAAGTAGTGATGAAGCTCGCTGGCAATCTTGTCCGCGGCGGCACGGCCATGTTCCGGATGGTTGAGCTGAGAGATAGACGACGGTGGTCAGGCATCTACCGGCTCGTGGTCTCATACGGAGTATTGTGGACCTTGTCGGCTTACCATTTCCGCAAGTACATGGAGCAGGTTCTCGCCAAACCTGGTGACATCGGTAGGTGACCCCTTGCCCGAGGTAAATATCTTCCTCAGGTGCGCCAATGCGACATCGAACAATATGTCCCGGTCGGTGTCGACTCCATATGTGGGCACAGAATCGCTGGCCCACCACTCAAGCACCCGCACGACGCGGAATGCCGGCGCGTGAACATGTTCCACCACCGCGTGATACGTGAGACCTGGAGCGATGCTGAAGCCCCCGGCCCCCCTTCGTCCGGTGAAGGCAATGTGCAGAGCCGCTTCTACGACGGTGCCAAAGAGCTGAAATCGCGCAGTGGCCCTGCGGTCTGTCCGGTGCTCTTGATTCCAGGCTGTCGAGTATCTGCAGTGTGGATAGTGCTCAGTGGTCCTCTGTGTCGCGAGGGACAGTCGGTGCAAGCCCAACCAAGCCTGCCACGTCTCTGTCTTGCGGTATCCACCGCAGAAGCACCTTGTCTGCCGCCGATAGTAGCGACTGTCATGCTGGGATGGCAACATGCTGTCTGGCGCGCTCTGGTCGTCGACTGGCGACAAGTCGCTTATCGCATCACTGAGCATATCTGGCCTTGCGACAAGGCGCTGCATCGATTGCATGTCCCGTCTAGTTAATGTGAACTCGTCCAGAAAGGCCATCCGCGCCTCTAGCGTCTTCATCAGCGTCCAAGCCTCCAAAGGCACAGCCGCCTGCTGCTGTTGTTGGACGAGTGTCATGGACTCGATGCGGGACGATAGAGAGCCTACGCTCTGGACAATGGTGGATGTCGACTCGTCGATGCGCAAGGACAGGGACGCCGCGTCCATGGCGGCCACAGTCGCCTGCAGTGTGTCCAATCTTCCTAGCATCTCGGCCGTATCCGCACTCATGGCGCTGAGCGACTGGCCGTTTTTTGCAAGCTCTGCCGCGAGCCCTCTTGCCTCATCCTTGACCGATGTCAAGGCAGACGCATGTGCCGTCGACATGTCGCTGGAGCTTCAGGTCAGCTTGCAAGCTCTTACTATAGTTAGGCACACCAGACATCGGCACTGACATGTCCAGGGTCTGCAGCGCCAGCAAGAGGATAGAGTTCACATTGGTGATTCGCTGCTCCATCTCGGCCCTCTTGGCGCCGCGGAAGCCATACTCGAGCTTTCTGTACCCGTCCCGGCACCTGTCGCGAAACCCGGGGTCGGACACCTTGCAGCCGGCATACCTGACGATGAAGTCCTGCAGCGCCTTCAGGTCCGCCTCGCACGACTTGGTACTGTTGGCAATGTTCAGGAGCAGCAGCGAGGTCGTCGTGCTCGCCGAGTTTGCAGCCGCCGTCGGGGCGGCCGTGACGCGTATGCACTGGATGCCCCGGGCGAGGAGGTCGAGGGTGCCGGAGAGCGTCTGGGCCCGCCGCCCGAGTGACTCCAGGTCGTCCGTGTGGCTTCTCACAGTGTCGGCATAGGTTATGATGCCCTTGCAGACCTCGATGCCCAGGGATATCGCGCCCAGCGCGAGACCTGCCATCGCCGCCATCTTGATCCTCGCCGGCGCGGGCACACGGAAACACGCCGCACGTTGGGAGTGGAGACATCACAGAAGTCGATTGTGCAAGCTTCAAGGGACAAAGGAGGGGGTTTGATGTGTCTGGGCAGGCAGGCGACAGTATCCCCACGCAGGATGCCTTGTGGTCAGCCCGCACAGAAAACCCCTGCACATACCGCATATGCCGTATGCAGTCAGCACGGCCAGCCTTGAGCCGTATCCTTCCAGATATCTGAGCAGTGCACTGACTTCGCAAAGAAAGAACGATATGTCTTGACCGGCTACCTCTGTTCCATAGTAAATAACTAATTTATTGTGATCGGGTCGGAGTTTAGAAATTCTCCTTTGGTGAGATAGAAGTACAAACTAAACCAGGATCAATTGGGTCAATGGTAGATAATCCTCCAATCTAGAGCACTCACTGAAATGTTCTGAATCGCAGTGCAATCTTCCGCAAAGGTGTCAAGCAGTTTACAAGCTTGCACAGTAGGACTTGACACGGGATGCATCTTTAGAACTGGAGCACTCACAAAATGACAAGTGCTTCTTTGGTAACAAAAACCCCAACAAAGAAGGTTCTTTTCTAAGTTCTGTTTATTAAGAAGTTGAGATGTTTATGAAAACATGATGCCGCTATGCCTAGCGCGCGCGCTGTTCTATATGTGATTGCTACCCTCCCAAAAACGCCCGAGATGCAGCAGTGCAGCATCTATGCCTGAGATGATGGTCATTAATATAAAATAAAAAGTTATACAAAGAGACGAAAAAGGTTGAGCGGGCCGGCAGGCAGGTCGCCCTCCTCGCACGGCCCATTCATTGGATTGCCCACCACGGCCTCAAGCCATGGCCATCTCGACATTCTTGCCCTTGACGCTCTTCCACTCGATTGTTGCGGAGCCGATGAGCGTCGCGATGGCCATGCCGACAGCGACGTAGAAGGTGGTGGTGAGCGCCGTGTTGTACGCCTCGATGGCGACGACGAGCTGGGTCGGGTCGAGGATGTGCTGGAGGTTGGTGGCGCCGGACATGAGGATGACGCTCGGGTTGACGCCGGGGAGGTGGGCGACGAGTTCCTCTGCGAGGCGGTTGGTGAAGACGGTCTGGCCGACGGCGAGGAAGAGGGCACCGCCGAGGGATTGGAGGAAGACGACGAGGGCGGTGCCGGTGGCGACGTCGGACATGGGCAGCACGGTCTGGACGGCCATGAGAGGCTGCTGGAAACCGAAGCCGGGACCCATGCCGACGATGATCTGGTAGCCGATCCAGGCGCCGGCACCGATACCCGGGGTCCACGTGGTCATGAGGCCGGCGCCGATGGACAGCAGGACGGTGCAGGCGATCATGAAGGGCGCATAGTAGCCAAAGGTGGTGACCAGGGCGCCCGCGAGGATGGAGCCGAGGACGTTGGAGAGGACCATGGGCAGGTTGCGGATGCCCGACTCGACAGCCGAGACGCCCTGGACGGCCTGGAACCAGAGGGGCACGTAGTAGATGAAGGTGAAGAAGGAGGCGCCCATGGAGAAGGCGAAGACGCCGCTGGCCCAGACGGAACGGTTGCGGATGATGCGGATGGGGACCGTGGCGTTGTCGCCAGAGCGGAACTGGACAACGATGAAGCCGGCGATGAGGACACCGGAGAGCACGAAGAGCGCGATGATGCGCCCATCGGACCACGGGTAGGTCACGCCGCCCCACTGGAGGGCGAGGAGCAGGCAGATGATGGCGGGCATGAAGATGGCGTTACCGAGGGGGTCGAACTTGCGGATGGTCGCGAGGAGATCGCCGTCGTGCTTGTCGGTGGGCGCCGTGGTATCACGGTAGAAGATAGCGATGACGGCCAGGGTAACGCCGCCGATGGGGAGGTTGATGTAGAAGCACCAGCGCCAGGTGGCGTGGTCGGTGAAGGCGCCGCCGATGAGGGGGCCGGCGACGCTGGCGATGCCGTACATGCCGCCGAGAAGGCCGGTGTAGAGCGGGCGCTTATGGAGAGGCAGACTGTGTGCGAGGATGATCAGGCCGCCGGAAAAGATGCCGGCGGCGCCGAGGCCGGCAATGGCACGGCCGACAATGAGGGTGACCGAGTTTGGGGCGACGCCGCAGATGAGACTGCCGAGCTCGAAGATGGAGATTGCGGTGATGAAGGTCCATTTGACGCTGAGGAAGGTGTAGAAGCGGCCAAAGAGCAGCTGGAGGGAGGCCTGGGTGAGGAGATAGGCTGAGCCGTACCAACCGACGTCGGCAAGGGAGTTGAAGTCATCCGAGATCTTGGGGATGGCGGTGGTGATGATGGAGTTGTCAAGAGCCATGAGGAAGACGGCGAGACAGAGGGCGAGGACGATGAGGCCGAGTTTGGCGCCGGAAGGGTACTCTGAGCCATCCTCGCGGGTGGCGGTGCGGTCGATAGTGGACGGGTCGCATCCGTGGGCGGAACGAGCCGTGGCTATCTTCTCAAGCACGGCAGGGTCTGATGAAGGACCTGCGTAGGGGGTGGCATGGGTGGCAGCGGTGTTGCTGTTGCTGTCCTTGGAGCCGGGAAGAGAGGTGCTGCTGCCGCTGCGACTGGAGATGCCAGAGAGCGAGGACAGGTCATGCTTGTCGGTGGCAACGGCGAGTGAAGCCTTTGGCTGTGACGGCGACGATTCAGACGCCATGGAGGGCTATGGGGGGAGGGTCTCAGTTGGGAGTCTTGACTTGGATGGCTTGTCCCTTGGAGGGAAGCAGGAGGGTTCGAGAATGAGACAAGGCGATGTGCTGTGCTCTGTGTTTGCTGTTGTTGTTTGCTGTTGCTGGTGTTTGTTGTTTGCTGTGATTATTGATTGTGTGCAGGCACCCAGAGTGTTAAATAAAGGGAGCCTGGCACGAGACCCTCAACCCGGGCAGTACTTAATAGTGGCCGGGTCATAACGAGACAACCTTGGAAGGCCATGGTCTGCGGCTGGACGGGCAGATTCGATGGCCGACAGGGCAAGCGTGTCTGTTGGTTGTTTGTGCTGCTGCGTATTGCCGCATTGGGGGCAGCTGGAACTGGAGGTGCAAAGTGGGTTATCTCCGGCGCCTGAGGCATCTAAGCCGGGTGCCTCGCCAGGCAGCTGCTGTGATTGGCGGATCTGGAGCTCTCCCTGCCCAGGCTGCCACTCCGGCTGACTTGGCCGGACCCTTTTCGTCCCCTTTTCGGCCGCAACTCGTCCATCCCAAGACCCAGGACCCTTTTCCTCATGCACCCATGGCACCATCTTGTCGCATCCATCGTGGCATCGTGCCTGCCCCGGCCGGCGTCTCTGCTCGCTCGGCGCAACGGAGACCCCCAGAGCGACCATCACATCCTGCAAACGGCGAACGGCAAACTGCAACCATCAAACACCCCCAGCCCCCATCCTCCAGTGCTGTGACTGCCCATTCCCCATTCTTCAATTGCCCACCTCCCACCTCTCATGACTCAGGAGCGGGCAGTCGTCGTTCCCTCTCGGCTGCTTTTTTTTTTTTGAGTGGGACTCAGCTGGTGCAATGGGCCGGGATATCAATCACGCCGCCTCCGCGGGGCCCGGGTCCAAGCTCTCGGAGCCTTAACGTGCAGGTGGGCCTCCCCTTCTTTGTCATCCTCGACCACCAACAATTCCTCCGACCCCGTGCACACACACACAAAAGCTGCCTGACGATATCACCCTGTTGCCTCGTTTGGAACCTGACGCATGGTGTCAGTCTGCCGTCATGGGAGCCTTCCATCCATCCGCTGGTGGAGTGTCTGACTCCGACCGTGCACAGCTGCTCTGCTCAGCGACGAGTGGACAGCCACGGCTACATTAGCCGGGCTTGCACAAACACACGTGGCCCAAGGCCATGTGTCAGGCCGGTCTAGACCTCCAACGTCCTCTTCGGGGTCGACCCGAGAATGTGTGCGTGCTGACCAGGCTGCCCGCTGACATAAGGGTGGTCCGACTAGACCCGGCACGAGATGATGCACCTGGCCGGAGACAATGCGATACCGCACCCTTTTTGTCGCCGAGAGGTCAGGTAGCACCCACTTCGGGGATTGGCTGCCCTTGCTATCTCCGGCCCCTGCTGGATGGAGCGCAGGCTGGCACACACCCCCAGCACTTGCACGACATTTCCCGAGTCGTCAACGTAGTGGCCCAGTCACACCAGCTGAAATCAGGGTGCCTGCTTATTCCGAGAGGTGATGCCCGGAGGAAGAAGATGTAAAGGAAAAAGAAGCCCCATAAAACAGAACAAGCCTTTCGATCTCATGGGGCTTAACTTGGCTGTAGCACGTAAATAGATAAGAACATAATCAATTTCTCATCGTCTGCCTGCCCGCAGAAATCAACAGTTCTGTACATGTCCGTGCCGTTCTTTAGTGCCTTGGGACTGCGCCTTTGACCAGAGCTTCCCTCATCAATGCGATCCCAATACGCGCGTATCAGCGAAACTGGCTCACCCACCCCCCAAATCGAACCTCCGTGCGGCCTGGAGATGCGCCAGCATCACGACATGCCTCACACTTTTGTGACAATACCACCAACACCGCAAAGCGGTGAATGCACACCGGTCGAGGGTGTTGCTCAGCGTAGCCTGCGACCAGAGGAAGACTCAGCTGCTCCAGCTCCATACTCGATCGCTGCCAGGATATTATGCGGGGTCCGGACGTCCCGCAGTCAGCCCGGGCGTAATCAGATAATCCGTATTTACGTACCCAGGGCCCTGGGGTAGTAGACAAGGCCGCCAGAGCGTTAAATCCATGCACAGCTCCGACGTGGAACAGGCACAGAGATAGCAAACCCGGCACCATCGTGCAACATTTGCAACGCAAGTTGAGGCAATCCATCGCCCGTGACCTCGATTCACTCCGCAAGGAGGATGCTGTGGGCCATTTATTGATGATGAGCCAACGCGACCCAGCGTCTTCTAAGTGTTGCCTGTACTAATGCACAGGAATTCCTGCGCTACATGACACACATCCCCAAGATCCAACATCTAGAACTCCGGTACTTCCGTGGCGGCGGCCTGGCTCGCAATCCTAGACAACGGCTGTTGATATACAGTCGAGCATCGCCTCAACCGTGTCAGAGAAGCGGCGGCGGTAGTGGTGGTGGTGCAGCATTCCGCAGCGTCAGTTCGTTCGGCCGTAATGTAATAAGCATGAAGTGGGTCATCCTTTGGTGAACGGCGACCGAGGAAGGCATGAGCCCGAGCAAGCCAATCACAAGCAGGAGCCCCAAGCCGGTGGCTCGTGGAGTGCGGGACCGGGAGTTCTACCCGGCCTGAACCCACCGCGCGGATCCCGAGAGAAAGAAACCGCGACAAGTGAAATGTCTGTCTTTGTCTGTCGATCCGTATGCCTGCGGTGGCAGACATTGCAAGACAGCATTTGAATGCAGCTTTTCGCGACCTCAAAGGTCGCGAGCCTGGGGCCCGGCCCATGCGACAACCCTCGAGAGCGATCTTGAGAGCCGGCTTGGGCCACACTCGCACTTCTTGAGGTGCCATCCCTGATGATGCCGCCGGTAACTCGCTTGTTGATTGGCTATTACGGGTAGTATTACAGCACGATAGGGAATGCGGGGCTGCACTTTGGTTGGTAGAATTGTTGCTCGGCTGTCATCAGTGTCAGCAATTTTCCAACAGCCAAGACCCCTTGTTGTCGACCGGCGACCTTGAACAGGACAGAGGACCACTTTCGTCTTACATCCACAACATGGGGATGCTTATCTGTGCTGATGGCGCGTCCGCGGGGGTGCCGCCTGTGGCTATGCGCGCTCAGGTCGTTCTTTCCACGTCCGAAGTCTGTCTCGCCCGAGGATTGTATACTTCCTCATTTGCTTTGAAAGTCAGACAATAGCATCTGCGCTGTCCGACGACGACGACGACGACGACGACGACGACGACAACAACGCGTCCGATTAACTGCTCGCAATCTGCAAGGTCATGGCCCGCCGCTCGAGCACCGGTGCCATTGTGGCATTGATAGCCGTGCTCCTCGGCCTCTGGTGGGCACGATCAACACAATCATCTTCGACAAGCTCCTCACCCACCGCCAAAGACCTGATCCGCGGCAAAAACAACACAGTCCTCTTTCTGACTACAGAAACACACGGCCTCTGCAATGTGCACGTGGCCACCGCCTTTGCCCTGGCACAGAGGCACCCAGGAACGTCTGTCAACTACGCCTCGTTCCCGGCCCTGGCCAAGCGGATCGCGCGCACGTCGGCCCTCGCAGCAGCAAGCCGGACAGATCCGCAGATCGAGGACAACGGCTCGCCGCTGATCACGTTCCACGCCCTCTCAGGGGCCTCATACCGGGACGTCGTCACGAACTCCACAGCCTACAGTGGCATGAGCCTGATCCACGGCCCGGGCCTCGCAGGCGCCGAAGGGCTTTGCCGGGTCATGGACATTGGCATAAACGGGTGGCAGGTCGATGACCACATCGCGCAGTATCACTCTGCTCGCGCCATCATGGACGCAGTGGATCCGTCGATCGTGGTCGTGGACGTCTTACTAGGCCCAGCGTACGCGGCGGTGCGCGACGCCCGCCGCGCCTACGCTGTGCTCTCGCCCAACACCATAACTGGGCACACCCCGGCCGTGCAGCCGCTCCATACAATGCTTTGGAAGTATTCGCTGTGAGTCTGCCCGTCTCTGTCTCTGTATCATGTATTCATCGGGGCACCAGGCACCATTCCCGAGACCATTGCCCGCCCTGTTGATCTAGATCCGCTCCTCAGCCAGGAACACGGACTAACTCGAGGCAAATCAATAAACAAAAAGAATCGCGTCCGGCATCCCGTACCCCATGAAGACCCCGAAACAACTACTCATCAACCTCATCTACACCTACAAGATGATTCGCTGCGCAATCGCCAAAGCAAGCCAAGACGCACAGAAACTCTCCGTCCTGCAGGCCGCCGGGCTCCAGAGCATTGTGGACGTCACTGCCATGTACGACCCGGCCGCACCGTTCATCACGCAGACCCTGCCGGGCGCACACGTCGACCTCCTAGTGGTCCCGGACAACTTCGTCATGGTCGGACCTGTCAATCTCGCGGGCGTCGAGGAGCTGCTTCTGGTCAACGACGGGGCGGCCACGCTGCCGCCGCTGCTCGAGTGGGTGCGCCGCGGGCCGACCATGCTGATCAACATGGGCTCCATGTACGAGTTCCGGGAGCCGGAGCTGCGGGTCATGGCGGCTGCGATCGACGTCGTGCTGCGCGAGGTGCCCGGAGTGCAAGTCCTGTGGAAGGCCAAGCTCGCCAAGGATGTCGTTGGGCCAGAGTCGAGGTACTTCCGCGATGACGAGGGCCTGCTGGCCAGCTTGTGCCAGGAAGGACAGCAGAACGGCCGGGTCAAGGTTGAGAAGTGGCTCGAGGTGGAGCCACCAACGCTCGTGCTCGAGGAGAATGTCGTGGCATATGTGCATCATGGCGGGGCGGGCGCATTCAACGACGCCCTCGGGTGAGTGTTCACGTCTTTTTTTGTTTTATTCCCCCCCCCCCCCCCTTCCCACTGTCTGCTAGTCGTCGCGCGCATGAGTCCGATGCGATACAGTCAGACTAACTAATCTCATTCTTTAATGCTCTTCAGGGCTGGTATCCCGCATGTCGTCCTCCCGATGTGGGCGGACCTGTACGACTATGCAACACTGGTCGAGTACCTTGATATCGGGCTCTGGGGGTGCCCGGAAACCAGCCCAGTCTGGGAGGTCGAGTGTCTTTCATCCGCGTTCGTCGAAGTGCTCTCGGGGAGGGGTAATGAGACCAGCTCGCGTGGTTCGATCAGGCGGGCTAACGCCGCCAGGTTTGGGGAGCAGGCGAAGAAGCAGGTCGGGAGGGATGTTGCGGCGCAAGAGATTGCGCGTTTGGCGTCTTTGTAAGGGAGAATCTGGTGCAGTGAGGGATGATTGCGCGATGTTACGGACATGGTTTGTTGTATAACTTCGGAGCAAAAAGTATCAACAATGGGGCATATACGGGGAACCTAGACAAGAAAAGAGTGCTAGTATAGCTACGCAGATTCTCTCAGGGTGGCCTGAGACCTCGCAGCGAATAGGTACAACATAATTAGCATCCGAGTGGCTGTATTCGAACCAAATCCGCGCGATGCTAGCAAGGCCACCGATAATCCAGTCTCATCACACTATACAACCCTCAAAGAATTGGATCGTCCCAGGGGCGACAAACAGCATTGCCCGAGGCCCAGATTACACTCCATAGTAGCAGCCTTTTCTATTTCGATATCAAGGGATACTTATTGAAACAGTGCATGAATTCTGTGGATCTCGTCACTGGCCGCAAAACGCGGTCCACAGTACAAGGGCCGGCACTTCCGCCCTGGTCCCTGCCGCCCGCGCCCGTCGTATACATCCGAATGTCGTTGTGATCGGCTGCTCCACAACCCCGTTTACTAGCGGCCCGCCGCCGGGCTGAGTCACCGGCCGAGTCCTATTTGCAGGGTCATCCACCTCCACAACACTAGTTGAACTCTGAGCATTGGCACGCGTTGGTTGAAGCCCAAATTCTCGAATTGAATGTTATAGAGCTGCTGGGACTTGATAACTCGGATATCTGTGCCTGTCCTTCGGATACGCTGGAGTCGGCGTTCTCAAAGCAAGCACACAAATCAATAAGTACACGTTTCACCGGGCTGCAGTGGCTGGCCTTCTTCTTTTCCGACAATGAGCCAACACGACTATCGCATGGATCCAGACCAGCGGAACTGGCCGCCTGTTCGGGTGCTGGTTACGGGTTTCGGGGTAAGGTTGACAAGTCCTCGCTGATCACGATCAGCTATACAAACCCCCACACACACATGCCCCCGCCACCCGTTCGTCCATCACTCCGCGCACAACCCGCACCTGCATTCACGCGCCCTATCACTCCGTGTCTTATACCTACCTTAGAAAGCTAACTTAGTGCCAACTCATACTACACCAACTGACCCTTTCTTCTCCTCCCGCAGCCCTTTCTCAACATCACCACCAACCCCTCCTACGAACTCACCAAGCTCCTCGCGCTGCCCAAGAGCCCCTCGCCCCCGCAAGTCCGGAGCAAGCGGCCCATCGAGGTTATCGCGCACCCGCACGCCCTCAAGGCCACGTACCGTTCCCTGCTGCAGGCCGCGCCCCGCTTGCTCGAGGAGCACCGGCACCCGGACGTGGTGCTGCACATCGGGCTCGCCGCGGACCGGCGGTATTTCGCCATCGAGCGGGGCGCTGCGCGGGACGGGTATAACCAAGTTCCGGACGAGGATGGGCAGTGTCTGGGCAAGGAGGAGGGGAAGAGGATCTGGGGGAGGGGCAGTGCCGAGAGGTTGACGAGCGGGTTGGTGAATGAGTTTACGTATGGGCTTTGGCGGAGGAAGTTGTTGGAGATGCAACAGGCTCGAAGGGGCAGTAGTGGTGGTACCGTGGTGAAAGGGGCGGGGCCGAAGACGAAGAAGGACAAGGGCAAGAACAAGAACCAAGCCGCGTCCTCCTCGTCGGTGAGAAAGAAAGGTACCGGCGGAAGTGGCGGAGGGAACGCTGCCGTGGACGACGGACTGCTCACGGATATCAGGCTCTCGGACGACGTCGGGCAGTACGTCTGCGGCCTGCTGTACCACGCCTCGCTGGCGGCTATGCAGGACCTCAGGACCATGTACCGGGACAAGGGGTCGCACGGCGCCAGGGGCGTCGTCTTCTTGCATGTGCCCCCGCTCGAGGGCGAGGAGGAGCTCGCGCGGGGACTCGAGGTCGTGCTGGCGCTCATCTCGGCGCTGGTCGAGTCGATTACGTGAATATAGGGAAATTGCCCGGGCACAGCGCTCGGGCTACGCGGGGGCTGCTGTACGGCAGACACTGTTCACTTCGAATCTCTGTAAGCTGTTGAACGAGTTTCTAGCCAATGGAAGACACTAGATCCACACGGGACGTTCTGCTGGAGACTGCACAATAGTTGTCGAAAGTGCGTTAATGCTCAATATTTGTATCGACACAGACTCTTACACGGAACTTTCTTTTGTGTAGTCAAAAACGCCATCCTTTGAGGTCATGTCCACAACAATCCATACCGGATGCCGCTGGCACATCTGTTCTTGTCGCTCGGCTTCCGCAGCTCTGGCCGATGGACGTGTCACTTGCTGGCTTCGATGTTTGGTGCAAAATATTGTATAGCATCAATCACCAGTCGCAGTCAGCAAGTGCAGGGAAGCCCTGTACAAACCCCATACCGCCAATCTGGTCCGGAAGACACGGCACCATCAGCCGAGAAAGAGTCCACCGACGCCGAGCACCGACAGCCAGGCTACCGGACTTGCCGTCCAGATGCCGCAGATACAATCCCGGCCGGCGAGATATGAGATGTGTGGGCGGCATGCTTTGTTCCTGGCGGTTGGTCGGTCACGTCCCGGGGCGACGAGCGAGACTTGCCACTACCTCCTTACCTACCTAGGTACTTACGTAGGTATGCCTGAACCACACGAGCCTATTCTGAAACTCCTCGGTGCGGTTGTGGATACGAGGAGACAGAGCCCGCGCCCGACGACAAGCCGCTGCCAAGCCTAGCAGTGCCTAACCCAACGGCTGTCGGTGTGACTGCTTGAACTCTATGCCTTTATTAATGGGAGACCCTGCAGGTCGGCAGGCTATGCTCGGTAGGAGGACCTGCTTGGGATACTTCGCGGCCGGTCGCCCGACCAGATTAACGTTGTGCCGAAAACGTGGGACGGAGCTACGCCGATGAGAAAGAGTTGGCCCTTGCCCACATGGGCAATGGCGTTTCGCAGCATAGTAATAATGCTGGGCTGTAGTATGCGACGTGGCATTTGAATCGATAGTAATATGGCAGAGGTAAGAGCAACCCACAACGACGACGATTGAATTATCAGAAGCGGCTCAACAGGATAAATCGGGACCAAATTTCGTGTTGCAATCACGGTGACCTCACCTACCACGCAAGCGCACGTCACCCCGCATGTGTCAGGTCGCCGATATCATGGTTGTCGACTCATCGGAGGCAATTTCGGAGCCGGCCGTAGGTTGTCGGCCGGCAAGGGAGGGCCCACTTGGCATGGAAGATAAGTTGTCGGAACGACCCCCGACGGCCTGCAAGATGGGCTCGAGGCGAGCGGAACGCATCCCGACGCTACCGATTGTCCAATGTCGATGGGCTGGTGATCTGGGAATCAGAGGACTGGTCGGCCCTCGCAGGCTGACTGTGGGCAGTGAGCGGTGCAACGAGGCGAGTCCCCAGCATCGTGGCCGTTGTGCTGGTCGGACGAGCTCGTGCTGGTTCGCCATCGCTGTTGCTGTTTCTGCTTCTATTAAACGCTCCGGTCCGGTTTGTAGAGCCTGGGTAAGAGACGACCTTGACCTCTCCCGTCGACGCCTGTTTGTTCCAGACGCCACGAGGAACCGCCTGTGCAGCCCTGGTGAAGTCCCAAAGTTGAGAGGGCAAGGACCCACAGCCGACAGCCGCGAGCCGGGCAGCCTTATATAACGGGGCGGCGGACCAGCCCCACCCAGCAGCGGCATCGGCAGCCGTGGGTAAGGGTTGCAGGCCGGGCGGAGCCCATTGTCCGGACCTACGCAACGATCTTTGGTCGTTCGTCGACATGGCCAATTGTCTACACCATGAGTGGCCCATTGTCTTGCAATGCCTAAGGAATGTACCATCCTAACCCGAGGATCGATATTGGACCCTCGCCTTGAAACTCTTGTAGTCTAAAGCCGACAACCTCCAATCTTGGCGCCCGGTAGTCGGAGTTGGCAAGCAGGAGCAGCAGCATATGTAGCCTTCGAGGGTGGTGCAGATGATCTGGTGGCCAGACAAGACAACAGAATAGATGTCTTCCACAGCATACGTCACGGCAGGCGCAAGTCCCAGAGAAGTGTCAGCCGCGAGCTGCCACCGAGATGTCCGGTCAAAACAAGGAAGGACCCAGCGTTTGCTGGATCCACACCGACAGCCAGACCCGGCCGGCTGGCGCCTGCTTCCTCGAGTCATCCATCGAGCCAGACCGCCACCACTTGCATGTCCTCTCAATCCCAACAGGATTCCAAGGTTCCAACCTTCGCCCCAACATACGTTGTGCATGCCCCGCTGTGCCGCCCGCATCGCTCAGTCCTTGCCATCACACGACGCAACGCAGAAAGCCCGCCAGCTCTGAGGGCCGTCCCGAACCTCGACTCCGGACAGAAAACTGCTGGCGCTGCGGCAGACCGCCCTCAATCATTGAGGGAGTCCTTGTCGGAGTCTAGTCGTGACATACAGCTTCTTATGACGAAAGAGCCTGACCCGTTCAAGGTTGTCTGCGAAAGGGCGAGCCGGCTCTCCTTGATCGTACCGGCGATGATGATCCCTGGCCTTGCCACGGCTTGGCTTCCGGGGGAGGCTGCGGGCCCGACGTCCGCCGCTAAGCCGCTGCTCCGCCGCCAACCGCAACGACACGCGACACAAGCCGGCCCCTTCCCGGGCATCAAGTGGAGTGACGCAGATGCTAGATTGGCGGGTCGTGGGTCTGGCCAGCCGCCCCTGCCACAAATCTTCAAGCCCGGGGCTCCAGGTTCCAGTCTTCCTCACTCCCCGTTGCTCAGTTTCATGCCCACCGCCGGCAAGCGGCCAGCCAGCAACCGGCCGCTGTCCCCACCACGGCACGGCCTTGACGGCCCTCGCACGACTTGCACCGCCATGGAACCGTATCGTCGCCCGGGCCATCGACCGCCCTTTCCTTGCTGGCCTTGGGCCACCCGGCGGCGCAGCACCTGCTGCCCTCCGAGGCCAAATCCTTTTCGTCTTGCCCATCTGCCCACACCATCAGACACCCTTCCATTCTCTTGATCTTGATTCTGTTAACTCGCCCTGCCTCCCCACCATTCTCCAGGACGCCAACCATCGAGCAAGAAAGGCGACCAGGATCCTGAACACCACGCCTCTGCCACCCACAACTGGACCAATGTGCACACACGCTAGCAGTGTCACCTCTTTCTTCTAGGCTCGTTCACTCACACGAGCAATCTCCGACACACCTGGACAAATCTCGACATGGCAGTCCACAAGACTGGCGAGTCGGTCGCCAAGTTGCTGGGAATCGACCCCGACGAAGTCGAGCACAGTGTGCCCGCCAACCTCAGGCAACGTGCCACGGAGGCCATCGCGCCTCACGACCCCTTCTTCGAGACAGACCCCGAGGTCAAGGAATGGATCCTCGAGCATATTCCCTCCCGCCACGACATCCTGCCTTATCTCGCCAGCTTCTTCCCCTTTGCGGCCTGGATCCGACGCTACAATACTCGCTGGCTCGTGGGCGATATCGTTGCGGGCATCACTCTTGGCCTTGTGGTCGTACCTCAGGCTCTGTCATACGCCCTGCTCGCCAACTTGAGCCCCGAGTACGGCTTGTACACGTCCTTTACCGGCGCCTCTCTCTACTGGTTGTTCGGCACTTCCAAAGACATTGCTATCGGTGTAAGTTGATCGTCCGTATTGCCGCGGCCCCTGTAGGAATCATGCTGACCTCGCCTAGGCCACTGCCGTCGTGTCTCTCCTGGTCGGCAAGACCGGCGACAAAGTCACTGCAGAGCATGGTGACGAATTCTCCCGCGAGCAAATCGCCAAGACGCAAGCCTTCCTGGCTGGCTGTGTCCTCCTGCTCTTCGGCCTCTTTAGACTGGACTGGATCATTGAGTTCATCCCCCACGTGGCCATCTCCGCCTTTGTGACGGGTGCTGCCATCACCATCACGCTCAGCCAGGTGCCCACCTTGCTTGGCATCACCGGCATCAACTCCAAAGGACCTGCGTACGAGGTCTTTATAAACGTCTGCAAGGGCCTGCCTCGAGTTCACCTCGACGCCGCCATTGGCCTCAGTGCTTTGATCCTCCTCAGCCTGATCAAGTGGGCCTGCGAGCACATGGCCAAGCGCCAGCCCAAGCGCGCTCGCATGTGGAACATGCTCTGCTCGCTTCGTTTGACTTTTACTATCCTGCTGTACACCCTCATCAGCTTCCTCGTTCACATTGGCCTCACTGCGGAGAGTTCCAGATTCCGCATCTTGGGGACAATCCCCCGTGGTAAGTCGTACGGGTTGAATGTAAACGGCATTCACATGCTGACATTTTGATAGGCTTCACTCGAGCAGGGCCGCCAACCTTTGATACAAAGCTCATTTCCGCCATCGCGCCGGACTTGCCTGCCACCATCATCGTCCTCATCATTGAGCACATTGCGATCGGAAAGTCTTTCGCCCGCCTCAATGGTTACACTGTCGTACCCTCACAGGAACTCGTCTCCATTGCCTTCACCAACCTCACAGGACCTTTCGTCGGCGCGTATGCCTCAACTGGCTCGTTCGGAGGCAGCGCAATCCTCTCCAAAGCAGGCGTGCGGACACCCCTGGCTGGCATCTTCAATGGTTGCATCCTGGTCCTGGCTCTCTACGCGCTCACTTCTGTCTTGTACTACATCCCAATGGCGAGCCTGTCCGCCCTGATCATCCATGCGGTCGTCAATCTCATCACCTCTCCTGAGCACGTCTATCATTCCTGGCTCATGTCGCCATTTGACGCGCTCATCTACTTCTGCGGTGTCTTTGTGTCAATTTTTACTTCCCTCGAGGATGGCATCTACACCACGGTAGCATTGTCAATTGCCGTCATGCTTGTCCGAGTCGCTCGCACACAAGCTCGATTCATGGGCAAGATTGACATACACAGACATTCGCAGACACAGCAGAAGAAAATGACGGCAGCGGCATCTACACCATCTCCCCCGTCTTCCTCTTCATCGTCACCCCTCTCCCGTCCCGTAATCGATGTCCGACCCGCATTCCTCCCCTTGGACCGGCACGACGGCTCGAACCCGGCCCTCAAGGTCGAAGCTCCCATGCCCGGCGTCTTCATTTACCGCTTCAGCGAAGGATTCAACTACATCAACCAAGCCCAGCATATGGACCACTTGATCTCCACAATCACGTCCGAGACCAGGCGCACGTGCCAGCCTGTTTATGCACACCCAGGCGACCGGCCGTGGAATGAGCCTGTTCCTGTCCTAACAACGAAGCTCTTCCAGGAAGATTCCGGTGACAATCCGGAAGACAAACTTCCCACGCTCAAGGCCGTAGTCTTCGACTTCTCAGCCGTCAACAACCTCGACACTGGCGCCGCTGAGGGGCTGGCCATCGTGCGTGACCAGCTTGACGAGTGGGCCTACCCAGATCCCGTCGAATATCACTTCGCGGCTGTGACCAACCGCTGGGCCCGACGTGCGCTGGCAGTCGCTGGGTTTGGGCGTCCGAGCAAGTACGAGTTTGGCCTGGAGAAAGAGTGGGATCCCGTGTACAGCGTGGCCGAGAAGGGTGGGCTACACTGGCCGCTCGCGTCGTCGTTGTCCGTGAGCGACAGCCACGAGAACGCCATGCCTGGCATTCCTAGAGCAGTGGCGACAAAGACTGTCGCTGCTGATATCAAGACGGCACACGGCAGCGAGCAGACTCTTGTCGGGCTTGCGGCTGCCAATACGATTCCCAGTGGTCTGGCGGCTGTCCACGGGATCGACCGACCAAACTTCCACATTGACCTTGCTGCTGCTGTGGAGAGCTGCCTGCACAGCTTGGACCGGAGATGTGGCAGGCCTAGCACAGTCTCTCGCGCCGGTGTGCTCGGGCTGGCAATTGATAGTGAGGGCGACGACACTACTTGATTTGAGCGGTATTCGCGACCTGTCCCTTGATGTTTTGTGCTGTTCGTGTTCAACTTGGTTGGGTTCTGCTTTTGTAAAGTTCATGATGGCACAGCGCGGCAAAGATACCATTTGTTTTAGACCATGTAGAGCTGGTTAGAGGTAGAGAAGCACAAGCAAGCGAGCAGAGTTTGTCACTAGAGAATTGCATCGGTCACTTTGAATGGCCGTGGTTCGCAAATGCACTATTTACTACGTGCGCCAATGGGGTTCTTTACCGTTCCGTGTGCCTGTTCGGTGAGGGTTTTCCTTTTCCTTCCATGACCCATGACAGAGCTCTCTCCAATGTACGCTACAAGCTTTATTTGGCTACTACCGACGAGCTTTGTTGCGTAGCACCGTACCACAAGATAAGCCCATTATCCAAAGGGAGTGTCCTATTTTGCGGTAGGGATGCAGTCGTGAAGGCGTAGTCCAGGGCATGCATATGACTAGCCGTCTTCATTTAACTTCCTGGGCCTCTCTCGGCATTCGTACACTCCCCTCTCCCTAACCTCATTACAATCCGGATCCCACCTAGACCCGAGCCGTCCTCGAGATTCCCCGTGCAGGTTCGGTGGACGACGACGACGACGACGGGGCGAAAGTCATTGACTCAAAGCGACACACATCCCCCTTGCCCATCCTCCACAAACACCCCGCCATAGATCTGGCCCTCGTCGATCCCGGCCTCCTGGAACCCCTTGTTGACGACGTCGCTCGTGTCGCCCGTGGGCTTCTTGAGGATGCCGATCTGGAACTGGCCGAAGCCCGAGTTGTCGTTGGGCAGCGGCTGGGGGAAGACCGGGGCCAGGGGCGCCGCGGGGTTGGGCGAGTAGAAGACCTGGATCGTGCTGTTTTTTTCGCGCTGGGCGTCAATACTGGGAGAAAATCGACGGTTTTTGGAAACCAAAGGGGGACGAGAACAAGAACAACAGCAGCAGGACGAATCGCAATTGAGGAAAAAGAAAAAGAGAGAGAAAAAAAAAACCTACTTGGCGTCATAGTCCAGGGTGACGGCAAACCCCTGCCAGCCGCCCGTCTTGTCGATCGGGACGGACCAGAGCACGTCGAGCTTGCGGTTGAGCAGCTTGAACGTGTCGGCGGGGAACTCGGGCCGGCCGATCAGGCTGCCGGCCTGGAAGTGGAAGTGGTTGCCGCTGAAGTCGCCTGCCTCGTGCCAGACGTTCTGGTTTGGGGGTCCCCCACCGGGGTTTGGTTAGTATGTCGTACTGCGCTCGTTTTCCATGTTCACCTCTCTTGTCTGTTTCTCCTCCAATGCTCCCTCTTTGGTTCATTTTCGTTGTTCAGTGGGGCAAACGTACGAGATACTCATGCGTCAGGTTCAGCGGCCGCGCCAGATCCTGCCGCACGCTCCAGTGCAGCGTCTTGACGCCAGTGTTGCCCGGCCCCGCGGTGTTGGTGTCGTTCTTGAACAGCAGGCCCGCGCGGCGGAAGCCAAACTGCGTCTTGAAGATGGACCGGTCGTTGATGGTGACCTCGAGGGCCTTTTGCTTGGCCGGGTCGTCGAAGCGGGCGACGCCGCAGTTCTTCTTGGCCGGCCCGGGCAGAGAGGCGAGCGGGGGCGGGAACTTTAGGATCTGCGACCACGTGTCGTTGCCCTTCACGTTGTTGGATAGGAAAGGGCTCGTCGCGGTGGCGTCAAAGTCGGTCAGCTTGGCCGCCTGGGGGATCTGGCCGGAGAAGACAACGGGGCAGCGGATCTTGGCTGCTGGTGCTGCTGCAGATGGGATGGGTGGCCCGGGAGGGGGCGGCAGCGCGCTGGCGAATGAGGCCAGCGCCAGGACTGACGTCGTCATAAGTGCCTTGAGAGGCATTGTGGCGAGCTTATGGAATCACGGAAGGATATTAGGGACGGCCGCGTGGTGAATGAATGACAAGCAGAGGGATCTGGCTCATCGTCTGTCCACACGGGCGCGCCGGATGCCCAGCACTTCTTATATGACTGTCTTTTCACCGCCCGGGCCTCACAAAAGGACATTGCGCGGCCCTACATCTCCCCACGGGACGTAGCACTCCGTGCTACCCATGTCGATGCCTGCATAAAAACGTGCGCCAGGAACCAGCACGATGCTTTGCAGGGGGGTCAACTTTATCCGATCGACGGTAGCATCGGATCTGCGGCTGCCAATTCCCGGGGGTGGCGTCTGGTCAAGTTCTGCAGGTCGCCGTTATTGGCTTGGATGTGCACACACACACTCGGGTATGCAGAAAGAATCCCGGTCTATCCGCATTAAGCTGAGGTAGTAATGGAAAACCTTTTTTTTCTTCTTCGTCGCAGAAGATAGGACATTTTCTCAGGCAGGCATTGAAATAGGGAAATGAGGTTGGGCTCCCCTGGATTGTGAAACGGCGGTTGCATGGGGGCAAAAAGTTTATACTAACGTCGTCCCCAGGTTCATGACTCGGAATGCCCGGCAGTTGCCGAACCCAACCATGGGATGAACTACTGTGCTTGTGATTGCCCACCCTAAAAGGGTCTCAATTTCGAGATGCGCCCCCATGACAAACTCTATAAACGGTTTCAAGGGCAATGATGCCAATGTTTGAGATTGTGCCTCTTCGGAACCCTCGGAGTGGGTCACACAAAGCGCTCACCTCCTGTGCCTTATGCCCTGGTGCTGGCCGGCACGATCGCATAAGTTTAGTGGTAGTTGGGATGACTGATGCATTTAGGGTTGCAACTCACGTCTCAGGTGCTTGGACCTGCTTTGCTTCCAAGAAGGCCTCTCCTCAAGACACAGACGCATCTAGAATAGCAGGCCAGCGTCCCAGGGCAGATGATGGCGCTCGCTGCAAGACGTGAGGATTTAACTACTGAATGGTGAGGCACAATCTCGTGTCGCTGAGTGTACTTTTCGGCATATGAGTGCATCCGTTGCCTCCTACGTGGAGACATTCCACTCTCTGCACGTATGAGATAGTGATTTTGAATTGATCGTAGAAGTGGTCACCTGGGAGATCCAGAAGGTAGCTCGGCTGCATGAACCAAGATTGGCTGCGGAGAGCAAGACTCCTATTTGAGCAGGTTCTTCAGTCTCCGACCAGGAGCAATGCGTCTTTTAGTATATCATGCACAATCTCCACTTCCTTGACCAACGCTTTGTCTCGTTCCCCTAATTCTATGCAACCTTTGTAACAAGGGCTACGACGATGCGGCCAAGTGCCCGTGCCAAGGAGAACCCGTTCGTCGTCCTCCACGGGGTGGTTGAGAATTTGATAACCCCAGACAAATACAAATGGATAGGCCCGGTCTTGGAAGTCATACCACAGCTGGGCACCTTCGAAGTCAAAGCTCCAGCCGGATGAACCACTTGTGGTGAAGCCAGCCGCTTGTGGCAACTACTGATCACGAATCTTAGCCGTCATTATTTGAAAGGTGTACAGCTTGTCGTGATGTGAGGCGAGGTAGCTCACGGCTGTAATGCAGAGAAGTGAAGCCATTTCAGATTACAGGACGCTCCGTTGTCACCCGCGCCACTGCCCATTTGTATTCTGTTATGATCGGCTCCCTGGCCCTTGAGGCAAACGCTGTGCTCCGCCACATCATGCAATCTGACGTGCAGACCATCTATTCGCATCAGCCAAGGGCCGTTGGCCGCCTTGTGGCAGAAACAGATTTTCCAGTCCCATTTGTGAACCGCAGGACGAGGAGGACAGATCAGGCCTGCTCAATGAGCAACGGAGTCGGATGAATTATCTGCGACCAGGGATCAGTCGAGGCACCACTGCGACCCCCCTGGTTGGAAACGAGATGTTTCTCAACGAAAATCCTCCGGTTGTCCACAAGGTTCCCGCAGGAGCATTTCCAGACCCGGGAAACCCAGCACAGAGGACTATAGAAATCGACCCTTCCCGCAGTTGTCGCCTAGCTGGGCCGAGGTCTACGGAAGGTAAGTACAACTTAAGGGCTGAATTGAAGATACTTATTAAATGTAGGCTTCTGATGATCGAGGACATAAATACTGGAGAATGAGACAGCCAAGATTCAGCTCATATGCACACCTGATAGCAATTACTGAGCACCCATGACTTGTAGGATCTACCCATTCAACACATCTTGCAATTACGAGCTGTTAGTCGAAGGCTTGGGCAGGCTTGCCGACATGTACGCCCCTTTCCACGGAGCAAGCGCCTGTGCAACGATGACCCAAGTGGGAAGCCAGGGCGCCACGTATTTGCCCACGAAGCGGAACAGCCAGCCCGACCACGCCGAGATGCGGATGATCTGCTGGCTGCTGTCCACTGACGCCCGGACCCGAGGCTGCCTCTCCGCGCTGACACTGGCGAGGATGCGCTCAATCTCCGCGGTTGACGGTCTACGCGCGGGCGTCTCGCCATCGTCAGAAGAGTCCGCGCCGGTGTCTTCTTGTGCCTTCGCCTTAGGGCTGGTGGTCCTCTGCTTCTTCTGCAACGACTCGTGGAGCCGATCGACAAGCATCAGCACGGATTCCGCGCCCTGCGCGCCGCCCTGTGCGAGGATGGGGTTCGTCTTAGCCACGGCGTCGCCGAGACAAATGATGCGCCCGTAGTTCCACCGCCGCAGGCAGTGGTTTGGGCACGCCTGTGTGGTGATGCGGTGGCAGTTGGCATAGACGTCGCCGAAGGTCGTCTTCTCTGTGAGCTTGGCGTGCGAGAACTGCTTGCAGATCTCGGCGGCCTTGGGATCGTCAAAGGCGTTCCACTTGGGGATGTTGTCCCGTCCCTTGGCGAGGGGCACCTTGAAGAAAATAAACCAGCACGCCTCGCCGTTGGGCCCACCAAACACGCCAATGGTCATGTCCTGCGCGCAGACTTGGTATGCCGTGTCCTTTTCGAGGTCGCCGGTCTTGCGGGAGAGGCCGAAGACGCAGCCAAATTCTGTTTCGAGGTCTTTTGCGACGAAGGCCACATGTCAGCCTCCCACCACTTTGTGAAGTATACCTTTTTTTTTCGAGCGTTATCAGAAAGCCACTCACCTTCGGCGTGATCATTTTCAAAGGCTTTCAGGTCAGAGTCGGCTTCCTCGGCCAGTCTCCACATCTCCGAGCGCACAACACTGTGGATGCCATCCGCGCCGATTACCACGTCCACGTCAATAGATTCGGCATCCTCTCCTCCCTCAAGATGCACCCGAACACCTTCGTCGTCACCCGACAGCGGCTCAAGCCGCTTCACCTTTGCGCCGGTGCGAATCTTCTTCCTCCCGCCCTCGCTGAGATTGCGGTGTAATATCCTCAGCAGCTGCGACCGCGTGAACGTCGCGATGCCGTAGCCCCCCGTCGCCGCGCGTATCTGCTCCCCAACACTGTGCCGGAACATGATCTTGCCATCCAGGCCGCGGCAGCTAAGGCGGCACAGCTCGGCCGACTCGGCGCGGACGTCGTCGAGCACGCCGAGCTGGTCGAGCGTGCGCTGGAAGTTTGGATACAGCGCCAGGCTGGCGCCGACCTCGGGCGTGATCTCCTTGTACGCCTCGAGCAGGACAAAGTCGATGCCCAGGCGGTCGAGGTCCAGGGCCGCAATGAGGCCGGTCATGCCGCCGCCGACGATGGCAACCTTGAATGGCCGTGCCGAAGACGCCGCCATGGTTTTTTGCTTTGTTCGATTTGTCTGCCGATCTGTGTGTGTTCGAGGGCGGCTCAGTTCTGGCGGTTTTGGGGGAGGCAGGGGGGTGGCGGTGGTGGCAGCTGGGATTCGTGCTGCGGTGCAGGGTGTCGACTAATTATTGAATACGCAAAATGGAAGACAATCTCGAACCGGGAATGTCGAGAGTCTTCCGCGGCGGGAATGGGGCAGACTTCAGGACTACAGACGGGCGAGGTACGAGTCACAGCCTCGAGAATTGGCTGACGCCAGCAGGGTGCACTAATGGCATCGTGCCAAACGTTGTGAGGGTCCAAGCCAAAAGACCACCCGACCGACTCGACAGGTTCATACCGAGGGGCGAATAGTCGTGCGGCACGTGCTCCCGTTCCGTCGGGGAGGTCGAGATGTCGAGTCCTGCACGACGCACGTGGATGGAGCCAATAATGGCAAGGGGGTATGATAGGGAATACACCTCGCCATTTCCATCAAGAGATCGGCAGTCATTCTGACCCGGTTGAGCTAAATACCCTGGAATAGAGATGTCCCGGGATGGAGGAACCCCTGGAACAACATACGGGGGGGTCCGTGCTCGGCCGCGATGGCCCGTCTTCTCGTGTGGCACCTCTCTGTCCCGGCCATTTTGTCTTCCATATTCGCTTCTACCCGCACCTGCAGGAGTACAGTAGAAGCCGTTTGAACAGGATAGCGGGCTGGGCTATATCTCGACGCATCATCCGGCATGTATCGCCAGCCCGGAAGTCCTTCCGAATGATCTGACAACACGATTGGGCACGTGACGGTCCGGTATCATATTCCGCGCATAATCAAGCATATTACTTATAACCCTCGTCGAGGGGATTGCATCAGAGCGTAGTGTTGTTGTTAGGGGCATCTGTGCTGTGTGGGCACTCTGGAATATTATGGCAACTTTGCCATAATCGGTGGTCGGCCCAGCAGACCCGGTATCTGAAACGCCTCGTCCTCTGTCACGCCGAAAGAGGAACTCGGCACGCGTCAGGCTGCAGGGATCACAATCCTGACCCTTTGTCATGTCTCACTCACCTTATGCTTGGTGTCCAGATAACTCCACAGATTCGAGATTAACAAGGCTTAGCTCGACGCTCTTGGCTCCAGGGTCATCACGTTTCTCTATGTATTGGGGCCGGCCCGACGATCTGGGAACCCCCCTCCCCCTGCCCCAGAGTAATATGTGCATGACCGATCAGGCTCGCTGCTCGGGGAAAGTTCGGTCGCCCGGCTGCGTAGTAGGTAGTTATGCACTATTGCCTCCCGGCCACCCCATGCATACCAGGATGCCTGAAAGCGACCTTTTGCCACAATCTCTCAGCCATCAGGAACAAATCAGCAAGCAACCAGGCAGGCAGACAAGCAAGCAAGCAAGCAAGCAAGCAAGCAAGCAAGCAAGCAAGCAAGCAAGCAAGGGTGTCTCCTAGCTATTAGGCCGCCTGGAAAGGGATTAGAAGCCTGTCTGGAACAACAAGAGACTTTGCTCGTCCCGCACGCGTGAAAGAGGTTGCGCTGCGCCGCTGCACATCCCCCTTGCGAGGTCGTATGTAGTTTGGCGATCTTCTGCCCCGCCTATATTCGAGGCTTTTCCACCAACGGCAAAGGGCAAGACGGGGTGGCTTGTGGATCAAGACATGGAGGTCACAGCGATCCTTGCGCAGAAAATGGTTCAAAGGCAAGACTCCTGTGCGGCACAGCATATTGGGCAGGACAGGGTCACGTCTCCAAGACGACCTTGGACGGTCCATCTATTACTTGCCAGTTAACTGCCCTTTCGATGTCTTGGATCATTCTACCGTGTATACATTTTGGCCTGCAATGTGATACATCTGAAGGCTATCTCGAAATCGATCCCCAGACGGCGTGCTTTTTCTTCGTCTTCTGACCACACACCTGGAATTTCCCCACGATGGAGGCTCTAGCCCCCCTCTTCCCGCCAGACAAGTCGCCTTTCCACTGGGAGATGGTGCCAATGGCGCCAGCCAGCGCGGCGTTCCTGGCGGCAAACTGCGTGGTGCAGGCCGTGGTGCTGACCGTCGTCATGATGCGCTTCTACTCGCGAGTCACGACGTCGTCGCTCGGTTGGGACGACTGGTGGGTGCTGATAGCGACGGGGCTGTCGTGTTGCTCGCTGACGACGGCCATCTGCTGTGAGTTTTGAGAAAAAGAACGATCCGCGACCTTCGATTGACCGTCGATGGAGCTGTCGACTGACATTTCGATCTTGAACACGCAGTCGACGTCCTCGGGTCGGGTTATCTCGTGCAGGAAGTCGCCATTAATCTGTCCACCATCTACCTCGTAAGTCACGTCCAACAGCAAACAAGCAAGCAGATATCACCACCAACAATGAAAAAAACCCAAGGCTGACCTAAAAAAAAAAACCACGAATGTTTCACACAGCTCATCTTCATCATCCAGCCCCTCTTCCTCTTCACGATCGCCGCCACAAAAGTCAGCGTGTGCTGCTTCTACCTGCGCGTCTTTGTCGGCCGAGGCATGCGCATCGCGACCTGCTGTACGATTGCGCTCGTCAGCGCCTGGGCCGTTGCGCACTTCATTGCAGCCGTGTTCATCTGCACCCCCGTCGCGGGCGCGTATGACCTGCGTCTCGCGGCGATCGTCAAGTGTGGCGACCAGAGCAAGTTCTTCCAGAGCGGCCTCAGCATCAACGTCGTGTTGGATGCTATTGTTATTGCGCTGCCGTTGTGTGAGTAGTTCCTATCCCTTCACCCATTGCACCTCTTCTGGAATATTCCGGAGAACAGACCAAAACTTGAACTAACACGGCCCAATCCTTCGACACCGCCCAGGGACAATTTGGAACCTCAACATGCGCACCTCCGACAAGGTCGGCCTGTCCATCGCCTTCTCCATCGGCATCGGCATGATCGTCGTCGGCATCATCCGCGCCATCTACGTCGTGCGCACCTCGCTGACCGGCGACGTGACCGCCACCCTGCCCACCAATCTCTTCCTGACTGTGTTTGAGCAGCAGCTCGCCATTATCACCATCTCCATCCCCATGCTCCGCCCCCTGTGGGCGCGGTACAGGAACCGCGCGACCGGATACAACCTCGACGGCGAGCAAGCTGGCGGCGGCAAGCACTCTGGAACTGGGACAGGGGAGGGCAGCGAGTTGGCCACATTTGGGGGAAGTGGCGGCAAAAAGAGCAACAACTCACGGAAGTACAGGCGGGACATTGATGACAGCATCCTGAACACACAGCTTGATGGGCGTGACGTCGAGACCAGGACGGACGTGGGGAAGGGGCACCTGAGTGACGTTGATGGGCACAGCATCGCGACAAGCGACTGGGACTCCAAGGGGGATACGGGGTCCGAGTCTCGACTCGACGTCAACGCAGCGTCGAGGCCAAGTCTGAGCGGTCGTCAAAGCGGTTCGAACGCGGCCATTAGGGTCACGGAGGAGTGGAGAGTCTCAAGGATTTCCAAGCCCTAGATAGGTGGTGGTACAAGAATTAGAACTGTGGAAATGAGGACCGCTTGTAGAGAACCTAGCCAGCACCCGAAAATGAAAGCAAGACTCCACCTATCGCCAGTACCCGCGAGAGTGGCTTATGATCTATTCATGCCTGAGTCTCCGTCAATCAGAGAGGTGTCTGCTCCCGAGTAAACCCGAGGTTTGCCAAGCTCCTGGTCCTTCATTTGTTCATCCAAGTTCCCATAGCAGATCTCGTAAGCCTTCTGCACCTCCGCTCTTGGGACCTGCTCGTACATGAACGTGACGTTGGCCAGCTTGAGTATCTCATCGCGAATGTCGGCAATATCTTGGAAGAGGTCCTTGTTGCGGACTGGTGTGTGGTTGCTGTTGCGCGGGACAAACTTTCCATCCTTCATCCAATGTGGCATCCAGTAGTTCATGGCCATGATGGCGTACCGCGAATCCGTGTAGATGGTGATTTCGAAGTCTCGCTTCTTATTGACGTCGTTGTCGTCTCGTTTCTTTGCCCCGCGCGGTGTATCTGCCTCACCGATAATTCTGAGTGCCCATTGGAGCGCAATTGAGACGGCAATGATCTCGGCGCGGTCATATGTCGGACGTTCGCCTATTGTCAGTTCGACGGCCTCGTATTCGCCTTCTTCAAGGTTGTTCCCGATTGTGGCAGCACAGCACCCGAGCGCGCCATCAACGCCTGGCCTGCCAAGGGTCTGCACCATTCCGTAGACTCGAAAGAGAAGACGCTCAGGATTGGCCATATCAGTGGGGATGACCGGCGGTCGTTGATTGAGTTGGGAAGAAACGGAGACGCTTTTTAAGTGCTGGAACTCTACCGGTACGCTCCTGTCGATGAAATATGATGCTGCTTCCAAGGCTGCTGGCATAATATCGGTGAGATGATGGCGGATGCCCCCTGGACTTGGGATGGTCAATGGGATACTGAGCGGCGTCGTGAAGCTCCAGCGCCACCTGGGCAATCTTGCAAGCAGCCACTCTCACCAAGGCCCACTGGTGTCGGTTTCTCAAACTGCGTCTTCTGAGTGGGGGAAGGCATGACCGATTATAACGCTGGAGCGCCTGGTCCGGGATGACCGAGGCAGGCATGATGCTGGAGCATCCCACTTGGGCTGTCGTCCATCATTTGCAGGCTGGTCGGACCACGACCCAAGATACAATAAATGATTGAACGGTGCATCGACCGCCAGGCTGAGCCCTTTGTGCTCGAAGCAAAAAGCTGATACTATGAGTCTATGATCACAAGGTATCCTCGTTCGAGTCAGATCTCACAAGTGCGAACTTGCGCAATATTACATGTCTGATGTCAGAACACCACCCAAAGTCCGCACCTCCTCGTTACTCCGCACCAATCTCGAAGCCGTCCCCACGCAAAATCCGCACGAAAGAGGGCCGCATAGCCTACTAAGACAAAAACATTCTATTTATCCTACGGGGTAAGCAGGCAACATGCAGTCCGTAGCTATCACTTAACGCAGATTCCCTTATATAGCGGATTCATGCCCGGTCTCATATAATCCGCACTCACTAGCACCTCCTTGTGACACCCCACTCAGGTGTGGTACCAGCTACCAAAAATGCAAAAGAAATACTCCGAATCGGGGAATCGAACCCCGGGCTTGACGGTACAGAATGAGAGCGTCAAATGTTAGCCACTACACCAATTCGGATTTGATTTGAAGATCGTGCCACTTAACAGTCAATATGTTTATGTGCAATTGAGCCTGCTGAGAAGGCGCACCAAGCCCAGGACTTGTCTGCCTCAACTGATGGCAACACAGGCATGAGCTCTTGGCAGAATTTGTCTCATCCGCAGCGGGCATGTGCAGCTGCTGATTTTGTGACTGTTTGGCCACGGGCTGTGGATGAATCAACACTTAATGCTCGGACAATGGCCCTTCCGAGGACTCGAAGCCGCGGGTCGGGTCAGCAAATGAAAGTACAAATGGCACGTCATAGTCTGCGGACTCTGAGTCAATATGAGTAAAAGTCCGCGAGCGGTTCTCCGCAGTTCCCGCGCGGGCGAACTGGGAGCTGTATATATAGCCGAGCATTGGCTGGCGAGATGTCAGTACCCCTGCCAAGACGGTCCAATAGGCCTGCCGGTCAGCGTCGACGGAGAGTTTCCATTGGCTCGGCACCCCATTGCTCTCAGCACCTGTCTCAATCAGGAGGACGATGTGACTCAAGCCAATCGAAAGAAGATGTTTCCGACCCGGCAATCATTGTTTGCTTGTCCGCATGGTGGCGCTCAACCGTGGCAAGGAGCATATTGGAAGCAAGGAAGCGGCACTCATGGTCAGAATAATTGTTTGCTGTATAAGAAGCAACAGGTCCCGTTGCCTCAAGATGTCCACAACGATTCCCAACTCTCCATCACCGCCTAAGCACATCAAACCATTTATATCTACAACGATTGACGACTTATAATCACACTTTACCACGGAGCGACAAGGAGTCTTCTGAAAACAAATAAACCCTCACAATGATATTCTCTGGCCTGCAGACCGCAGCCCTCCTAGCTGCTGCAGTGAGCCTCTTGGTCCCCAGCACTTCCAATCCGACTGGCTGACGCAAGCCTGTCCACAGACCACCGGGTACATTGCCGTCCGCGGCATATACCTAGCATACTTCCACCCGCTTTCCAAGATCCCGGGCCCCAAACACTATGCCTTCACTGACATCTTCCACCTGTACCACCACGTCCGGGGGACCTGGCATCTCGTCCTCAAGGACCTTCATGACAAGTATGGCCCGGTAGTCCGCTATACGCCCAACGACGTGTCCACCATCACCCCCGACGCGTGGAGGAGTGTCTACGGCCACAAGGCCCAGTCGTCACGCATTTTCCGCAAGGACAAGATCTTCTACGGCGAGACCTTCTCCAAGGTCGACCACGTGATCACCGCCGACTACGACGACCACCGCCGCATGCGCCGCGTGCTCGCCCACGCGTTCAGCGAAAAGGCCCTGCGCGGCCAGGAGGACGTGCTCAAGCACTACACGGACCTCTTCCTCGCTCAGCTGACCACCAGAGCTGCTGCGGGGGAGCCGGTCAACATGGTAATGTGGTACAACTACGCGACGTTCGACCTGATCGGCGACCTGGCATTTGGCAAGTCCTTTGGCAACCTCGAGACCGGCAAGTATAACCCGTGGGTCTCGGTCATCTTCGACTCTGTCCGGCTCGTGCCTTACATGCACGTGCTCCAGCGGCACCGCTGGCTCGGGGCGCTCAGCTCGCTCATCATGCCCAAGAGGTTCGTCGACAGCTTTGCCGACCACGCGCGGCTCAGTCGCGAGACCGCCATGCAGCGCATCGACAGCGGCAACACGGAGCGCGAGGACTTCATGTCGTACATCCTGCGGCACAACAATGACGGCAGCGGCAAGGGCCTCAGCGAAGGGGAGATTGCGGAGAATGCGACCATCCTGATCACCGCGGGGAGCGAGACGACGGCCACGTTGCTGAGCGGGGCGACGTTCCAGCTGCTGGCAAACAGGGACAAGTACGATGCCCTGGTCCGCGAGGTCAGGAGCACTTTTGCCTCGGAAGACGAAATCAACATGGTCTCGGTCGGGCATCTCGAGTACCTGACTGCTGTTCTCAGCGAGAGCTTCAGGATGTGTAAGTTGCCTCTTCGTTGTCGTTCACAAACCAACCACAAACATGGCGATACTTGCGCATCCGACTAACCTATTTAATGACTCCAGATCCTCCAGTACCGATCGGCCTGCCACGCGTTACCCCCGAAGGCGGCGAGGTCGTGGACGGATACTATCTCCCAGCCAAGGTTCGTCTCCCTTTCGACAACTTGCCTTGCTCTAAACTTGGAACCCACCCAGATATATTTCCCCTGTACTTGTAATACTCACGCTGCTCCTCTCCATCACGAACAGACCAGCATATCAGTGCCCCAGTGGTCAGCATACCAATCGGCTCTCAACTTCCACAAGCCCCAATCCTTCGTGCCCGAGCGCTGGCTCGCCGACGTGACCTCACCCGGATCGACATCGCCTTTCGCCAACGACAAGAGAGACGTCATGCAGCCATTCTCCGCCGGGCCCAGGAATTGTATCGGAAAGAAGTAAGCCCGCACTAACGCGCTATCCTTTTTGCCCCCCAGCCAACACAACTTCCCGCTTCAGCCCCCCGCCCCTGCATCGAGGGACCACACACATACACACACACAAAACACAAACCAACTTTTTTCAAATTGCTGACACGTGTACCACGCACAAAACAACAGCCTCGCAAACGCCGAGATGCGCCTCATCCTCACACGCCTCCTATACAACTTTGACCTGGACTTTGACCAGCCTGCCGACGGCACCACCACCACCACGGGCTGGGCCAGCGACCAAAAGGTCTTCCTACTCTGGGACAAGGGCCCTTTGATGGTTCGCCTTACGCCCGTGAGGCGCTAGCTGAACCACCCTCTCTCGGACAATCCTTTTATTTCATTTTTATTTCTTATTTTTCAAATATTTTTCCATTAAAGTCAAGTCTTTTATAACCGGGGCTGTTGGAAAAGAAAGAGTAGAATCAAAGTTGGGTTTGCATGAAACACTTTCTTCCCGGACAAGCTCTGCAGCTGCAGGGCGGGGTCAATGAGCAGACACAGAGAAACCGAGGGGAGGTAACAAAGAACTCCGCGGCATTTTAAACACACTTTCATTCTGTTTGAGAATATGGACGAGAAGGGAGAGGGGGGGAGGTTATGGAGAGCCGGACGTAAATAGGAAGCATGGGCGAAGGATGACTGGGGGATGAACAGACAATAGTAGAATGTATTGAATTTACGTTTTTGGCAAAGACAGGCCCTGATTGCTGACTGGGCAGTACGTGAACCCAGACCAATAGCTGGACGGATCCCGGAAATGGGTCAGTAGATATGACCCGCCCAGAATTACTCGTGAGACTCATTGGTTTCCCGTGGCGGTGTTGTGCAAGGACAAAAGCGGGATCAGCTACCGGACTTTTAGCATTCGATCGCGAGGCTTGTCAAGCTGTGGACACCGTATTCCACCTTGACACCAGGGTAGACTCCCAGACTCTGCAACACACTCCACGGCACGCATCAAGGACCAAAACGGACTCTCAAGAGAAAAGGACGCAACGCCATGGCATTGTACTCATTAGGTGACCGCCAGAGAGTCAATCCCCAGCCGAGGAACATAAACAATCAAGGCCTCCTCTATGTCCGGGTATCAACCATAAGAACCCCGCTCAGTCTGTGACAATCAAAAAACCCCGCCGTGTCCCAGGCATCGCGCCCAGGAGCAATGTCTATCGCACAGCCGCCCCGAAATTGGGTCCAGTTGCGACTCTAGTTCAGTATTCCGTCGTGCATCCGGTGATCCTGTACGAGTCTCTATAAAATATCTGCCATCCATGGCAATTTCGTTGACCCATTCGCCAAGCTCGATTGGGTCCTCATCAGCTTCAACATGTTCTACGTGCTGCTCAAACTCTTCGCTGATCTTGTGTGACATGCTTGGATGGTTCATATGCTTTCCGTGCTGGGCGGGCTTGTCAAGGCCTCGCCGCAATTGTCGTGAAGCTCAGTCGTGCAACAATTCCATGTGAGAAACCGTGCTGGCATCGGGTCCGCGTCGCAGACTTTGTTGGTGGCGTTGGCGAATTCCGCCAAAGCTGGAGCCTGGGGACGTCCATCGGCGGCAGCTTCGTCGTGTCGCATTAATGTGGGATGCCGACCCTTGAAATGCGTCATCATTCCTCTCCCTGGCCAGACGCTCGCGATCCAACTACCTCACGGGCGTAGAACTCGACGAGCATTGTGGCATAAGCCTCGAGGTCCTCAACGGGGACAGCAAGCCGAAAATCGTTGAGCACAAGGAACTGAAGCTCCAGATGGTTGAGCTCCGCCAGGGGAAGCCCGCCGACCTGGGAAGCAACAGATCACAGTCAGCATAAAGTGCGATTACTAGTCAAGTCAAGTTCAAAGGGACCAACGAACCTTAGCATAGCGGGAGTTTGTGTAAAAGACGTCAGAGAAGAACTTGCTCGCACATGTGACGCCAGCAATTATGAGGCGGTGGATGTTGAAGCTGTCCACCACAAAGTATGTTGCAAGTGAGGAATGAGCCGCAGGAACTGGCTGAGAAGCCGGGCTTGCCTGATTCGTGGTCTTGGCCTCGCCCTCATCGTCAGCGAGATCCGAGTCGGTCTCATCATCGTCCTCGCTGCACCTGTCCCGCATTTCAGCATCGGACGGCGGTGCTGCAGAGTTTGATATGTTGTGCGATGGCTGGCTTTGCGACTGCCTTCGGCCTTCCTCTGCTTGCATAACCATTTGGTTGACTCTCTCTGTCATCCTGTCAAAATAGACGAGGAGGCTCAAAAAGACCTCATATGTCGTCGGGCAGTATTTGTGAATGCGGCTGAGGTAGCTCAGTATGGTGATGGCGGGAACGTTCTTGCCGTGGAAAGCCAGGACAGAGCTGCTCAGCGGACTCATCGATGCTCCGTCATTGTTGTGGCTGGCTGCGGTTTGCTGGTGTGCGGCGTTCCGGTGTAGAGCGTCGTGTTGCAAGTCGTTGGTTGTCGTGATTTTGGTGAGAAGAGCTGCCACCATCTCGATAATGTCTCCAATAGGCATATTGCTAATCTCGTACTTCATGGCCTGCAGGGGGGTGTCCGCCAGGGCGCCTGATCGCCCACCAGTGCCAAGCATATCGGCACGAGCAAGGCTCTCGATGTGAGCGAGATCGCGTACGACAATCACTTGCCCTGGCGGTGCCGCATCGTCAATGTTTGGAGTGGGAGTTGGGGGGCCGGTTGGGTCTGCCGTGACGCCTGCCAAGGTGGCAGCCTGAACCTGTGTTGACATTGAATCTACCGTCGTGGCACCATCGGCATGCTGTGCTGAGGCGCGAGTAGAAGGCGTGTTCGACGAGGACGAGTCGGGCGGCGAAGGCAGTCGAGGGCCCTCGGCGCTCGGCGAGCTAGGCTTGCGCTCTGCCGTGGTGGCGGTCGAAGCAGAGGCTTGCGCAGCAATCTGCTGCCGCCTTGAGGGGGTCTCAGTTGAATGATGTGAGGGCGAATCTGGAGATCGTGGCGCGTGCGATACTGGAATGTCGCGAGGCCGCGTATGGGATGTGGAAGAGTGGTAAGACGTTGCGTCGTCGTGGTGATGCATCGAGGACCCAATGGGGTGGAATCGAGAGTGATCCGCGCCGTAGTCTCCAACTACAGCAGCCATATCATCGTCTGTCGTCAAAGACGGAGGGTGTCGCGGCCACGGGCGTGGAGATGGACTATTGATGCTGTTCCGGCTGTCGGAAGAGACTTCATGTCAGCCTTGGTCTGGGAAATGGATGACGGCAGCCTCGAGAGAAATGAGGAACGTTTGGGCAACGGGTCGGATCGTCGCTGCGAGGCGTAGCAGAACGGGCAGTAGAATGGAAAGAAATGAACACGCTTGTTCAAGCTGCCGGGGTCTTCCGTGCCCAAAAGCAGAAGCGGGCCAGGGTGTCGCAACTGTCACTTGCGAACCTTCATAGCCCGCCCAGGGATCGACTGCAGCGACGGTGCTCAAGGCAACGTCAGAAGTGACGCCAAGCATGCGCTCTCAATGTAAGAACCGCATGGCATATCTCACTGAAATTGTCCAGGGACGCCAGGGAACGGCTGCCGTGCGGCAGTGTCGGTCGTGGTGCAGCGGCGGTGGGTCGCAATGGGCAGGTGGGGAGTCGTTGGGAGGTAAAACAAGAGGCGTGGCGACCGATGACGAGTAAGGGCGCTCCCTGCCGTGCCACGACAGGGTCCTGCGGCGCAACACACGGACGGCCACGGACTCTGCGACATGCCTAGCAACGTGCCGCCTCGAAGCAAGTGAGTGGCATTTGTCCATGGGAGGCAAGAGCAGCACTTGCAAGCTCGCACCCCTGGGGCAGGAGAGTTTGGCGTGGGTGTAAAGATGGAAGTGAACACAGCAAGGCCGGAAAGAGGTACAGAACCATCACGCACAGACACAGACGAGTGCAGTGCAGTGACAGCAAGCTCAAGCTCAGGGACACGTAAGTTGCGCAGGACAGCTGCAGTGCAATGACGGTGGTGAGAGGGGAATGCGCAGTGCACCGATGTGTGTCGTGGGATATGCATGGCCGGGGCTGCGAGGGGTGTAAAGAGACAGACAGAGAGCGCGCACTTACCAGATGGAAGCAGAGCTCAACGGGAATCAAACAAGCAGTCGCTGAGAAACGGGAAGCACGCTGGAATAAACAGAACGGCGTAGGAGGGTCGCTGAGATGCGGCGTAAGAGGGCTGTGGTCGAGTCGAGGAGAGCGCAGTCAAGACCTCCAATGACGACAGCCCGTGCGTAGTCTGGTAGAGAGTGCGTCGTATCGCGCATGGAATGCCGCTCGGGGTAGCAGCAAGGAGCAGAGCAGTAGGGGCGGAGGCGGCTGGATTACTGCACGTCGAGCTTGTGCCACGCTTGAGTCTTGGAACCCGCGACGGTCGGCAAGGAGGGCGACGGCGACGACGATGAGGGCTTGCGAGAGCAAGGGCGATGGGACGGGACAGGCGATAAGAAAGATGGGAGGAGGAACAGGATGAAGACGGGGACTGGGGAGAGAGGAGGGGTTGCTGGCAATAGTTAGGTGTGGTGTCGCTGGCGGCAGAGCGCGGTTGTGGTGGTGGTGGTGGTGGTGGTGGGTGCTGGTGGCGTCGGGTGGCCCAGGAGAGGGGGGAAAAGAGTGGACAGGCCCCGGTCTGGAAGTTCGAGATTGTCGTCCTGAGGCGGCGAGTCGGGGCGGTTCGCACGCCTGTGTCGACGAGTCGCGGTGTGGCGCCCCGTGTGGTGGAGAGCAGCGGATTCCGCACGGGCGGGTAGCGCAGCCTGTGAGAAATGCTTAGCTGGCTGGCTGTCAAGGTATGGTACGCTTATCTCTTTCAACGTCAATACCTGTCGAGAGGCGCTTCACAACGGCTTGGCAGGGTTGGCGATGCTGATGGGGGTTTGTGGTGATTAGCAGCCCTTGACGTCTATCTTGGGGCGCACCTGCCACGGGCCCAGCGCGTCGCCTGCCTGTGCTGTGCTATGACGTCCCTGCGACAGCACCAGCAGGGCCCATCACGACCCTCACGCATCGCCCGTCCAAATAGACAACTACGTCCTCGACCTACACGCACGCCAGACCCTCTTTGGCCAATTCTTCTTTGCTTCTCCCAGCCTGTCCTGCTGTCGTGCGTGCGAGCCTTGTCTGGACTTTTCCTCCCGCGACAGCAGATGCCATGCCACGACATGCGTGCATGCACACCTGCATGGAGGCACCCCTGCCTACCTGCCTGCCTGCCTGCCCACCCTCAGCTGTGAAGCGAGCGACAGAGAGAGAGAGACGGTGAAGCGCGATCTGTCACGGCCCCATGCATCCCACGTTGTCGGCACCTGTCTTGCTGCTGCAGCAACTGCCTGGGCGCGCAATCATCGTCCCGAAACACCTCTCTGGTGTTGTCCACTCCTTGCGCGTGCGCAACGGCCATCACCATTGCGTGATCGACCGGCCACTGCCCTGCCTCGCCAGCATCGCGACCTCGGTGTTTCTACAGTATTCCAGCTGCTGTGCTCAAGCTGGACCTGTAGATAATTACATATAAGCAACATACGGCCGCATGTCGGGTGACGTAGAGTTGAGGTCGCGCTGAGTCGCCACTTGCAGGAGAGCCCGCCAGCAACCGGCAGGTAGGGTCTCCGTGGCGCAACCCGTCCAGTCACTCTCAGAGAAGCAAGGTGTTGCTTGCTGTGTGGCGCAGCGCGAAGCTGCGGCGTTTCCAAACACTGCGAGCTGCAGGCGAGTCTCAGCGGAACCCGTCTCCTCCAAGCACGTGTATCGAGCAGTGGCCGGGTGTGGGTGACTGGGTGGGTGCGCCGCCAGACCATGCACCTGGTTCTCGACCCTTAAACCCGCCCGGGCGGCTTTGGAGCTCTCCACTCACCGCCGCCCCATTCTTCAAGCCTCGCCAGGGGGGTCAGCGTGAATTACTGCACTGGCTCGCGTACATGCAGCAGCAGAGCAGAGCACAATCCGCCAACTGCCCATCTGCCTCTGCAGGTTGCCGATTGTTGATCCGCACGCCAATGACGTTCGCCAGGGACACGCTTGTCCGCAGCTACGCGTCTGCCAAGGGCACTCGCTCGAGTCAAGCAGAGGCCTCACAGTTGCGTCAAACCGTCCAGGCACAAGTTCGACACTCGACTAAACTCTAGGACACCACGCAGAGTCAAGCCGGCCACCACGACAATTCCCAGGGTTCGTGGGGGCACACCATCACGCCGCGGAATCGAGCCACCATTGGCCCATTTTGACAGCAAGGCCAAGTCATGTCCAGGATAGCGTCTCACAGTTTAGGTGTGTTGGGCAACCACCGCTAACCGTGACAGGCATAGCGGCCGGGGCTAAATCAAGCTCTTCCAGGGCTTTCTTGGCCCGCCGCGCTAGCACTGAAGCCAGACCAGGATATGTGACAGGAGCAGAGCTGTTTTGGATGACATTGCTTTGTACGGAGTTCTCCAACCACGACTATAAATAGCTCGATCTCCTCCATTGGTCGATATAGAAGAGCAACTGCCTCCTTGCTGGTGACCAGTCTTCAGGATACGACACAGAAATATGCTCACGATTGCATCTTCAACCAAAGCTCCGGTGTTGAGTAGAGCATACCCTTGCTTAGATCACGACAGGGACAATGCTATCTTCAGGCAACGCTCTCTGCGGCGAACCGGACGTGGTGGACATCACCTACAGAGATGGACGCGCTATCTCCTGTCGTGGATGCGTTGTCTGACAAGGCAAGGTGGCAATGTATAGACAATAGGGAATAATTATGCATTACGTGCATGGTATAGCTCAATCCTCAATGGCCTGGTCTGGTGTTTATGGTATCCGTGTTTGGCACTGGCGTCTACACCGGTTGCTATTTTCAGCATGCTCGTCATCACGTAGCCTCAAACAGTTGTTTGTTCGGCCCTCGCAGGGCGTTTGCGTAGCGTCTCTCCTCGGAGTAGATGACTGAGCGCCTCTGTCGGGCGGCCAGACGCCCAATTAAAGATACCCAAACGTGTGCCTGCCCGAGCGCGGACAGTGCTGTTTTAGGTTACAAGTCAAGCAATATAAGTTGTTGCGCCGCGGGTGCGCTCCAATACAGCCGCTCACAATCTGCGTCTGACGCAGTGCCCGCTTATGCATAGCCTGCAATGCAGAGGGCAATCTCCTCGTAGTACGTTTCTTGCCAATAGCCAGCATATCAGGTCCATCGGCATGAGCGCGGGGCCTTTCTCCCAGCACGACCCAGCAGCAAAACTTTGCTCATAGGAGAAATGCTACCCGTGCCTGTCTCTATATTCTCGATGCAGTACTTGGGCATCACAAGGAAAACCCCCATCTCACGGACACCAATCCTTACCAGCGCGTCCACAATGGGCTCAACCAACATTTTCGTAAGACGTCCAGAGCCAGCAATCCAGACCATTGACAAACGCGGTGACCTCTGGCTCTTGGTTGGAGAGGACATCAGCAGTGATGAGCACCCGGCCGCCAATTTCCAAGTTTGCTCCCGGACTTTGGCGCGATGCTCGCCAGTTTTCGACAGGATGCTTTTTGGAGGCTTCGTCGAATCCAAGAAAACGGGTTCCATGGCTGGACAGGATGCTTGGACGATTGATTTGCCTGAGGACGAGCCTACATATGTGAAGCACCTTCTCGACCTTATCCACGGCAATCTGAACACCTTAGGTCCCCAGAACCAAAGCGATGAGGAGCGCATCAGGTTTCTCTACGGCGTTGTCTGGGTTGCAGACAAGTACGCCGCGCTTCCTGCGATCCGCAGTTATGTGGTATCCTGGGCACAAGACTGCCATTTGTTCATCACTGGGGGGACACACGAAACTGCCACCACGAGGAGCTGGGTCCAATGCTGGCCTGGCTCTCGTACCACTTTGGCGATCAACAGGCATATGAGGCCATCTTGACAATCTTGCTCAAGAAGGTCTCCAAGACGAATGATGATGGTCATTCCCAGTTCATCCTGCACGAGATTCTGCCCATTCACTTGCAAGGTAACAGCAGCTCTCGTCTTGAGTCGCAGACCCTTCACTAATGGTTTCAACTTCATGAAAAACAGACACCATCGGCGAAGCACATGAGCAGGCACTAGAGGAACTTCTCCGCCCGACCAAGACAGCCCTAGGGATGTTGTCAGCCCGCATTCAGCAGGGTGTCACTGCATCAAACGCCCAGCCTCGAAACAAGACCAAATCAAAGAAAGCGGGGTACGCTGCAAGGCAAAATCCCGAGCTCGTGGAGCTGCTGCGAGAGGAGGACTTGTGGCCTCTTCCCGAGGCGACTACCACGACTCTCAGCCCTGAGGACCTCGCCCTTCGCCTTCACAACATTGCGAAGAAGCTTGATGGTATACTGAACCGGGCAGAACTGCCGAGCCGTGCGAAGTCCCAGTGGTTTGACGCCTTTTTCTTCTCGTATCATCACCTGTCCAAGTACGTTTACAAAGCCACACCCCAAGAGATCAACTTCATGAATACACAGCGGAATCGTCTGGGCATGAGCGGCAGTGGGAGTGGATCGTGGAAGAAATGGGCATATCCGGCTTGAGATGATATTCCAACAGCATACCATCTTCAATGCTTGTTGTGGCGCCAACCTTTGGCATCATAACCATGAATATTTGAGTTCCTAGTATCAGAAAGGGTCAGGTTTCATAATGAATAGATGTCAGAATAGCACGACTTTAAAGGTGGCAACCAATTCAGACGAGGAGCACCATCCCCGTCGTCTACGAGTATAGACAACCCGTATCGGGTAGTGGGACCCCGTAAGGCTAAAAGTGGGCTGCCTAAACAACATCCTTGTGCTCAGCCGAGCAAGGATGACGGATCTCCTCAACGTCCAACGCGGCGCAGGTGGTGCATGTCAGTCGCCCGCTTTTCACAATGACAACACGAGCTGGGAGTCTTGCTTTCTTGTAGCCCAGGCCGTCTTTGACCGTGGTTCAGATGCAGCATCTGCTCTGACCCTCCAACCCACGATCCTCGAAGCCAAATCATGGACAGATCCGCGAGGAGCCACTGGGTGCGCATCCCGCTCCGGGTCCCGGTGCTTCCCGCCAGTGATCCCACGCAGCACCTCGATGGTTTCCGGTCGAGCCGAGGCATCGGGCCGCCGCTCGGCACCCAGGCACCATTGCCATCGTCGCCATCACCGTCTTCGCCCCCCGAGCATGACCGCGAAACCAACAACGGCACCAGCGGTGGTGGCAATAACAGCACCACCAGCAGTACCATCCACAGTTTCCAGCGCCTCCCCAACGAGATTATAGCCCTGATCATCTCCTTTGTGCTGCAAGATACCGCCCCGCCAGGCCGAGTGTTCCACTTCAGCAACTACGCCTCCGGCGGGCAGCGCCACCGCGACCCCGTCGGCTTCCACAACATAGCGCAGTTCACCCCGCGCCGTATGGGCCCGACGGTCTGCATCTCTCGCTATGCCCGCGTGTGCAGGGCCTGGCGGGACCTCGTCTACGCGCACTTCTACGGCAGCCCGCGCAACGGCTTCCACTTCCGGATCTGTGGCGCCGGGCAGGACCGTGGCGGCGGCGGTGTTGGTGTTGATGGTGGTGGTAGTGGTGGTGGTGCTTGGCTCCGGTGGTATCACGCCGACTCGCGAGGTGATGTGCTGACGAATCTCGACGAGGTGCGTGATGGGCTGGAGAAGGGAGGGACGCAGCGCTGGCTGCAGGTCCTGAGTCGGGAGCAGACGGCTCGCCTGATGGAGCAGCGGAATGCGCTGGGCGTCCTGACGAGCCACACTGCGAGGTGGGTCAGGAGGGCGACCCTGAGTGTGTTTGTGAGAAGGACTCAAACCAGAGCGGACAATGACCACTTGCTAGAGCTGGTCGACAAGGCGGTCGACTTGCTCGGTGGGGAGAGGACGGGGTTGCGGGACTTGCAGGTCCAGCTGCACTATGATGGTGGGTATCAGTGTCAGATGTCGTACACGTTGCGCCTAGTGCCGACGACGGTGGAACGGCCAGACGACCGGCGGTGGTGGCTGGGCCTAGAGGACGGCCAAGAAGATGCGCAGCTAGAGAACGGAGTTGAGGCTCTGGAACTGGACACAATCGAGCTGACCAAGGTTGGCTGCTATGAAGCTCCCCTACACAGCACGACTGCGAGGATTCTGAACCCTCTGCTGAGGCTGAGGGGCGTACACAAGTTCGGCGTGGGTGGCTTGGTCACGGGAGACTTTTCGAAGCAGTTGACAGAAGCGGTCATGGAATCAAGCCCAGTTTGAATAAGTTCGCGGAACGATGCCGTCCATGTATTGAAGGGGCTAGAAACAAAGAGTGCCCACTGAAGCGCCAATGACGATTCCTTGTGGGACCAACATTTCGAGGTGATATCGCGACGGGAGTACTTGGCGTGATGAGACAGAGCACCTTAACGAGGGCTTCACCCCTGAAATATCTATGAGACAATGACCTGTAAGTTGGTCACCTAGACAGATGGTCGAAAATGTTGACTGCATCCACTTCCGAGCTAATATGCGAAACTACAACGTGTATCTACTTTTTGGGCTTCAACTGTTCTCTGGTGTTGACGATTGGCACGCCATTGTCATCCCTTGGAATCTCAAGGTCTCTTTCCCCGCCGAAAACGTGTCGCTCGAACTCTGATCGGATGTAGAAGGGTGTCTCGTCCTGTTCTCCTTTGTTGAAGAATTCCTCCCATTTCTCAAGGAACACCGGGGGTTGGAACATGTGTGCGTTCAACTCTTCCTTGTGTGCGAGCTGGTGAGGGAGGTAGAACCAGGGTGCGTATGGCAGTCGAAGGTAGGCAAGCATGACTGGTGTCATGACGCTCTCGCCCAGGTCACAGAAGTCGAGGAACTCTTCTTAATACTTGATTCTGGAGAGGTTGTTCCACAGCGTAGTGGATTCCATTAATTCTGTGAGCGCTGCTAGGCGGCTCGCCAGCAGTTCGTTGCGCTGGCAGTTCAATTCGACGATGCACACCCGACAAAGCGCCAAGTCAGCCTGTTGCTCCATGACAGAAGGACAGTACTGGTCATCGGACTCAAGAGCATCATCTGTGCACCGGACGTATCAGCTTATTGGTGGGTATAGATTGGGAAGCAGATGACCGACAGAGAAGCACGGCCCAGTCATTCGCAGCGGTGTTCTCTCTAACAAGCCTTTCAACCACAAGTGGGACAACCTTGGGACCCATCTTCTTGATGTGAAGGAAGGTGTCGGAGCGGTCGCAAGCGGCGGACAGTGTCGAGAACGGCGAGCCGCCTAAGGCAGACAGTTCGGCGTGGGCTGCGTCCCATCTTTGTTCAAAGTCGCCAACGAGGCCAGGTAGGTGCTGGGCAATGTCCTTCTGGAGCCCCACGATGAAGCCGAGGCCATCACTGGGGGCTTGTGCAGTGGACGTGGCAGACATGGTGGGCGAATCCTGTGAATCTGATGAATGCCCATTGAGGTAGTCTGAGCTTTCGAAGTCCAAGGTGGATAGAGACCGTAAGGCGACACCCGTGGAACAGTGTATGGGCTTACCTAAGCGCAAGTAAACCACCCTTAGGCACCAACAAAGTTCACCTGCATGCTCCCATGCACAAACAAACAAATTCAAGTTGGTTCCAAAATGATTCCTTTGGAGTGTCCCCCAAAGTCCAAACGCTCGGACCAACATGGGGCGCGGCCGCCGGGTCAGCCGGCCTGTTTGTTGGTTCGCTCGTCCACCGCCCGTAGTTCTCGGCAAAGTCCTGCTGAACAACAGAAGCGTAGGACTTTTCGCTTGGTGACAGGCGATTATAGAATACAGTTGACTAGTAAATGCTGGAAAGAAGCCACACTTCTCACACAACTTACATGTAGCTTAACTACCTCGGTATGTGCTTATAGGTGTGCTGGATGGCTGGACAGTAAGATGTTTGAACACATGACGAGGTCCTCAGAGTTGCGTGTGTTCACGCTTGTTCCTGAATTTGACACATTTGTCAAGCAGGGCAGGAAGGACCATCGTCAGTTGGCTTTGGTTGTTGACGCTCTGGCCGATAAGGACAAGTTCTTGGCTGTGCACCTTTTGATGTTAACCCAGCTATTGTGACACCGTCAGCAAATTCTGTTTCCTCAGCCTGCAACTGGCAATGATTATGTTGTAGATGACTAGATCGAAATCAACCTCGATTTTCGTGTGGATTCCCGTGCTATTACCAACTACTGCGTTCTGTGACTCCAGGCGAGTCTCATCGTCGAAATCAATAGTGGTCGTAATCTCGCTGCGTTCAAGTAAGACTTGTCGCCCAGCGATCCTGTTCATGTTATAGCAAGGAGTAAATTATATTCCCGGCGATCCGACAGTTCGGTTGTTACACTTCACTACGCTCTGTGTGGTTGTGCCCTCTGAACTGCATCATTGCATCGTTTTCGTTTTGAGTTGCATTTCAGTTATTTTGAGTTAGATATACTCTCCGACAAATATATTCCGCATGGCAATTGTCTAAGACGAAATTTATGGCGAAACCCGTTCGTGATCCAACATCGGAGCTAAGGCATGATCCAACTTTCCAGACGTTTGGAACGATGATGGGCTGCTCCATGCGCTAATGCGGGAGGCCGACCATGCACGTCGGTGGCGGGAGAAAGTTGGAGGCGACCCTCTCGACACTCCCCGCAGACCTGCTGTTGGGTTTCAAGCTCACATATATGAGGGCGCTCCCTCCCTGCTCGAATCCAAATTTGGCACCTTAGACAGTATGTCTGTCCCAGGCCTCCCCACCTCGAAACGGTATGCATACACAAGAATGAAGTCTACCGATAGCCTTGCGAATGCCGAGACCTTCACTGCCGAGGGCTCTCTCCACCTCCACGAGGAAGTGCCGGGCAACACGAGTCCCAACGGCGGCCTTCACGAGAGACTCTCCCATTCGAAGCATCCACGACTGCATCGAAATGCCTACCTAGGCGCCTTGCTCTTTAACTTTGCCTCATTCATCCTTCCAGCTCTATACGGGACTCTGTCCAAGCTATGGGTGGCCAACATTGACAGTTCTCTCGTGGTGACGACTGACAGCTACACTTACATCGGTGTGTTCGCCGAGGTCCTCAACGAGGGTCTCCCACGGGCCAGCTGGGTCATCATCGGTGACAAGGCATCGCGTTCTCTCGCCGAGCGTCTCCGCCTGACACACACTCTGATTGCGTTCCAAGCCCTGCTCGAGATTATCATGAGCATCGCCTTCGCCGCCGCAGCTGAGCAATTCGCACAGAGTTTTGTACCAGCCGAAGCACGAGCGCAGAGCATCACATACGTACGCCTCTCTGCATTCTCCGTACTCAGCTCGACCATCGAGACAGCTGTCGCAGCGGGCACAAGGGCACTGGACAAGCCTGATGTTCCGCTGGTGATCAGCTCGATCAAATTCGCAGTCAATATTTTGCTGGACATGCTGCTCATCTCGACATTCCACGTCGGATCGATAAACCCGACTGTCGATTTACAGGCGGGTATACAGCTCGCATGTAACTTGTCATCTGCGTTTATTGGACTCGGGTACTTCTTGTGGTTTCACACGAGACCAGCTTTGAAGAAGATTTCCTCTGGAGCAATCGGTCACCAGTCTCTGTCAACGCCAATCGCAGAAGCGGACAGAAACAACAGTGTCGCGCCAACTCTGAAAGCTCTGCTCGTCCTCGCCCGGGCTGGAGTGCTCACCTTCCTCGAGTCACTCATCCGTAACGTTCTGTATCTGTGGCTGGTTACCACCATCGTCGCATTGGGAAGTACATACGCGACAGCATGGGGCATTTTCAACACCATCCGTTGGGGCCTCGTCATGGTGCCAGTCCAGGCTCTAGAAGCAACATCGCTGACATTCATCGGCCACCGATGGGGAGCCTGGCGACGAGCACGCAACCTTGACGAGGCAAGATTGAACACCACCACCAACACCTCAACCACGACACCCGCCCGACCGCGAGACATACTCCACATCGCCATGCCTGCATTCATCTCCGTCGGCTGTGCGCTGGTGATCGAGGTCCCTCTCTGCATATTCCTCTCCTTTTTCGGCGCTCGTCCATTTGCCATGTACCTGAGCGGCGGTGTCAGCGACGTGGCCGATGTGACAGCCTACATGTGGCGCACCATCGACTGGTGCTACATCTTCTACGCCGTCTCGACACAGCTCGCCACCATCCTGCTCGCCACGAGGCCTAAGTGGTACCTGTGGCAGAGCCTGGCAAGCAACCTCCTTTACGTGCTGCCCTGGGCAGTCGTGTGCCAGGTTGTGCACTTGACGGAGGACGACGCCTGGAAGTATCATGGTCTGGTGTTTGGTGGGAGCCTGGTGTTCAGCTTTGTCGACGTTGTTGTTGTGGACTCGCTTTGGGCCTGGACGCTTTGGAAAGGAAGGGCGCGCTTGGAGAAGTTCCATGAGTCGTAAATGGGTCTCGACGTCCAGGGACGGTTGTTTGACGTTTCGTTTGCATAGTTTTCTGAGGGGTTTCGGGTTTCTACATTGAGTAATGGGCTGACAAAATCATACGGTCCCATGATTACTTACAGTTCAGCGCCTGATCCATGCTTGCCCGATAGGATCAATTCTGCCAAATAACAAGTGAACGAACACCCGTGGCGTTGCGAAGCCCTTCGGCCCGCGTTGGCATTGAAAGAGCGTTTGGATTTGCGGCCACCATTTGGCTCGACTCGGGCGCACATGGGGCGTTGGTTTAAGAACAAGGAGATCAGGAAAGCAAGGCATACGCCGTTCTCCGTAATCATCTGCAGTAGTATACCGGTATCATGATTTATTACGCCTCTGCGTGTACCGCTTTTTAGCATGAACGAGCATGTTGTGGCCGTCTGTTGACGATGGGTGCTGGCAAACGGCAAGGTTCAATCATAGGCCAGTTCAACCATAGTCTAAGACGAAGGCTCTGACGCAGCCAGGCATGAATCTCTTCAGGCAGCCTGCCAGCAACGCTTGACTTCAGCTCCAAGGCAGCTCCTGTCCATATATCTTATGACCCAGCTCATGCAGCCTTCTGCCCGTAATTCAGCACACCAAGTCGTCTTAACACTGCTTTTCTATCATCACGAATTTCTCCACGGCCGTCTTTCTTCCACACAGCTTTCTGTCGTTCCGCTAATCTCCACCGCCAGCATGGCCTCAAACGAGCTATGGTATGCTCGCTCTAGTAGTGGTTCAGGAGATGTTCTGACCCCGTCGGCGGAGTTCCAACTCGAGATCAGGGATTCCGCTGGCAAGGGCAAAGGCATCTTTGCGACCGCCGATGCGCCCATGGGCACCATTGTATTACAGGAACCTGGAGTTGTCGTTGTCGACCACTTTGAGCTGGGCGACATCGAGTTCCCTCGCCTGACCCAGTACCAAGACATCATCCAGCAATGGGATGCACTGCCAGACAGTATGAAGGGCTTCCTGGAATCTCTCCACTTTGCAGACCACTCGGAGACGACGCAGAGTCATTGGGAAACCTTCTTGAAGAGCCAGCCGAAAGAGGGTGACGAGGCGCCAAAGGAGCACGCACGACGAATCTTGGCGTTCTACAGCAACGCTCACGACTACCGCGGGTACGATGGCAAGCAGCAGCGGGCACTGTTCCCAGTGGCGTCACGATTCAACCATTCCTGCGACCCGAACGTGCTCGCAGAAGTCAGCAGGGCAGGCATCATGTACTACATCGCGACACGGGACATTCCCGAGGGCGAGGAGCTGCGCATCTCCTACGTTCCTCCGAATCACAACACGGGCTCGAGGCTGAAGGCGCTGATGGACGGATGGGAGTTCATGTGCGACTGCCCGCGCTGTGCGAGGCAGGCATTGCCGTCTCCACGTGTGGACTTTTCGCGTCTCTTCGCGTACACGTCGCTCGTAGAGCGCCATCACGTCATGATCGAGGTCAGCATACTCGAATGGCGAGAGGAGCTCTGGCTCTGGATGGATGCTCATCTCCACAGGATTGTGGTTGCCCAGGCAAATGATGACCCTCTGACTCTCTACTTCTCGTGAGTGCGCTCGCTTGATCAAATCGTTTGATGACTACGCGCTTTGTTCCTCCCTCATCAACACCGCGAGCGGCTCATGTTTTGCGATAACACACTGACCACAGCTACAATGTACAGATTTCGCTCTATGGCTTCCGCCTTCAAGATCCTAGCTCGGGACTATCCTCCCAGCATCTTCTACCCTGCCGCTGTCTTTGCGCAAGAGTATTTCGAGTACTTGGAAGACGCGACCGCAGTGGCGAGGGATCGCTTGAGCGAGTTTCCGGTCTTCGCGGTGGTCTGCGAACAAGAGATTGAGATACGCGCGGAGATTCACGAGCTTCTCGAGTCAGCTCAGTTGGGCGATTACGATCTTTGACAGGTTTCCGTATGGCGGAACACCTTCAGCGGGGATGTCTCGACTACTCGTTGCCGACCCGCCGTGTGTGCGTTCCCGTCACGGTTGGAGGGTCCGCAAACTGATCACGGTCTCCAGTACCATACCTTTCGACCACCGGCCTGTCTCAATTACGACGGTGCCATCTTACGTATTCGCCTCTTGAGTACTTCACATCGACCCGTGCCTGTCCCGTGATATATTTAGCCAGCCACCGCCGAGAAGGACACGATCTCGGTATTTGTCCTCATCGCCGCGCAACGCACCGACAGAACTAAACGTTTGATCTCGGCTTTTTCACCGGAGGAAATGAAACGCCGCGGAGTCACTGCCGGGGAATCTTTATGCCAGCCCCAAGGGCATTAAGCCATCTTTCATATCGCACTTAGACCAATAGATCGATGCTTTTGATAAGTCTTTCTTGATCGTGACGTATTTCGTGATCAAGCTCTGTGGAACCTGGTAGAAACCTTTGGTGATCGATAAATGATGAATGGTCACAACTTGTCTTACGCGCGGCGTCTTTATTGCAATACCAAAGAGATGCCTTTCACTAAACTCCAATCCAAAACACAAGGTTTTATATATATCAATCAAGAACGCCAACCCTTAGGGTGTTGCCAAGGCTTGACCACCTCTTCGCTAGTACATGTTCCACTTTCGCAAGCTCTAAGAGGTAACGCGACACCCGAATTTCTTAACGCAATCTGCAGCCCACCATCCCCAGTAGTGACAGTGATTACGATTTTCGGTGAAACTTTAGTCGTAGATGAAACTGTCGGATTTGTTCCTCAACTTTAACCAATTCCTGCCGTCTGGTATTTTGGGTCTTTCTTGCAGTAGATTTTGCAGGAAGTCCTGTTAGCCCACCTGTTTGCTTCGAAAGTTCTTCCCTGCCCTTTTCGCTTTGACGCTGGCAAGTTTTACTGCAGGACGCCAGGCAGGCGACCTTGGGAGTAGTGTCCCAGGCACTTCCTAAGAGTTGTAACAATGAAACAAAATCCATGGCAGCTAGATCTGAAGAGACGAATATTTACTTACATCAAGCACGCAGATTGAGCCCCAGTTATGGTAAAGCACACGACTGCGTGCCGCGTCACAATGTCCAGCAAAATTGCTCCATTCTTCACGATCCGCAACTCTCCAGGCAAGGGCTTGGGAGTATTTGCCGCAACAGCGATATCACCCGGCCAGGTCGTTCTTCAGGAATCACAAGTCATTCACTGCAAGTATCTTGCGCGCCCAGATGACCCTCGCCAATTTGAGCAACACCGCAACGTCCTGGGCCAGTGGAACGATCTGCCGTCAAATCTGAGGACTCACTTGGCAGCCTTACATGTCGCAGAAGACGCGCCAGGAGCTCGTGCCTACCTCAGGACTTTCACCCAACGCGAGCACGCGCACCCGCTGGCGATCTTCTACTCAAACAGCCACATCTATATTGATATTGAGTCAAAGCCCCGCCGAGGCCTGTTTCCACTGGCATCGCGAATCAACAACTCCTGTGAGCCAAACTTGCTCCACGACATAACCAGCGACGGCGTCATCAACTGTGTGGCCATCCGCGACATTGACGCGGGCGAAGAGCTCACAATCTCCTACGTTGGCTCGTATCTCACCAACGAAGCCAGAAAGAAGCACTTCCGTGGGTTGTGGGACTTTGAGTGTGATTGCCCCCGATGCGCAGGAAGACTGAGGTTGCCGCAAACGACTGAGCTGCCGGGTATCGGTACCTTCGGCGACGTCTTCACAGCAGAAGACCTGCAGAAATCATTGTCGCCACCGGGGGGCATCGACTTGCGCGAGCTCTGGTCTTGGATGGCGCTTCAGCTGGCGCGCATCAAGTACTTTCAGGAGAACGGGCATGTCTCCCGACTCTACTTCGCGTGAGTACTCCCTCCCCGTATTTTGCCGATGCAAGATTGCCTTCGCTATTCAAACACGTTCTCTCCGCACAGACCACTAATGCGAGACTTGCCAGGTATCGTTTGATGGGAGACATCATGTTCTTTCTCCAACGGACCTTCACACATCATTTATTCTTGCACGAAGCGATCGATTACTATACGAAAGCACGAAACATTGCCGATCAGCTCGCCAGTAAGGCACCGACCCTGGTTGGTGTTTGCGAAAGCCGATTGGCAGTACTCAATCAGATGTGTCGTGACCAGGCCTGAGGCAAGACTAAGGGTTTTGAGTGGGCTGCTTCGACTACAGGTTGCTAGGCATAATGATGCGCACAATGATTTTTCAGTGTGATGCCAAGACAAGAACTCGCGGCATTGGCCAAGGTTGAGCAGGTATTCTCATTACCCACCGTATGGAGCTCTCTGGGATATTAGTGGGAATGCAAGGGGCCGGCGAACAAATACTTTAGCAAGACGCTAGATTTTGTCCTCCACCCCTCCCATACAATATGTTCATCAGATCACGGAAGGTCGACCGGTCGACGGATTGCGTTGTATGAGACTGTGGATAATTTGACAAGTGCAATGACAAATACTATGAAATAGTCATGACACTCGACTTTCTCTATGAGCATTCTATGTATTCCAAGTCAAGTCGTCGAGAAGGTGCGAACCACAGATGTACATCGTGCTCCCCGTTTCCAACAATCAAATTCTTCTGCCAGCCTCCCTTCAAACGCAATCTCAACGGTGCAAGCTGCCGGCCCGCTGCCTCGGCACCCCGCGCTGCTGCTCGCTCCTCTTCCTCTCCAAGCCCCAGTCATCCTCGTTCAGCCTCCTGTGCTCGGGCAGCACCGGCTTCCCGCCGAGGCTCTCCAGCACGACCTTGCTGTCCGCCGTGAAGTCGTCCATGACCTGCAACTCCCTCAGCGTGAACCACCGCGGCATGAGCAGGATCCGCAGGGGCATGAGGAGGAGGATGAGCACGGGGAACCCGATTGCCGCGATGGTGTGCGAGACGGCGACGCAGGCGAGCACGCCAAACATCTGCAGGGAGATGTACAGGCTGATCTTGCGCCGCGGGACGCGCAGGAGGGGCTCGTCACGTTGGATGAAGCGCTCCTCGGCGTTGAGGAAGAGGAATTTCTGGAGAATGCCGTTTGACTCGATTGATCCCCACTGGGTTCAAAGGCAATCCTGAGTGTTAGCTACAGCTGGTCTGACCACAAGCACCGTGTAATTATGGGAGTGTTGCGATGACTTACACCAACGACAAAGAACACGCCGGCAAAGACCGCCGCAGGCATTGTATGAAGCACTGTCAAGAGTGGACCGGTCATGGTGCCGATGAGTAGCAGGCCCATGAGGAAGTGCGTGACGCGCTGCTCGACGACGGCCTCGGCGCGCACGATAGGTCGTCGGATTTCTCCCGCCTCTACACCGTCTGAGGCTCGGGAGGTCGGAATGATGCGGAGATCTGTCTTGTAGACTGTGAGAGAGTCCGTGTGCACGGGTGCCTGCATTTTGATTTAATGTGTGTCAGACAGAGTCTACCCATACATTATAGCCTGCCGGCAAGCTAAGGGTTTGATCAGTGGCTCACCTGCGGCACGAGACCGTTGGGCATCGGCAGACCCAGAATGCCGGCGACAAAGGTCGTGCACCCGAGCAGGAAAAAGTCCCAATGGAAGCCACCGGGCTTCTTCAGAGGATAGTGACGAGCCTGTGCTGTGATGCTGCTGACATTCTATGTGTTTTGTCGCCGGTCAGCTTGGAACTGGCATGGGCGCTAAACAGCATCTGCTAGCAGCAAGACTCACATGATCATAATAAAACAGCAGCATCACCAGAAACCCAAATGGCAAAGCCACAAACACCCATTTGACGTCCAAATTCCAGAAGTCAATGAGCCAGCTTCGCGACTGAGTGGGGTAGAACGCGGCGGTGACGGGCACTCTAGTCACATGCGTTGACTTGAGAGTCCCTGGGATGTGAGAAAAGCCAACCCAGAACAGTGTGGTGAACTAGACGAGGCAAGTGGTCAGTACTGCTTTACCCCATGTCAAGCTGCTAAAACCACAAAGCGCCAATAGCATCACGAGACTTACTACATAGGCATAATCAGCCAGGAAGCCACGGAGGGTGGGGTTCCATGCGGTGCCCGAGCCGAGCTTCTCAAGGCCATAGACGGAGCCGAAGTACAGGATAGCAATGATGCAGGCCAGATAGCCAGCAGCAGCACCTTCTTCTGTGAACTCATTGACGAGCTCTTCTACCCCCTTGACTGCAGATAGGAAATATCGTAAGCGTGGCTGCCCACGAAGTGACCATAGGACGGGCTATAATTTCATAAAAGAGGTACCCACTGATATAGATGATTCCGACATACATCCCAAACGACTCGCTCGAAAAGTCCGTGACGTATCGCATGTAATCGCACGCATTCAAGACCGAGACAAGCCAGTGGAAGATGGCCGCCCAGATGCCCGTCCACGCCATGAATTGAGGATAGATTGTGACATCGTACTCGGCAATGATGTCGTAGATTGTAAAGTTGAAGAGCGAGATGAGACCAGTCACACCGACGATGGTGAGGGGCTGGGCGCCGAGCAAGCTAAACACAATGGCGGCAAGTGCTGATGCAAAAAGTGCCTCGTTGATGCCGAAGAACTCGCCTGTACGGCGGTACATATCGAGCGTGTAGGCTATAGCGGGAAGGAGGCTGCCGAAGTGAGAGATGTGAGCAGGTTGGTCTTAGATGGCTTCCGGCAGAAGTTGTGGTCTTCAAAGTGGGGAGGACCTACTTGACAAAGTACATCCGAATCGTGCTGGCAATGGTTCTGTAGGTGAAAGCGTCTGTGATGTCGGAGAGGTAATAAGGTAGTCGACGCTTGACATCGTAGTACATGCCGCGGCCTGGTTGGAGGACTCGCCAGCGACGCCAGCCTCTCTGGTCGTCAAAGCTGTACGAGCCTTTTGTCTCCTCCCGCCGGAGTTGTGTCTCTTCTGTCGACTCGCCAGACTCCATGACTGGCAAAAAGTCAGATAGCCACTTGCTGCTGTGGTGAAGATAGAACTTTTGGTAAACGTAAAGTCGCTAGTCACGACCTAAGCTGAGCAACAACAGTATTGGGAGATGGATGTACAGAAAAAGCCGACATGGGACAACCAACACCGCGACAGTGGCAGAAGATACGGCTCAGGTCTCATATAAGCTGAATCATACACTCGGCGTCACAGGGCAGTGGCCCCCTGTGGCAATTTCGCGCAAGGGGCTCCCGGAGTGAAAGCAGCGGCCGCAATGCATACGAAGCACCCATCTTCGCCGAAAAAGCCAGGACAGCGCGGGATGCACCGCAGGCAAGCGCCACCAGGTCGGCTAATTTCAGCGGTTCACTACTAACATGGTGGGATTTTACGTCATCCCGATGCCGTGTTGGTGGCCCGATAGAGTTTGCGCCAGGGTCCGCCGGGGCGCAGGGCTTGTCGCCGGCGTCGATGGCACGACACGATCTGCCTGGTCTCCGGTCGGCTGCCCAGAGCAGACCGGGACTTGCCACCATGGTAGACTGCCCGGGCAGAAGAAATTTGGCCACGGGCTTGTGACCACATCGTCCCGTGCCCTGCCAGGGTCTCTGCCAACACCCGTGGTCACTGGGCGCCGCTGCCACGGTCGTCGCCTCCCCATTCGCTTCTCACGGTGGTTTTCTTGGGTGTTTACTCGATTGGCTCTTGGTGCGCAGGCTCGGAATTTACTCGCACGAGAAGCTTTCGTGGCTCAGGACAGAAATCATGAATGCAAACTTCACCACTCCTTGGACATTGTGCTGGTCAAAGTGATGAAAGGCAATTGCTGATGGAAGAGCAAGCAACAGGGCCTGGCGTCAGCAGCTCAACCCAATGCACCCAGGGGATCCGCCACAAGAGTTTTAAGCAGAACTACACCACCCTGATTCACTGACACCACAACCACAGAGCATCGTATGGAAAACTCGGTGAATCTGATCTAGGCACGGAGAAGCATTCTTCTGGCGGCGGGATATTTTCAGCAAGCTGAAGACAGCCCCTGAGACTTGTTCCCGCCCAAACAAACGCTCGAGTAAGCCTAGAAGGTCTCGTGGCCACTGCCCGGCTGCCACACCGCCAGGCCTTGCCCCGCGAGACTCACAAGCCTCTTGCACAGCCTGCTCATCTCAGCGGCCACCACGTAGCTCATCCCACCATTGCGCTGTTGGGCAGAAGTTGAGTGTGTGGTTTTTCCTCGCCAGAATTGCCCGCCGTCGGACCTACCTTGATTTCCAATCCCGTACACAATGGCACAACACTTTGACCGTACGCTGTGTTCAGCTAAGTACAACGTGACAGACAAGCCAGGTAATCTGCCGGGCTTACGTCCCTATTACCGGTGTGTAAGAGAGAGAGGGATTGAGTGGGCGAGCATTACACTTTTCCTCAATTTCCCGGTGACAGCCCCCCATCGCGAGGTTTTGAATTCGACATGAATTGGGAGCCTTTCCCGCGCAGTTCGATGAGGCCATGGAAGAGCTTTTCAAAGCTGTCTTGGGGCCTACACTGGCCTGCTGTGTCCTCTACCCATTAGATGGGCACGCCAAAAAGTACATTTCTCCCGCCTGGAGAACACATCCAAGTTTGGGCAAAGAACACTGATAATCATGGAGGCTCAGTCCTCAATTCACGTAGCACGAATATTTTAAGCTTGTCGAATTCAGCTTTTTCTACTTCGTCCTCCAGGCAGGTCCGGAGAGAGAGGAAGAGGGGCAACTGCAATCGGATGCTAGCATGATTCGGGTGCAAGGAACTGTGTACGGGCAAGCTGAAGGAAGAGTCCAGACACCGAGGGAAATGGCCGAGTCTTCTTGATATGTGAATGCGAGTTTGTTACGTGCAGGGAACTCGGCCACGGTGCCGACTTCCAACCATGTAGGACGTCCGGCTCCGGCTGAAAAGGTGTTTGATACAAAACCGCTGGGGCACAACCACCTCCCGTCTCACGCCAGGGCATCATCAAACTGTGTACAGTTTTATCTGGAATGACGAGCAGCTGTCTCTATGGTTTTATTTGCGCTCCAGGCAGCGCTGCTGAAATGTCTGCACTGGCGGCCCTGAACATTGACAGACTCAGCTGGATATACATAAACCAACTCTAGTCTCAATAGAGACAGCGAGTCTCTGCTCGGGGCCCCTTGCCACTGAAGCCCATGCCAGCCTAAGAGCCCAAGTTCTACCGCAGCCCAAGCCAGGCATAACCCCCGGTTGCAACAACATGTCCATTGCACAACCTTCTAGTGCTTCACCTCGTAGTCCTCGTCAGGCAGGTACAAGTGCCTATCGGCGCCCTTCTTGGTAAGGACGACCATGCGGATGACACCGCCGGAGCTGCCATCCCACTTGATGGCCTCGCGCAGAGCCCCCTTGACAAAGTCGACAGCCTCGTCCTCCTCCATGTCCTCCTCCCAGTTGGCGTCACAGTAACCATAGATGTATGTCGAGCCGGAGCCGCCGATCGCGTAGGCCTGCTTGTGTAGCGAGCCGCCAAGCGGGATCGAGTAGACCTGTCCGCCGTGTCGCTCGTCCCAGCCGGCGATAATGAGGCCAGCGCTAGAAAAGAGGGCGTTGTTGTGTTAGCTATCTGGACTGTGTGTGCGTGCCTTGAATCATGGGGTGCTGCGACATGGCCTCAGCGCAACATACCTCAAGCGGTCCTTGTTGCTGTAGCAGATCTCTTGGAAGATGGCTGCGGCCGTCTGTGTGGTAGGCGGCTTGCCATTGCGCATGTGGAACATGCCGAGCTGGTACTGTACAATGTCGGCGACGGCTTGTGTGTCGGCGGCAGAGCCGGAGCGGCAGCACCAGATGGTGTCGGCGACCCGCGTAAGCTTGTCTGTTACTCTGTTGGCGATGTAGGCGCCTGTTGTGGTTCTCGAGTCGGCGCCTGGCAGTCGGAATGGAGGTTAGTGATGGGGTCTGTCGCTGTGATGTCCTGGACGACCGATGAGGCTCTTAACAGGGCCATGGCACGTACCGAGAATGACGCCGTCCTTGAATGTGACCGCCATGCTGTCAGGTTGTCAGTATTGTGTGCTTGGTCGCATTCGTTCGTTCGTTCCGTCGGCAGGGTCGCTCACATGGAGGTTCCGAGGCTGGAGGGCGCAAAGACGTTAGCACTTTGATCTCGAGATGACGCTTAGGCAGGGAAACACCGCTTACTTGACCTCGCCCTTCTTTAGCCTGTCCATATCCACATGGATACCATCTGCAGCGAGTCCATGTCAGCCAGGCTTGTCCAGACAGGGCAGCCGCGTTCGAGGGTAGCTTGGTGGGATGTCGGGGTGTGGGCGCACCTTCGTTGAGGACACCAGCGTTGCCGAACTCCATGTCGGCGGTTTGGTCGGGTTTCTGGGTGATTTGGCCGGTTCTTATGACTTGTCTGCAGCACAACGTAGAGCTGGAGGTGTCGTTGCTGGTGTGTTGGCGGCGCTGCTGTGCTGTATTGACGCTGAATGAAGAGTGACGAGCAGTGTTCCTGGGTGGAGCATTGACGTTGGAGCTCCAGCCTCGAGCTCGAGCACCAGGCAGCTTGTGCACGCGTGGGCTGGCGGGCGAGGCGGGGGCGTGCGTAAGACAGTGTGTTCAGTGCTATCCACACCCTAGGCACTATGGACAAGCTGATGTCCCCATTACTTCCTCTCCGTCTCGCCCATGGATTCCTTGCAATATGTGGAGATACGGACAGGATTGACGAAAAGGCCCCTGGTGCAAAGTCAGGATTGAGAGAGAAACGTGCACCTGGATTTTGCCATGTCTCTGCTGCGAACGAGGTGTAGTCTGGTGTGACGTGCAACATAAGAGACACCGAAAATCAGATTGACATTTGCACTGCTAGATCTTGATGACGAAGCAGAAGAGGAACAAGGGCGTCTATGCAGAAAATCTCCCCCCGTAATGCTCTAGGTATTCAAACAACGACTTCAACTAGGAGGCATGCCCTGCCCCAACGCCACGCAATGCCTGAAAGAAAATGGAATGCTGATGCTCCGATATATACTGCAGAATACGCTCTCTTACAAAACAATGTCATTCTGGGAATCCACGATTTCAGTTAGCCACGCTGGACGAAGACGGCCGGTTATCAAAACGGTGGAGAACTTACCCTGCTTCAACTCCGCCTGCGCCTCTGCACCCTCCTTCTTCTTCTTCCCATCCTCGTCGCCACATCCGCAGTCGTAAAAGTCGCCAATGTTCTGGCAGTTAAACTCGGGCTTCTTGAGCCTCTTGTTGACCTCGTTGTGCACGAGACAGGCCCAGCCCGCAGCGTTGTTGCGCGACGAGACTTGTGGAGGGTATTTGGCGAGAAGCTGCTGGAAGTGCCGGGCGCAGTCGCCGCAGGGGTACAGGCGGGCGAAGAGGTGGATGTAGGACTTGAGAGCGAGGGAGTCGTCTTCGGTTGGGTGCTCGGGGAAACGCGCCATCATGGTGTGGAACAGCTTCCAGGAGGCACGGCCGAGTTCGGCTCTGTTTGAGAAGAAAAGGGGGCAACCGTTAGTGGACGTTCAGTCGCGAAGCTGGTATGGAGTGGGACATACTTTGCCGTCGCATTTTCGAGCTTGGGAGCAATGACTTTGCCCTTTAACAGATCCGCGGACAGACCGCCAACGTCGAGAGTGTCTTGTGGAGGAGGACTGCTGCTTTGCGACAGGCCTGGGTGGGGGATCACGGAGGTGGTAGAGCCGCCCATGGACATCATGAAGGTGAGGCCGAGGAAGCAGGCGACGGCCATGATGACCATGATAGACAAGTGCCTGGCCATGGCGACGTGGAAGCCTTGTGGCTCCTCGAGGCGACTCGTGGCGATCGGGAATCGTGGGGTTGGACGATGTTGGTATTGATCGTCGTCGCAAAAACAGGGGCCGGAGAAGGCGGACTGGCAACAGTGGAGTTGCCGTGGGAATGTCGGCGCAGCCGGGCGATGGTGTATGGGCAAACTCGAAGCGCTGCGGAAGCACAAGGAGGGGGGCACGACGATTGGGGTTGAGTGCGAAGAGCGTATGTTGATGAGACGATACAAGAAAAGAGAGGAAGTCGGGAATGTCCCCTGTGGCCATTGTGAAACGATGCTCAGATGACAAGGCCCAGCAACTTTGGCATCTGCCAGGGTCCGGACTGGCAGCTCCGCCCCACCCACCACCCACGGCTGCATCCGACCAGCCGCATACATGTGCGAGCCGACAGGGACCACCCAACCATTGGATCACTTGCGACACAGGCACGACACGATGGGCAAGCAAGTCTAGTACATGACCACAATGTGCATCAATTAATTGTCATACACCCAAGGGTTATATTTACCTAAGTATAGTACAGTGGTCTTGTCACACAGGATAACACGTCCATGCTACAGCCAAACTACAGCTTCGCAAATGGGTTGCGAGAATGCCTGAATCGGACACCTTCGACAAGCAGAGCGGCGGCGAGGGCCATTGATCCAGCATAGAACATTGCCCTAGACAGCACGATTTGGGGATCTTGTCAGTATGGCCGTGGGCCCATGGTACCGGGCCAATCAAGGGCATTGAGCACTTACGGCCTGTATGCCTGGAAGCCAGCCTCTTGTCCGCCATATGCCGCCAGCAGGTAACCGGCAATGGGTGCTCCCTGCCACCACGAGGCCGCCAAGTATTAGCTGATATTGTTCCAAGTTGCGTAGTCTTTTTGAAGGGAATACCCCTAGCCGACTTACCATGAGATAACCACCAGCCCAGCTCGTGACAATCATGCCCATTGCCACGCCCATCCTCGCAGACCCAAACACGTTGCCCACAACCGTCGGCATGGTCGAGAAGAACCCCCCGTTTGCAAGGCCATTCACCACCACAAACACTGCCAGCGGCGCCAGCGCCACCGACACGGGCCACACCACGAGCATGCTGATGGCGCTCAGCACAAGAGACAGGAAGAGCGCGTTGAGCGGGCCAATCAGGTCGCACAGTACGCCCGACACGATCCTCCCGACCGCGGACGCGAAATTGAAGCCCGCGAGCAGGCCGGCGCCCGTGGCGGACGAGAGGCCGATCGCGTTGGCGTACAGCGGGATGAAGAACGGCGGGACGAGCAGCGGGAAGGTGCCGATCGCACCGGCGAGGAAGACGAGGACGAAGCTGGGGTTCTTGAAGAGTCGCCTTTCCCCAACGCATAGTCACACATGGTCAGCGTATGCCCAGCAGCAGAAATGGAAACAGGAAAAAAAAATAAAAATAAAAAAAAAGGTCAGGGCTACCCACCACTCCACGAATGCACCACCTCGGGGACTCTTTGTCCGCTCCTTGACGAACCACGCTGCCGGCAGTCCCGTGGCCAGACAACTCAGACCCAGGACGCGAAATGACCAGGCCGGGCCGAGTTTGCGGAGCAGCGGGTCGAGGGCGATGCTGAGAACTGCACCGCCGAAGCCGCCGCCGGCAAAAACCATGCCGTTGGCTAGGCCGCGCTTCTTGACGAAATACTGGGCGGGAGTGCTGCTAGTGATCTGCGGTGGCTGTGAGCCTGTCCATTTCTCAACAATGGCTTTGCAGGGATTTCTAAGCAATGGGCTCGGAGGGATTGTCTTACAATGAAGCAAAGCCTGTGATCGTGGAAAGTGACGTCTGTGTCAGTAAACTTTACCCAGAGCATACTAGATCACCTTTCGCCGCACCTCGACCGTCACCCAAACTTCCAAGCAGCTTTCGAACCACAGCCGACCCTGGCATTACAGATGGATGAAGAGAGAGAAGAAGACTCACCCGGAACCCAAACCTCTGAGTACACCCTCCGTAACGAATAGCCCGCCAACACTGCCCTTGCCCTCAGGTCCACCCTCGACGACAAACCCACTCAACACCCCGGAAACCCCAATCATCCCGATGCCCAGCAGCGCCGCCCACTTGACGCTTATCCGCCTCGCGACTCTGGCATTCAACACCGCGACGCTCGCGAGGATCGTGGTCGAGCAGCTGCCCACGAACGACAGCACCGCCGGGCTCGCCAGGCTGCCGTCCTCGGCCGCCAGATGGCCCTGAACGACGCCCCACGAGTAGCTCGTGCCGATGACCCACCACGCCAGCACGGAGCACGCGGCCACGACGACCCAGCCGTATCCGCCCTCGGGGACGGACTGGTCCGCGAGCTGCGAGGCCTGGAGGACCGGGTCGTTGTCGTTGTCGCTGTTGTCGGCGGTGGCGAGATGGGTAGAGGAGCCTGTGGCGTTGCGGTTGGACAGGGGCGGTTGGTGGCGGTTCGATCGCTGGTCCAGCTCGATTGCCGTGGACGTCGACGTTGACAAGGTTGTAGTCGTCGCCATTTTGTAGCGACTGGGAGGCCGACCTTTGTGCTTTCGTATGGTGTTCTACTCTCTCGCAGTATCCCAGCCTTCCCTTCTCTCTGGTTCGACTGTGTACTCGCTGTGGCCCCCGAAACCTTGCCGTAAATCTCTCGAAATACTGTAGCGCTGCACAAGTAGGTGGTGGCTTCCGTCCTTCCACGAGCGGAGCAGACGGAGTTTATATCCTCCTGAATGAGAATTGCGAACAGGAAGTGAGTCGAGGATTTCCCCTCCCGATTCACAGAAATAAGTTTCAGTCGTTGTTGTGCGTGGCAACCTCTGAACGAGACGAAATCTCACACTCTCGGCGAGCCGAGATGGGAAAGCTTACGAACCCACCCTCAAATTAGGCCGGGTCCGGATCAGGTCAAAAGGCGTGCGGCGGCCCCACGTGCGCCCTTCCGATGACCGGGCCGGCCGCTTGTTTGGCGGCGCGGCAGGGGTTAAGTTCGCTTGTAAAGTCGAAATCCAACATCATGGTAAGTGCCCTTGTTCAATATTTTTTTTTTTTAAGAATGGGTTTATTTCCGTCAATTGATTACATCCATGTGCCAGATATCACGTCAGCGTCAGGATCTAAAAGCCCGGCCTTTTTGTGTTGTGTGGGTACGAGTCCTAGCCGACGGCTACGGAGCTTTCTCCCCTGACGGCGGCGGGGACGGGTGGGCACTGCTAGGCCCGAGCCGGTGCTGGTTACACTGAGTCACCCGGCGGGAACAGGCCTCCTTGTTCCTGGACTCTGATGGCGGAGCCTGGCCCTTTCCTTCTTCCGCGTGAGTTCCAACAACGGGCTAGCTTGGTATCTACAGTATTTCACTGGACAGTACGAGAGTAAACGGCAGAGACAGATTTCGTGATCATGATGATGATTTGCGGGTGAATGCAACCGATTCTAAAAGGGGTATCGTGAAAAACCTCGCTCCCCCGTGAGCGCAGCCACTCCCCGGGAGGGTGCGCAAATGCACACTTACACACGTCTAACAGCCCGCCCGCAACCCCCCAATACACACACACACACACACAATACAACTCCCAAGCCCACACATGGAGCAATAGCAGCCATGCTGCTGCGACAGCACCCACCCCCAAGGTGCCCATCTACCTCGCATCGCCCCCAGCAAACAGCCCACCCTGCGCGGCACTGCTATTGTTGTTCTTCTCCACATCCGAGCCGCCGCTGCTCCCGATAGTTGACCCCCGGGCATTGTTCTCCTGGAACGACGTGCGGGCCTTGTCCTCATCCGACGCCGACGCCGACGACTCCTCGTCCAGGATGAGCAGCTCGCCGTTCTTGTCGTACCGGCGGGGCTCGTCGCGCGCGGCCTGCACGACGCTGAAGTAGCCCTTGACGCCGCCGTGGCCCTCGACGCGGTGGAAGATGCAGTCAATCTCCTCGAGCGAGCGGTACGCCGTCTCGGGCCAGAAGAGGTGCACGCAGACAAACATGAAGGCGTTGATGACGGCAAAGATGACGTACGTCTGGTACCCGATGGTCTCGAACGCGACGGGCGTGATCATGACGACAAGGAAGTTGAAGATCCAGTTGGCCGAGGTGGACAGGGCGTTTGCGGGCGCGCGGATGCGCAGGGGCACCACCTCGCTCGGGTACAGCCAGGGGATCCCCAGCCAGCCGAACGCGAAGAAGGTGTTGAAGACGAACAGGAACACGATGGCGGCGATCTGGGTAGACGGCGAGGTCGCAGAGTTGACCCCCGCGAGGACGGCCATCGTGGCCGCCTGGCCCGCCGCGCCGACGAGGAGCAGCTTGCGCCGGCCGACCCGCTCGATGATGAAGACCGCCGGCCACGAGATGAGGAAGTACTCGGTCGCGATGCACGACGCCAGCAGCAGCGCCATGAACTCGGACATGCCCAGGTTGGCGCAGATGACGGGCGCGTAGTAGGTGATCAGGTTGCAACCCGAGATCTGCTGGAACACCTGGCTCATGTAGCCCAGGAGCGCCCGGTGGAAGTTGCGGTCCTTGTTCATGGTGAAGACCTCGCGGAACGAGCCCTTGGACGACTCGAGAGCCGCGACCTTGATGATGTCAAACTCAACCTGGACGCGCTTGTCCTCTGCGGGCAGGTCCGCGAGCGCGGCAAGCACGCCGCGGGCCCCGGCCTCTTTGCCCTTGAGGATAAGCCCTGGTGAGACGGAGTTGGTGTTGTTAGTCGTTTTTCTTCAACTTATAGCGCGCGGCTTCGAAGAAAGATATGCTTACATCTAGGGGACTCGGGTAGACCGCCGACAAACGCGAGGATCCAGAAGCAGAAGAAGCACTGGAATGCCAGCGGGAACCTCCAGGATACAGAGGAACCAACCAAGCTGAAGCCCAGGTCGACCCAGTTGCTGACCATGATTCCACCCGCGATGAGAGCACCTGGACACGGCAATCAGCGACGCCGCACCTTTCCAGCAAATAAATTAGGTGATCCTGCAGTGCTTACCCTCAATCATCACGAGCTTGCCACGCTTGTGAGACTTGGACGTCTCGGCCTGCCACGTAGGAACGGTCGATGTATTCAGGCCATTCCCCACGCCCGTCAAGATCCTGCCAAAGATGAAGTGCGAGAGGGTAAAAGCCGAGGCCTGCAGAGCGGCGCCGACAACCATGATGGACGTGCCGAGGATGATCATCCGCTTCCGGCCGATGGGGTTGCCGATCCAGATGGCCATGATGGCGCCCAGGAAGCAGCCGAGGTTGTAACACGACACCGCGATGCCCTGGTATGTCGACGCCGTGGCGGCCTCTGCCGCCGAGAGCCCCGCCGCGCGCGGGTTGATCGACGGAAACGTCTCGAGGAAGTCGTGCATCGTCAAGATGCCGCCCATCACACCTTGGTCATCTGTACAAGACATTAGTACCACTGAGTACAAACAGGTGGAGGATTAGGGGGGGACATACAGCCAAAGAGGAGGAAGTCAACGCCGGCAATGAAGCTGATGGCATAGTTGAGCTTGTTGCCGCGGAGGCCGAAGAAGTTGCCCATCGTGAGATTCGTGGGGAGGCGTGGTGGCCCGAGTTGTGGGAGTGTGACTAGTTCGTGACCAAACACAGATCGACAAGCGCCTGTCTATCAGAGAATGGAATTCCACAGTCCTTTATACACTCGACTGCGAGAGCCAAGAACCAGCCAGCCCGGGTATTTCCTGCGACTCCTTGGTTTGCGGGCGCCGGTGCGTTCTTGCCCCACGTCATCGCTAGTCCCTGTATCTCCCAAAGTGCCACAAAGTCGATATCTTGGGCCAAGACCGCATTTCCCCAGCGAGTACAGGGGGAGTGGGCCACTGGCCTTGAAAAGTCAGGGTCTGTCCTGGCAAGCAGGCATGCATGCTCGCGCGGGTTGGTCGCTGTGGTTGGGACTGAGGATGGGGACCCCTGCGCTCGGCGAACAAGTCGACCACGGCAGCCGCGGCCGTCCTCGTACGGTGACTATGACGGGGCTGATCTAGGTTTTCTTGTGGAGGTAGATTTTCCCACGGGGCAGCAGTGGGAACATGAGAGACATGGAGATCTGGGGCGTGGGGTGTGTGCGCCAGGTACCACACAATACACAGGAGAACCAAGAACAGCAGCACAACAATTGTGGTCCCGGTTGGCATTCTTGTTCATGACAAGTGGGCACGCTCAGCCATGAGCCAGTCATCGCGAACGGCGCCTATGGCGAGGTTCGTAGGGTTGTCCGCTCTCATGCACGAGAGATAGACGCCCGGGTTACCAGGAAGGGCAAACCGAGGCATCGAGGTGACAGACAGGCACACCGGTGCTTGCTTGGCCCGTCCACCAAGGCCGAATGTCAAGAGTCCTCAAGCACATGCCCCGGTGCTTCGCATCCTTGGCCCGGCCGAGCGGGATGGGCCAGCAGGACGACAACGACGGCTGGGCAGGGTCCACCTGACGTCATGCGGTGGGTAGCATCCCGGGCTTGGCGACAATGAGGCTCACGATGTGGAGTCCAACAGTGGATAAGTTTCGGAACTCGGGAGGGTCACCAGTCGCCGAGCAGGACGGAGGGTGACCGAGTCGCGGTCAGAGGTGATCGGCACTGCAGGCCCTGGGCGGCTGCATCAAGTTGAGCAGTCTCTGCGGCGCTACGTCGGCGGCTCAGGTCTGAGCGCATGTTGCCTCGCTGTGCCGTTCCTGAAAGTTGCCAATCAAGGGGCACTGGCAACCGGGGAGAGGCTTTCGTTGCGCTCTTCTGAAAACACAATGATCAACATGCTGTCGGCCAGCTAGAGACAGCATATGTCCAGAATTGCAAAGACCGGCCAGGAAACCAATAAACTGCATTGCCCTCATCACCCTCCTCAAATTGCTCATGCTTGTAGGCCCGAGTAGTATTGATGTTGCCGTTAACCGCCGAGCGTCTCACCCGCCAAGCAGCCGCACCTCGCCTTTCCCTGTCTGGCTCGCGTGGGGACAACTCTGACGTCTCCGCTGAAAAGTCCCACTGGCTATCGTCGCTTTGACAGTGAAACCCCATGGGCTGAATACTGCGAGCCCACAGCGTCGCCGTACCGCTTGGGTCCTCTCCAGATTCTCTCTCTGCCCCCCCCCCCCCCCCGAGGGGGTCTCTCCGCAGGATATCGGGTGAACACTCTCCCGCAGCAGAAAGTCGATGTCGTGCTCGGGCATGCCATGGCTCTTCAGGAACATGAGGTCGGGCGAGTCCGGATAGATCAAGACGGGTACCGAGTCAATGACCTCGGCCCACGGCCATGGGAACAGACAGCACGATGCGGAACAGGTCAGTCTTTCCCGTATCTGTCCTCTCAGGTCACAGCTTTGTCCTTCTCTTCAGATTGCGCTCTCCTCCCACAATCAGGTTGACATGGTGACATATCGCCACCAAGCCGCCCGCCTCGTCGAGCAGCACAACCTCCATATCCAACCGGCCGTTCCTGATCTGCTTGGCCTCGACACGCATGGAAAGCCACTCGACGCCGCCGCGCCCTGCCAACGACTTCTTGACGTCCAGATTCATAACCACGGTCGGAAACCAGAAGATGTCGTCCTCACGGATCTCATCCTCCTCAGCATATCGCGTCGTGGTGGTTGCCGTGCTCTTCGTCGTGCCCGACCCGCGGTAGGCCTCGACCACATACGGCCACGAATCCGCGACATACCCCAGGGAGACATTGTTGAATCGCGAACCCGGCTCGGCGAGGCGCAGCCAGACGTCAATGACACTCTTCCTGAGCTGGCCCGCGCGGGGGAAGTAGTACTCCATGTTGTGCAGGGCCCGCCGCTCCAGCCCGCCCAGCTTGTCCGGGATCCGCATGCGGGCCCAGGTGCGGTCCTGGTCCCGCGACAGGGCCGCGAGATCGGGTCTCTGTGGTTTGGGCACCCTCGTCGTGTCGGCAAAGTCGTACCCCGTGGGCAGCGTGATGCCCCTTTCGATTTCGAGGCTGCCGCAGTTGAAGTACGCCACTACCTGTCTCCTCGACGGGGGAGGTTTGCCCGAGATTGCTGCCCCTGCTGATGGTGGTAACGTAAGATGCGGTGCCTGGTCCGGCTGCAGGCTGCCCTGATACAAAGCGACGTGCAAGGTCGAGAGCCGCCGGCCCAGCTTGACCTCCTCCACCACGATGACAGCCGGGCCGACCTCTGTGCGGCTGGTGAACTCAAAGTGAGCGGTGATGATGTCTGCCTGGCCGCGGGCTTTGAGATGGGCAGCGGCCGCGCTCATCAGGCATGACGCCACGTATCCGCCGTTAGGCACTGTTTGATCTAGACTGTTAGATGAAGGGGTCTTGAAGCTTTGCCGTCGCGGTTCGAGCCCCAAAGACACGGGAATGAGCCGCTTGGGACAAAGAGCAGAGAGTAGGGGGAAATCACTTGCCAGTCCCGTTGCTGAAGCTCTGCACCAGCTCGGCATGGTAGGTCGCATGACCTAGCGGCCTTACTGCCGTGGCTGTGTACAATGACACCGAACCTGGTGGCCGTGAGTCCATACGGGACTTTTGTGCCACAATCTTCCGGGTGCGAGATGTGTGTGCGATGCTTGGCGTGATTCCGTCCTTGTCGGCGTGCCAGCTTCGAAGTCTTGACGAAGTATCGAGCCCAGACACCGGCTCAGCCCAAGTAGCCCGCCTAGGTCGAGATGCACCAACAGCTCTCGCGCTTTGCTGTGACGTGAGGAATTTGAGCGTGTCACTTGTCTGTCGGGCCAAGTGTTACCCAGCCAGAGCACGATTGTTGCGACGGTGACGATGTGCGTGAGGAGCGTCTGTAGCTGGATACGCGCAGTTGTACAGAGGTGCCTGAGCCTCGGCACCAGCAACAGTGGGTGGCACCCGCATCAGGCGGTAGTGCATTCCCCCACACGCACGCTGCCAGGGCGCAAATGCGGGGAGCCGACTCCACAGTGGTCTTCAACTAGAATATGCTATTTTCAAGACTGGCATCCCAAAGGCAAGACATGTCCGTGTTCAACCTCGCCATTGCCTCGCGAGAGACAATCTCTGTCTATTCATTTCTATGCTGTATGTCTCATTCCATATGTTCGCTCTATCGGTCCTGGCTCTCGGCATATGTCACCCAAAAGTGGTTATGCCCTGCATTGTACAGGAGGTGCTGATATAATCTCGCCGCTGTTGTATATGTGCTGCGTCGTCAATGCAAGAGTATGGCAGGGAATATATGCGTATATGTCCAGCTATGTGCATCGTGGACCGAGTCGTGTTCATCCGCTTGGAGACGGCGGGAATTAAGACGGCGATTTCCGCCCACTTGCCCGATCTCGTTGCGTGCATGGAGGGATCTGCTTCGTTCGGGGAAGAATCTGGCTGGTCTCCAGCTTCCTTGCTCAAGCACCGTCAATGTATGGCCACTCGTCGCGGTCGAAGCGCAGCTTGTTCCAGCCAAAGAGGAACCCCTTGCGCGTGTCGTCTACCTTGTCGCGCGCCATGTCGTACCGTGCTGCAGGCAACAGTCACAGTCAGTCAGTCCATCCATCCATCATGGTCAAACCCAACACCGGCCACTTCAAAAAAAAAAAAAAAAAAAAAAAAAAAAAAGAAAGAAAGAAAGAAGATCGCACGACTTACCGTAGTGATAGTACAAGATCAGACCGGCCTCCGGATCGTCAAGAACACCCTGGCCGCCAGGCGCAAAGATCTCGTCGTGGCTCGCGAGTACCACGGTCCCCCCATTCTCCGTCAGGCAGTCCCTGCCCTCCCTGTCCACATAACCCCCTCCTGGCCGCCGAGAACGACACACCACGACGCGGTACGCCTGGTCGTACCTCATCCACTGCAGCTGGCCCGTCTGCGGGCTGTGCTCGGGACAGCAGCGCCCGGACGAGTAGAAGAGGTAGTACCACCCCTTGCGCGCGAAGATGTAGGCCGCCTCGGTCTGGTCGCGCGGCTGCACGGCCGTGGTGTTGCGCTCGAGATGCGTCATCAGGCTCATGGCGTTGTCGGCCAGCTTGAAGGGCGGGTTCGCCAGGGGCACCTGGAAGAGGCCCTCCTGGTACGAGCCAAACGTGAGCAGGTGCTGCTGCTGCCGCTGTCCAGTTGTGCCGTCCCGAGCGGCGGTGGTCGAGTTGACGGTGAGCAGGGCGGCGTCGAGCACATTGTACTTCATGGCCCACGTGATGTTGAGCCGTCCCTGGCGGACCCAGCTCTTTGGCTCAAGGGTGTCGGATGTCTGCACGACAATGCTGGCGTCGTGGAAGGGACTCGACGACTCCGGGTGACTAACGCCCACCGTCGAGTAGTCAAAGTGCTGGTTGTGGAACATGGCCCACGTGTTCCCGACCCTGTGCACCGAGGGCGCGCCGCCCTGCTCGTCGAGGGTGTCGCCCTGGTACTCCCAGGGCCCGTACAAGGAATCCGCGGTCCATGTAGAGCCGTGCTGGGCGCGGGTGGTGAGGAGGAAAAGCTTCCCGTCGTCCCGCCGGACCAAGGTCGGGTCCAGAGTGACATAAATTGCGTTGTTTGGGATGACGCCCTTGATGGACTCTGGATTCGGCCATCTCAGAGACCCTGCGTAGCCGTCGCCGGTGTATCCATCATCATCATCCTCATCATTATTGCCGGCTCCTCCTCCACCGCCGCCGCCACTGTTGCCGCCCTCTGCATTGCTGTCAGACTGAGTCCTCGCTGGCCGAGTGAGTCCGATCGACAGACCTAGGATGAGGGCGATGATGCAGAGACTGGCAAGGCTCGCAATCACCCACTTCTTGCGCCTGCTCCACAGGAGCGGCCATGCTGTTTTCATGCTGCCAATCAGCAGTGTCTCACCTGGCCATGTCGTGTGAGCCGGGCGTGCTGGTGGGGGGAAGGCCTTGTCAGCACAGTCGGGATTTCAAGGCCAATGTTCTAGTCCTCAAACCCAGAGCCGTACCTCGGTCGTCGTTGCAGCAATTGCAGAATCAGAAGTCGAAAGGGGACAAGGCAAAGCGGTGCGAGAACATAATACTATGGTAGAGCCGTTGTCGAACAGTGGCACGCCGCGGCTACGGGAGCCTAGAGCCGGTGGTGCAAAAGCCGTTGGCACAGGCGCCAAGGAAGTCCAGTCTGGGAAAACGAAACATCATGCAACGCGCGCCATAACTAGGGCTCAGCAGTTGCAGGATAGGCGGGCTCAGGGGGCGCCATTGGTGGAGACGCTCCGTACGGTTGGCACCACGCACATCCCTGTAATTTAAGGGCCCAAGGGCGTCTGGCTGCGTAGATAAGCTTAAACTTCAAGAGCCCAGGCCCCGTCGGGGATTCTTTCATGAGGTAAAGATTTTCCAAGAACGGCGGCAATCCTAAGCCTGAGAGCACATCTTTGGACAGGCCGAGTCTGGATTCTCCAACCCGCGGCCAGAGCTGCGGCTCAAGGGGGAATGCGCGAGCTGAGTCTGGCGTCGAGGTTCGTACTGACCCGTTAGATAAGCCAAGCCGCTGATCCGTCCGCCTCTTGTCTGCTTGAAACGAGAAGTCGTTGTTGCGGACCCGGGTGGACCTGGAAAGCTGGACCCTGCGGATGCCAGGCACTTTTATGTACGAGCCTGGCCCCGGCGCAAGGAGGGCATCACTACTTCATTTGGGGTTGGATGATAGCAAAAGCATAGGGACCACTGCAGTGCATCACTCTCAACCGTGGCGCCTGCCAATGTTGTAGCCATTTTTCTGGGCCGTGACATGGATCTCGTAAAAGGCAGATCTCTTCTCCGCTGGAAACGCTATAGACGCTATTAACTCCAGTTTTCGTCATTGAGATGTCACCTCAATTCCGCCCTGCGGACCGAGCAATGTATCAACCCTCGGCGCCCGGGTCTCCCCACTGAATAGCCCAGATATAAGTGCTAGCCCACAGAAAGCAGTCGGTAAAATATGCTCAGTTGATCTCATCTGCACTTGCATAACCAAGACCCGCGCCCCAATTATTTACTACTTGGCCTGCCTGATCACAAAGATGGCGTTGCCCGCCGACGGGCCCTGGACCCCAAGCCTGCTCTTCAGGAAACACCACTTCTTGCCGGAGAGGTCGCCGAACCAGGCGCCCGCACACTCGCTGTTCCCGGAGCAGGTGTTGATGCACTGGTACACGGTGGCGGCGGTGGTGCTGGCCAGGTCGGTCGTCCCGGACGACGGGTTGTTGCCGTTGTAGTCGACGTTGCACACGACCAGGAACGAGTCTCCCCCGTTGGCCACGGGCTCGGTGTAGAGCGTGCCGTTGCCGGCGGGGCAGGTGAGCGGATCGGGGGCAGGCGGATAACTACTAAAAAGCATGTACAAGTCAGTATTGCCCTATTATCTAGCGTATGCACGACACAAACTGCGGATATCTGTCTGCCAAACTGACCTCGGCGTTGCACCACTGCTCACGCTGCTGGGTTTCTTTGAGGAGAGGCCGACCCCGAGGCCAACGCCCAGGCCGATCCCCAATATCACCAGCAGCGGGCCGATGATGCACCAGAACACGCGCCTCCGCACACCCAGGATGGTCTTGGGCGACGATGCTGCTGCTGCCGCGGACTTGTCCCCCTCCGACGCTGGATATGGATCCCGCTGCGACACGCTGGTCCAGCCTGCCTGGGAGTCCGGGTAGGCGCTGGTCGGTCGGTCGCTGGGTGGCGGTGGCGGGTATGCCCACTGCTGCTGATCCCATTGTTGATGATGATGCTGATGCTGCTGATGCGGATGGTCGTAGTAGCGCGGCTCCGGGACCACTTCTGGCAGTGACGGCGGTGAGACCACTTCTGGGTATTGCGAGCTGTAGTCGACGTGCTGTAGTCCCGAGGCGGCGTCCGCGTGGCCGCCGCCATGCTTCATGTCCCGGTCCGACATGGTTCTTTGGTGGCCAAGCCCCTAGGGCGCCCGATACTACAATTTGTGGTCTTGTTCCTGCGAAAGCGTGTGTCGACCAGGCGATCACGGCCGGGTCGAGTCCCCGGATGTACAAAGCTTGGCAGGGCGATGGGGGATTTGGGTAGGAGCCAACCCAACTACACAAGCCAAGCAAGCTGACACCAAAGAGACGCCGGGTCTAGTCGGTGGTGTTGCTGGTGATGAGCTTCTTTGCCAGCACAGCCCTTGGTGGTCGCAGTTGTCGATGTGGCCCAGGTATATATCCCTGCAACCTTGTGGTGAACGAATGGCACGAAATCAAACGAGGTCGAAAGAAAAAGCAGGTCGCTGGTAATTCCAAAGTCGTGAAGTGAAGCCTGAGGCACGGGAGTGGTAGGAAACAAAGGAACAAAGAGCCAGGCACAGGCACGCAATTCGCGCAAGAAGTGAGAGAGAGAGAGTGTGTGTCTGCGTGTCTGTGTGTGGCCGCCGCGGAATCGTCCTCCTGTTCAAGTCTAAAGTCTATTCAGCCGCCACCCACGCCAGCCGCTGGATGGTGGTTGCATGGCAGGGATCCTCGTCCGCGTGCACAATGTCATGAACAAGGGGCGGGGCTCCCAGTCGTTGAACTGCGCTACTGATGGCCAGTCACAAACTTGGCAGGGCTTGGAGGGGCCTTTCCAGTCCTTGTCTCACAACCGTGCTGTGGCTGTAGTGCTTACGCCAGCCATTAATCTCCGCTACTGAGAGAAACGGCAACGCGACGTCGCGCACGAGGAGAACCGCGCCAGCTGTGGGCGGAACAGCCTGCATGAACTGCAAATAGTGTATGAGTATTCTGGCAAAAATGCAAGGCATGATGCTCAATCATGGGCTTGGCTCGCGACAGGCACTATGTAGCGACAGCCTCTGGCAGGATACTAGGCGAGGTTGACGACTGAGACCCCCCGGGAGCAGCCGAAAGACATCTGCTGGTGCGAGCTAAACGTGCGTAAGGACCGCCGTCCCCCTATTGGATCGCAACTGTGGCTCCTGCAACAATATGCCACTGCCCTGTCGGCTGTTACTCAGCCCTCGTATAGTTCCACCAATCTCTCGTAAGCCAGCGGCAGAAAGATGCGTCGTCCTGCATGCACGTCAGAGGCCGCATTCCATCTTCGAAACACGAGCAGAGCAGGGCCGGGGTACCCACGACTCCAGGCACGAAAAGATGACAGAGACAAAGTTAAAGAAGCTTTGCGGCACAAAATGGACTCGCGCTGGTTGCGATGATGATTGGGTTGCGGGGACCTCGCGCCTAGTAGGACTTTAGATGGCAAGCAGCGGCTAAGGCCACACTACTTTTGTCGAGGCCTCCTTCAGCGTATGAAAAGCCCCGAAGGCGGCGGAAAGGATGCACTACCCTACAGGCGGGGTACTCCAACGTTACAAGGCGCGCACAATGCCAACCCCATCTGGCATCGGCAGCTGTCTGCTTTTGGAGGCCGCCATGCAGCAGAGACGATGATGGCTGAATAAACCACATTGTCAAACGTGGTTACAGAATGGCGGCCTGCAAAAGACTAACCGCACGGCTGAGGGCCAGCGACGGCAGTCTCATGACTTTTCGAGCCAAAATCCATGGCTTGCTCTATTCGTGCCTTAACATCGCACCTGGATACACCAAGCCTGTCTGCGTAAACGTACGCTTAATCATGATAAGGCAAGATGAGATCAGCATTTCAGCAAGGCATCAGGCATCCATTCTCCAATGCCGGTCTGTGATGTATCCACTTAAGTACGTTCGTACGCTAAGTCAGCACCATCGAGAAACCAACATCACGTCGTGGTCAAAGAACATTCGCCTGAGCAGCACACTTCGGCAGCCACGAATCGTTTTGCAAGCAACTTTTGACACCTCATCCTCCACCGCCACCACCGCCACTGCTGTCCCTCACAAACATGGGCACGAGTACGTCCGCAATGGTGCTGAGCGCCTGCAGCCTGTCAGCCAACACCTCTCCACATCTCTCCTCGGCAGGGAGCACCCCCTCCGGATCGTGCGTCCACGACACGCTGTCCACGCGGCACCGCGCCAGGAACATGTCCGTCGTGACCTCCCGGAGCTGAGCGCGCCACAGGGAGACCACGTCCGGGCTGATCCGCGCAAACTCGGCATACGACAGATGACTGCCGCCGCTGCCCTCGCCGCCGTGCTCGTCCCCCACGGCCCCGACAATGCCGTCGTCGAGCCAGTCGGACGGGCTGTTGGAGAGGAGCCGCTCCAGGACGAGCTTGAGGCTGTCGTACGACGCGGTGGTGTCGCCGAGCAGCCTGTGCTGGCTGCTCGAGGCGGCGCGGTCGCTGCCCTGCGTCGTCGTCATCAGCGTGCTCCGGCGCCGTTGGAGCTGGCGCAGCTCGTCGAGGCTGTCGCCCAGCTGGTCTTTGAGGCTGTAGAGCTCGCGGCGGAGACGGCCGATCCCTTGGTTGGCGTTCTCCTGTCGTCTTGCCGGCAGGTTGTCATGCCGTTGCGTCCTGAGCTCTGGGAACAGAGACAGGGCCGGCGCCGAGGTTTGCGGTGGTCTACGCAGCGGCTGGGGGGATGATACCGTGGGTGAGTCCGGTCTGTTCCCCACGTCCTTGTCCTCCTCCTCCTCCGCCCAATCCACGGCGATTCCCTTTCCCTTCCCCTCAAAGTCGTTGGTGTCGAGATTGGTAAGTGACTGGAAGGTCATCTCGGCAGTCTGGAACTCGTCGAAATCGGCCTCGATGATGGGGAGAAACTCGTGCATCTGCCGCCACGAGTCCGCAAGCAAGGTGATGCAGTACGCCATCTCCTTGTCCTCCGCCCGGACCTGCTCCTGGAGAACCTGCTGCATGTATCTCTGCACGCTCAGCGCGGCGGTCCGCAGCCGGGTCAGCCAGTCGTGCAGGCCCGGGTCTAGCGGCAAGGGTTCGTCGTCGTCGTCCAGGGCTTGTGCGGGCTGCTGCTGCTGCTGTCGCCAGTGCCTGGCATATGTCCTGGCGATTGGTGCGAGGGTGCCCAGCTGGTCTGTGAGCTTGTTGCACTGGGCCTTGAGCTCCGGTAGGCGGTCAAAGACCTTGAGCTCGGAGAGGGCTGTGACGAGGACGACCTCGTCGAGGAGTTTGATGTTCGAGGTGATGAGCTTGTGCATATGTTCTGGGTTCGATCCGTCGCTGGCTACTGCGGCGTCGATCTCGGGATCTTCGCTGTGGCTGTGGCTGTGCGGAAGCTCTGCTGTTGCTGCAACGTCAGTCTCCCTCATGGACTTGTCGTCCTCGTCCTTGTCGTCCTTGCCTGCACTTGTTGTGGACTTTCCATCTGTAGCTTGTGAGCCCGGGATGTGCCCGGCCTCCTGTGGTCCCACATATGCCGGTAGCAGGGTTGTGTCCGTCTCGAACGAGCGTCTGGTCGCGATTTGTCGTGCTCCATACCCGTCGGCCAGAGATGAATCGCACGAAGCAGCTGCCTGATGGTCTTTATCCTGCTCATCATCTTCGACGTCTGTTGACAAGGACAAGACTGAAAAGCCGTCCGTGTCTATATCCTGCCAGTCCTCGTCTGCCGAGGTGCGGCCAGGGAGGTCTGCCATGGTGGCAAAACGGGGGAGGCTTCTTGATTTGATACAGTTGTATTCTGGCTCTTTGTTATTTCTAGAGGATTGTTTCTGAGAAAGCCCTCAAACATTGGGCTCTGAGGGTGTTTGGCGAGTTTATGGAGGAGGACTTCCTCCCCAGAGGTGGTGTTGCTGCCTGTTACTCAAAAGCGGGGCACAAGCCAATTGCCGGCAGAGGTGGCGAGCTTCACGGGACAAGTACCCAGGCATGTTCATTCGGGCCACTCATTGTTGGTGCTTATGTGCTCTGCCAAAATCCAGAATTTGTAGACATTGGATTGCGTCACATCGTCTTATTCAGTGAGGACAAAAAAATGAATGAATGGCGCCTTTGGTTCTAATCAGGCCGTGATGAATATCCCTCCAGGTCACCCACCACTTACACGGGGCGGCTCCAACCACAAACGCGATTCCAGTCCAGGCAGCCCCCAAATCGCGTTGTTGCGCGAACCATTTCACATGTTTACTCCAAAGCAAATCAAGAATCGCATACAAAATAGCATGCTACAAAATCTCGGCGTGCCTGCCAACGTCATGGAGCCACCACACGCCAGCGCCATCCGTGGGCCCAGTCGTTGGAATCATTGTAAAAACACCAAGAAACTCCGTGTTGCATCAGAACAGCTCGACTCAAGAAACGATGTGCACATCGCAATGCCCTAGTTATCGACGTATCCTGTGCCCGGTGGTGCTTTGCGCAATATATTGTCGAGCATCCGCCACTGTACAGTTTGATCAGCACAAGGGCACCGCATCCGCCATGGAGTGACTCTACAGTAATGAGAGCAGACTGGCTGAGAAGGGCCAGGGGCTTGCCAAGCAACGCTCTACCACATCTAAACGATACATTGCGATGCAGTCACATCTGCCAACTGCACGTACGACACGGGTGGCTTGGACACTCAAGCAGCTGCGGGAACGACAGAAATGGCAATGACTCACAGCGTCTATTCATCCTTAGTCTTCCCTCCTCGTAGACGTGAAGCCCGCTATCACGAGTCTCTCCATCTGTGGGACAGCACCCGCAGAGGTCGAGGCATTTTTGCGGTCCTGCTCGATCCTCAAGGTCGAAATCAGGCGTAGGCAGGCGCTGTATCCGCGGAGTTGGCGGCGGTGACGGAGGATAGTACACCTGCGGAGGGCGAGCACGCCTGCCACGTTCCAATCGTCCCGGGCTTGAAGCCGGTGAGATGGCCCTTGACAGCTTGTTCTCTTCAGCACAGCGAGCAGGTCTCGACACGATGAGGGAGCCGCGCCGCCGCTCATCCGGAGCTGATGTGGCGGATCTCGGGGCAGTATATGATGGATTGCGCGGGTGTGCGGTGCTAGCAGTACCAGAGAGCGTGGTGCTTTTTGCTTTTTGCTTCAAATTTCCATGGCGGTCGTGGGATATTTCAGGTGTGAATGACGGGAAAAGCACGAAGTCGTCCATCAACAGGGGGAGCATGTCTTGACACCCAGTCGTACGGAGGGGTGCAGGAGGCAGAGTCAGGCAGCATTGACACACCAAAGCACTGCGGTGAGTGAAAGGGGGGATGGGTGAGGTACGAGGTCAAGGTAGTCCTTGCGTGCTCGTGCAGACTTGGCACCACTAGGTGACGAAGTGTGTTCAGGGGTCCTGGTCTGTGATGATGTAGACATGTTTGGTCTTTGCATTAGGGATATGTGGTTGTGGGAGATTGAAGTGGTATCTAGAATGGGAGTCAGGATCTCTGTGTAAGGGGGCGAGCAAGAATGCAGGAAGGGGGCCAACGACATACTCCAGGGTACCAGTGGCTGGTATTGAATATCAGAAGGGGGCATGGCTCTAAGGATGTCTAGACAGATGGTGGTGACTCAAAGTTGGTCGAAGTTTTCTGATAGCGATGAATCTTGATATAAGAGCAACTTATTGATGTAGGAGGGAAGGGGGGAGGATAAGGCAAACGAGGGGGGGAGGCAGTTTTATATGTCAAGGGCCAGAAAGCAGACAGCTTTGCTCTGGACCAATCAGAGTTGAGGACTTACAACCATGCCCCACGCTAGGATGACCTCCCTCCATACGTCAGGAGGCAAGATGGAGGGATTGGCATATGGCAATACGAAGCCGAAGATGTCCTCGCATTTGCGATATATTCGCTCGTCTCGCTCGTCTGTAGCGGTGCATACTACTATCAGCCAGCTTAGCAAGGACTCTGTCGGTGGTTAGCCTTGTGGAACTCGGAAGAGGCGTGGAGGACAAACTGAGCGGTGACCGTTCTTGAAAAGACGTTTTTCTGTTCCAATGAGTTCTCGCGGCAGGATTGAAGCCTTCTGAATTCAAGAAGCAAGGAGTGCCTCGGCCGCGTGCCTCGTCAAAGATCTCGACCTGATGCCATATGGCTGAGCGCTAGTTGTGTCAGGACGAGACGTCTGCCAGAGTTGTGGTGATTGGTCAACCACTCTGGCGAGTGGGTCCACACACAGAAGAAGTCTGGGCACGTACCCAAGTACCTGGTGGTACGTACTTGGTGGAGCCCGTCCTGGACCGTTTAGGCTGCGGGTTTCGATCAAGGGCAGGAGACAGGAAACCGTTTTCAGTCGCAGGGCCATGGTCAAAATGATGTCAAACAAGAAGACCCACGAAAGTCAGGCCGGCAGAGATAGAGAAACAGCAGCTCTACTGTACCTCCCACCCTGTACACCTTTATGGGGCGCCGATGCCTGGAAGAGAGGAGGTCCTGCGAGGTCCTGTGAATGCTGTGAGGCGAGTCCTGCCATGACATGAGGTAGCGGCGATGAGAACAAGCTGAGGGGGCGCTGTGTGCAAGGCAGCACTACAAGTCGTGCGAAATATGTCTCTCCCAACCGGATAAGGAGAGTCCTCTCGACACGCAGACATCTACACTTGTCGCACTAGTCAGCGTTGTTCAGCTCGCGGGACTGTCTTATAATAACAGCGATGTCGTCGCTTCCATTGGAATGGCAGAAATGTGGAACTTGCACAGTCTTGAAAGAAGTGGACGCAGTGGCGCGTGCAAGTGTAAGCGCCCCAAATCGCCTGCGCCACAGTCGCCCTTCCACACTGTTCAAGCCACACCTCCCGGCAGGCAGCACCCCCAGCCAGTCCAGGCAAGCAGGACCGTCGCAAGACCAGACTAGCCCTGCAGGACCAACCGGACCTGACCAGGGTGACAAGCTATCACGGCATGGCCTGTCGCGCGTTTCGCAAGTTCTGAGCTTCCTCCATCCGCAACCACCACAGCAACACACCACTCCGCCCCCCAACGTCATCCTCGATAGAGCATCACAACGCCGATACTTCTGACCAATTGATTCTCATCGGCGATCACAGACGGCCTGTCCGCACCAAACGGGAAACCACCATCATGGGCAAGAAGAAGCGTGGGCATCCCGATGTGGAGGAGCTCCTGTCGCGAGCATGGTGCTACTACTGCGAGCGTGACTTTGAGGATCTCAAGCTCCTCATCTCCCACCAGAAGGCCAAGCACTTCAAGTGCGAGACCTGCGGCAGGCGACTCAACACTGCTGGCGGTATGTCGATTTGCACCTCCTCTACTCTTCAGCCAGAAACCAATCACTGACTTGGTGTATCTCACCCCTACAGGTCTCTCCGTACATATGAACCAGGTCCACAAGGAGTCATTATCCCAGGTCGAGAATGCGCTCCCGAACAGGCAGGGTCTCGATGTCGAGATCTTCGGCATGGAGGGCATCCCCGAGGACATTGTCCAGCAGCACAACCAGCGCATCATCCAAAACTTCTACCAGGCCCAGGCCGACCGCTTTGCTGCCACCGGCAACCCGCCCTCTGGCCAGAACCAGAACCGGCCCCAGAAGAAGATCAAGATGGAGACGCCCGACGAGATCAAGAAGAGGCTGGCCGAGCACCGCGCGAGGCGCGAGGCGCTCAAGGCGGCGAATGGCGGCGTCGCGCCGCCTCCACCGATCCCTGGGTCGAGAAGCTCAACCGAGCAGAGCGCGTCGCCTGCTCAATTTGTACGTACTCTTTTTATGAGCAGGGTGCTCCATGCTGGCTCTACCGCAATGACAATGTCCGACAGCCACAAGCTAACATACCTACCTCCCAACACAGGCTCAAAATTCACAGTTCCCTCCTCCAGGCGGCCAATTCCCCGTATACCCGCCACCTGGTGCGCCGGGATATGCCGCGCCACCCGCCGGACAATATCCTCCTGCATATCCAACATCGAGTCTGCCGCAACGGCCGGGTGCTGGCTCCAGCCTGCCTCCACGTCCAGGCCAGCAGCCTGGCTGGCAGCAGGGCGGCGGTGGTGGCAACGCCTCGACACTGGACGAGCTCATGGCTAGTGCGGGTCGGCCGGCGGACCATGTGGACGACATGATCAGGAATCTCGAGCAAGGAGCTGCTGGGGATGCAGCGGGCGCAGCGCCAGAGAAGAAGGCGAAGAAGGACAAGGACAAGAACGTCAAGATGATCTACGAGGACGAGCTCAGCCCAGAGGAGAGAATGGCGATGATGCCGAGGTACGCGTATGTGCCGGCGGCAGCCTAGCTGGGGGGTGGTTCCTGTTGAAGATGGTTACGTATGGATAAACGTCTGGGGAGACGCGGCTCGCTCGCAAGGCAGAAGCAGGAGCACGTCTGAGACATCAATTCGAGATACTTGGAGCGGGATGCATTGATACAATAGAGCCATGTGTGCATTTTCGTTGCACCATCTCAGTCCGCAACATGTACAGTTCTCCCTGAGCCCCAGCCTGCAGGTGGTCAATGACATCCAGGACAACGAGGTCGACTGCCGCTCGGCGCGAATCCTCGCAGATGACGCCATATGTAAGCAGTAATGCCACAGCAGCCAGGCTCTCCTGGAGTCGCGGCGAGCCGCGGAAGATCAGGCAGATAAGGTGTGCCTTGGGGAGCCCCGACTCCGAACTCCGCACCTACAGGCCTTCTCCCCCAACTCAATCCAGGCCGTGCATGAATGGATGCATGACTGCCACCCAGCAACGGAAACTACTTGTACTGCATGTACAGACTCAATTGCTGCTTCTGCCTTGCTGCATCGTCTCCAACCATCCACATTGCCTTGCTTTCTAGTCCGCATCTTGCGCCTGTAGCGTGCAATTGGTTGAAGAGGTCACGCACGCATTGAAAAGCTCCAAAGATATATCCATCATCTGTCCGGTGTGCACTCACCCCCACAGCGCAATGGAGACGCGATATCCCCCTGACGTCAAGACGCCCACCGCGCTCGATGCCCGTCCCTTCCCACAGCAAACGACACAAAGGGCGAGCCGCCTCCGTATTGTAGTAGCTGGAGGTCTTCTTTACGCCGCAGCGGTGCATGGCTTCGCCAGCCTGTATGGCCCAACCCAGTCATCGCTTGGACGACTGCGCGGCGAGCTCTGGGGATCGGCGGGAGGGGAGGGCGCTTCAATCAAATCTGAGGAGACTGTAGAGGGAGAAGGCGGGTTCGACTGGTCAAAAGTGAGTTTGGGCGTTGCCGGCATGTCATTCTACAAACTCTGCCTGGATGTGCTTCGTACGCGTATGCTCACGAGCCCACAACTGCAAACGGCATTCCTCTGGCCCCAGTTGTGACATGTTCAAGCAAGTTGTCCAAGCAAGATGTTCAAGTCGCTAACAGCATAGCCAGATCACCCCAAGCGAAGACTTTGAGTTCCACCAATGCTTTGGCGAGTACCAGTGCGCCCGGTTGTCTGTGCCTCTCAACTGGAACTCGACGTCGCGGTCTGTTCGCGAGCGGCTGGCACTTGCTGTCATCAAGTATCCGGCGAGGGTGCCGGTGACTGATCCTCGATATGCTGGGCCCATCTTGACCAACCCAGGTATGCGCTCTCTCATCAGTCAACGCCTGTTGCCCAGGCGGCTCGCACACGAACCCCTTCGACGTTGCGTGCATGACTAACACGAACATAAAAGGCGGCCCTGGCGGCTCTGGCATAACCCAAACGCTCAAGACCGGCAAGCACTACCAAGTCATCGCGGACTCCCCAAGGGACCCCGGCGCGGTGGCAGACGACACAAACAGCGAGGACAAGTACTACGACATCATCAGCTTCGACCCGCGTGGCGTGGGTGCCACGACTCCGCGCATGACGTGCTTTCCGGATCCCATTGCCTTCGGCAACTGGAAGGTCGAGCAGCCCTCGCCGTTCTTGCTCGAGGCGTCAGAGTTTGCCTTCCACCAGTCGTGGGCCCGGTCCATTGCCTTTGGCGAGGCCTGCGCCCAGGACCGGGGCAGTGGCAAGCCCAACATCATCTACTACATGAACACGCCCCAGGTCGTTGAGGACATGGTGGCCATCGTGGACAAGCACGCGCAGTGGCGGGAGCGCGAGGTTGAGCGCATCTTGCTCTCTTCGCCGCTCCGGACGACTATGAGCAGCTCTCAGCAGGCGAAGATCCGTCTACGTACGGCGGCACGCGAGAACAAGAAGGAGCTGGTCAACTACGCGGGCATCAGCTACGGCACGCTTCTTGGACAGACCTTTGCCACGATGCATCCAGATCGGGTCGGGCGCGTGATCCTCGACGCCGTTGTCGACGCGGCAGACTACTACGCGCTCGGGTGGACGACAAACCTGCAGGACACGGACCGCATCCTCGTCGCGTGGTCAGACTACTGCCAGGCGTCCGGGTCCGTCGAGAAGTGCCCCTTCTACGTCGATACTGCGCCATCTGGCTACTTCCCTGCGCGGGTGGCCTACGCCACCACCAAATTCCTCGAGAGCCCCAAGACGCTGCCGCTGCGCGACAACGGGCCCTGGGTATTTGGCTACCACGACGCGATGAACTATCTGATGCGCTCACTGTATCAGCCCTTTGCCAAGGCCGAGGACATCATCCAGGTACTCAATTGGAAGGAGGGGGACGCCGCCGCCGTCGAAAAGGCAATGGCCTGGAAGGCGAACAGCATCCCCGCGAAGCCGTCGCAGAAGTGCATCGACGCGGGACCCTGGTCGGAGGCGTGTATCAATGAGCAGGGCAGCGACTTTTCTGGGACTGGAATCTTGTGCTCGGATGGACCGGACCAGAGCAACGTGACCAAGGCCGAGTTCCGCGAGTACATGCACTTGCTGCAGAGCCAGAGTGATGTCATGGGCACATTTTGGGCAGAGATCCGCATGAGCTGTATTGGGTGGAAGGGCCGCCCGGCCTGGGAGTTTTCTGGTAAGCCAAAGCTGCCCATTCGCGTTATTTTCCATGGGACGCATTCGATGATGCCTCGACCCTGCGTGTCGTATCGACGGGGATTGATACTAACAGCGCGCTTCACAGACACCATCGGTGCCCAGACCGCGAACCCCATCCTCTTCATAAGCAACACTCATGATCCAGTAACGCCCATTCGCAAGTAAGTCATCCATTTCGACGTTGGTCATCCTCAGTTCCGCCACCAATATCAGGACATCACGCCCTGCGTGAGAACTTTCAGCTTCTCTTTCACATATCAAAACCTCGTTTCGGTCGTTTCATGGGCACCTAAGCAGAAACTCGCTAACAGTTCCCCGTCCAAATAGCGGCCGCGCCGCGTCCAAGCTCTTCCCAGGCTCCGCCTTGTTGCATCAGAACTCCGAAGGCCACGGCTTCTACCGTAGCCCGAGCATAGCATCGGCCAAGAAGGTCCGGGCTTACTGGCAGCGCGGAGAACTGCCCGGCCCGGACGACACGCCGACGGAGCCTGATGTCCTCCCTTTCATCGGATGTGTGAATGAGGAGACCAAGTGCAAGGACCGCAGTGACGAAGATGAGGCGCTGTGGGAGGCATTGCATGCCATGGCCATATCACTGTCTTGAGATGCTGTGAGGATGGTTTTAACGCAGCACAGGATTGGATGGATACGTATGAAGGGGAGGTGAGGAAAACCAGGTGTTTCCGAGGCATGACAGCCTTCTTCATCTATTGAAGTCATCATCTGGCACCCCGCTGAGTGAACGTTTTCTGTCGAAGGCCAGTACGAGGCAGAATCATTCAATCCCCTGTTCGGGTAGCCCGTCACGAGTGGTAGACTAGCTGGGGGATTGCCATCATCTGTGAATTCATCAGGGACATCTGTGGAAATAGAAGTAGCTTTTACACACGAGGTACTTCACCGACGTCTCGGACTTCTATGAAGCATGACAGCACGGGAAGGAGGAAACGATACATATCTAAAACTCGGCCGCACCACGCTACAAGTCTGCCGGATGAATCGGGTGGATGGGAACTTTCTTGTGTCTCCATGTAAATCTGGTTCAGGTTCATTGACAAAGAGGGTCTCTGAACCGCTAGAGCTGCGTTATATGACTCGAAATATCATAAAGAGGTTTCAACGCATGGCCGATTTCATGGGTGAAGACTGTGGTCTTTTGTAAAACCACATTCTGCCATCCATCATATCGGAAAATCTACAGAACTTCAAAGCAACGGTACAGTAAAACCGCGTCGGCATCTACGTGGCCGACCGGGAATATCATTATGATGGCAAGTGAATGATAACGAAGACCATTTTGACCTGTACATGGCAATCATTGACACCGCTGATAGGAAGCTCGGGTCGTCTTTATAAGCTCATGTTGTCATCATCGAGAATATCAACAAGTGCCCCAGATATCTGTTGTCTCATTGCCGTCGCCGTGGCTACTCCGTTTAGCGAAGAAATTGCCCCATCATCACTTCTCCTTTGCAGTGCCTTCACCCCTTGAACCGCCCATGGCCACCAGAGGGACCAAACAAGGACCATATTCTCAAGGACCGTATTCCGAGGAAACCACGTCGATCAGCTCCCTCCTTACCCGAGAAAGAGCGGGTGCGGATACAATGAAACCGAGGCATGCCAGCTTCCACGAGCACACGTAAACAGAACAAGCCATCACATCACACCACGACGAGATCGTACACTCCAGGTTTGGTCCGCGTTCTTGTTCGTTGCTGCATTGGTTCCCAGGCGTACAATAGTACTCGTTTGCCTCTCGTAGAGCTTACCTGGTTCGGCCTGCCTGCCTGCCGCCTCGTCGCCTCGTCGCCTCGTCGTATGGTCTAAGGAGGGCTGCCTACCTTGGGCACACACACACCCACACCTCTACACAAGCTCGTTGCAAATACAAACAATTGTACGACAGCCAGTTCTGTTTTCTCGAACCATTCAAACAGCACAAGTGGTCCCATGATGAACAGAGGGGACCCACGGCGCCGCCAGTCTGTTTCGTGCATCCCGGGGGGGCTTCAGCTTATCCCATCTAGTTAGTTCAGGCAGCAAAGGACCAGGGCATTGATATGTCTCTCTGGTTACTAGCCTTCGTGCCCCCCCCCCCCTCTCTCTCTCTCTATCTCGCTCTGTGTGTGTGTCGGCAACAGGGCTTCGTCCTGGATTCCAGCACCTGTCCAGTATCCAGTGGCACGCTAACCCACACACACACACACACACACACACCACTCCAGCACGCACAGCACAGACGGGCCGCCTTGGCCGCACATGCCCGTGCCATGCTGGCGCACGCTCGTCGTCAACCCAGAGACCAATGCCTGCCAATACCAAGGTCGGTCATCCCTCAGAGACCCCACCACGCAACCCACACTGTTTCCCAGGACCAGTAGGCAGCCTCCTTCTCCCTCTCTCCCTCTCTCTGCGGTGGTGGTCCATCTGGTTTGTAAACGCCCACCCGGGGCGCCACGCGCCGCCCCGCGGCTCATCTCCCCGATTCGGCCAGCACGCCCAAGCCCAGAGTCCGTAAACGCGCACCACAAAGTCCAGAAGAAGCAAGTGTGTGTCCCAAACGGGTCAGCGGGGGCGCCAGCTACGGCACGGCAGGGATGAAAGAGGCAGGGTCTGGGTGGGTTATGGGGGGAGAGGGAACCGGTGGAGCCCAGCGCCCCCATTGACAAGCCCCATTCATTGACTTTCAAAGACAATCGATTTCCCGCCGCCGTGGCTTTTTCACAAGAGCTCTTCCTCTTCTTCTCTTCTCCGCCCGCCGCCGTTGCTGTGCCTGGCGTTGCCGTAGGGCTGGAGGGGGTGGGTTTCTCGGTTTAGGATAATGCACAAGAGGGACCGCAAGCCTCCCAGCGTTCCCAGACAGGGGCGCCTTGAACAGCGCCACAGGCGTTATTGGGCGTGTGCTGACCTTAGCTGACAAGGAGCGGGAAACATGTAGGCGGCCACTATTTGGTCCAGCTCGGGCGACGCTTGTGGATGAGTGGAGATCAGTATGTCTCATATGCCTCCTCTTGTCTGGTCTGTTCTGGTCTTGGGATGGACGGTTCCTCGGTTGTGTTCTTTCTTTCTTGGTCTGTCCTGCCCTCCTCTGCGTAAAAGTGCGGGCCTATGGATCGGGAGCGCGGGCGGGCGTGCCAGGAGTAAAGATGATCTGAGACACATCTCCGCCACACATACACCACGCACCACCCACCGTCTCAGCACACACAAAGCACACATACACGCACAGAGAGAAAGAGAGAGCGAGAGAGAGACATGGGCGAGACCTGTACGGTTGTACCGTGCTCACTTGGGTCTAAGCTGTCTCACTTCCCGTGACCCTCGCGCGGGAAGGGAGAGAAACAGAGAGAGCAGTGTGCGTGTGGTGTGTTGATCTGCACAAGGGTTCACTTTTTCGCGTGTCCCATTCCCTTGGGACTCGCTCGCCCGCTTCCTCGTCCGTTTCTGCCTCCTCGACGGTTTTCCCGTTCAACGAACTCATTGAATCTCTCTTTGTACTTCTTACTGCGACTCCCATGTTCGCGGCCTTCGCACCACAGCGCCACATCGCACCAGAAGGCTTTGTCGCACTGCCCAGGCACGACGACACTTTTCGGCCGGATCGTGGCTGCGACACGTATTGATGCAGCACCCTGCTTAGTCCAGATACGGTGGGCTGAGCACAACTTTGTCTTTCTTCCTTCCGCTATGCCTGGCTGGATCTTGCACATCACCGTCACTCTCCGTAACACGGCTGATCCTCGATCGTCATGATTAGGGTTGGTATCAATCTTTGTATATTCTGAGTGAGTGTAGCATCATCTCTGTGTGCATATGGTACGGAGTCTCGCTTTCGAGACGTTCTGTGCGAGCTATGTACGTCAGGCTCATATGTTTTTGGGTAGGACGCAAGACTCGTCGCTCCGGGAATATGTACCGCGCTGAGAAAAAGGAAGGAAAGAAAATGTTCAGTAGCAGAATGTGCATGGCGATATACACCCCTCCTAACAACTCCGATAACTCCTGGTTGCTCGTGCTCGCACTTGCAATGCGAGCGGGCGCCAACCATCCACACATTCGCCATGTGGGTAGCACGACAGGAGATGACGCGGACCAGGCTTTTGTGTGAAAGACAAATATGTCGAAAATGCTGACCATGTGGTGGACCGATCTGAAGCTGGTGGATTATGACCATAGAGGCAGTCCATTGCTTTTTTCTTCCGTGGCATTCAGTAGTCGACTCCAGAGACAAAAGGGAATGCAAGAGATTGGATGACGAGCTCGATCCGGCTGGCGCGCCTGATTCAGCTGTCCCAAATAGCGCCGTAGGCTGGCATGCCGCGACTCTCGAGACCGTAGACGACCTTCCTGGTAATCTTCTCGTTGGCGATGATGATGACGCCCTCCGCGCCGAAGCTCTTGGCGAGGTTGTAGCCCATCTTGACGAGATCGGGCCTACCGCTGAGCTTTGTGTCGTGGACGACGGCGTCCGGGGCCTTCTCCTTGAGCAGTCTGTACATGTCGCCGAATGTGTTTTCGGGGTCCTTCGTGGACCAGAGCAGCTTGGTCGGGCAGCTAGGATCCTGGAGGTGGCCCAGAAGTGGGCCGATTCCAGACCCTGTAGCGATCACAACGAGCCGGTTGAAGAGCGTCGCGATCCGCATGACGCCACAGGTAGGGACACCCCGGACCCATATCTTGGTGGGTTGGTTGTTGATGCACGCCTTGGTCCAGTCCCCGGCGTTGGAAACCACGAGCGAGTAGCCCTTGGGTCGACCAGAGACGGGCTCGGGGGCGGGGATCGTAGCAAACGAGTGCCACTCAAGCAGAGGACGCTTCGACAGGCGGGTAAAGGTGCCGTTGACTGGAACCGTGTAGTCAAAGTGGAGGCGAACGGCGTGGTTCGAGAGCGGCTCGGCGTCGACCGTGACCTTGCGCAGAAACAGCCAGGGGGTGACAATGCTCATGGACGCTACGGCCAAGAGCCAGAAGCTGGGGTTCCGGGCACATGCCTCGCCAAGCGTCATGCCGGTGGCCTTGCTGTCGTTTGTGGCCAGCACCACCTGTGCCCAGAACAAGCCCAACATTGTCCATCCAACAAAGCGGTGGACCATCTCAAAAAGGTTGTGGCGGCTCTTGCGCACCGAAGGCCATGCAAACGCCATCATCACCACGTAGAGACCGCAGAGAAGCCATGAGATGACCTTTGGCGCAAGTGATTGCCGTGCCCAGCCGCTGCACGAGACTGAGCCGCAGACTGCGTCACTGAGACTTGACGCAAGCAGCCACAGGGCCGAGAAGATGGCAGCAGCGGAATGCACGCCGCCCAGGTGGTAGATCTTGGCGCACCTCTTGCGAATGCCGAGTGGCCATGACTTCGGGACAGAGCAGGCCACCGTGTAAAGAGCGTTGATGACAAAGTCCTGGCGGATGAGGACCGCCATGCTCAGGTTGACAGCAGTCATCAGGGCGAGACGATCTTGCGTGGGGCCGACAAAGACCAGGGCCCCAACGGCAATGAGATTGAACGCAGTGACGACTGTGAACAGCTGGCGGTACACAATGAGGAGGCGATGAAACAGCCCACGGAAGGGTTGTGGTAGCAGCTTCGCCGGTATGTCCTGATTCAGATCCAGCTTCTCGGGCTTCTCGTCCAGCGACTCCAGTGTAGAGAGGGATGTCGAGCGAGAGTGACTGAGTGTGAATGTGCTCGAAGGGGCCCTAGGAAGAGTAGCAGCCTTGACCTCAGCCATGACCTGCTGCTTCTCGGTGAAATAGTTGCCCAGTGCCTTCTTATCCACTTTCCCATTGGCCGTCAGCGGGAGAGCCTTCATTCCATGGAAGTGGCTTGGAATGGCATAATAAGGTTGGTGCTTTCCCATGTGCGCCTTGATCTTGGCGGGATCTGCGTCGGTTGGTGTCACGAATGCGTGAATCTCGCCCGCGAGAAACACGGCGATGCCCTTGGTGACCGTAGGTGAGGCGATAAGCGAGGCGGTTACCCCGTCGAGTTCGACTCGGAAGCCCTGAGACATTGTCAGTCAGGTCCGCAGGGACGCGATACTAGTCTAGACGCCTCAGCTTTGGGGGGGGCAAAACAAACCTTGATTTTGATTTGGTCATCGATTCGACCGAGTGGCTCGATGGTGCCATCTGCTCTCCAGCGACCCAAGTCACCAGTGTTGTACATCATGGAGCTGTGTCCACATCACGTCAGCACTGAGCATTTGAACATCGGTGGACGCCTGATGGGTGCACATGACACATACCCATTGTTCGCAAAAGGATCAATCCGGTATTTCTCGGCCGTCTTTTCGGGAAGATCGATATAACCGCGAGAGATGCCGTGGCCACCGGCCCACATGATTCCCGTCTCTCCCACTGCAACCGGGTTTCCGGAGTCGTCGAGGATATACACCGAGTTGTTTGGGGTCGGTCGGCCAATTGTCAGATCAGCACCAACAGTGTGCTTGTGCATAGTATTGACGATAGTGGTCTCAGTCGGGCCACAGCAGTTGTAATATACTCCGTGAGAGCTCCAGCGGTCCGCAAGACTGTGGTTGCGATGGTCAGCCACTCTTCTAGCATACAGCCAGCAGGGCAGGGAATGATGCTGCAGGCTACTCACCTCTGAGAGCTCGGTTCACCAGCAGTCGCGACGGTCTTGATGTTGGGAAACTGGCTGGGCTCGTACAGTGCAAGGATGCTGGGTGTGCAGATAAACGTGTCGATCTAACCACGGTCAGCGTGGGGCATCCACGGAAATCCTGGAGCTGGTCGCATTACCTGCGCAACGACTGCGTTCCAGTCTGATCCACGGAGCACCAATGTTCCACCATTGGAGAGGCAACCCAAAATTTCCCAGGCAGCTGTGTGGATGTCAGCAATTTGCCCAGGATCCTGACATCCACCACCATTACTCATGGCGCTAGAACGACCATGAAGCAACAAAACTTACCCATATCAAAACCGATATTCAGGACTTGCCCAACTCTTGTGCCTCGAGCGATCCCAAGATCCCCGGGAGACTGGCACACAAGGTTCACAACGTTCTGATGTGTGACATCGACACCCTTTGGCGTGCCCGTTGTTCCTGGATGATTGCATGTTAGTCTCGTGCTCACACACTTATGAGGATGTGAGAAAAGGGGAAAGAGCCCACCTGATGTGTATATCACATAGCATCCAGTAGTAGGGGTGGAGAAGTCGTCAGATGTGATCGCAGCGTCGTATTCCGGCACCAAGGCACCCAGCTCATCGATGGCGATCACCTCGCGCTCAGGCTCGAAGGCGGCAAGGCGGTGCCTCGTAGACTTCATACACAGCACAAGTCTGCTAGCGGACTGTTCGACCACTAACCGTACTGTCGAGTCTGGAACCACACCACCGTCGAGGGGTACATATTGGGCGCCTGCCGAAAGGATGGCATATATGCCCACGAGCATATCGATGCTTCTCTTGACCACTAGAGGGACTCGGTCACCTGGCTTGATGCCAGCATTTCGAAGTTTCCGCGAGAGGGCGATGACCCTCAGAGAAAGTGCTCCATAAGTAATTTGAGTAGGTGGTGTCTGAGAAATGTCGATGGCGGCAAGATCCTCTGGGTAGAACGTGGCATGATGATAGAATGCCGCAGTTATGGTGGGGAAGCGAGGAATGACAGCCGGACCCCGAGTGAAAGACTCGGGAATCAGCTTCATGGTCGCAGCTGTGGCGATAGCCCGAAGAAGGATGGGTTTCTCTTAAAGTTGCTTAGGTGGTTTAGCTCAGCATTTGAGGAGATTGAAGTGATGATCAAGTAGTGTCTCTCAGGTCCAATGGGTGAATCGACCGCTATTTATACCGTAGGAGCATACCCACTCATTGAACGACGGATTCGTCCGAAGAGTGCCTTGGCTATCACAACTAGTCTCTTTCCCACTTTGCTGGCCACACAATCTTGCGCACGCTGTCACATCGAGCCGCTGCCCAAGATGAGTAGCAGGGAGCGTGTTGCGCCGCAGAGGCTGGCCACGCGGTCTTGATCCCGGCTGGTTACAGGTCACATCACTCCCTGTCCAGGACGTCGCGGCTACAGAGGGCCTCTCCACCATCGAAACAATGGCACAACAAACCCATGATGTAGCGAGCCTGTGACGATTCGAGGAAGGAGGTGACAGGAACCTGGAATGGTACATCGCGATTCGTGGGCCCGTGCTGATCGGCCGAGCGCGGGCACGCAACACTGACAGAACTTTCGTCTAAGGCTATGCGGCGCCATGCCATCCTTCTTAGAGCCAAGGGGCGGCCCCGATGAGGTCGGCGGATCTTAGCTACCCCTGCCAGGACCCCTGCGCGCAGCGAACGACGCCGGCGTGTGCGACCACACGCGGTGGTGGGTGTGCCTGGTGGGGAGAGCCTGGTGTTTGTTCCTTGTACGTTTCGAAAGCCACGAGAGTGTGTGGTTAGCCCAACCCATGCCCTGCATCCATGGCCATGGTGCTAGGCCTGCCACCCGCCGCCGGCAGTGCGTTTTAGCGTGTCGGAATGTGGTGGGCAGGGTGGGCCCGAAGGTTTCCCGCCAAGTCTTTGTTTCCCCAGAACATCCCTGGGACGAGGCAACATCCAAAGGACGAATCGACATATCTGGAAGTCCGGAGACAACACCCCAGCGCCCCCGTTGCTGGTATCGAGCAAAGCGCCGGGTGCTTGCTGGCAAGGGTTCTTGTGCCACAGCTGCGGCAGCAGCGTCGCCGCCCCTCGCCTTTTTGACAGCTCGGCGAGCACGACATGATTGGCTTACTCTGGAAAATGTCGCCTTGCGGACCTTGCTTCTGTACAGAGTCTGGCCCGCAGCCCTCATTTTGTGGCCTCGTGCAATGTCGCAAACTTGGCATGCGCCCAGAGACGGCGCAGCAAGACTGGACAAAACAAAAATTGAGCTGCGTCGGCGACTTTGCGCCAGGAAAAACAGTCTGGCAGGGGCGGCTCCGGCGGGCCGCCCTAGTCCGGGTGGCGGCTCCGGGCGGAATGGAGTGGGCGGCATTCAGCTCGGTCCCCTGGATGGTTTCAGACACACCGGCCGAGTGGGATCTGCTGTTTCGATGTGCGGAGGGGTACCTTGTGCTTAGGTCGGACGGAGTCCACATGATAGGTTCGCCGGGAGCTCTTCGAAACGCACGTCTTTTCCAAAGCTCTTGTGATCTTCATATCGTACGCTCCTTTGCCTCTTCCCTGCTCCAGTCCCTTTTCTCCCTGCTCTTGTGCTTGAATTTCCGAAACAGTCAAAAGTTCGACGGTTGCCAAGTTGGCCATGGCGGAAACCCACATTCCGATTGAAGAGCTGGTCCTCGTCTCGACGCCTGTTGACGGTGTCAAGGTACTGGCGCTCAATCGTCCCACAAAGCGCCATGCGCTGTCAGGTGCCTTGATCAGCGAGTTTCTTCAGAAGCTGGCCGCTGCAGCCCTGGACCCTCAGGTCGGCGCAATTATCATCACTGGCAGCCAAGCATGCTTCTCAGGTACGTGCTCATCCTGGGATTCATTGCGTGCATGTCGACCAGAAAGGCTAACATCTTGGTATACGTGCAGCTGGCGCTGATATCAAAGAGATCTCGGCAATGGACGCAGAAGCTGCCAGACACTGCCGGTATCTGCAAGATTTGTGTGCCGGCATGGCAGCGGTCAGGAAACCAGTGATTGCGGCACTTGAGGGGATGGCAGTACGTGAAGTTGGCTCACTTCTCCAACTGATAGTTTGCAGTTGTCGCGCTAACTCTTGATGGCAGCTCGGAGGAGGGCTCGAACTCGCGTTGATGGTAGGTGGCGGCTGCATCGGTCCGGGGTGTATGCATGCATCCCGTCTTGCTGACTTGGGCCTCTCTCTCTTTCTTCGCAGTGCGACTTGATTTATGCTGGGCAGCACTGCCGGCTGGGCCTCCCCGAGGTTACAATTGGCCTCATCCCTGGGGCTGGAGGCACACAACGTCTAACTCAGGCCCTTGGCAAATATCGCGTAAGCTCAAATCAGTTCTTATTCAGCGTTGCGCAAGTTGCTGCACGATACTTACTCGATTTTCTGTTCTGTTTTTGCGCACCACAGGCAATGCAGATGGTTTTGCTGGGTACTCCCATTTTGGCAAACGAGGCGCTCGCAACCGGTTTGATTGCCGAGGTCTTTGAAGACGGCAGTGTCCTCGCGAATGTGATACCCATTGCTTCGAAACTTGCTCAAGCCAGCGCATCAGCTCTTTCTCTAGCCAAGGAAGCTATCTGCCGCGGTGAGTTATCCAGATGAAACCAAGGCCCCAAGTGGCAGAACCAGTGTACTAACTTGAACCCGCAGCGGACGAGCGGGGGCGTGACGATGAGTTTGAGAGAAGCCTATACTATTTTGCATTTGGTACGGCGGGCAAGCGAGAAGGTGTCGCGGCTTTCCTTGAGAAGCGGAAGCCCCAGTGGAGTTCCACGTGAAAACCGCGATGCTCTTTGCACGCTATCATGTTTCCTGTCGCATGGCACTGCGACATGGCGCTGTAGTGCAACCATGTGCTGTAGATTTTGAATGTGAGACGGTTGCGTCATACCCAATGTAGTTGAATTCCTTGGAAGTGATCCCTTGCCAGCTGGGCGCTATCAGTATGTAGTGCGCAGGCTAGATGCAACCCTGTGCGTTTTGCCAGCTCCAGGGAGGGTCGCATCCATGGATGTGCCAGTCTGCATGCCTCGTGGGATCGCAGGTGGGACCATGCACTTAGCCAGCATATGCACCACCTTTTGTCATTGCTTATACATTCAAAGGCGCTGGCCGTTGTCCTGAACTGCCGGGCCGGCATGTGCCAGGACGATGAGGGGGCCGGCTTGTCGAAAACTGGTGCCGGTGCGAATGGTTCTAGAAAGGGTCAGGATTGGCAGACGAGCTTCGAGGTGTGTCGGTACTGCCTGTTTGCGCCAAGCATACGCCTCCCTTGTCAGACGAGGAATTGGGTCAGACATGGTGGCGTCGCGCGCCCATGACAAAGGATTGCCCATAGCATATGCCGCCCCATTCTCTGGCAGCAGATAGTCCGTTTTGAGCAATGCAGACGAGACGACAAGGGGGGTGATTGGTGGAGTCCCGACCATGAGCATGATGCACAAGCCTCGATAGGTCAAAAAGGGTCGCGGAAGTCGTGAGCGCGCTGCTCGACGCTGCTATTGAGAGTTGGGGCTTGGCAAGGCGGAAGCGACGCCGCGCTTGTGTTGTGTCTTTCTTGACAGGCGGAGGCTCATAGTACCCCACGGCGACGTGCAAGCTTGCATGGCGGCGATATCTGCAGCGTGACAGACAGCCCCGTGATCGATGGTGCCGTCTTCGAAGCCTGAAAGGGCTGCGCGTCAGAGTGGAGATTATTGACGAGAATGGGCAACAAGGCTGTTCTGGCATGGAATAGGCAGGTGGACGGCCTCCTGTGGAAGGGCAGGCCTGTCCGGCGATCGAGACAGCTCGTACTCGGTCCCTGATCGGTGCGAAGGCGTGGATTCGTATCTGTCATTTGGGGGGGAGACTGAGCTGGAGCTGCAACGTGAGAACTTCAGGACCTGCCCAGGTGGGAATGCTCGCATGCCCAGAGATGCCTCAAGTCTACGCCATGACAACCTTCCGTGGAAGATGCCTGCTGTTTCTGCCTGATTACGCGGATGCAAGCAGCCACGGTCGAAGGCAAGAGCAACGCGGGCCGGGCGGGGTCAACTGCTTAAGTGGGTAAATGCCCCCCCCCGCGCAAGGTGTCCCCTTTCAGGCACGCCCGACTTCTCTGAATGAATCACGTCCACTAGCGACGGCTCTCCACGACTTCGTCGTGTTCTTGCTCGACCATTCAATCAGAGCAGCAATGGCTGGATGCCGGTCCAGTGTCGCGAGCTGCTGCTGCATCTGCCACACGGCTGTGATGCGCTGCGGGCGTGACAGCTGAGACACGCATAACCGAGCCTTCCCAATCACACGGCTCCCCGAATGGTTGGTTGGCTGTCCAAACCTGGTGATTCCTGGATGGTGTGCCACACCCGGCTCTCACCACTCGACCATGCAATGATCGACGGCCGCCCCTCCCCCGGCGAATCCTGAAGCTGCTCCTTCTCCCCCATTGCAACTGCAGACACTCCCCGTCGTCCGTCGGCCCCGGCCGACCCATAGATTGGTCCGAAGCCAACCTTGGAATTACCAGAGGTCTTGGTCAGCGAAAGTCGCTGTCGCGCCTAGTCTGGCGGCACACCCTCCCAAGGGACCCTAGGTCAAGCTGGATGAACTGCGTTATCCGCGGTGGGCGTGGCCCTGCAGTGTCCAGAGAGCATCGACGACACGTCTGTGACTTGAAGTCGCTGGATCTAGCTAGAGCAGCCACGGATCGGGAGACGTGGCACGGAGCTCACGGGCCAGGGCCGGCAGCTACGCCTTAGTGTCATGCAGGTCACCATTTTTCGGTAAGTAGTGCCAGTGATGCCGGGCTGTGCGCCGTGCCGTTTCCGCCAACCATACCCACGTGCATGGCAGAGAGATAATGACTCCTTCAGAACATGGGACCTAAGTCGAAGGTCGGTTGCCGCCCATGCTCTAAGCGGCTGCAGTCTTCATCCTTCAAGGTGTGGCAAAAGACTGCGCCGGCCCAAGTGGGAACGAAGAGTCCATGACGTGACAACGGACTGCGATAAGTGACTTCGTCATTTGCCCAACAGCTCGCTTTATGCTGGCTCAAGATGTGGACCTCTTGTAAGCTTCGGGTATCTGCTGTCAGCGAGTCCATTCCCGCGTTTGCGTTCTGCATATAAGCTACTGTAAGTCGCCCACAACCACATCATGCTGATCATTGTCTCACCGCTCCTCAAGTATTATGCCGCTGAATCTTGCATCATTCACCAACCTTGTCTGCGGTCGGCTGCCCTTGGCAGCATGAAGCACCACGAACCAGACACTTTTTGGCCACAGCGAAGAGCGGCACAAAGCGGCATGGCATTGCAAACTGTACGTAGAATGAGAAAACCCGATCTGGCTTGTTTGGCGTAGAGAAGCGATCAGCGTGCCGGCACCTATAACAGATTTCGCATTGCGACTGGCAGCGAAAGACCATGGCGTCCAGCACAATCTGCATTAGCATCCAGAGGTTCGAGCTCTGTGCTTGGCCTGCAGTTATTGCGCACCGTTCATTCACAAATTTCTAACCAGGCAGACTGCTGTACCCATTTGTTATGGTAGCCAGATGTTTCCTGGCGAAATGACATCCATGACAGGTGGAGAGGGGAAATGGAAATCACGCGAGGCCTATCACGTTGATGATTCGGGTGTCTTACATTGGCCGTCACATCATGTCACCAACGGCCCCTGCCGTCCAGCACGAACTATCCGATGCACCTTCATACCAGGCTATTGGCAATAGCAAGTATGATCAGCACAATGCGGAAGCGCAAGAACTGTTATCCATTGGTTCGTTGGCTCCTAGCCTTGACGGTGACGCTTTGGAGCCAAAACACACTAACATCGTCTTTCGTGAGCACTCCCAATATCACAGGACGCCACGTTCCGTAGACCTCGCACATCCAACTGACACAGGGTCTCAGCAGGCGCATGCATCGACCCACCTGGCTGGAAAAGCCATACCCAATACCACGAACGCGTGGAGATCTTCATGCACAACGCCAGGCACTCTCAGGCGAGACGCAGCAAGATGTACTTTGACTTCGTAGCTTCGGTTGCAGGACGTGCAAAGGCTGCTATTCTGAGGATAGGCATTGTTATGGACCTGCCAGAGTGGACAGGGGCCCTCCACGGTCTCAACATCATTGCACCAGGGAGACACGGGCATCACAGTGCCCGCGTGAGTCGCCGCAGAGCAACTCGGCTCTCAAGGCCACGGATGGTCCGTACAGCACATCAGCCGACGTTCTGAACATCATGCGGCTTAACGACGCTTGCCAAATAGAGCGTGGAGGTGGCTGAACATGCCAATCTGAATGCTCAAAAGTGAAAGTCGAGGGCCACGTGTTGAGCCCAGTGGCTTTGCCACATGGCGTCTCAGCTGATCCGCCATGGACATGCCACGAGACAGATATCGCCTCATTTCCCCATCTCCAGACTGCTCGGAGGGTCAACTCCCGTCGACGAGGACGAGACGTGGGTGGTGAGAGCAGGTAAGCAGCCAGGGCGAGCGCCTGGTGACTTTGTGGAGCAGGCACCGTGGCTTGAGTGTCTCTCGGTCTCACATGCTCGCTTCCGCTGCTCTTGAAGTGGCGCTATCTCCCGACCTTTCGATGTCGTAAGTCGTGAATGCGGATGAGTAAGTGAACCAAACAGCCTCGCATCGAACCGTCGTGCGTTTTTCGTTTTTTGTGGCGTCGATGGTGCGTGTGGAGATATGTACATCCAGGCCCTTGGGGGAATCCCGCAAGTTCGTTTTTAGCTGTGGCTGCTTACTGTTCCCTCCGTCCGCGCTGCATGGTCGGGAAGTCGAAGGTAGGCATTTGAATGTTTACCTACTTCGCTCATTCCAGAGCTGACAGTGGAGTGGACTCGTCTTTGTGGCGTTTGGGTCAAGGCTTTCGATATCACGGAGCTCTGCTTAGAGTGGCCTGCGAGAAAGGAAGGCTTCCTTGCTATAATGATACCCTCGGTGAGTCTTCTACAGGCTTTCTTGTAGAGGGAAACTTTTGCGAGGAGAGAAACGTCACGAGCGGGTGAAGCACGAAGCGTTATGCTTAGTGATCGATTTCTTCGTGCTGTGATTGTTGGTATTGGCAGTGCCGATAACGAGAGGAGGAGGATGCGTGATATCTGTCACTGTCGTTCATGTCCTGATGTGCAGGCACATTTCTGTAATTTCAGCTAGAGAATGAACTACTGGGCTCGTGTGTTCGAGGTGTGAGAGCCACCTGCTGCCAATCTCCGGGTACTTCTAACTCGAATACATTCAAAGGATCTGTGCAAGTGCTTAGTTTGCGCAAGGTCTGCCACTGTAACTAGTTGACTTCAGTCACGCGGACACACGCTGACAACACTTGAAATTAAGCTGCTTTCATATTGTTCTGATCGTTGTGTAAGTCGCACACGACCAAGTCAAATATTCTCGAGTGTGTTTCAACCGGCTTCGCAGGTGTCAAGATAGTCGGTGTTTGCGTCTCCTGGCGTCCTTAGCCGCGTCAAAACGTCTCCCGAACTGCCAACGATCGATGTCCGACATCATTGATACAAAGTCGCCAAGCCGCGCAGACATGATCTATATTTGTATGCAGATCAACTTCTTCACGAAACAGAAATAGAAGACTCGTCAAGTAAGTTCGTAATCGGTACCAAAACAGAACGAGCGGTGTTTCGCAGATTCCCAAGGGAGAGGTTGCACTTTGCCTTGTCTCCTCTGAACAATAACGGGAAAGAAGGAACCAAGGCTCCCCGTGCTGGTCTGTCTTTTCATTCTTCGAGCATAATTTCTCGGCTTGTAGGACCAAATGCTCGGAACTCTTCGAGCAGCAATCGGCAACCGAGTAGAACACTAGCCACCCCCTGGGTGTTGGACAGATGATGCCATTCTCTGCCTCTGCTACCGCGGGTCCCTTGTGACCTTTCTCTTCCTTCTAATATTCCCTCGGACTTCCAACTAAGCTTTCACCTTTCCCCATCTTTGCATCTGAAACTGAACCACTGCCTGAAATAAACCAATGAGCATCCAGTGTAATGTCCGAACTGAACATCCTACAGCACTTTGCCCCCCCAACTCAGGCGTAGACCATAATCCCTCTCAACCTTCCAAAGATCCCTCCTGACTCGGACGGGGCTAAGGTACAAGCTTTAAATGTGACTCTTCCTTGGTCTAACATCATTTGTCACTTGGAACAAGAGGTAACAATACTTGGGTAAGTGACCTGGTATGATTAATCCTCTCCCTGTCCTCCCAAGAACGTCAACAAAACAACAATAAAAATGACAACAGCAACCACTGGGACATGGAAACGACCTATGACAAGGAAAAGAAATATTGTCCATTCAGTGACAGCACTCCCCCGTCCATTGGTGTGGGAATTGGTGGGGAAAGTCCAACGAGACATCCGCACCGCAGCCACTACTAATGTTGTCCCAAGTCTTCTCAAGGCTTCCCGCAAGAAGCTGCTCGGCTCGCTCTCTTTCACGTGGCCCCTCGATCATTAACTGCAGTGCTGGTATTCCTCCGTGCTGTGTGCGGGGACGTAGAGATGGTGCGTGCTTCTGGTATTCATCTCGGAAGCAGTGTGAAACATAAAACATGCAAAGGCGAAAGCTAGGTTGTGGATCGGTCAAAGTCTTATTATGAAATTGAAATAAACAGACCGAGGAGATCTTGTACATGATTTCAGGTGTACTTAATTCAAGCAGGGGCTGCACCACTTAGCAGCGTGTTCTGGTATTCATGTTCTTCTTCATCCGAAATATAATATGTACGTTGTTCACAACCGCGCCAATATTGGCTGGTGGTCTAGTTCTCACTCTATATACATTATTGAGTCAATCTTCCATTCGTACGCCGTACGAAGAAACCTGGTATCGCTACCCTCCGCGATGCGAATAACACACGCTGTTGATAGAAATACCACAAATGCGCCACTCGCCAAAATTCCATCAGCGGGAGAAATTGCGGCTGCCATATATCAACGCCAGTTTTGTCAGCGGGTGCCTCCCGGGCCCTGAATTAGTGTGTTGAAGTAGCGTGGCAGACGCGAAAGTCAGTCCATCGTCGTACAGATCGTCATACAGATGCCATCAACATTACAGCTCCTTGGCTCATCCATGTTGCCTTGAGATTCTTGACGGCCAGACCCTGCGACCATATCCTGTCGATCAAAGGCTCTGTTCTAGCGCCATGGCCTCCGAAAAGCCATTCCTGATCATCTCGGTCTGCTCGGCGCTGGGAAGAGTGCAGGGTTTCCTTGGCTCGCCACCGTAACCGTAGAAGATCTGGAGGGCTGCCTTGACGCCGGCAAAGCCTGTCTGAATGGCGACCCAGTCAGCTTTGGCGACGATGGCTTGCAGCCGCCGGGCCTCTTTGAGATTGCCAGCCTGGTAAAGCTCGCAGATGCGTATGCATGCTTTCGGAAGGAGGTTGGCGGTTCCGGCAATAGTGCCATGCCCACCAACAACAAGTCCCTGGAGGATAAAATCGGCGCTGCCTCCGCCGACGAAAAATCCCTCCTTGCATCCGTCAACAACTCGTGCAAGCTTTCCAGTGTTGCCGCAAGTCAGCTTGACTCCCCACACATTGGGGTGCTGTCCAATCTTGAGGATGGCGTCAGAGGACAGGTCAAGCCCCGGTGTGGCTCCGGGATAGTTGTAGACCATGATCGGGATCGGACTCCGGTCAGCAACATCAAAGAAGTGCTGCACGACCTTGCTTGAATCGAGGAGACCACCGTAGTATGACGGCGGCAGGACAATGGCGTAGTTTGCGCCAGCATCAGCGGCATCCTTGCACAGCTGGATGACCTCGCGGGTGGACTGAGCCCCGCATCCTGCGATCAAGGGAAGCAGATGGTGGTCGGCCTGGTCCACAGCAGCGCGTGTCGCCTTGATCAGCTGTGAGCGTTCTTCCCTGCTGAGATGAACAGCCTCGCCGTTCGAGCCGTGAATGACAAGGCCGGCAACTCCTGACTCGGCCAGGTGAACAGCATGACGCTGAGTTGTCTCAAGATCAAGCTCGTCGTCTGACTTGAAAAATGCAACAGTAGGCACGTAAACGCCTTCGGCGAGATATCGGACAGGAATTGGTGTCGAGGTCATCTTGATCCGCAGAGGGTGTGTTCTGGTGGAATGAAGAATGGAGGAGAGAGATCCCGGGTACTTTTTGACGCAAAAGATGGCACAACAGGGTCGCTCGAGAAAAAGCAAGAAATAGGGTCAAGGGCTTTTCGAGGGTTGTAAGGACGGGTGAGAGTGTGTGGTGAGAGAGGAGGCGCTCAACGGCAGAATACAGGCCTGAGACAAAGTCTTTTCGTGCGCATAAGAGGTAGTGTCTGTGATAGTCGATGGCTCGAAAGATTGATGAGACAAAACAGATGTGTTGGGGGCCATACTTATATCTTTTGAGGAGGGAGGGAGCGAATGGTCCAGCAAGTTTGCTCGGCTCCATGCTACGCCACACTAGCGAAGGTGGTGACTAGCTCACTGACAGGGGCCGCACCCTAAATCGACAACTCATCACACGACCGTGAAACTCAAAGCTCCACGCAGCTAATGGCGGCAGCACCCCATCGGAATGGCAGCCTGGCGCACAGCGATGTTCTCGGATCGCTCATTTCGCCCGGCGCAGCACCTCCTTGAGGCAGAAAATTTGCTGTAGGCAGGCCGTGAGACGTGCTCTGTGGTTACACGGCCAAAGATAGAACCCCAAAGTGGTCAGATGAGGCAGGTGAGCTGAGCGAGACCGCCCTGTGAGTGGAGCAGCCCCATGCTTGCGGATCCGGCAGGCATGGAGGGTCTGGGACGAATGGGAAGACAGCCATTGCTTGGTAGCGTTGCCCCGGAGCGTGGGGGTTCACCTCAACGGGTCTCTGAGCGTGTCATGTGGTCTTCGAGTTGAAACTAAGCGTGCTCAAGAACATTCCCAGGCAGGCAGGCTGCTCGCGATGGCTCGAATGTTTCCAACGTCGCTGGCAGGGGGGGATCGCAGCTCCCGCTTATTAAGCTCGGACATTTTGTCACCGCCATGTTGGTTCTTTGCCTTATTCTTCCGTGGCATGGCGCACTCGTCCCAAGGTCAACCCCGACCACGGGCAACAAACGGGACACCGCAACGCGGGCTGGGACCGCGAGACATGTAGGCAGTACCGACGCCGTCCGTAAGCGAGCCGGCTCGGCAGTCGGGAATCTGCGTGCGGAATAGCCACGCCGTGATTGGCGTGCAACGTTATTTCGATCATGTAAGAAGCGGGCCACGATCGGAGGCGTGGAGCAGGTCGGGTAGGCGAGCGTCCGGAACACCGCGACGGCGCTGCTGGGCAATGACGGCTGCCGTCGGAGCCGGGGGGCCGGGCATTTCTTGGGGTACAGCAGATGTGGAGGGCGTTGCGCTGGGCTGTGGAACGCTGCGACTCGGCGGCGGATGCCGTCCTGTCGTCGCCCTTGCCGTCGCCGTTTGTGCTTCAGGAGCGGCGGTCAGCGAGGGATCGGTGTGGTGGCCGCGGAGTTTATTTTCCAGCCATGGTGAAGCCATCCAATGGTGATGGTGGTCGTGCTCCCGGACCGGAACTCTGTGAGCGGCGGCTGGTCATGTCACTTGCTGCCGGGCATTATACGGCGGCGAGGAGGTCGTTGCAAGTGGGCCAGGCCGTGGTGGTCGACGAGATGTGGACTGCAACGTGGCGGGCACGTTCCCAGCAGCGATCCTGTCACGGCAGCAGCCGATGCACTGCTGCGTTTGAGATGCTCGGTGAGGGAAGGTGCACGCCCGGCCGCCCCATCGTGAGGTCCACCGGCACACTTATTTTGTCCTCCACCAGCCTCGAGTGTTTGGCGTGCTTCTAGATTGCAGGACCCGGCTTGGCCCCCCAATCTCACTGTCGATCGTCCCGTATGGGCATCGCATCTGGGACTGTCTGGTCTCCATGTTCCATCACAACCTCCTCAACCTCCTCGTTCCTTCTCGTCCTCCGCTGCCTGCGACACGGTCCTGAACCTCCACCCGTCACACGCGTGTCGTCGTCAGCACAGCACAGCACGTTGCAAGCCCTGCCCTGCCCTGCCTGCTGCCGCCCTGCGCCGCACTCCTGCCATCGCCCAGCCTGACGACCCCTGCCGCAGCGTCGCATGGCTGTTGAGGCGGACGGCACCAGCCAGCCAGCCAGCTCGCAGCCCGGAAGCGGCGCCCTCATCTGGGGACCACGAGCTTGGATCCACCACCCCAGCTCAAACCCCCACGCTAGCGGATCGCCACATGCCCCCTGTGCGGAGAGGGCTCTCCTCGACCCTACCCAACGCGGCTCGCCGTCTCAGTGTCGCACCGGAGCGAAACGTCGTCGTCGTCGTGCCGTGTTCAACGCCGCCTCCTGTGGGTGAGCAGCACGTTTGGCAAGGATGGCCAGCTGCTGCCTTCAGCAAGCACAACAGCAGCAGCTGCTGCTGCACCAGCAGACCTGAAGCAAAGGACGGCATTGTCAGTCTGTCGGCCACGAGACGCTGCCCCAGTGAGACAGTGTCATGCAAGTCACACTTGCCGACACGCTGCAAGGAGCAACATTGGCCAGACGCACAGGGCCCAATCGGGAACAAGACCAGGGCCAACAAGCCAACACGTCTTGGGCAAGCATTCAACAACTCGTGCAGATCAGGGCGCAGATCAGCGTGCCGTCTTTGTCGGGTCATGCAACCCGGCATCAACGCCGTCGGCTTCGTCGTGGGTGGTGGACTCAACCGCCGGTAATCGCTCCGGTCTAAGCCAGCCCTTCTGGTTGCATAGGTGGCTGCGGTTCAACAAGGCGTGGGGGTTCGTGTGCCTGCGTTACATGCCTGTACGTCGCCTCAGGGAAGCTCCCTGCTCTCCACGCTGCAAAATCGGAGTCGGGCCACTCGTTCAATTCAAACCCCGAGAGTCGACGGCGCTCGCCTCTGGTATCGCTTCCGATCCGGCTTTTGCTCCTGCCTCGTGGATCTTGCCGGGCGGCCAGGACTCGGCAGACATGCACGGGTCGACTCGGGCGCACCAGGTCACTTTGCCGCCACTTGTCCGCCCTGCGGCAGTTGTTCATGTCACAAACGCAGACATCACCATTGCGGCCCTCCCGAGGACAGCGGCGACAATATTCAGGATGATGCTCCCGAAGCTGCATGGCCCAAGAAGCACACTAGCATCATGTCCACATCGTGCAGGAAAGAGCTCAGAAACTCAATGCTCAGCCTGCTGCATTTCCGAGACTTGAGAACACAGCAACGCTTCGGCTGCATCGGACACCAATCCTTTAAGAGCAGGCTATAATGACAGCCAGATATCAATGATCAATCGGTTATTTCCGCGACGCAGGCAGCCAATGATGAAACACTCCGTCATCATATCTGCTGCTCAGCATCTCGCGTGCTACAAGTCACGTAATGGAATCTTCGTTCCTAGCCATACACAAGTCGCCATCTCCGCAGAGTTTCATGTGCAGCAACGAAGCGCAACAGGGATCGTCGCCTCCGTGTGAGCATGAAATCTTCTTTGGGAACGATGCATCATCAAAATGGTGCCCCTCACTGCAAGCAAGTGCTCGCGTGGCCCAATTTGTCCGGCACGCCGCCCGGAGGCTTTCGTGGAGAAGGGTGGTCATCTCCATCTCAGTGGCGCCATGCTGCCAACTCACATTGCAGAATGGGACAACATGGCCCAACCAAGTCCTAGAAACCCTCTTTCGGGCAGCTCTTGCCATCAAGTGATCACTTCAGGTAGCCATCTCCTGCAATGTCGTGGCCCCCCATGCCTGGGTCGAAAGCAAGGAAGTATCCTCATGCCTTCTTGCGCCGGGTCGCATGCATTTGCACATTCCGTAAAGTGGAATTGGCAGTCCGAATATGTCACGTCGCCCCCAACTTCGTGTGTCACCTCTGCATGTTCCCCGCACATTGTGTAAGTGTAATATGCAGGCAGCCTTGCTAGATGCCATGAGAGCCATAATCTGCTTGCGTAGCCGACTATCAGCACAGATACAGCTGTGCTGTGTAAAGGAGAGTGTCCTGTTCAGTGAGCTAGAGCAGGGTACGGCAGGAGATATATCGTCCCGTAGACCCGTCTGCGAACCTTAAGCGAAGGGCCGTCTGTCTAAGCTTGAGGAGACCAGACAGGCTTCAAGCTCGTTCATCAAAGCTGAGGAGGGGCCAAGTCCAGGGCCTCGGTTTTGCGTGGTTTCCGTGGCCAACAGACTTACGGTTATGGTCATTGGTGACCGAAATAAGCAATCCTGTGAAGCGTTCCACGTACATGTATATCCACCAGCGGACATGGCGGAAGTTACATTTGTGGACATTGACAGACTTCAATCTGCTCACGGAGACCGTCGCAGTCACGGGGCCCGAATTGGTTGTAGACCTGGCTATGCTCGGACAGCAACGCTCAACCCATGAGGGAGTGCTTGATTTCAAAGCCCGGCCTTGCAGCTGTCATCGAAAATCTATGAATGGCCCTCGTCGTTGGACCTACGAGGTGACATTAGCGGCCGACATGAATAATTGAGTGTGATTAGTGTCCCGACGACCCTGGGGTGATGTCGCGCTCTCCAACTTCGAAGTCTGCGTCGAAGTGGGAGCACTGGCGAGTTGATTTGCGGGGAAGAAATTATCTTAAGTCAAGTCTGATGATAAAGCCCACTGGTTCTGATGTCGTTCTGAAGTTGAGTAAGCCTGAGCATGGTGCAGTGGAATGTATAATCTGTCATGACTGGTCTACCCAGTCGTCAGTAATGGCCGTTACGCCCGATACATGAGTCCCTCTTGAAATAGACATTGTATCGATATGAACTGGGATACCTATCTTAATGATCGCTTCGCAAGCTGTTCACCAGGTTCGCGAACGCGTTGTCGCCACCACCCTTTTGCTCATAATCCACCCTCCGGGACGAAACAGCGTGAACCACGCCGTCTTCCTCGACTCTTTCAAACTCTCTCGGACCTTGGGGCGATCTTGGCTGGTGTTCAGATCGTTTTTGGTGTGGCTTCCTGCTCTTGCCACTGTTACTTGCCACGAGCATTGGTCTCAAATCAACTGCTTCGATTTACTTTCGCAACTAAACCTTCTGGATCACTCAGACACAAGTCCCAGTGCTTCGCTCCCGCTGAACGTATGCCTACCTGGGTATCTAACCATTTACCTAGTGATAGTGTTTAGACACAATTTCGCCAACTTCGCAGTAATAAGTACTCTGAGTATCAGACCACATGTAGCACCTCCAAACAACAGGACAATTTCCACCTTTCTCACACGCTACAACCCCAAGGCATCGAATCGGACTCGCTTCGAGGTACCATCATCACGAGCCCACCACCTCAACTAGCCAGTGACGCGGAGAGGCTGTCTGCGGGATCGCAACCGAAAGCCTGCACGAGACTCTCCTTCGTCTTGATTTCAAACACAGAAACAACACCAGTTGCACCACATCGACAAACACGGCGAGTAGTGATTGGCATCATCATTAGGGATACTACCGTCACTCACAATCACCATCACGATCATCATCAGGCTATCACTGGTCCCTCGAGAGTTCTACTCTTTGAGCTAACAATCGAAATAGCAAACGCCCACAGCAGTCAGCGCAACTCACTCATGCACCAGCTTCACGGCCTACTCAGTCAGCCTAACCCTTGTACCGTCTCGGACGACACTCACAATCACCACAACGCCAGCAACGCTTTACCCGCGGCAGGAATGACACTTGACCGCCACAGCAGCAGCAGCGACGATGTCCTGGATGTCGAGCATCTGACGGCGGCGGCAATCCGGCTCGCCCAGGTATCGGACGAGGTCAACCAGCTCGTCCTCGAGTGCCGTGCTGCAGTCACGCGTCACCGCGAAAGGAAGGACCAGATGCTCGGCCCACGCTTGTTCGGCATGCTATCATCACGTCCGGCGACTCGTGCGGCTTGTTGTCAGGCAGGCTGTTCACTTGTGCGTAGGGCGAGCTGCATCATGGTCTCGAAACAGACGCAGACTGTGGGTCGTATCGGCCGTCTGACCGATGACGGGGGAAACCAGGACCAGGCATGTCGTGAGGAGGAGAGATTCGTCGTGGAGCAAGAGCGAGATCGCAATTCGGTCAACATGCCTAGAGAACCTGCGGAGGTTGGTCTCACTGGAAGCACTCCCCAGCCTCAGGCGTTCCAACTCACAACGATCAGCACCGATCCGAACAAGGTCAATGATGACCTGCCCTTGTTGTGTACAGCTAGCAAGGACCAAGCCGTGAACCAGACTGGGCTGAGAGAGCCCATGGCGCCCGCTGAGGCTACCACTAGCTCTTCGGAACTCGTCGTCATCAAACAGCACAGCAACGCCTTCTCCACAGCGCCGCCCGTGGCCTTCACAAACATGCTCGACGTCAACGAGCCGCGCTATCTCGCAGACAACACATCGGAGAGGAGGCTCTGCCGGGTCGTCATAATCAGCAACGTACCGCGCAAGCTGGACACACTGTCCTCAATCTTGTCCCGCGTCCGCGGCGGCATGCTGGTCTGTGCCAGGTTGGTCGACCTGTCAGACTGGCCTACTAATCAGAACAAGACGAAGACAAGTCAATATGGTCTAGGCTCGAAAGATGGGAGCGGTGGTGTTGGTGGCGGTGCCACGCGGATGGCATACATCGAATTTGCTGACCCTCGCGAGGCAGCCGCTTACGTTGCGTACGTCAACGATATCGAGCTCGTCAACAAGAATGTCCTCTTCAGCTGTGAAGGTCAAGACAGAGGTCTTTCAGCCTTGACGGCGGGCAGCCCTGACAGCAGCGGCGGCGGCGTCCACGCACGTGATGAACCTCAAGTGCAAGTCCGCCTCGCGGGAACACCATCGTATCCGCTCCCTGCCTATATCCATCGGATGATCCAGGCCGAGGGTGCTACGCGCTGCGTGGTGGTTAGATATCAAGCCATTGCCGCAGTACACGACAGCGATGCTCAGTCCGCTACCGGAATTGCAGCTGCAGGCATAATTGAAAAGTGCATGGGTTTGATTGAGCGGCGGTTCCTCTCGACTTGGCCGTACAGGGCACCAGACCGGGAGGGAAGCCCCGGAGGTGGTCGAGAAAGATATCCCTTGCTCGAACACGCCTGGATCGAGCAGGAGTTCACGCCCGTCAAGGACAATGAAACTGCCGATTTAGGCCCCGCCTCCAGCGACCAGATCGATGATGATGGCAGCGAGAATGCGCGAATCAACGAACAAGCAGGCTCCCATGACGGCAACGACGCCGCTCCTTCCCACGAGCAGCACAACCATGGAACTCAGACCAAAGACGGCAGCGCCACCACGACATTGCTCCACCTAAGCTTCTGCAAGCTCGAGCATGCGATCCGCGCCGCGAGCGCACTGCGATACCAGATCCATGCGTCATCGTCGCCGTCGTTGTCGTCGTCAAGCGTTCTCGTTGGCTTCGGAAGGGATCGCTGTGCCGGGGACATAGACGAGCTGCAGGACATCGCTTCTGCCCTGCCCTTTCCCTCAGGTCATACCGCAACCCCTCAGCCAGAGACCCTAGACCACGACGAGCAAGCCATCCGACAGGTAGAGTGTGAGAAACTCTCCATCTTGGAGGCGTGGAAGTCCGGAACGCTCGGGCAGGTCCTGGAGGACAACTTTCCCGGCTTCATCCACAGCCCACCGCCGCCTGACGCTGTTACTGCCCACACGCGCCGAGATACTGCAATCCCGGCCCGCCGCAGCGATCAAAGGGATACAGACGACCTCCTCGGTCTCCACGAGGGATATGACGACAGCAAAGGTCAGAAGTCGGCCACTAGCCCTCCTGCAAGTTCAGCCCGGTCCACGAGCCCGAGTCTGTGGTCCTTGTTCACGCCAGTCTCGCCAACAGACGCAGAGGACTCCCCGCAGGCATCGGACTCGTGTGACATGGCTCGGGGTGGAGAGGCACGAACGCAAGACAACACGAAAAGGGCAATCGAAGAATTCGAAGAAGCAAGCGAGGAAGGAGATGATGATTTATTGCTTTTTTGATCATGGCTATAAGCTCAGGTGGAGTAACAGGTCGTATATTAGCTCAGTCCGGCGCCACAGAAGCCTAGAGGCTGCGAAGACCACAAGGGACTCCCACGGTACTTGAATAGCTCGCAGACATACGTCACGATGAGGCGTCTTGCTTTGATGTTCTCCTCGAGGAGACAGTGGGTTGGAACGGCTGGGCAACGACGAGCGAAAAGCAGGCACGGTTTGCTTGTTATCTGCAGAACAGCATAGAATATTCGCGTCTGGCACATCATCTCCTCGGGCGAAGGAGTCGTGAAGCGGGGCACAGTTGCTAAGAAGCTTCTAAGCAAGCCATTGAACATTGGGGTATCTCGATTTCGCTAGTCCTGATCATTGCAATCCAATTTTAATGCCACGCTGTTCGAAAAAGAAGAAAAATTGACTCCCAGTCGTGTCATGGCACATCTAAGCGCCCCGAAACCTGCGAATAACAATGCACTAGCCACATGCTATGCAAAGCTGAGAGGAAGCAAGTATGTTGGCCGCCCATGATGTGCTTGTGCTCCCATTTGTTCTTCAGCTACTGCTTCTTTCACTACTCCGCCTCGCAGCCTGTCTCATAAAGGAGGTCTCTACCTCTCTAATGAGGGCGTGGCTGAAGTTCTTGCTGTGGTATGGCGTCTCGACGTGTTCTAACTCCGCCTCGGTGACTTGCAAGATATCGTCTTCATCATTCACAGAACTGTCGTCGTGCAGATCGATATGTTTTTGCCCACTGTTGTGATCCTGGCCCATCGCAGCACTGGAAGTGAAGATTGGGGACGCGCCCGGCGGTACAGGAGAGTGATGCTCATGCTCATCATCGACGTCGCCCATGACTGCCTCAGCGACGCTCGAATATTTCCGCTTGAGCATGGGTCGGGCAGGTCGCAAGATGACTGGAGGTTCCTCGGCTCCCGAAGCTCTCTTTCTCGCCAGGTACTCCTTTATCAAGGGCTTGTCGATGTTGTCTTCGGGCTCCCAGGTCGGATTCTGGTCTGGGGGCCAGTCGCCTTTCCAGCGAACTCTGAACAGCCGAACTGGCTTGCCATCCACCAATTCCGTCCGCATGCCTTCAAGTCGTTTGACCTCCCATACCTGTTCTTCTTCTTCTTGCTCGACTATGATTGCTTTCTTCTTGCTTTTGCTCCGAGGTGGTTTGATATCCGTCTTGGATGGAGGCGTGGCACGGGACGAGACTGCTAAACCCGGAGATTGTGGTAAGGGCTGAGTCTGGGAGCGTGATGCTACAGGCCACAAGATAACGCTCTTCGCCGCGGGCGTGAAGCCGTAGTGTTGCAATGTTGATTTGGCAGACCTTGGTTGCGGTACTGGGGTGCTCGCTTCCGCCGAGGGCGAGGGCTCACGGGCGAGTTTCGGCAGTCCACCAAAAGAGAGTGGAGATATTTTCCTGGATGATGGCTGCTCTTTCTGCATACCACCCGCGTCAAGTGCTGCTGGCAATCGGGGAGCGGTGATCGCGGCCTCGCTGTCAGAAGAACCGAAGCCTTCCGGGCTCCTTGTGCTTGTCTGTCGCAGCTGTCTGTGGATGGCAACCTCGTCGTCAAGTTCCATTTCGTCCTCTCCTTCCACCTCCTCCATAAATGCATCATCTTCGGAGTTAGCGATGACTATGCTTGTAGGGACATTCTTCTTTTTCGGTGTCGATTGTGGCGGTGCTGTCAGAGAAGGGCCACTGGCGTTGTGAGTCGCAGCGGCCAAGGAGCCACTCATGGCCGCCGCCTCGGACTGATTGAAGCTCGTCTCCTCGGCCTGCTTCTTTGCAATCAGATCCGCCTTGCTAGGGCGTTGTTGCTTCTTGCGGCCTCGTCCCTTGCCTTTTGTGGCTGACGCCTTGCTTGTAGACTTCTTCCCAAGGGCAGCTTTCTCGGCGGCCTCTGCCCGAGCGACGGCCGCTATAGCAGCTGCCACCTCTTCCTCCTCCTCCCGTGCTTCACGTTCGAGGTATAGCTTGTACTCGAAGTCCTCGAGCACGCGTGGGGAGACATAGTCGAGTATGTGCTGAGCTTGAATCGCTACCCGAGCAGCAGGAAGGTCGGACCACCCCACGACGTAGTGCATCTGTAAGCTCAGCTCGCCATTTTTTGGTGGCCCGCCTAACACACGTTTCTCAAATATCTGGGCTGTCGAGTCGTTCTTGAGGACCATACTGATCGGTGCCGTTGGCTGTGGGCCGTCGCCGCTTCGGTAGCGCTTGGGGAGGGACGGCAGGGGGATCTCGAGCGGGCGCAGTCTGGATGCAGTGTCGCCTGCTTTGAGTTTTGGTGTGCTCCATTCTGGATCCGATTTGGATGCAAAGTAGTTCATCTTGCAGATATGGGGAGCGCAACGGCCTGATCTGGGAGCACAAGCAGCAGCTCGCCGAGGACTACCGCAAGGCCAGTTCGAAGGATAGAGACATGCCGCCAACAACTGCTGAAGGTGTAGGGCTGTGGCTTGGCATCAGTATTGGCGGGCTGGAAATCGTCGAAGCTGGTGTCGAGAGAGTGTATCTCAAAAGTGACGTTGCTGTGAGATGCTCAACGCGCTGCCAGAATAAGTCCCCGGGCGCGGTGCGGAAGTCGCGTCTCTACATGGCGGGGCACTTCACAGTTGGGGACTCGCGCCCCACTCTTTTCTCCACGAACTGTGCAGCTCAGGCACGAGAACGCTCGATGCTTCAACAACGACGATTTCGTCCAGATCGTTTCAATGCGCAGGGTTCAAGGTCTTCCACTTGACTGATATTGACGCACAGAGGCTCGCCATTGGCAGACACAAGTGTAGACCCACTAGTCAAGCTCATCTAGCAAGACCCAAGCACAGGCCCTAGTGACACCCACTGACGATGGCTGAGGTCTTCATGACGACATGGACCCTGGCCACTAACACCCGAGGCTTCGGGAGACTACCTTTCGCCATCATGTAATACAGCATGCTTCTCCCTTCTGAGATTCCCAATGATCATCATCACATCTCGTGAACTGACCTTCAGACTGAGAACATCAACATGTTTCGCCGAACCATCCCCAGAGTCGTGACAACCACGCGGCTATCTTACACACGGACCAGTCGTCAACGGCTACTGGCGCGGCAGCATGTTTCCCTACTTCACCAAACGACGAGATTTTATGGCAAAGCCCCTGGAAGCAAGTACTCCTTCTCAGAGGAGCAGGCCAATCTCGGAGGGCCCTCGACCCCTTTCAAACTCAGTACAGCCCTGGAACAAGACTACGACCAGGTGAAAATCTTCTACCAAGGTACCACTGCAGCTCCGACCCTCGACGAGAGGAGAGGCTTTCAGAACGCCCTGGTATGGGAGCTTGCGAGGCATATCGTGGCCAAGGAACTCGTTGTGTTTCCCGCAGTAGAAGATGTTGTCGTTGTCGCAGGTGGCAAGGAACTAATCGAAAAGGAACGTAATGCGCATAGAGAGGTAAGTCCAGTGGCAGATTCCTCAAGTTCGGTTAACTTACCGCAACCGTGATGGCCCCAGTCAAGTCTGGGAATCCTGCACGGGTACTAACAATGATTCGGTGCCGCCAGATCAAGGAGCTCCTGTCGGTCTTCCAAGACATGAAGCCCGATGATGACCAGTTCAAGGCCAAACTCGATCAATTGTACAACAAATTTTGGGACACCGTCAAGGATATCGAACAAGAAACACTTCAGAAGCTCGAATCGACAATAAGTCTTACCTCGTCCAAGGAGTTGTGTCTCAAGTACGCGCGGACGAAGAATTTCGCGCCCACCCGAAGCCACCCAAACGCGCCCGACAAGTCACCGTTCTTCGAGACCGCCAGCGCGCTCTTCACTGCACCTCTTGACAAGCTGCGCGACATTTTCAGGAGGTTCCCAAAGGATGGCGATGGGCCCGACGGCGGACACGATGGGGACTCTATGTCAGCGGGGCCAAAGGGCGCACCGTACGAGTTGCACAAGAAGACTCCGGAGCAGCGGTCATGCCCGTGATAGCCAATTGTCTCAATGTGGGATCGTTTGTATGGCATCCTGGAAGTGGCTTGCTCGAACAATTGACACTGATATACGGCGTGTCTTTGTAACGGCATCATGCTCGGTACATAGATGACTTGTGCAAAAAATGCAATGAACATATTTGTTACTATGCCTAGCGTATGGATTTATTCCTCGTTCCCATGCTCATTCTCCATGATTTAGTAGTATGTCACGTCCCAGTGGTTACCCTCATCCTACATCGCCAGCATGTTAGCACGCCGCAACTCCCTTTTGATGCCCAAAATCAGACAACGTCATCATTAGCACTTACACAGTAGATGTTCCCCGCAGCGCTCTTCCACTGGGCATAGCCATCGCCACGATCCGCGATCCGGGTGAAGCTGTTCTTGACATACGCATCCAGCTGCGTGTTCTTCCTGAAGTCAAACTTGTACCCGTTGGCGTGCGAGTACGTCCCGCTCGCGTGGCCCGTCTCGGTGCCGCCCGTGATGACGAGCGCGCACCCGCAGGCGCCCTTGAGCGTGACGGCCCCGTCCACGGTGCCCGAGTACACGCCCTCGTAGGACGTGCACGTCGGGTTGGTGCGGTCTGTGCAGCCGCCCGACGAGTACGAGGTGATGCCCGCCGCGCTCAGCCGCGAGGCCGCCTGGCTCTGCGTGAGCTTTGTGCCGGAACGCGGAGACGGGTTCAGTGTGGCGGCGGAGGCCACGCTGAGGGTCGCGAGGGCGGCAATGGAGGTGTTGAGCTGAAGGTGGAGTTAGCAAGAGGGTTGCACATTTACGTGCCGTATACGAGATACGGCTATGAAGTATACGTGCCTTCATGATTGTTACTCGCAGATATGATGCAAGGGATTGCGTCAATCGAGGTGGTCAGATGAAAGGCAAGATCAGATGAAAGGCAAGTTGGAGGAGGTTGTGTGTCTTGTTTTGCGTGAATCGTTAATCGTTTAAATGACGAATCCATCAGCTGTTTATATACTTCTCTATCACCACTCCAATCTATTTTTGCGTCCTTGGTATAACTATGTAATAATATCGGTCGTGAAAGACTCGTCGTCCGTGGCACAGAGTTCCCGCGCAGATCTTCCGGGTTGCCTCGCTCTCCGCCGGGGATTCCGCACAATGCGGCTCTATCCGTCGCCACCGCCTTTCCCTAAGGTCTGGCAAATAGCAGAGATTTCTGTGTGCTTCACACCTGCTCGAAAATTGCACCGACGGACACGGATGACCTCCGACTTGCCATACACAGCATAGCTAGTCCTCCTCGTGGGGGGCTCGGCAGTGGAAGATCAACTGTGATCGGCGCGGCTGATCGACCTTTGCCAGGGAGGCACGGGGGCAGCCACTAAGGGCTGATTGGTGATGCTTAATTGGTTTAGGAAGGTCAGGCTCGGTTGACCACGCGCTAACATTGGCTTGTGCACCTGTTCGGGGTGTCAGGGGCAAACATGAGAGTTCGTCCGTTGGCTCATTCGATGGCCTTGACTAGAGCCTCGAGCAGGACTAGGTGATCAGGAATGACCCTTCAAGGATGCGACTGTCAGATATTGAGCTTTTCTCTATTCGGTATCTCCCATGGTAGAGACATTATGACGTAGCAAGTCCTTGGTCTAGGACTTTGGTGAGTTTGACAGGTTGTTCAGCCGCAGCAAGGAACGTGCAGCACTTGTCAAGCGATCATTGCAGGGTCCCCGGAAACAAATTACGTTGAAGTTTTCAGCTGTGTGGACGATCCGTGTCGCCACGCCACCGTGATTGTCAAGAGCTGAAAATAGCCCAGAATGATCGTCCGGCAATTGACGTCGATTCTTCATGTCAGGCATACCTCTTACGCTCCATGATGTAAGTCGGGTTAATTGACCTCCGAGACGGGGTGCAGTATTCAAGCTCAGGGCCACAATCCTGCCATCCCAACCAACCTGCTGAAATTTAGTGATGGGTCCTCAAGTCTCCAGGTGGCACAGAGAATACAAGACAAGGTTGTGTTCGAAGACCAAATAACAGCGAACTATCGTGTACCTGTCTGCTGGAGGGTAGTAGCATGAATATAATGCCTGACAAATTGTGCTTCCCTCAACCAATCACGTTCCAAACCAGCTTGGTTAACTCAGCTGGCCCGCTAAGCAGAACGGTGATGCGCCTCACTAGTAATGAGGAGATAACTGGTTCGACTCCAGTAGTGGGCATCGTTCTATTTTTGCTTTCCATCTCACTGAGAGTGACGGCATCATTTTTTGCGCCAGCCTCCCATGGGGTCCCTGGAGCGGAATTGCTACTTGTGTGCCATTCAAGAAACTTGCTTTATGTTAGCAGGCCTCGTTGTGATTTCCCAAAGGTGCGCCGCCCAGCCCAGACCGCGGGCGATGGCACCACCGACACACCGCCTCGCATCCTGAACTCCTGGGCACGCAACTTGTGTTCACCACCGGTGTTATCATCATGCCTGGGCAAGGGAGCCCACGACCCGATCCTTCGGACACGATCCTTTCTCGCCATCTTGACCTCGAATTATTCGCGAATTGCAGCCTCGTCCGGGGTCCGGGGTCCCCAGACCATTCCCAAAACCCTGGTTCGCAACTCTGCAGCGGGACGCCCATCTTCTGCCATCGACTCATGAGCACGCACACAAGAGCCATGATGGTGCAGGACCTGCCCCAGATTCCGCTTGGATCATGCGCACGTATGACGCCTTCTCCGGTCGAGGCCACGATGAGCACACTCTCTAGAACTGCTCAGGAACACCGTGTTTCATGGCCCGCAATGAACTGTCGTTGAAAAAATGGCCGGGATTCCTCTTGATCGTGACTCCGCGGTCCCGGGGGCCGATTTCGCAGAGAATCAAAGCGCAGGTGCCATTGCAACAAGGGAGCAGCAAAGGGAGGCTCAAGAAACCCTGCAGTCTCGTGGGCCAAGCGTGCTCTCACGTTACGTTGCACTGACAGGACATCTAGATCGGCCTTGGGGGGAAAGAATGCTACTTTTCGTAGGGTCTCTGTTCGGGTCAATCTCACGTCGGACCCTTGATCCAGGACGAGCTGTTCCGCGAAGGATGCTGCTGCAGAAAGTGTGTGGCCAATCATGATGCTGGTACGCCTCCAAGATCCCGACCACCGGACACCTCGGGCTTGGACCCTGTTGTGAGCACACCATCATTCATCTCGTGGTAAGTGGTACAGCGCTTTCATTGACCCTGCAGGATCGAGTCTGGAAGGTCACTTCGCTAGACCTCAGGCGGGGGAGGAATGTAGCTCCTGCCATTGGCCAATCCGCACACAGACGACGTGACTGCCAATCTCGTCAGACGCAATCACTGGTTGCTGCGTGCAGGGTGCAGCCGTGTTGTGCCTTTGCCACAAGGAGTATCATTCACACATTGAGGAGAGGCAGCCTGCAAGAGGCCATGAACGGTTGCCCGTGTATAAGATGAGGGCTGGTCGCATCCTCTACCAGATCGGCAGCCGTCTGTCATTGCTGCACCACCAGATCACTCCCGTTGCAGAAGTGTCGTTGGAACCTTGGTCAACCAAGCTATTCCCAGCCACAGAAACAACAACAATAATGCGTCCAACTGCCATTCTTGCTGCTGCCGCGCCGGCCCTCGTGCTCGGCACGAGCGTCCCCTCTCTACATGTGCCTGGATGCCCTGCCAAGGGCACCATCCGGTACAACAAGTCGGTCCCGGCCAAGACGGAGTTCCTGCTGACGCAGGTCGACCTCTGCTACGACAAGACGGCCATCGTCGCCACGTTTACAGCGTACAACGAGACCAACTTCTTCTTCGATCCGGCTCACGGCACCAACGATGAGCTGTGGCGCTACGAGGTCATGGAGGCATTTATCGCCCGCGGCACAAACGACCCAAAGACCTACCTCGAGTTCGAGGTCAGCCCCAATAACGCGACCTTCAATGCCTTCATCTACAACCCTAGCAAGGTCCGCGATCCGGCCTTCCCTCTAGACACCTTCTTCATTCAGACCCCGATCCAGGATGGGCTGGTTGCCAGCACGGTGCTCGACAGGAACGCCGAGAAATGGACGTCGACTGCCCGCATCCCTCTCGGCCTGTTCAACGTGGACGAGGGCAAGGCTAAGGGCACCGAGTGGCGCATGAACTTCTTCCGCACTGTTGTCGCGCCCGAGACCTACCCAGACCAGGGCCTTGGTGCCTGGAACCCTCCGGACGAGGCGAGCTTCCACAAAACGCCCTTCTTTGGCAAGGTGAAGTTCATCTGAAGCAGGACTGAAGGTTCAAGAAGTAGCGGCGAAACAAAGACATGGGAATCATGAATGTACAGGGGTGCTCCGCTGCCTCCCACGCGTCCCGGAGATTTCGTGCAAGGACCTCTGCGTCGTGGATGACATGAATAGTGATAATGGAAAAGCCTCCAATCAGATACCCGTCCTCCTACGCTTTGGCCTGTGACGTGATAATTTCTTTGCTGTGGGACTTCCGGAAGCCGCATCTACCATGAGAGCTTCGTGTGCACGAAACGTAAAGTGTCATGATGCGATGGAAAGAATCCTTGATCATGATTCGATGTGAGATGCTGCAGTGAGCCTGCAGCATAGAAATGGCAGAGCTGGCGCGTCAGCCACATGTGGCGGGGTCAGCGTGCCCGCAATTGGTGGCTGCGAGCTTCCGGCGAGCAGGCACCTTCCGCTCTTCGCAAGTGCGCTCGCAACACGCAGCTCAGGCTGCCTGAAGCTCAAGTGGGCCGCCGCCGGACAGCTGCGTCAACCTCACAGCCTCGAGCAACTACATCACCACAAACACGCCGCAACTTCGCGATCTTGAGTCAACCCACAACAACGGTCTGACCTGTACTCCCTTACACCTGTAATAAACACCGTCTATCCGTATACGCAACACAGGTCGCCACCATGGTAAGCGCTGTCGTTATTTCCCCCGCAGTGGCATGCTTCGAACCACAAGCTCACATCTGCCCCTCCTTGTAATCACAGACATCGATAGGCACGGGTTACGATCTCGCCAACTCAATCTTCTCCCCAGACGGCCGCAACTTCCAGGTCGAATATGCCGTCAAGGCGGTAGAGAACGGCGGCACATCGGTGGGCATCCGGTGCAAGGACGGCGTCGTCCTTGTCGTCGAGAAGGTCGTTACATCCAAGCTCGCCAAGCCGGGCGCCAACAAGAGAATCGCCACGATTGACAGACATCTGGGTGCTGTACGTATTGTCCTCGGCCACTGTTCTACAGCTCAGCTCAAGCCCGTCTGCTAACGCCCTGTCATCCGTGCTCTCGCAGGTATACTCTGGCATGATTCCTGATGGCCGACACTTCGTTGACCGCGCTCGCGACGAGGCACGCGCCTGGAGAGAAACGTTCAAGACACCCATCTCGACATCCGACCTGGCCAGCCGCATGGGCGGCTACCTCCAAGCATACACACTCTACCAGTCCGTACGTCCCTTCGGTATCACAGCGATTGTCGGTGGTTTCGACTCAGAGCTCGACGCAGCCGTCGATGGTGAGGTCGGCTCAGGCCCTTCCACAGGTGCTGGCGGCAAGGTGCCAGGCAAGTTTGGCGGTCCCGGTCTGTACATGATCGAGCCCAGTGGCATGTACTGGGGCTACTACGGCGCGGCCACAGGCAAAGGACGACAGGCCGCCAAGGCCGAGCTGGAGAAGCTCGATCTGGCTTCAGGCAAGCTCGACCTGTTGCAGGGTGTGAAGGAGGCCGCCCGCATCATCTATGTCGCGCAGCAGGACAACAAGGATAAGGAGTTTGAGCTCGAGATGAGCTGGATCAGCAATGCCGATGGCCCCACGAAAGGTCGGCACGTCGAGGTGCCAAAGGACATTCTCGAGGAGGCTGAGCGGTTAGCGAAGAAGGCCATCTCGGATGACGACAGCGATGAGGAGGACGAGGATGAGGAAGATGAGGACGAGGAGAAGATGGAGGAATAGTGGTTTACTCGTGCGCAGGACGACGACCTTTATTCATATCGATATGATGTCAAAGACGCGCTGGTCGACATCACTTCTCACAATACAAGCCATATGATGATGCTGAACAAAAACCTTGTTCATCAAAGCCTGGGTGTCCGTAGTCTTCACGGCATCTCCTGCCTGCAACATGTGCGAGGCTTGAAACGTATGAGAGTTGTCAAGCTATCTGGAGAATCAAAGCTACGCTCCTCTTTTGCAAAGATGTTCTTCTGGCATGCTGGGCCGATCAGAAGACTGAACGCCTGCCTGTCTCTGACTGGCTTAACTGACTAAGATCCGAATCCGCTGGGTAAATGAACGCACAGTTTCGAAGGAAACAGCAAAGCTCCGCAATCAATGTTCCTCAATACGGTATCGTCCCTCCCCTTGTTAACCTTTCAGCAAAAGGCTCCGCTGCTATGACTGGCCATCAGGCGGACGATCGATCAGTAGTCACCAAAGCGGAACGCGGTCACATCACGCTCCTCCGCATAGATCTCGCGGACGATCATCTGGGCCACATGGCGACTTCCCTGCTGGCCCCGGTGCGCCCACGGAGGAGCAGACCCGTCGCCCGCTTGTGTCCGCAGCATGCGCCCTTCCACACCTTCATCGACGACTACCTGCTGGATCTGGAGGGCAACGAGCTCTTGCCAGAACTGCTCCGGGCTGCGCCGGGCTGAATTTGGTGGCGAAGACAACCCGGGACCGTTGATGGCCTCGTGAACCATGAGCGACGGCCAGTCAAGTAGCTCCTCTGCGACTTCTCGCTCCTTCCGGCCGTCCAGCCCGGCTGATTTAGCCCACTGGCGCTGCAGCCACGCTTCGAACTCGCCGTCATCGTCGGTGAACGCCTTCCACGCCTTTGCGAGTGCGTTCGGATCGTCCACGTAGTCGCGGACCTTGCCCGGGTTCCGCTGCAAAATGGTGTTTTTGAAATAATCGATAATCCGATGGCGTGTCCCCCTGGTAGTGGTGCCACGAGTGCCGGTGCCGGTGCTGTCACTGTTGATGCTTTCTGTAGCATCTTTCTTTCTGCCGCTCTTCTTGGGGTCTTTGTCGTCGTGGTTGCCTGCGATGCCCCCATCGCAACACTTCCGCACGATGAAGTGCATTCCATCAGGAGCGTATGGGGCGTCACGCAGCATCAGACAGAACGGCACGGGGGAAGCTGGGTCGGCGTAGTCGAAGCCCTTCTTGGCCTTCGGGCCGGGGCCGCTATACTGAGCAGAAGACGGCGGGGTTTGTGCCTGATTGTTGTTGTTGCCGACGTTGGTGACATCGTGACCCTTGGCGGTGCGGCTGCTAATGACGCTGCTGCTGCGTCTGTTCGTGCTGTTGTTGTTCTTCCGGGCGGCCTTGTTCAAGGGGCCGATGCCCGGGCGGCGCTGCTGCTGCTGCTGCTGTTGCTGCTGCTCTTTTTTGTCGCTGTTGGTGCCGCGTTTCTGGAAATCCTTCCATCGCCGGGCAAAGAAGTTCCAGCTGTACTTTGCCATGACCAGCGACATGCAGTAGTTGGCAAACTCGGGCATCTCGAGGTCCGCGGCGATGCAGTACAGCCGCTCGATCGTGGCGCCGACGGCGAATCGAGGGATTTCCTGGGGCTCGGGCTCGAGATTAGTCCTTGCTCGCTTCGCGGTGGCTCTCTTGCTGCTGGACTTGGCGCTGGTTCTGCCTTTGCCTGTGCTCTTGCCTCTTTTGCCTTTGCCTTTAGGCTCAGCATCGGACTCGGCCTCGTCGGAACTGTGGTTCCCATCGTCAGGGTCGTGGCGGTGGGGCACGATGTGAGGTTTTGCCAGCGATGCGAGGGAGCCCGTGTAGCACCACTCTGCGAGGAGCTCTACGTCGTCATTCTCGACGGTCTCGTCTTCGAAGGTGATGGCGGAGATGATGCGAGGGTTCGTGCAGCCCAGATAATCCTTCACGAGGCGCTCGATGACTCGAGAGTAGAAGGCGAGGAGGGTTAAGTGGATGGTCCGGGTATGGCCTTCACCCTGGTGGGTCGGGTTCTTGAACTCGATGGAGATGACGTGAGCATCCTTGGGGATTCTACACGATCGGGGTGATTGAGATGTGATATTAGCTTTTGCTGAACAAGAGCGGCAGGACTGGTGAAGCAGCAGTGATGACTTTCTGTCACTGAGACGATGGGGCTTACAGATAGGCGAGAGTCCGAGCATGCCGTTTCTGGGACGCGACCATTGGGCAGCTAAGATTCTCAATCCGTAAAGCTTCTGGCTTCACGTGGTGAAGGGAACATGCGGCACACACGCAGTAAGCTGTGAGCTCGGGAAGAGCAATGCTCTTCGGAGCAGCGCTCTGCATGCTGGCAGGGACAAGGTTCTCAGAGTCTTGCGTGTCGCTGTGTCTGTGTCTCGCAGATGTTGCTCACGATGTGGTTACTGTGCTTGGAGACTGGCACGTCGCGGGAAGAACGAGACGGAAGGACGCCGCCCTGTCGGCACCTGGGTATGCTCTAAAGCAGTAACGCTTCAGTCATGAGCTTACCACACGGTGGTTCTGGTTGCGAGAAGAGGTAGCAGTCCGAGATGAAAAGTGTGGTTGGACTCTGTAAAGAGTATTGATCTGAAGAAGACACTCGCCGTTTGCAAGGATGAGAGGAGATCACTATCCAAGTATTTGGGTTTGGACCAGATTACCGTAGTTTCCGCAAAGGAGCTACATCATATCAAACTGCGTGCACTTGCAAGTGGAGTTGTCATGGTGAAGGAAACAGGGACAATTTGCGATAGTGAGCTTGACGGGTCGAGATGCAGAAAGGGCGCCAACAGAAGTATAACCTTCGCCGATTACATCTCCATCAGAAGGTGCAAGGCATTCCAGTTTCTTCTCTGCCCAGAATCAGGGGCATGAAAGTTGTCCTTGAGAAATCGAGGATGCTGAACACAGCTTGGCTTCACCCCCCATGCACTAGAAACTCAATTGCTGGTCTCAAGACCGATCAAGCTCGAGCTCGCCATATCCCTGGTCTCACATTGGAGTCCATGCATGATTGAATCTGTAAGCAGCTGCAGATTCTGCAAGGGAGCATGTCCTTATCATTGTTCATGGAGGCTCGGAGTTGGTCGTCCCAGCAAACCGTAGGTGCATTGAAATCCGGGGTAGAGAGTGGGGCGGCAGGGCCTCGCTGGAGCTACCGCCTACCGTTTCCCTACCCCCTGCAGTCCTGGTGGAGCACAGTCTCCTGCACGACCCTTGGCGTGGCTTATCTGTGCCGGCAGAATCAGAAAAAAGTTGGATTGCCGCAGCCATGCTCAATCACTGGAGGCGCGCGACCGATCGTAGTGGCAGGCCTTGGATACCTGCAAACACCAACAACCTCGTCACTTTCCACGGTATCTCCCTGCACACCACACACCATGGGCAAGAAGAGGAAGCAAAGCTCCAAGAACGGCGCCCAGGACGCGCAGCCGTCGCAGAAGCGACCAAAGACGGCTGTCGCCGAGACTGTCAACTTCGACGGCGACCTGGACGGTGCCACAGCCACGGCTCTCGACAAGTCTGCCTTCTCAGAGCAGCTCTCGGGCGAGGAGCGCAAGCGCGAGGCCGCAATCTATGAGCTCCTCGGCAGCGTCGACGTCAATGAGCGCATCCAGGCCGCCGATGCTCTCATCACGGGCCTATTGGGCGGCCAGGGATCGCCCGAGCCCGTGCTGAGGCGGCACCTCGAGAAGCGTCTTTTCCGCGGTCTGGCCAGTTCTCGCAACGCATCCAGAGTCGGCTTCAGTCTCGTGCTGACTGAGATCCTGGGCCAGCTCTTTGGCACTAAGGACCTTGCCAAGACAAAATTCCCCGGCCTTACCTTTGACAAGGTGCTGGATCTTCTTTTGGACACGACACAAGCTGGTGGCAACTTGCCAGGCCAGGAAGAAAGAGACTACTACTTTGGGCAGCTCTTTGGTCTGCAGTGCTTTGTGGAAGCCAAAATCCTGTTTGACGACGACTCAAGGTGGCACAAGATCCTGGACCTCCTGCTCAAGGCCGCCGAGAAGAAAGTTTGGCTGCGATCGCACTGCGGCTGGGTCATTGTCGAGGCGCTTCCTCACATGGGCCAGGCCCGCGCCGAGGACCTGCTCAAGAAGCTGTCTGAGCTCGGATGGGCCAAGACAGCCGAGGGTGTGGGCATTTGGCTGAGGGCGCGCACAATCTACCCGGGTATCAAGACACCCGCGAAGCCGTGGCGTGACCCTCTCGCTCCTGGCAGCATCCCCGAGCTGGCTCGCGTACTGAAGGAGAATGTAAAGTCAGACACTGGCGACGACAAGAATGGGCCCAAGGTCAAGCAGGGCAATGCATCTGCACAGCTGAACTTTGTCTGGGATCTTATCTTGGCATCGTTCTCAACACGAGACGGGACGCCGAGGAGTCACGACAAAGATCTGTTCAAGCAGTTCTGGAGCACTGTCGTGGATGGTGAGTCCAAGCTCCTACAAACACGGCGAGAACATGGCTGACGAGAACTCTAGATGGCCTCTTTTCGAAAAATGCTACGGATGGCCAGAAGTACCGTGGCTTCATGATTTTCCAGAAGTTCATAACTGGCTTCGGCCCTGAAGACAAGACACTCGTACTGGACCTCTTCACCAAGAACCTCATGAGATGCCTGGTCAACCAGGCCGCTGCCGAGGACCGATACTTGCACCGTGCCGCCCTTCGCTGTTTAGATGTGATTGACCAGGCTGTCAAGGCGTCTCCGGAGCTGCTCGTGCCAGTCCTCAAGCAGCTGCTTGGCAAATGGGGCGCGTACGACTTTGACCAGAAGACAAACACCAAAACCGTGGAGAAGCTCATGCAGTGGGCCACGATGGACAATGCGGATGAGGTGCTGAAGTTGCTGAGGGAGCCCGTCGTGGTGATGAAGGCGTAAGTCATGGGCCGCCTGCCTGCTTCTGTAATGCTTACAACTAATTCAAGTCACAGTGAGGAGAAGGAGGTCGAGAACTTCCGACAAGTCTATGCTCAATACATCCTCCGCCTCGCCACACAAGCGAAGCTCGAGTCCGAGCCATCTGCCAGCGACGCCGGCACGCCACACGTGCTCGAGCTGGCAATCAGCGAGCTCGCGAGCGGTGCGTACACAGTGTCGGAAGAGTTCAAGCCCGAATTATCCGAGAAGTCCCGCGAGGTGTTCCGGAGCCGCCTCTCGTCCGCCTTCGCCAGGCTGACCAAGCGCAAGGAGGACTTCAAGCACCTCTGCAACGCCGTCGCCTCCGTCAAGCCTACCGCCGTAGCCATGAGCGAGGACCTCGAGGCGGAGCGCGCCACCGCGCTCAAGGCGATGAAGAAGCAACTCAAGGCGAGCAAGAAGGCTGCCAAGGGCGCCAAAGAGGAGTCTTCGAGCAGCAGCAGCACATCGCTAGGCTTGGCGCTGCTGTACGCCGTGGCGATATTGCAGCTGTACAACGGCGCGCCTGACGCGATAGACCTGCTTCAGGACCTCAAACGGTGCAGCGAAAAGACCAAGGACGACGAGCAGTCCGGCACCTCCGAGCTGCTCGTCGAGATCCTGCTCTCACTCGTGTCCCAGCAGTCTTCGCTCATGCGGCAGATCAGCCAGCAAGTTTTCGAGGCTTTCACGTCGCAGATCTCTGCGGAAGCGCTGGAGCTGTTGACTGAGCCCCTCGTCGCTGAGGAGAACCAGCGCGGATACCAAGCGCTGTTTGAGAACCTGGACGATGAGGACATGGTGGACGCCGACGACGTGGAGTCGGATGGTGACGAAGACGAAGAGGCGGAGGACGACGACGACGATGTTGAGGATGTTGAGGAGGACGATATTTCCGAGATAGGGTCTGATGTCGAGTTTACCACCCTCAACGGAGATGCTGCAGAGGAAGACGATGATGACGATGACAACGACGATGACGACGAGGATGAAGAGGACGAGGAAGACGCCACTGAGGCCAAAGAACTCGCCGACTTTGACGACGCCCTCGCCAAACTCCTCAAGAGCCGCCGCCTGGACCAGGACGCCGCAGCAGCCTCCAACTCGGACGACGACGACGACGACGACGAGTCCGACATGACCGACTCGGAGATGATGCAGCTCGACGAGAAGCTCGTCGAGGTCTTCAAGCAGCGCGCGCAAAAGTCCAAGGCCAGCAAGACCAAGGAGAAGCGCGACGCCAAGGAGACGGTGCTCAACTTCAAGCGCCGGGTCCTGGAGCTGCTCGACATCTACGTCAAGCAGGAGGCCTCGCGGCCCGTCGCGTTCAACGTGCTGCTGCCCCTGCTGCAGCTCGTGCGGACCACCACGGACAAGTCGCTCACCGACAAGGCGATCAAGGCTATCGAGGCGTTCGCCGGGGCTCTCAAGAAGAAGCAGGCGCAGGCGCAGGCACTGCCCTCGTCCACAGCATCAGCAGCGACATCCGAACGCCAAAGCAGCAAAGGAGAGCTCATGCGCACAGAGACCCAGCTCGATCTGCTCAAGCGCATCCACCACGAGGCCACGCAGGGCCAGACCCACGCCTTTGCCAAGGCGGCCTCGCGCGCCAGCCTGGTTGTCGCGTCGAGTCTGTTCACGTCTTCATCGCCACAGGAGAAGGCCGACAAGATCCGGCTCGTGGCCCGCGCGTACGCGGACACCCAGGCTCAGTGGGCCAGCGGCGCCGTCAAGATGCAGGCCTTGTTCTTCTCGGACTGGCTCAACTGGTGCCAGGGGCAGGCTAGCAATGCCTCTCAATCCCAGCAGCAGCAGCAGAAGGAGTAGAAGAGCCCAGGAATATCCAGAGAGGAGTTTAGCGTAGCTAAAAAAAGAAATTTGTATATATATGACTTGGCCATGGCGGGAATAAAAAGCGATAAATGAGCAAGACCGAAGACGGACTTTGCATGGATGACAACCGCGGAACGAAGTAAAGTGATTGATTGACTGATTGATTGATTCCTTCTTGGCCTGCATTGCGTTCAACTTCCTCTCGCGCACCCTCCAACTTAAAAGCGCCGCGCTAAATCTGTAAAGCCGAAGAAAAAGACAACCGCAACCACATCATTCATCGCCAGAGACAGCTGCTCGCCCTCGGCCATCGGAATTGTGTTGCAAACAAAAACTAGTCACAGGCTCAAAACATAGCCATGTATCGGTGCCATGTCCAAGTAGATAGCCATGCAAGAACCATCAGGTGTTGAAAAGTCTTCTTGATTGTCAAGTAAACAACATTCCTGATACCCCTTTTTCTCCCCACCCCCCCCGGGCTTAGTGAAGCTCAAGACTTTACAGATGCTTAGACAGTATAATCTCTCCGGCAAGTGTCGTTGCTAACCCGACCTGAGTAGCAAGCTCTGAACCGTACTTGCCAACCAAGATAGCGTTTGTGCAGCCTTATCAAGGGACTGCACCCTAAAAGAGGCGGCATTTATATCATCGTGCATGTCCTGACGCCCTCATAGTTTCGATTTCTTATAGAAGTAAAGAGACGTGCAATGGACTTGTAGAGTTCAAAATATCTAAAGCAGCGCACACAGGACGAGCAAAGTTTCACCGACGATAAGACCAATGTTGAGGATGAGATGCCGTATTGTTTGCTTCTATGGAGAATATCCGTGCAGGATAGCTACCTAGGTACTCAGGCACCTGTTTCTTCTGGGACAAGAGCGAGCTATCGGCGATCTTTTCGCGCCAGCATCATCTCTGTCAAGCGCATTCTGGTGCGTGAAAAGCTTTTGAACCCGCCAGACGCCGTATTGGAGAACTCCAGGCAGAAACTAATGTACAGTTGAGTAAAAGGACGGATTGCCAAATTTACATGCTCCTGCACCTATATGCACCATATGCTCGAAACGGGGAGACACAATGTGCTCGTTGACACGCCTTTGGGGTGTCTCATTCGGCTCGCAGTTTGTAAAACTGCACTCTCAACCACAAGCAGGCGTTCAACGTACTTCACAGGCAGGGTGATCTTTGCGATCAAAGCCCCGTGTCGTGTACATGATGATCTGAATCGCCCATGGGCGGCCTAGCGGCACGCCACAAGAGAAAGTGAAAAGTAGGAAATTGGTGTTGGTGTTGGTTGTTCTTCAGTTGGTGTGAATCGTGTTGTGTCGTGTGATCAGGCTCGTACCGTAGGTTTCGAGGTCGTAGCGTGTCAATCGTGAGGAAGGTTGTTCGTGTTGTTTGTACGTTGTAGTACTCGTGTTTGTGCGTACTTGATGGCATGGTACCATCAGTGGTGTGATTTGCTCTTCCGTGACAATGTTGGGGGTGGGTGTCAAGTAGACAGATCGAAAAAAAGAAATGGCAAAGCGGGAACCGAAACAGCCAACGCCATGCAGAAAGAAGCCCCAAAAGAAAAGAAGGAAGGAAACAATGCGAAGTGCGAGTCGCTGAAAATCTCAAGATGCCAGATCCAATGCGGCGAGAAGCGATGCAAGCCGGAAGATGCTATGCTGATGCGCTTTGTCTAATGCCGAAACACAATATGGGTATAAGTGATGCAAGCTTGCAATGGTGGCAAGTTATGTCCACGCGAAATGGACGGGGGATGAGAGCCAAGCCATTCTCTTAAGAATGGCGTGCTCGAGCCGAAAGCAGGTATTAAGTTGGCAAGGAGCCAAAGATCCCGACGAGGCGATACCAGTATGGCGACGACGAAGCCCAACTCTCTTGCCGTGCTGCCCCGAGTGTGGCTGCATGTGATGCAGTGAGTTTAGTAAGATGCCAGGCGGCGAGGTGAGCGATCAGTGCCGAGAATGGGCGAGTTGCCACACATCAAAGAGGGCGACATGTATGACTGAGCACGTCCTGGGGCGGTCGGCGAGGCATCAACCATTGATTCACGCTGTCCAAAGGCGAATGTCTTCGCCCGACCAAGACCTTTGCGCTTCTGCTGGAGTTTACCCAATTCCCGCTCACAAGTGAAAGCGTGCTCTTCGGCACCCATCTCCACATAGGCCTGGGGATAGCACCGATCCCGGTGCTCATTGAAGAATTCACTGTAACCGCCATCCAGAATGTACACCTCCGGATATGAAAGGCGAGGGTAGAACTCGGCGTTGGCAGAGCGATCTTCGGAACGGATATGGCGGGCCATCATCGGGGCACGGTGTGCAGAGTACTCGCAGTGGAAGACGAGGACAGTTTTCCCGGGCATCGGAGTGTCAAACAAGTGTTTTGTGAGCAGCTCCTTATCAGTGTAGTTGATTGCGCCATCGATGTGGCCACCCTCATACTCGTACTCGAAACGGCAATCGATGACAACCTTCTGGTCGTATTTGTCACTGTATTTGCCGTCCAGGAGGTCGAGGAAGGTCTCACGAGTAATGCGAGGCAGAGAACCACTCTGGTCTTCAGGGACAAAAGATGGCAGGATCGGCTCCTCCGCATCCTCAATGTCCATGACGGCCTGCAGGGCACTGCATGAAGGTAGCTCCTCGGGTCTGGCCTTGACCACGTCAGCAGGATGCTCAAACATGCTCAAAGAGCGGCGGTACTGTCGCCGCGGCCGGTTGAAAGGGTTCGAGGGTCGGCGAGCGTGGCAACCAAGAGGCGAGCCCGTCCGCTCTCTCGTGCCAGTCAGGCTTGCAAACTGTGGCTTCGGGCGGAACATCCCAAGACCACTGGGGGTCGGGCTGTTTGCACTCTGCGGGCGACGCTCATTGGGCGGAGACTCCTGGAAGCACTCGCTGGCACTCAAAGCGGATGATGTGGAGCCAAACTTCATTTCAGGTCCGAAGTTGAACGATGAGAATTGGCTCTCAGAGTGCACCCTAGTGATCAAGGAGCTGGTTGAGTGGCCCTTGGTACGGGTCAATGACGGGCGACGCAGAGCGGCACGTTTGCGAGGCCTGGACAAAGTTTGTTTAGTTTCTGCTCATCTGCCATCCTCAATCCCGATTCTGAGCAACCTACTCAAGATATGTCCTGGGTACCTCAAGGTTCGCTGCCGGCTGGCGAAGCATGGCGGTTGGGGAATCCATCATCATTGATTCATCCTCCGGAGACTGTAGGTCCGAAGGTGTCTCGACGATTGGCGTGGTCAGAGGAGTGGGCGATGTCACCTCAATGGTGGTGCAGAAAGGAGCTCTCGCTGGCAGAGGAGAGATGTCCATCGACTCGTTCATTGGCACAGGGGACGATGTGGCAGGCAATGGCGGTGTCGTGATAGTATGCGCTGGAACGAGTCAGCAGTGGCTAGATGTCCTCATGGCATTCGCCTGGACTTACCATGGTCGAGCGGGTTGGAAGTGAACAGCGCCCGTCTCGGTGTTGGGAACTTGGGGCTGGCCGAGCAAGAAAGTGTCAGTGGCACAAGCTGGATCTGGTCTAGTAGAGCATCAGACTCATACCTGGATTCGTTGTCGATGCGGAAGTTCTGGCACAGATCGGCAGCAAGACTGGCAGTCGGAGAGGAACCACGAACAGACTTGAGATTAAAATAGTCCGCCTTTGTCCGCTGCAGCTGGAGAGGCACAGCTGCAAAAGGATTGCCCGTGGACATAAAACCGTGGTTGTGCTGACCCCATGACGGGGGAGGAGCAGGGTGCATCGCAGCCAGTGGTGACGATGCCTCCATCATTGCGGCTTGAAGATAGGCAGAAAGTGTCAAAAAGACCTAGATATGAGGTGTTGTGGTCGGATGGGTGTACTCGAGAGACAGAGGACCATTTGAGGGCGGTAATGCTATCTACTCGAGACAGTGGCTAGACAGAGTAGATTGCCACTGTAGCAAGCTTGTCCCCAAACACTCGATGTTGCTGGTCGCAATATGCGAGTGTCCTTATCTCGTGTCAAGATATCGGCTGCTACCGGAACACTTATTATTGTCTCTCGAGTGACGGGCGGGTCGGCAGGAGAGGGACCGCGAGGAGGGCTCGAGGCGGTGGGTGTGAACGAAAGGCAGACCGGTCGTCTGTGACGGGCTCGGGCAGGAGCAACAGGGAGGGCGGGACAAGCTATCGAGGGTGCGTGGACATTTGCTAGGAGTCCAGTCAGAGAGATAAAGCTGAACGCCGGGGCGAGGTGTAGCCGAGGACAAGAGGCGAGCGAGTCCTGTGGTCGAGCTGGCGATTCAATGGCTGTATGCAATGCAGAGCAGAGAGCCGAGAGATCAGGAGCAGCAAGAGCGGAGTGCACGCTTGTCGAGGTGCCGCGTTCCCTGTGTGGAGGTGGATTCCCAAAGGCGCGGAGGTCGGCTGCGAGGTCGACGACAACGACAACGACAGCAACGCTACGGCGACGAGGCAGATGCTGCGGTGGGAATTGCTCCGATGAACTGCGTCTTCCAGCCCCCGAGGAAGAAGACAGCCGGGTCGGATTGTCGAGGAAGCGGCACGGAAACCTGCTGGGTTAGTAACAGCTGGGCGGCGTGGTTGAAGACGACGGCGAGGTCGGTTGCTTGACCAGAAAGGCGATGTCGAGATGGAGGGGGCCAGGCCCTTTTGTTCTCTGGGCGGGCCGGCGGAGGAGGAGCTGCCCATACAGCGACACTGTCTTGGGGCCTGCACAGCGCTATCAAAAGGTGAGACCAGTGTGTCGTAGGGGGGCCTCTAGGGAGACTAGGGACCCCCCGGTCGCAGGCGGTACGTACTGTACGTACCCTGGGGTACCTGGCCCGGGGGCCCAGAGCCCGCCCTGGAGCGCGAGCGAGCGCGGGCGGGTACGGGCTGGCCAAGTACGACGTCAAGCGCAGCCAGGGCAGGCCAGGGCGCGGCTTGGCTGAGGTGCAGGTGAGCAGCAGCGCAGCGGGTGCAGGTGGGCGCCCACCTCGTTGTCATGGGCGATTAGTGGAGCGTTGCCCGGCACACGGCGGGGCTGCAGCCCAGCAGGGGCATTGCCTGCTTCCAGGCTAGTGCGCACCACCACCAGCGCTGGAGCCGCTGGACCCAGATCCAGCAGCAGCCAGGGCGAAGCACGAGCAGCAGGCAGGCAGGCAGGGCCGGCCTCGGCGGCTGTCCAACCTGCAGGGCAACGCATGGCACGCGTGCGTCGACCCCGTCCATCATGATGCATGCAGGTGCAGCTGCATGGAGCACAAAGTTGGCAGTGCACTCGTCCCAGCACACGCACGCAAACTCGGCCGCCAACTTTGCATCTGCTTGTCTCGCGTGATTACATCATACCAGATCCATCATCGTCAAGGTTCCCGTTTCCTGCCTCGCAAACATGGCACCGGCCAGCGGCAAACCTGGCGCTGCTCAACCAGGTTTCCGACGACGTTGCACTCCTCGCGGTGGCCGCCTGAGCTCTCTGTGCCTCCGGAGACCAACGCCCACCAGGAACCGACAGGTCTTTCTCCCTCTGCCCTGCTGCCATTCGCTGCCGTGGTGACGTCTCTGGCGCCCATGTGGACCTGTTTCAATCCCCGGACAGCCTTGCTGCAGGTCAGCGTCGACTCGTGCAGCACCGTGACAGGTCACTGGCACAGAGGCTCATTGCTCAAAGTAAACATCAACACTGCACGAGGTCCTGCTCACCCTCGATGCCTCTCAGCCTTGCGATGCCCTGGTCGTCCTGTCGATGGCAGAGGCGGCCGAGTCCTCAAGAATGAACAAGGCGCAAAGTCCGCCTCGCTCCTGCGGCAGAGGCATGGCTTCCACAAAAGTTCTGACATCAGCGCCCCGTGACTGCACACATTTCCTGTCTCAACTCTGATGACTGAGAGATTCCTCGGCGGGCCTTGCTCTGACAGCCGGCCGGCGCCGGCACGCTCCCCACACGCTTGGCTTCAGCGCGAGTCGGATCAACATGTCCCGCCGGGTCCGTGAAAGACGTCGAGTTTTGCTGAATTTTCTGCTGTTGCTATGGACCACGAAGGGGCTAGAAGGGGTCCATCATCACCACAGCGGAATCCGCCGCCGTGGGCGCGTTCCAGTCTGCAAGTGCCGGGCCGACACAGCAAATCCGCTCCCTCTCCACAGCGCGAGAGCTCCAGCACCTAGCGTGCCTCCTGTCTTGCATAGCGACCTTGCCAGACATCCGCCAAATGGACAGGCTACCAGGACGGACCTCGGACATGGCACCGAACATTGAGGACATGACCATACCCGTATGATATGGCCTACTTGGCCGTCACTTCAGTCCAATGACCCGATATCTGTAAATACGACTTGTGGCAAGGCAGCGCGCATTCAGAGCTCTTGGACAAAGGACAGCCCACAGACACCACTTTGCGGTCCACGGTCGTACCGCCATCAGTCAGCTGGGCACGCAGGCATGCCATTGGAACATACTATGCCTCCAGTCCTTCCAAGCTCCGGGTGCTCAACATGGCAAGGACCTTGTTCGTCCCCACAAGCACCCTTTCGGTGGAAACTGAGAAGACCCGCCAGGCTGAGACCAGGCTGGACGACAGTCGCTAGCATACGCCTTTGATATCTCCAGCAGGCCAAGTAGCACAAGTTAGTGACGCCAGGGACTCCGTGATGAGAACTTGTGCATACAACCTGGTTGGCAACATACGATACTGAACGATACTGAAGACCATAACCGCCGCAAGGAGTCGTATTTGATTCAGTCCCACAACAAACAATGTTTGCCGCACCAAGATCTTCTCGGACCCAACCAGGCTCCTCTCTCCTCCACCAAGCAGGCGGAATGAATGTCTTACCAAACGATGGTTTGGGCCCTTCTGACATCCTCAACGGACCCCACGCCGTGCTATGTATTGAATGACCTGTCCCGGAGTTGACGATGGTACAGTACGGCGCATCGCGTACTAGCGCCTCGGGTGGGCCGGATCTGTGCTCTGGTGGACGAGCAGGTCTTTCAAGCACCAAGAACGACAGTGTGCGAGCCCAAAGTCCTCGACGCAGCTTCCACTGGCATTTGCTCGGGGCGACGAGATCACTACCTTCGCACTTGCCCAGGACCATGTTGTCCTGATGCTCGTTCCAACTCATCAGCCGCCCATGTCCTTGCCACAAGTACCTTGCCGCGCAAGTCTCCTTAATTCGGGTGTCGGGCAAATGCCTGCGTACAGTGCGCTCTAACTCAGCATACCAAATCGTTTCCTGAGACATGTCCTGACAACGCCATCAAGATATTAAAGTCCACACAGTATCATCGAATTTCTCGCTCGCAACCTGTGGTCGGCGTCCAAACGCAAGGGAATGGATCCTCGTCGTCCCTGTGCTGCTCCACGCTAAGTTCTCGGATGACTTTTGCAAAAGTGTTATTCGAGACCTGGTCAATAGTTCGCATGGATGGAGGCTCTTTGGTCTCTTGCGTGCTCCTGACTACCACAAGTATGCAGCGGCGAAGGTGCGACACAAGAGACATACCGAAACCAGGCTTCGGCATCGTCGCCATGCTCGAGTGAGGCGACGTAATTAGTCTGCGCATCCACGCGGCCAGCAGCATTTGGGACGCTGCCTCAGCGCCTGGCATGGATCCTGATGCTGCATGCCCATCGAGCAAGCACAAACGACAATCACAATCCGCGCACGCTAGTGCCGACGTGACAACCGGACTCAGAACACGGATCATTCCGACAAAGACCACCCAGCACACCTCGGAGTGTGTCAGACAAGGTCGTGAACCAAGCATCTGCCGCCACGCACCTTGTCTTAAATTGTAAATGGGTGATTAGTTGGCGAGTCCGGACCATCGTCCGAGCTGAGACTGTGAATCTTAAAAGCGTGTCGCTTTCCACGGTCCCTAGACGAGTAATTTGGTTTTGTCGCGTGTCTGGTGGTGATTGGACCTGCCTGGCCCTTTGCGGGCTACTATGGTACGGTGGTCTCCAGAATGGCCCTGGCCTGAGAGCAACTCTCTGCTGCTCAGAGACAAGGCCCCCAACCCGTCGGGGGCCGTGCACAATTTGCTTGTCGAAATGTCCATCCGCATCCCGATGGTAGACTGTTGCTGCTCGTTGCTTTTTCCGCGAATAGCAACCGCGGTTTGCAGGCTCGTGCGAGCGCCGAGCCTCTGAGAAAGACAAAAAGAGTCTGGCCTCGTCCGCGTCAGGGGAACTGTTTACCAAACAACGTTGAGCGGACAGCGAGCTGCGATGGGTGGCCCTACCATAGTAGCAGCCCGTTTGAAAGCACTTCAAGCACGAGACATGTGCTCCAACAAAACGTCAAAACGTCCACATGCGCCCCGACCACAGCCTCGAATTCCACTCGCTGCCTACCACTTATGGTTTGCAGAGAGCACCATGCCCGCAGCGAGGCAAATTCCCATGTGCTGAGCACGCTAGAAGCGCTCTATTAGCCGTCGCCTTGAGGTATTCAACACGGCAGTTTGCATTAGCGCGCGAGATGTGCCTAGCGATCCGGATGCCCATGCCGTCGATGCACCACCCAAAGCACCGATCCTTCGGCCCAGGCAAACGTCATAGCCTTCGAGACACCCTGCTGCACCCTGAGCATAGTCCTCTAGCGCACTGCAATAGGGCCGGCCATCGCTGCCACCCACCGTGACGTTGGTGCGGCGGGCCCATGGATCGGTACGGCTCGTGGGTTGCCGTGGGATGGTGTGCCAGTGATTCAGGCACACTAGGTGCTTGGCCACAGGGCTGACGGCACTTCCAGCCGGATCCAACGCGTGTCGAGCGCGTTCCCCAAAGAAAACAAT